CGATTGCGAGGTTGAGTGTTTGGTCCGAATCAAAACCTCTCTCGAGGAAGCCGAGAAAGGAGCGAAAAGAGCGCGCAAAGAGAAGAGGAGCAGTAGTTACCTTCAACAGATCGGCAGCTCGTCGAGATGATGACGAAAGTAGAGAGAGAGAGAGAGATATATATATATATATATATATAGAGAAAAAAAAAGATAGAGAGAGAGAAAAGAAAACAGAGATGAATATCCCTCTCTCTCTCTCTCAATCCTGACTGGTCCCTCGGCGAACAACACAATACAACCAAGGTACCACCAAATTGAGCACCAATTTTTCACGAATTTGCACCCCACACGAGAGATTCGCGATCGTTCACCTTCGACCCGACGCCGCGATATCTCGCGGATCCGTCATCCACGCGCGACTTCTCTCTCTCTGTCTCTCTGGGTCTTCCAGCGATCGGCTGGAGAACGCTCTGGGCCGCGATCACCACCTGGCGACCACGCTGGCGACGGATATACTAATTCGAGTTCGCGGAGAGCAGAGAGAGAGACTTTTGCAAAATCCACCTGGACGATGCGGAACCGCTTGGCGAACGGCTCCTCCGTTACTGACAGCGGATACCATCCGAAGGTTACACCTCGCCTGGCTCCGCCATGTGCAACCGTGTCGAGCCTGCCAACCTGCCTCCATACCGGACTATCTCCTGCCCCTCTGCCCCCAGCCGCGAAACCGTCCGGCCACCTGAAGCGTTTTACCTGGCGAACCTCCGAGCTCGCGCGAATCCGCCCGGAATCGCACGAGAGAGGCCTCCGTTCGAATTTTAGCGCGGGATTTTAGCGAGGGAAAGCTAGAGGAGACTCGGTTCGCTCGTACCTCGCCAAGCGCTTTAATGTTATACAGGGTGTCCGGTAACTAACGGATCAATGATTAAGGGCGGATTCTCTATGGGCAATTTGGAGACGATTTTTTCTTTGCGAAAATGTTGAGAAGTCAATAATTTTCGGGTTATAAGCGATTGAAAAAAAATGGGTTTTTTGAAAACTAAAGGTTTTGGAGTTTAAAGTCTAACATGATTACATTCTTCAGTTAATTTCAGGTTGAGTTTACTATAATAAAATTTTAATTTGAGGCTTAGTTATAAATTAATAATTGTAAACAAAGAAGGGCTATAAGAGCTATTAAACGTAATGTTTATTTATTATGTATTTATTATTTCGTTTAAATGAATTTTATTAATATCATCTGACAACTGTATTATGTTTAATAGCTCTTATAGCCCTTCTTTGTTTATAATTATTAATTTTAACAGAGCTAATTACTATTTTTACTTAGTTATAAAGATACATAATGACAAATATTGGAAAGTTGTAAAAAATGATGATTTTTCGACTTGCTGAGGAAAAATCGTTCCCAAATTGACCAAAGAATCCATTTGTAATCGTTGGTCCGTTAGTTACCGAACACCCTGTATATCTCATCAGCAATAATCTAACGAGAATATTCAGATTAGCGACTTGTCGATATACCCTGATGGGTATGTCTAGTAAAATTTGTAACATTTCAGGATATTTCAAGGAAATTTGCACGATTTCCCACTAGTATGATAAAAATGTATAAGTTATCAAGACGATATATGTCGATATAAATTGCACGTTAATGAAAATTAATATATGCATTACAAATATTCGATATAAACATTATATTTAAACTTTTAAATCTACAGTAGAAATTTTTTCTCAGAATTTACCCTGAAAATCATGATAATCGTGGCAACAATATGATATTGGAAGAATTTTATGAGTTTCTCTGATTAATTTATAATTTTAATTATTTATAATATTAATCAGGGAAACTCTTATAAAATTCTATCCTACAATTACCATGATTTTCAGGGTAAATCTAAAGTATAAACAACTTATGCACAATACATTTTGGATTCCGTAAATACAAACTATATTGTATTATTTATGAAGTAAGATTAAATATTTTTACTCGAATAGTCTCAGCTGACTCTTTTAGCTAAACATTTAGAAGCAACAAAAAAAATCGAAAAGATCTACGAAAAATTCAAATACATTTCTAAGATTTTTAAAGATTAAAGATTTTCCTGTGTATGAATAATACTGTTAAAAAAATTAACTGGAACAAGATTAGTCGTTTTTTTTTTAGAATTTTTTGGATGCTGAATAAGAATCTGGTTTCCAAATGATTCCATCAGAATTTTGAGAAATTCTTTATTAAAGTTGCGAGAAAGAACTTTTGTCGCGAACTTTGTTATATTATAGCTACACTGAAGAAAATTATTATATTAATAATAATTTATTTCAATCCTGCCTAATCAATCATTTATTTGAAATAAATAAATCTGTTCTGAAAAGAATTTTCTTAAATCAAATAATTATTTTTCACGTCAAATCAATATTATTAGTTTCAAATAAATAATTTATTAGGCAGTATTGAAATATATATTTATTCAAAATCAATAAATTTTTTCTTCAGTGTACAATATATGATGTAAAGTTTTATTGTAATCGAAATAAAATATATTGTTAGGACTTTTAACCCTCAAAAGAAATTTTATTGCGGAAGTTAGCTATGACTTGGGTCACTGAATACGAATCCAGTGTCAAAATTATCAAATTCACAATGGTGAATTTGACAATTTTGATCTCAATGACAACTCAAATGACAGATTTATATAAAAAAAGAATTTTTTACATTTGACATCCCCATATTGAGTACCATTTTGAATTGGACAATTTTGATATTGAATTTATATTCAATAACCTAAATCTATATTCAATAACCTGGATATCTTATGAACCATAATCGAAATCAAAAATTCCTTTTGAGGATTAAAAGTCCTAACATCATACTTAATTTTTATTGCAATAAAACTTCTCCAGCACGTCACATGTTGTTGTTATAATATGACAAAATTTGTAAAATAATAGTTTTTTTTGCAAATGTAATTAAAAATTTTTCAAAATTGTGACGTGATGGAGCAGTTTGGAAATCAGATTCGTATTCAGCATCCGAGAACTATAAGAAACGATTAGTCTCGCTTCAATATTAAAAAAAATCATTTTTTAAACAGTGTAATTATTGTTTAATTATTATATTATTGCAATTGTTATTGCAATTTATACTCAGAAGAATTTCTTTGTAAAATATCCCATCTCATTCGCTAATATGTATGCTTTATTATTATAAGTCTAAAATAATTCTCCGTTCAAAGTGTAAAATAAAATAAAGATGTTGAAATATTGACAAGATGTAAAAAAGTATGATTTTATACGAATATATATTTAATAATATTTAAAATCGAATAGAATTTCCAGTTTACTCAATTTTTTGAAAGTTTAAAAAAAAATTGCCTTTAAATATTTTCAACGCAACTTTTTATTTTATATTTTAAACAACGAATTGTTTTGAAAGTATTATGTGCGCTGAAATAAAGAAAAGCTGAGATCTTCTAAAAATAATACAAATGGAACAATTTCAGAGAGATAATTTAAATGGCAAAAAATCATATAAATCGCTGTAACGTGTTATAAAGCATGTCAAAATCACGTTTCTCGCGACAGATAAATAAATTCAGAAATCCCAAAAAAAATGGAGAAAATAAAACAATTCATATTCCACGAAATATACGAGCAATATTTGAAATTAAAAAAAAATAGTTCAATCATTTTAAAAATCAAGATAAAATGCGTTCCTAGATATTACAGTCTCCTCTATTAAATCATATTATTTTTTGGTCCATTTCATCACACATAGAACGTCAAATGCGCGTGCTTATACATATATGTCCAATTGTTTATAAAAAATGCACTAAAATTTATCTAGCGATAAAATTACGTGAAAATGTGAAAATCAAATAATAGCCGGATATCGGGTTACACGCTACATTACATATTTAAGCGAATGTGAAATTAAGATCTAATATAAATTACATACATATTTAAGCGAATGCGAAATTAGGATTCAATAAATATCGGCAAATTTATTACAACGAAGATACGATTCGAACGGGGTGAACTAATTAAGGAGTCTGGGTAACTCGCTTTCGCATTCCTGTTCACTTTACGAACGGAAACGATTGCAATAAGGCTGTTATCAGGCGGGCGCAATACAGCGGACGCCATTCATACGAGCGAATCACTATATTATCGTTTCTGTGCCGACTTTGTTTTATTTTCTCTACTATATGTCAGTACACATATACGGACGAAATGTGCGACGATAAAATATAATTATAATCCTTTTATAAAACGCGAGTGTGTATGCATATATCTAATAAATCTTCGATGTAAAACTTTCCCGACGTGGGAATCCCCTTTCGGCGAAGACAAGTGGCTTTCGCGCGATAGCATTTTTTTAAATGTTCCTTCTGAACGACATCACTATTGAAAAAAAAAAATGGTCGACATATCGATCGCGATTTTTGACTCTTCCGTGACCCATTTCTTCGACTTCTCTCCCTGTATCGCAGATCTGTCATCGCGCGCGACACGTGTTTGCTTGACGAACAGCGACCTCGTACGTGACAACGCGAAATCGAGCGTGTATTCAAATTCGTTTGCACGTTTGCTCAAGAACGTCGGTTACGATAAAGCAACAATAGCATCCGCGCCACTTGGCGCGGACGGAATGTTTCATTTGCTTGAAAAACACCTGTTTAAAGAAAAACACGCTGGCAGCGTTTGTAATAACGACAACGGCGGAGACAAAAGCGGATATGCACGTGAAAAGTAGTCGCTTAACTCTGTGAAACTTTTTTATGTTTCCTTTTCCCCCGTTCTGTCTTTCGAAACTTTTATTTTTATTATATATCAAACTCGTGTTATTTATATCTATAAGAATTTCAAGATCTCCGCGAGCAATGTCGTTAAAATTCCTCGCCTTTTGAAATTTCTCCGGACGCTTCACTTATTTCTGTTCTTCAGACTTTTATTTCGACTCAAATAACGGTACTGATTTTTCAATTGAAAATATAAATATTAAAGAATCGACTCACCCATTTTGTTGCCGCTTCTTCTCCGAACACGCAGACATATCGTTCGAGACTTGATGCACTTAAATCACAAAAAAATGCAATTATATGCATTATGCACAATTGAGGGAGTACAAAAATTATACATCGTATATCGTATCATATAAAATATTTTTTTAAATGCACACAAATATTACATTAATTATATAATTAATTTTTAAATATTAATCATTGTATCAATTTTAATTTATTCATTTTATTTCTTCAAAGATATTAAAATTTATTGAACAAATGTAGGAGAATTATTGACTTTAATTATTATGAATAAAATAAAAATAGATACAAAATCCAAAAAGATATAAACAAAATATATAAATATTCATTTATATATATATATATATATATATATATATATATATTAAATATTTATTAAACTTAATTATTAAAATTAATTTAACTAAAAAAAATAATAATGTGAAATATTCCAAGTGCATAAGATGCAATTACCTGATGTATATATTGGATGACTTCATTATGAGTTGCATTTTCTAAGGTGCGACCGTTCACTTCCAAAATCTCATCGCCCACTTCTAAAGTATCCGCACTGTCCGCCGGCGAGCCTGCACAAATGTAAATAAATCATCGGTGTAATTTGGAATTTTTTAATTACCGAAAGAAGGAATTTAATGCCGAATGGAAGAAAGATTGTACGAATAATTCTGCATAATGCGCTTCGTTTGGAAGTTCCGTATGAATATTCCGATTCGCATTTCCAAACACGATAATCCGTACAAAACGGGACGAGCTTTAAGCTTTGCTATACAAAAATCGCTGTTTAAGCATCCGTGAATATAACATTTAATCTGCTTCGTAAACGAGAACGTATTTACTAATGAACGCGAACGTTTGGAAGGCATTGGCGCTTCGTAAATGAACTGTGAAAGCAATCGACTGGTATATATATATGCATTATTTCCTGAAATCGTTCTTACAGAAAGGTCATTTTCTTTCGACAAAATTTAAATAAAAACACACAACACCGGCATGCAAATGCCTTCATGTACAATTCTCGCAGCGAATTAATATAGATAATTATATAATAATCGTATTTAATTTATATTCGTAAAATGTGCAAAAAAAATAGACAATATTTTTTTTTTTTTTTTTTAAAGAGAGATCGAAATCGAAATATCTCGCAAGAAAAATATCCGACGGGGAAATCGATGCGGGTGAAGAAGGTAAAAACGTGAAATAAGCAAGTCCTTCGTCGCGGCGATAAAGCGCACGTTACGATAAACATAAAGGTCAGCCTATAAATAACAACGTCGCGAAACGTCCTCTCTATGTAAATCGTCGCGCATTACCGTAACGCGTCGCGTAAATCGGAAATCCGTCCGTCGCACATTTCCTGTTTCCGAAAGCGTGCGCGACGTGTATAAGCTACACGTACGATTATCTGACTGACAGGGAAAGTTTTCGCGCTCTCTTTTCGCATTTCTCCGTTCCGTCTCCTCTATACTTGCTCGCATCGTACAAGTACAAGTCGGAAGAGAAACGAATCGAATATCTATCTGAAAATGCCATTTCGAAAACGACACAAGTTCAATTGACAAATATTCGACGGAAGCCATATCATATGGGACGAAAGAAAACGTATAAAAAAAAATATATATATATAGGTAAATAAAATATGTATAAAATAAGAAAATAGATATAAAATCCAAAAAATCCATAAACAAAATATATATAATATTCATATTATTATATATATTTATTAAACTTAATTATTAAATTTTTTTTTTAGTTAATAATAAATTTTAATAATTAAGTTTAATAAATATATATAATAATATAAATATTATATATATTTTGTTTATGGATTTTTTGGATTTTATATCTATTTTTTTATTTTATACATATTTTATTTACCTATATATATATATATATTTTTAAATGACATTCTCAACATAATCTCCATTAAATTAATATTTAATATGATAATAAACAAACGTGTATAAAATATACAAAATTCTCTCCAAGATTGACTTTGGCGAGAAAGCTGCTGGAGGCGAGACTAATACAGGATTTCATATTATATTTTATTTGACGTTTCTCATATCTCGCGGGCGGGTAAGAGACATGTGTTTTATCGTCTCGCGCGGGATTTGCATATTCGTCGAATATCCGGCAATGGGAGCCCGCTGCGAGAAGTCGGTGCGCACACGCTTGAATACATACCGTACAGCTTGATCTTCCCGTCGTCGTTGGTCAATATAATAATGTATCCCCCTAGATCGACCATTTTCGCGTAGTAATTATCCTCCGTGCAGAGCGCAGTGGTGTAGGGGATGGGGTAAGTCCGCTATTAGATTACCTCTCTCTATCTATCGCGAGCGCGCGACACTCCACGCGAGATGACGTACGCTCGCACGCGCGCGCGCGCGCGCGCGCCGTGCACGACGGGGTGCAAATCACTAATTATACTTTGCGCGCACACACACACCCCACAGACACTCTTTCTCTCTCTCTCTCTTCTCTCTCTCTCTCTCTCTCTCTCTGTCTATCTACACCGGTTCGGGTCCGCCCCGAAAAATCAGCCCGCCGTTATTAACGTCGTTAGCACATGCCATTTTCCCGTGTTTCCTCTTCGCATCCTCACTTCATTTTGGTATCGACCTCGTGACCTACTTCTCTCTCTCTCTCTAACTTGGCCGGCTCTTCTAACAACGATTATATTTTTCGCGGCACTTATAACTCTCTCCCGATTTTTCGCGATTTTTTTCACCCCCAGATCGGTGGTTCCTCGATTTGCGTACTCCTCGATATAAGTGCTTGTATAAGAAACTCGCGATCGGAAAAACCTCGAGACTCTAAACGGACACTAAGGCATCTATGCTTTCACACGCACGAGAGTGGTATATAAGAAAAAATGCTCTACTATATATATATATACGACGACGAGAAAACTATAAAGATGCACCCTCGATATATGAACGAGGTGCCGCCTAAAAGAGAGAGAGAGAGAGATGGACCAAGGAACACATCATTATTTTCCTCCTTATATTCGCGCTTTCTCCTTTTCACCCTCACGGGACACTTCACCCAACCGGGGGTGTCGCGACTTTATTATTATTTCGTAATAAACTCTCGTCTTGTCTCTCTCTCTGAATCCCTTTTTCTTTCCTTTTCGCGCACTCGCCCTCAGATCGTTGTCCTCGCGAGAGGGTCCATCGTCGTCGCGAGGGGGTGCATGGGGGATGAAACGACGAGGGCCCCGATTGCGCGGGCCCCTCCCCTACATCCTTCCGGAGACGTGTCGCGCGAGCCAGGATTGTCAAGTGTCAGCGATCGCCGGTTCACAATCTCGCGGCGAGCCGGAGCGTCTTATTATTGATCACCGCTTCGACTGGCTCCGCTTCTCTCGTCCACGCATCACCACCGGCCATCGTCCCGTCGTCCTCGTCGTCGTCGTCGTTGTTGTTGTTGTTGTTGTTATTGTTGTTCCTGTTGCTGCCGCCGTCGTCCTTCCGCATCGGCTCCGCGTCGACCAGCTGCTCCTTTCACGTTGACGCTGTCGCTCCTTCTTGGATCCTGTCGGGCGGGTTAGCGCTACCACGCGAGACCGAGAGTCCTGGACGACGTCTCCGACTTGCCGCGAGACTCCAAGACGGGGATCATTTTATACGCAATTTGCGGCCGCTCTTCAGGAAGACACGGCGATGTTTACGTGCGGTTACTCCGATACGGTGAGTCTTGAGCTTATGCTTCTTCAAGTTGATCGTGTATGATCCCTTCTGACGCGAGGCGGAAGTGACAGCTGCACGTCCCTCGTGCCGCTTTTTCTCTCTTCACGAGGACCGAACCTGATGCACCGACATGCTGACACTTTTCGCTCTCCTTTCCGCGGGAAAAAATGTGGAAGTCGAAGGTCGGAGATGATCGACGATCCTCCTCGTGCTGCTTCCACGAACGTTGACAGGACCAGCACCGATGGCGACTCCGAAGCTATCACTTTCACCGCCGCTGATGCTGTTCAAACGTCCTGGTCTTCGATCACTCTGCTTTTAGGGTCTTTGGGTTAGATAGGATATATATGTATATATATATCTACATATATATATATATATATATATATATGGAGTATATATCGTGCGTGCGTGCGTGCGCGTGTGTTCCACTTCTCACCCTCCGCCTTCTACCGCGACAACGGCACGCAACCACCCACCCTTAATCGGGCCGCGACACGATGCACCTTGGGGAGCGGCGCAATCCCCGGCCGAATAGCGCGAGTCGACTAACTGAGAGTGCAGGGGACGAGAGGGAGGAAGGTGGTGGTGGCGACGACGACGACGACGACGACGACGACGACGACCGAGACTCGGGCGCGCGTTTTTTCGGACGCGAATACGTCGTAGCCGAGGCCCGCGACTCTCCGGGGAAACCGCGGAAAAACTGCCCCTCGCGGTCGACTCTTGGACTGGGTGTGAACGCGCGCGGCAGCCCTGCTGACACACACCACCGCTCGGCTGCTTGCCACCGTTGGCAGAGCGCCGCCTCCGACCCTCGCCGCCGAGCGGCGTCAGCGGCGTCGGCGACGTCGCGCCGGCGTCGAGACCATCCCTCCCGAGCCGGAGCAGGGGTGTGCGTTGTCAAATATAAATGCATTTCGAACGGGAAATGTATGTTTTGCGCTTTGCATTTTGCAAAATTGTATATGTGTTTGCGAAATCTATATATTTTGCATTTGCAGTTTTCATTGCTTTTTGGTTCTCATTTTTTATTCCATTGCACTTTTGCAAATTAAACATTTCGAGGTATCGCACAATAATATGTATATATCTACATATATATATTTAATAACGGGTGTTCAAATCCATTTTAGACACTCATTTGAAACAGGAAATAAAAATAGACATTTTAGAAATATTTTTGAAATAAAAATGGTTCTTTCCATATATATATATATATATATTTAAATTATTATTTTTATTATTTACTTCTTATAATTATTACTTATATGTTTCTTTTAATTCTTATTTTTTATTAAATTTTTATAAATTTTATATATTTCTTTATAAACTCTTTAAACTTTTATAAACTTTATATATAAAAGTTTAAAGAGTTTATAAAGAAATATATAAAATTTATAAAAATTTAATAAAGAAATAAGAATTAAAAGAAACATATAAGTAATAATTACAAGAAGTAAATAATAAAAAAAAATATTTAAATATATATATATGGAAAAACCATTTTTATGTCAAAAATATTTTTAAAATGTCTATTTTTTATTTCCTGTTTCAAATGAGTGTCTAAAATGGATTTGAACACCCGTTATTAATAAAGATATCAATAATATGTTCATATATTATTATTTTTACTTTTTGCATTAAACAAATTTTTATATTAAAAGATATATAAAATTTATAAAAGTTTAGAGTTTATAAAAAAAAATAAGAATTTAAATATATATATATATATATATGGAGAAAAACTATTTTAATTTCCAAAAATCACTTTAAATATGCTTATTTCCATTTCCTATTTTAAACAGGTGTCTAAAATAAATTTGGACACTCATTTTGTACATCCCTGATCAAAAGCAACCCCCGATGGCGGTGAGCCTCGATTGGCGGCAACCCGCGATACACTTCGAGTGCCGCGAATCTTCGCGCCATCGTCAATTCGCGATGTTCTTTCCATTTTCCGAAATGTTGAGAGATAAATGTCGACGAATGGTCAAAATACATCTCTCGCAGTTATCGCTTTCGTGATTTAATTGTTGAGAAAGTACTGTTACTCACCCAATCGCCCGTGATTAGTTCCGGTTTTCCGCTCGGATCCGCACGCAGGGAAGGACGCCCGTGGAAAGGAGTAAATGGCGCGCTTTCAGCTGTGACGTCAAGGCGCGTCGCGCTGCCAAAGTCGCCGCTGGCGACATCTAGCGGGACAGAAAATAATTTGTAAGCCAAATTTATCGACTGTGATCTAAAGAAGCGTGATCGATAAAATATATTCTTTTGTTGACTTTTAAAAGACAAACTTTCCTTTTCTAATAATAATTATAACAAAAGATCCACACATAATTTTTTGTGTCTTATAATTCCTTGTTTTCGTTGATATCATAAAATATTTTCAAATTAATAACGTTAACTCATCATTACGTTATTTTTACAATTTTCATCAACTAAAGAAAAAATAATAAGCGACAAAAATGATCAGCAAAAATTGTTACTACGAGTTATTATAATTCTGTTATTATAATCAAAACTAGTTACAAAATAAAAAGAAATATATATATATATATATATATATATATATATATATATAAAAGTATTAATAAAAAAACCGATTTATTTAAATAATAATTATAATGTCTTTTTTATATATGTATATATTTAATAAAATATATATTCCCAATTTTTTTTTATTACAAAACAATTATTCTTGTTTTATCTATTATATGCCAGTTCAAACTATTAAATATAATGCTTTTAATAAATATAAATTTTAATGCAAAACAATCTTATTCTTTTCTTATCTCAAATGCCAGTTCAAACTATTCAATATAATGCTTTGATAAACATAAATTTTATTGCGAAACTATCTTATTCCTGTCTTATCTATTATGTATGTATATATGAATTAGCATAACAAAAATAAGATTGTTTACCAATAAAAATATTGAGAATATATATCGAAGATTTTATTTTACATATATAAGAATCAATTATTATTAATATAAACAATATGACATTGCTTACAGAGTAGTCTTTGCATGTTGTATAAATTTTTAAAATTCGATTTAAATTCCGACATTATTTCTTTATTTCTTCCTTCAAAAATCTTTTTATTTAATGCAATAAAAAAATCAATATATAAGATCAAATATTTTAAGTTTTTATTAGAAGATATATATGTGCGTATATAAACATATCTAGAATTTGAAATATTCTATATTAAATTTGCGAATATCAAATCATCTTCTCTCTCTCCGAACAATATTGGATCTCTGAGAATATTTACACAAGTGGGTTCTCTATGCTCAGAGGACCGTCTCGCGTGCCGGGTTGAAAGTAGAATAGAAAACTTATATTACTTTTGCTCCCCCTAACACTCTCGACGTATATGAAGTAAGAAAATTCGCAAGACAATGTATATTTCTTGAAAAACTTTCTTTCGAAAAGACATTACAAATTCATTGATACTAAATATAAATTGAGAAAATCTTCAAAAAAAAATATTCGCGTTTAGCCCGAATATAATCTACATGAAACATATTTAGAAAAAAACTATTTGATCTCTAAAATATAAACTCAAGACTTATCAAAAACTTTACAGATAATTATCGGATATATTAAACGCCTTTCTCAATTTGTATATCAATATTCGCAAAGTTAGAAAAAAATAGTTTTTATATAATGCATGATCTTTCTAAATAATATATAGAATTATAAAATCCAAGATACATATACATACGCACATATTAAATATTGTAAATAATTCTAATGCAATAAAAATGAAAATGCGTGTTTTCAAACGGTAGAGAGCAAAACATTTATCAAAAAAAATGTTTAAAACTCATTTTCGAATATAGTTTAAAAACGTTAAAATAATGAGTTAAATTTCTTTTTATTAATTAAAAAAACTTTTATTTTAACGTTAATGTTATACAAATATTTATTTAACGCTTATTAAATATTTATTTTATTAATATATTTCATCTCAATAAAGTATTAATAAAATAAATATATTAATATTACATTAACATTAAAATATAATATTTTTAAATTAATAAAAAGAGACTTGTAACCAATTTAATTATTTTAACGTTTTTTAAATATATTTAAAAATGAGTTTTAAACATTTTTGCTACTTGGAGAATCGCATAAACTTTCATTGCAGTTTTAATGCGCTATATACCTTATAATTATAACGAACGATTCCTCGGGGGCGTCTCGTGCTTATTAAAATGTGTAGCCCAAACACTTTAATAATTCAAGCACTTCCTTGGCTGCAATCATGGTAGTAATTCTCTTTCGCGAACTCCAGTTATCTAAAAACAGATTTTAATGTTTCAGAAATTGTTTTCTATACATATATATAGATGTAACACATACACGCGCAATTCAGGAATTTCACGAGAACCTTTAGCAAGGATTATTTTAATGTGCTTTTATTACATTAAATTATATATATGTACCTATTTATATCCTCGGGGATCCGTGAGATTCTTTGACGTTCTTGCAGATGCACATATATACGGGAAACACGTGCAAACTAAAGGCGAAACAAAGAGAAGAGCAAGACTATAAGATCAATATAAGGGATGTTAGTTCGGTAACTGCCTTCCTGACTTCTCTCCATCTCTTTCTCTCTCTCTCGCTCCTTCTCCGTGTATAACACCACAGAGAATTTCTCCAGCCTCCGTCTTCTGTAATTACATTATTGTCGTATATCGGCGCAGGGAATCAACGTTGTCCTATTGTCTGCAAGTGACAGCAAGGTTTAACTTCGAGTCTGGATTAATAGTAAATCCGCGAGCTATCTTACGACTCCGAATTTACAGTCTCGTATATCGCGAGAATTACTCCGAAATTGAATTAAGCTCTCTATCTCTTTTTCTCTCTCTCCACAGTTTTAATTTAATTATGAGTAAACAAATATAATATATTTCTAAATAATTACAAATTTATAAATATATTTCTAAATAATTACAAATTTATGACAAAATTCAAATTCTGCAACTTGTTTCGTGATTCGATAGAGATAGAGAGAGAGAGATAAAGAATTATGTACACGCTAAATTTTTGCATTTATAGCTTTCTACTGAAAAAATTCTAATCCCAGCATGCACGAATTGAATGATCTGTCGATTATATCACACGTCAGATGAAAGTTTCATTATCTTCGGATGTATGCTTGAAAATTAATTAATTTTTATGTTGAGAATTACATTTGAGCTCTTACCTCGCTATCGTTGTTTCAAGAAATGGCGAGTGCCGTGGTGTCGATCGATGCAGGATCGATATCGATATATCGTACCATTTCGAGATCGATTACTAGTTCCGAGAGGTCGCTATAAAGATAACCATGAAATTACGCTTAAAAAATGCAACGATAATATAAAATGAAAAATTATAAATCTATGTATAAATACGATGATTTTACATAATCACAAAGATTATAACTCGATAATGACAAAATTGTTGGCTATTTTCTCAATATTCTCTTCGAATATACAAGACGAAAAATAAACGATGTAGTCCGAATAAAAAATTCTTCGACGAAGAAATATTTACAATCGTATAATTATAATTAATTATTAGGTTGTCAGGAAAGTCTGACGTATTTTCTCTATGCTTTTTATGTTTTTATGGTTCTTTTACTTATATATAGTTAATTATTGTATTATATTCCGAAAAATATATATAACCTAATACAGTTGAACGAAAGAGATATAAAACATATATCAAAATCATTTCATAACAATTATCTCAAATATAAATATAGGTCTTCGCAAGCGCGTTATGCAAAAAGAGAATTTTAATTAATATATACATAATTAGATTATATATATATAACCTGTAATATATACATACGTGTATTCGAGGCAGATGTAGAATATGTGAATGCCGCGAAATACAAAATAAGGGTCAACTCGCGATATAATGGACCAATCGCACGCACGCGTTCGGCGCATGCGCGCGATTGGTCGATCGTGTTGTGACGATTATGACGGGTGACAGATCGCTGACAGCTGATACCAGCTGACACGGGGATAAATAAAGTGGGAGTCGCTTTGTTTGAACGTAAACGTCGAAAGTCAAAATGTCATGTTTTCGATGACGAAGTTCTTCCTAGATAAATTTTAATTACGCATCATTTTTGAGATTGTCACTTTCTCGTTCGTCTGTAGGATAGAGACACGTATTACATATTTGATCCACAGGTATAGTGACCTTGACATAATATATAATAAATAATTATAGAATTTAAATTTAAACGCTTGATTTTTAATTTGTCAAGCTCTTTGTTCTAATATCTGCATAATCATAATCGTTACCTGACATCAGTATGTCTGTTATTTTTTCTCAGTTCTACATATATAAACAAGATGCTTTATCCATACATCACGTTTGTGATCCTGTCGTTTATCTCCACTGTGTTTGGTGGACCATTGAATGTGATACATTATCAGCCGGAAGCTGTTCATCTTTCCTATGGTGGTAAGTTTTAATTTATGCTAGTACATATATATAAAACTATCCAATTGTCTCTTTACAATAAGAAGAAATTGTAATCTAAAACAAATGTTATGATTAATTCTTTAAATACTAAGAAGATAGTTCTCTATCTACGCAAGTAATGATGAAAAAGATCATTGATACATGTATTTTCTGTGTATAATTTTCAGATAACATTCATGATATCATTGTCACCTGGAGCACAAGGAGTGATACGGAAGAGTCGATAGTAGAATATGGTATAGGTGGATTTATTTTGCGAGCTGAAGGAAATTCTACTCTCTTTATCGATGGCGGTGTGAAAAAACAGAAACAGTACATCCACAGAGTGTGGCTAAAAGATTTAACGCCAAACAGCAAATATAGTAAGATGAATATTGCGTGTTTTACTATTCATTACTAATTAAAGTTATGGTACGACGCTAAAATAATAATAAATTTTTACCGTTTGCCATCAGTATATCACTGTGGTAGTCGCTATGGATGGTCAAGTATGTTTTATATAAAAACCGCGCCTGAGGATTCCACAGATTGGTCACCGCAAATAGTTATTTTTGGGGATATGGGTAATGAGAATGCTCAGAGTTTATCACGTCTGCAAGATGAGACGCAACGTGGTTTATACGACGCTGCTATTCATGTTGGTGATTTTGCTTATGACATGCATAGCGACAATGCACGCGTAGGTGATGAATTTATGCGACAAATTGAATCTGTGGCTGCTTTTATGCCATACATGACGGTACCTGGAAATCACGAAGAGAAATATAATTTTAGTAATTATAGGTATATAATTTTTGAATGATTCCACACAACTTGTTGCCGATATTTTATTGAATACTTGCAAAAAATTTAATTCTATTTTAACCATTTTTTCTAGAGCCCGATTCACTATGCCAGGTAACTCGGAAGGCTTGTGGTATAGCTTTAATGTAGGTCCTGTACATTTTGTAGCTATAGAAACTGAAGCTTATTACTTCATGAATTATGGTATAAAACAAATGATTAAACAATACGAATGGTTGGAGAAAGATCTGCGAGAAGCAAATAAACCTGAAGCAAGGTATGTGATTATCAATTAAAATTAGACTATTAATGATTAACAAAAAAATGTGTGATTACAGAGCTAAACGACCATGGATAGTAACATTTGGACATAGACCAATGTATTGCAGCAATGCAAATGCAGACGATTGCACGAATCATCAAAGCCTGATTAGAGTCGGATTGCCATTTTTAACATGGTTCGGACTGGAGGATCTGTTTTTCAAATATAAAGTGGATTTGGAAATCTGGGCACACGAACACAGTTACGAAAGATTGTGGCCCATGTACAACTTTCAAGTAATTGTCCAACCAATCATATTATTTATATATATTTTGAGGGAAAAATTCGCGCGCTCACAATTAGTAATAATGAAAAATTATAATTATATGTTATAGGTGTATAACGGTAGTTATGAAGAGCCATATAAAAATTACAAAGCACCTGTGCATATAATTACTGGATCAGCTGGTTGTAAAGAGGGCCGAGAGAAATTTGTTCCCGATCGACCAGCCTGGTCCGCATATCGTAGCTCGGATTATGGATACACAAGAATGAAGGCGTACAATAAGACTCACATGTATCTAGAACAGGTATTCCAAGAATAAATCTTGAATTAACGCTTTTCTTTGTAACAACATTATAAAACCTTTTCTATGTTGCAAATAATAGGTGTCTGATGATAAAGAAGGTGCTGTTCTAGACAGGGTTTGGCTCGTGAAAGAGAATGTTTTACCACAGTACGTAGAAGTTTTTCCTTAGAATAATATAAATGCCATTTAATTAGCGCCATGTGATAAAATAGAAAACACAATCAAGAATATATAAAAAATTTGTCAAGCAATATTGTTAGTAAGATTTTTCCTTCACTTTGACTATATGTATAATTTTATACAATTATAATTCAAATTTTAGTACATATTTTACGTAGGCTGGATAATACGATGGTCGAAATGTATACATGAACAAATATTAGCGTGATTTGCATATGAATAAGTAAAAAATTAGCAAATGCAAAAAACGTACAATATAATCCTTTAATTGTTAAAATATAAATATATATATATATATATGTATGTATATATATATAATTATTATATAGTATATAATGTAGTATAATAATATAGTATTAGTGTATAAGATTTCGTATCCATCTAGCTCTCATAATTAATTAATATTCAATGATACATAAAGGTATAAAATAACAAATAGCCTTGACTGTTCATTCAATCATTTCGATTTTTAAAATTCGTTATAATTAGACATGTGTGAGTTTCTCGAAGTTTTACATATCACATATTTTGCAACTTTATTTCGGATAGAACTCATTCGAGCTATTATGTTCGGATCGCTCTTATAATTGTGTGATAAACATATTTTCAATCTAAGTAAATTTTTAAACCTGTAGCTTTTGTGTATATATTATATTGTGTATATATACTTAAGTGATTAAGTCCCGACAGGTAATAATAAATAATAGGATAATTGTACACATGGTTATGTGGTTATTTTATATTTCATATTTGCATTCGAATGTAATACATTATTTGCACTAGAGAATAATCGTTCACTAGGCACTTTGATCACAATTATGCACAATTTCTTTTGTGCCAATAGCTTTTAAGTCTAGCAACGATTTCAGATTTTGATGACACGAGTAAAGAAGAGTAAAGATTTACATATTTTGTCACCTCCATTAAAAAATTATTTTTACATAACAATCATATTTGAAAACGATCTTTTGAGATTATAAAAAAATCGCGATTTTTTTTAACAAGGATAGAAACGTATATTTATATATAAAACATTACTTTCTATTATGAATATTGATGTCTAAATTTTTGTGGGTTAAAAACATCTTACTCAATGAAGATAGATAAACTGAATATAATATATTGAAAAGCATTACTTTAGAATTCCCATTTCTCCAGATTCTAATTGTAAGCTACATTGAACAACTATGGAATTGAATGTCTATTATGCTTAAGCTTTAAGCTCATAATATAAGCTCATGATCCAATAATTAGAATATCCAATTGCAGCAATGTAATAGAGAATTAATTTTCAAACATGTTTTCTATTTATACACAGCACATGTATATATTCTAATAAGTTAATGTATTTTAATATCTCGGAAATTTTATCTCACATATAGAGAGGATAGAAAACAGAAAAGCAGAAAATACTTAAGCTACAAGTTTTTTTCAAACAATCCTCCTATCATTCCGAGCAATATTCCAAAAATAGTCGAACATTTGTTTCAAATAAGTGCTCCGAACTCTATACAGTTCGTAATTTTTCGAATACTCGCACATCTCCAATTATTACCAGTTGTAATAATGACGATCCTTATAAGGCTAAAAAAGTGACCGCAAATTTATACAATAATTCAATTAAAGCTGATATTTTTTTTACTACAATTCTACTTTCGCAATGGACAAACCATTTTTTCTTTTGCACCTGGCTTCTTGCCAGCTGTTTTTTTTTTTTTTTTTTTTTTTTTTTTTTTTTACTTTGGCATCTGCCGTAACAGTCATCTACTGAATTAAAAAAATATCAGGAACTGTCCTTCCATAAATAAGATAATAAACAGTGATAATAAACTTGGAAAGTGTCAAGTGTAGCTTTTGTTAAACAAAGATTTGTTTTACTAACGATTATCGCACATTCCTTGACGACAAGAAAATTATTCAATATTCACAATATGTCTCTCAAGGAGTTTGAATTAACTCGATTCAATTAAGAACGTAATTTATAATCCCTGTCATATTCCTTTATACGCAGCAAATATTAATCTTACTATATCTCGTCCTAATCTTATAGTATACATTTTGCCATATACAATTTTAGTGATTAATAATTATGTGTATAGGTGTTATATGCGAGCGCACACTTATACGCATAAATCTAATTTGCCATTGGAGATATGTAACAATCTCTTAAGATGCGTAAAAAAAGCATCATAAAGAAAGATAATTTTATTGATTTGCCTATCATCGGGAAAGTTTTAAGCTTTGCAGACAATTGTCAAGATACATATTGTAATTGAATGTTTTTTGCTCGAGGTTTTTTTCATGCATTAATAAACCACACATCTTGTTATATTAATTAAGCAAGACACTTGACACTGTCAGTGATTAATAGAGACAATGGAAGAAGTTGCTGCAGAATGACTTTCTTGGTACGAAAATTGCGGAAAATGTTCTTGTTCTTCTGCTATAGAATTTAAACCTCCTCCACTACCTAAACAGCCCTGATCCGGGGGCGTAAGTTCAACACTTTCGCCGGTAAATTCACTATCAAAATATCGAGTGTCAATATCTGAAGTCACTTGCGGCTTAAAAGGTGGAGGAATCTTCTTCTGGACAAGATCCGTCCAATTGATACACGAGAAAAATGCGTGATTCATGATGTCTTTCGCATCATTGGGTCCGCCACCTAATCTTCTACTTGGATCCTTTATTAACAAACCTATAAAAATAATTGAAAAATAAATCCTCTCATATTGAACCGCCATCATTATGTTTATTAGAGTGATACTCACCACCAAGCATATCTCTTGCTTCATTACTAATCGTCCTAGGAAACCTTACTTCTTCCAATAAAATAAGCGTAAATAGCTTTTCATGATCTTTGTTATAAAAAGGTAATCGACCACACATCATTTCATACATGACTACACCCACACCCCACCAATCTACGGCTCGTCCATAATCATTATCTTCGAGTACTTCTGGTGCCAAATATTCTGGTGTTCCACAAAATGTCTTTGTTGTCCTTCCTATAAATACATATCTAATTAATTATATAAAATTAATTATATATAATTAATTATATATATTAAAGTTTACACACTCACACATGATTTATACATGTTATACACTTATACCGTACATGTGTATACATATATAGGTATATATGTATATACATTTGATTATTTTTACTCTAGCTTTTAAAAATATAATACAAACCATATGTAATGTCTTCTTTACACAAACCAAAATCAGCAATTTTTATATGCCCGTCTTTGTCCAAGAGAAGATTTTCCAATTTGAGATCACGGTATATAATACCTTGCGAGTGTAAATAACCCAGGGCCGATATAATTTCTGCGCCGTAAAATCGAGTACGATCTTCGCCAAATACTCGTGACCGACTTAAATGAAAAAATAACTCGCCGCCATTTACATACTCCATAACAAAACACAATCTATCTGCCGTTTGAAAACTGTATTTTAAAGACTGAAAATTAGAAAAAATATGTTAATTATATTAAATACAGATCTTAAATTATAACATTGTAAATATATAATAATATCTGTATGTAAGTACATTACTAAATGTTATTTATTAATAATAATAAATAACATTTGTTATTTATTAATAATTTGGTACTTATTAATAATTTGTTATTTATTCATAATAATAAATAACATTTAGTAATATATGTAAATACATACGCGTTTAGTGACATCTTGTACAATAAACTTACAATTAAAAAGGGATGATTAGTAGTGCGTAATACTCTGTTTTCGGTAAGTGTGTGCGCCACTTCATCTTTACGAATAATAACTTCCTTTCTTAAAATTTTAATAGCATATAAATGTCCCGTCGCTTTCTCTCTACAAAGAATTACTTTTCCAAAAGTCCCTTTTCCCAAAACTTTTAAAAATTCAAAATTTTCAAGTGTCTGGAACAAATAAAAAGAAAATTTATAAATCAGAGTTATTTAAAAATTTCAATGTACACAGATACATATATATGTGTATATGAAGTACTCATATATTCAGAAATGTAATTCCTAAAACTTGATAAGATAATTTATATCAATAAGCAAGATTTTATAAGTTATAATTTCCTTTTGAAAGACAAATTAATAAATCAAAATTATTTGTAAATTTCTTCTGACACAAATACACATATACATATATATAGAGCGCTCATATTCAGAAATGTATTTCCTAAAACTGATAAGATAATTTATATCAATAAACAAGCTTCCATAACTTACTACTTTCTTTTTGCCAGTGCTTTTACTACTTGAAGTTCCTTGGACACTGAATTTTGCTGATAATTCATCAATACTACCACCGTCTATGTCTGTAGATACAACACCTAAAGAGCTACAAGAATCAGACCTAGCACCTACTGACGATTCCATATCAACATCTTCCGAAGAGGAAGATTGTTGCATTTGGGATTGTTCATGCTGCTGATTTTCTTCATTTGCTAACCTATCTGCTACATATCTGCAAGAAAAATATAAGGAAAGAAGTTGTATGAATATTGCATACGCTATATTTTGAAGCTCAACAGATTATTTATCAAAATCATACCTGATCGCTGCTACCCAGTCTTCTCTTTCTTGTTCCGACTCTACATGAAATGTCCTTTCAATTACAGTCGTCCATTGCAGGCCTCTTATAACAAATGTGTATGGTTTAGGTCTATCCACTGACATTATTTGGCATCCACGTACTGTAAAATTATTCAATGGCTGCGTAGATGTTTGCGCAGCCATCTGCGGATCAGGTTTCACCTTGAACCCGACCAATGTACCATCGTCCCTCAAGACAAAATATCTTGATCTCCAATTTTTTATGTGTTCACCTACCAAACAAAAATCATCTCATATTTTCTTCATGATTTCAAATAGCTTCTAATTAAACATTTAATAAATTCTTCAATCTCCAGATTTTTTTCATTATTCTACACTTCCGTTCAAGACTCATAAATTCCATCTTTACCGGAATCAATAAAAAATATCTAATTAATATGTTTAATATAGATACTAAAATAAAAGAAGATTATTATTGCACAAGAATTTGGCGCAAAATATGACTAGATAGAAAAAAAAAGGCAACAACCACAATGGAAAAATCAAGACTCTCACTTTTTTTCAATATTCTGTACTTCCATTCAAGACTATCATTCATAAATTCCATCTTTATCGGAGCCAATATATAACATTTCTAATTAATATGTTTAAAATAGAAGCTAAAATAAGAGAAGATTATTATTGCACAAAAATGTGGCGTAAAAAATACTAGGTAAAAAAAAGGCAACAATCATACAGAAAAACAAAGAATCTCAGCAAAGCCATTGCAAGGGCCTAAAATAAAAGTCGACGTCCCCAGGACAAGATTATCGTCGACGTCGATACATACGAGCTCCACCACGTGTCCGTGACACTTATCCCGCGCGCGTGACATGACATACGTCGGGGAGAGAAAAATACAACACGCGACAATCACGAGACGCGCGTCCCCCGGAGTAAACATTGCGCAAGACGTAAATATTATGATCCCGTTACGAGGAGGGGGGCAAAAGAGAGAGGAAGGGGGAATAAAGGGGGGCCCCTTAGTACCTCGTTTTTGGAGCCAGCCCTCCTTGACGATGCGCTGACCGCTGCCGCCCCCGGTGCCGCCTCCGCTGACGCTGCCGCTTCCGCTGCCATTGCCGCTGACGACTCCGACATTGACACCGACCCCGACACCGACTCCGCCGCCACTTCCGCCGCCGCCGCCGCTTCCGCCGCCGCTAAGACCGCCGCCGCCGCCACCGGACGCTGCGACGTTCATCGCCGCGTCCCCCATCACTCTCTCGTCTTGGCGCACTCGTCGAGATCCCGCGGATGCCCCAGGTTCCGCGTCGCGCCTGGAGCCTCACGAAAATAATCGCGGATAACACGCAGTTGCGGGAGTGGTGCGCATATACAAACTTGAGTAATCATAGATACGCGTGTGGCAGGTAATGCATATGTACACACACAAGTGATCGTCGACGTGATCACGCTGAACCCGACCGAGGGAGACGTCAGAGAGCGGCGGCGCCACTGTCGCCCCGAGGCTCCCTTCGAGTCGCGTTTCCATGTCGCGATGCATTTTTTTTTTTTTTTTTTTTTTTTTATTTCGTTTACAAACTCTCACTAGATATAGTGACTTTATTGAAAATATATTTTTTATTAACAAAATATTATAAAATATAATTGATAAAAATAATTAATAAAATATTTATTACAAATTTAATTTTTTGACAGCTGATTTTTGACAGCTGATAGAAGAGCTTGCTTTTTTAAAGTCAATATTTTTGGATCTAAAACACGAAGGATTTTTTTATTGCATAATCTAAAACGATTATTATAAGATTTACAAACTCACTAGATATAGTGACTTTATTGAAAATATATTTTTATTAACAAAATATTATAAAAATAATTGATAAAAATAATTAATAAAATATTTATTACAAATTTTTGACAGCTGATTTTTGACAGCTGATAGAAGAGCTTGCTTTTTAAAGTCAATATTTTTGGATCTAAAACACGAAGGATTGCATAATCTAAAACGATTATTATAAGATTTACAAACTCTAGATATAGTGACTATAAAACGATTATATAATAAAATTTTAATTAAAACAGCGCAATCAAATGATCTAAAACAATTAAATTGCGCAGCTATCACCTGTCACCTTCCTCTCACCTCCGCGTCACATTCCATTCTCCCTCTCCGCCACGGTACCCCCACTCCTCCCCCTCTCGCGCTATCCTCACTCCACCCCCACCACTCACCATCTGCGCGTCGCGCTGCGCACCGCATTTCACAGCTGCTGCGTCATACCAACCCGACTGTCGCCTGTCACGTGAACGAAAGTCACTATGTTATTTTTTTCTAGACGCTTCTTCATCAGACGTGTCGTATCTAGATATTCGTAACTTCGTGACTCATTAGTTTAATTATTTCGCTTTTATATGAATTAATTTATATCGGAATTAATGTTAAAATATTGTAAATGAATTATTTTATATTACTTCTAATATACATATATTTAATTTTTTGTAGCAGATATTTTGATTTATGTGGGAATTAGATATATAAATGGACTGTCTTCCACCTACATCTCTTCCTTCTCTTTCTACTATATAGATGACAGATGACAGATGAGTGGAGCTGCGTTCGGAAATGACACTCTGGCACGTCGGAGTGTCATTCTATCTTTGTTCAACTTTCTGCAAGTAACAAAGATAGAATGACACTCCGCCGTGTCAGATGTAATTTCTGAACGCAGTCTGGGAGAGAAAGAAAGAGACACAACACGTGTAAAAAGAGAGGAGGTTGAATGTTTGTACCTTGGACGATAAAGTGTCAAATTATTCAATTTGCAATACATTTATACCAAATTATATATATTTCGAGATTTAATCACTGCGCATTTATTTTATTTTAGAAAAAAATGGTTATGACGTGTTGTTTATGTTCGAAAGAGTGCGTCCCCTTTAATCCACAACGATCATTTCACAGGTTATAAACATACATATATATAATGAGAAAAATAATATAATAAAAGTTAATATTGATAATTTTATGGAAGAATATTTTTTATATCCTAATATCTATGGATGTAATTAGAATAATGAGAAATGATAATCAAAGATTTGACCAATTATAAAATATGATAAGAATCATTATTGAGATAGTCTATAAGAGATTTAATTAATTAATTTTCTTTATCTTTGTTAAGTATTTTTTAATAATATAAAATTTAATATAAAGTTTAATATTATAAAATTTTTCTAAATTTATCATTTTATGTTACTTATTTTATATTTATCATTTTATATTACCTCTTCTATATTCTTAACAACTGTTATAAAATGTAACATAAAATGATAAATATAGAATAAGTAACATAAAATGATAAATTTAGAAAAATTTTATAATATTAAATTAACATATTTTCTCTTATCCTATAGGATACCAACAGATGAACGAATGAGGTATAAATGGTATAGCATCATTGGCCGTACCGTCTCTCACAAATGGGCCAGAGTTTGCAGTGATCATTTCACGGAGCATGATTTTCATGAAATGAGCGCACATTCAAAAGTCAGAAGATTAAAGAATACTGCTTTTCCTACTGTTTGCATCAGACAAAACAAGTAGAGAGAAGAATTTTTCATTAAAAATAATAATTAAGATTATAATGATGTAATAATTATTTGAAACATTTGCTTTTAGACAAGATGAAAAGGGAGAATCATCTTTCCAAGAGGCTAATATAAATGTTTCCGAAATTGCATCTCAAGATGATTCCGAAATTGTATCTCAAAATGATTCCGGAATTGAACTTCAAATTGCAAAGGATGTAATTTATTGTGAAGCAGAAAGTTTTGAAGAAGATAATACAAACAGTGATGTTGAATGTAAAGAAAGGTGAGCAAACACAAGTAATATTTTCTAATGTTATTTTCTAAATATAATAATTTTTATTTATAAATAATGATTTTTTCTGTAGCAAAAATGTGGAAGAATCATCGCCCATTTTTAATGTAACTGAAAATTTAGTTAATGTAGCTCTAGATTCAGAAAGAAAAATAAATACTATATTAATTAATAATCAGAAAGGAGAGGATGTTGGTGATAACTTTATGAACAAAAATGGCATAAGTAAAAAAAGGTAAGAGAAAAAAAACAGTTTTATTATTTTATATCTTACAAATATTATAAATAAACTTGTTTTTTTTCTAGGAAATTGCTGTTACCTAATTTAGAAAATTCTAAACTTAGGAAGATTTTTGTACGTATGTCCAGATATAATATAGAATGCTTTAGAAAAATAGATTTTTCTTCGGATAAAAAATGGTTAGCGTTTAGAAGATATGTTGCCTATAACAGACATCAAATTAAAAATTTAACACAACATAACAGACGTTTGCAAAAAAAATATACGTGCTTCAGGATATGTTGGAGGAATTAGTTAGATAAAATAATTAGATAAAATTAATTATATAAAATATAGGAAAATTTATATATTAGGATATGTATTGTATATTGTAATATACAATATACAATATACAATATATATATATATATATATATATAAATATATAAATATAGGAAAATTTATATATTAGGATATATATTGTATATTGGTATATATTGATATATATTGTATATTGTAATATACAATATATGTATTGTACATATATGACTTGGTAACATTGAATATTAAAATTTGCTTTTAATTATATTTTTAATTATTTTAATTATATTAATTTTATTATTTTCGTTAAAATAATTTATAAATAATATTATGGATACGTTATAATAAAGTGAAAATAAAAAGAACTATATAAAAATCAATCTTCATTTACTCTCTTGACGTTTAATTTAATATATATTTGTGAGAGCGAGGGAAAATCTCGCGCATGCGTAGTAGCGCAAGTGTCAGCTGTTTGACCTTTGACCCTCATTCGTGTATATATTTAAATGCAACATGAGGTACAGTTAGACCCCTCATAAAAAAGTATAATAGAAAAATGTAATTAACATTAGAAAATAAATAATATAATAATTTCTTTACCTATATTTTTGATTTATAATATTAATTTTTTTTTGCCATGCATTTTTTTTGTCCAATCTACAGATTTGGCAAATTTTTATATACATATATAATATAGCATTTACTATATTTTATTGTTGTAAATGATAATGCAAAATTGCATAATTTATTAGTTACAGATCTGTCGAGGTCAGTGACTTGTGACGTATCTGTACATACATCTTTCTACCTACACAAATAACTTGTCTGGTGTGTGTGGTACATGTTTAATGTGATATTTACTGGCCACGTTACTCATATAAATATTTGTGTACTAAATGAGACCTGACATGTTTGTACAGTGCTCGTTATACTAGTGCTCTGTCACATTGTTGTCCTGTTATTCACATAAATTTTATACACTTTTTATACTTGCTTGCCTTCAAAATTAATTCGCATATTGAATGACAAAATGTTTGTCTTAACTCGAAACAAATTCCAAAAAATTATGGTAAATTTATTATTTGACATATGTGTTATATATATATATATATATTTAATATTTAATTTTTAAGATTTAACATATTTTTATATTTACTTTTATTTCCTCTTTCTCTGTTATGTTTATTACAGATAAAACGTGGAGGAATTGTGCTAACACAACGATTAGCTAGGTATTAATGTTTTGTTTTTATATTTCTAGCAATAAAGAATGTGTTTTTCAAATGTTATTTTTATAGTTTGAAAACTTACTATTAATTAATCACAACTGTATGAAATTAGTTATTATACAACTAGTGTCATATATAAATGTAATGACTATAAATTAACGATTTTGTAAAATATCAAATTTGAAGAATTATACAATTTATTTTATATAAGCATATAAATATTAATGTGTTCTCGTTTATTTCAGGAGTACTGTGTCATCATATGATATCTCTGAATACCAATATCTGCAAGTTAGTAAAGTTCCAACGCTACATTTTCAAGCTTCTTTACCACGATTACCAATACCAAAGCTTGAAGATACATGTAAGAGATATTTGAATGCGCAGAAACCTCTATTGAATGAGAAGGAATTGCAAAACACATCAGCCTGCATCTCGAAATTTCTTGCCAATGAGGGGCAAAGTTTGCAGAAACAGCTGATCCATATTAATAATGAAAACTCACATACTAGTTACATTAGTGAACCATGGTTTGATATGTATTTACGAGATCGCAAGCCTTTACCTATCAATTACAATCCTTTCTTAGTTTACAGTCCAGAATCCGATCCAAAATATGATACACAATTGGTAAAGGCGACAAATCTCGTTGTGTCATCATTGAGATTCTTGAAGTCTCTCAAAAATAACATTTTAGAACCAGAAGTATTTCATATGAAGCCTGAAAAATCGGATACTGAACTGTTTCGCAATGTCACAAGATTGATTCCACCTCGCTTTAGCTGGTACGGTGCTTACTTGTTTAAGGTAATGACAAATTATAAATTTTATTTGTGAAATATTATTGAAAAAGAGATAATTATATACAGAGTAATTAACAAGAAAATTTTTTATTATAGGCTTTTCCATTGGATATGTCACAATATAAAAATCTGTTTAATACAACTAGAATACCAGGATTAGAGAAGGATGTAATCTTCCATGATTCTTCAGCAAAGCACTTGGTTGTATTAAGGAGAGGTCATTTTTACGCGTTTGATGTTTTAGATTCAAATGATTTCATTCGTAGTCCTAAAGAGATAGCTGCATGTTTAAAGGCGATTTTGGAAGATGATAGGCCACCAAATAAACATCCTGTAGGAGTTCTTACGACATCAGAAAGGGATCAGTGGGCACAAGCACGTTCACATTTAGTCGAAACAGGGAATCGAGAAATTCTTAAGAAAATTGATTCAGCTGTATTTGCAATGATCTTGGATGACGAAGTTATTGGTACTGATCATAACAAGCTACTTAGAACATATTTACATGCAGATGGTACCAATCGATGGTTCGACAAGTCGTTTTCTCTTATTGTTTCTAAGGACGGTTGCAGTGGAATCAATTTTGAACATTCATGGGGTGATGGTGTTGCGGTACTCAGGTACTTCCAGGTGAATATACTAGACATTATCCTAGTTTTAGATATATTTATGTAATTATAATAAGCTTTTGAAGATTTCAAGATATAAAAAAATCTTTCTTATTTTTTAGGATGTGAAGGCTGATATATCTAAGAATCCTAAGTTTCATCCTAATGAAGTAAATGAACTTACGCAAGAAAGTGCAAATATTGAGAGACTACAATTTTCTATAGATGCAGAGAGCGAAAATATTATTAATCAACAAAAAGCGAAATATCAAGATTGGATCAATCGACTGTGCATTGACTATACAATATATGAAGAGTTTGGCAAAAATCAGTGTAAGAAGCTCAGAGTAAGTCCAGATGCCGTGATGCAGCTAGCATTCCAGTTGGCATTGTACATTCTAGAAAACAAAGTGGTACCGACTTATGAATCTTGCAGCACAGCTGCATATAAACACGGCAGAACAGAAACTATCAGACCTTGTACATTAGAGACTAAAAAAATCTGCATTGCTATGACTCGACAACAAACTGAACTGTCTAAATCAGATTTAAAAAATATGATACTTGATTGTAGTAAAGCTCACAATGTGCTTACTAAAGAAGCTGTAATGGGTAATTAATTTGATTATTAAACAAATTTCAAATAAATAATTCAAAAAATAAAGAAAATGGTACATAGATTTGACAATATTTCTTATTTTACAGGCCAAGGATTTGATAGACATTTATTTGTCTTAAAAAAAATTTCAGAAAAATCTGGTTCTACTAAGCCAGTCATTTTTCAAGATCCAGCTTACGACGCTTTAAATCACAATATATTATCTACATCCACTTTATCAAGTCCAGTTGTAATAGCTGGTGGATTTGGACCAGTAGTAGCTGATGGTTATGGAATAGGGTAAGCTATTCATATTGTATTATTGAAAATGTCAACTATTTATATTCTATTCTTCTTGAAATATATTGTGGTTTAAATATAGAATTAATGAATATTTTTTTTAGATATATGATCCAGGATGAACGATTAGGTACTGTTGTGACAAGTTATGAAGGCAATCGTAATGCCACTAAATATGTACAAACATTGGAACATGCATTCAAGAAGATCCATGACGTTCTATCCAAATAAGTTATCACTGTATATTATAGCCAGATATATTTAGATATATTTTTTCCGAAATCATTGATACTATATAATTACGATATACATTATACAGATATATTATACATTTACACAAAAAAAATGTTTACAATCATGTTAACTTATATCAGAGGTATCACACATTTCTCTATTTTTGTCAAAATCTTAAAAACAGTAATGAGTTACCTCTGATAATAAGAAACTGTTATATACAATTGTTGAGAATAAATATTTTTAATATTTTTATACATAATTGATATTTTTATGCTAATTTTTATAATCAACCAACAATTTTTCTAATGATTAACTAGTAATTAGATATATGATTATATATATGTATAAGTATATATGTGATAGGTAAAATTATTATGGATATTATTTTACATTATTCTATTACGTTACTCATGTAAACAAGAAAATATGTACATTGACTTATGTAAAAGTGAATGTTATAACATATTCAGAATGTGAAACAAAAAATTATATTGTTTTCTAATATTGATAAACATTCATGTTTATAATTTCTACTTAATCTGTCATTTTTCTGTTTCAATAGAAATGGAAATACATGTTTAAAACAATATAGACAATAAAGTACAACATTCATAATTATAAATTAGTATGAATGTTAAATTAGAGCTCCATGAAAATTGCACAAATGGAATTATATAGATACACAGTAATTCATATATTGGTATCTAGAAATTTCTTATCATTTCATAACGATTTTATAGATGCAGTCATTATAATCTTTCACTGACTAAATATGGAATGAAACGTTATGATCTCTTATAATTTATACTTTGTCACCCATTTTCACTTTGGAAGTCTGAAAAAGAAAATTATTTGATGAGTAACTTGTATAAAGAAGATATAAAATAATACATAATTTTAAATATATTTATATTAACTTACCATATAAATACCGACAATTAAACCGAAAAGTCCAATAGCAGATCCAAAAATCTCAACTATAAGAATCTTCACAAAAAGAGCGGAATTTGCTGCATCGGCTAGAGCTGCGCCGGAACCTACAATGCCAACTGCTATGCCACAGAAAAGATTGACCAAACCAACGGAGAGACCAGCACCAAACATTAAGTATCCAGCCAACCAGTTCTGATTCTTAAGCTCTTCGTTTGCCATAGCCTCAGTGTAAGTGAATTTTTCAAGCATTCCAGACAAAACAATGGCAGTAATCAGGCCATAGATAGCTACAGCCTCGCAAAAGATCACGGAAATCAAATTCTTTGTCTTGATCCTAGGTGCTTTTACACCTCCACCGACAATAGATACTCCTGTCGTATGAATACCTCTAGAAAGATGAATATTATGATAAATAATTTGATGCTACTTCAAGTGTTAGTGGATTATAAATGTATTATCAAACTTACAACGCTGCACCTACTACAGACAAAGCTACTGACAAGCCTATACCTAGTGTAGACCACATGTATGGGGAAGTATTCGACAAGAACCTGATCAGAAAAATAAATATTATATTTAATATCTTGCCGTGCCAACAATCCAATAATATAAGTAACTAATATATAAAGTATATAAATATATGATTATACATACCATGCAATACTAATTTGCTCTCCTTTTCCAGTAAATACATAATACAAAACTGTAACATAAAATATATATAATCCAGTGTTAATTCAGTAAAATAAATAAGATTTGATGTAAGAGGAAGTTGACAGCAGACATACTATATAATTAGTAAAATATTGATTTTGATTCGACACTTTTTTACGAGTTTATCGCGCATATCTATTTTTTAATATAATATTAATAATTTTAACACAATATAACTTATTTTTAATATAAATACACATATAATAAAACCATACCTAAAATAAGAATCGTGATCGAGGAGGTGACTGCAAATGTGCTACCCAAAATATATCTCATATTCGCCATTGTAACACTTTTATTCAATTACAAATTATATCTAAAGTCCTGTCAATTTACGGTCGACACTCGTCAATTTACGGGCGCGACAATTTTCTCCGACAAATCTTTTAATTTCTGCATCCGAGACACCGAAAGGAAATCTCACCTATCGGTATCATGTGACGACTGCTGGCGATGAGTTGTGTTCAAAAATATTACTCAATGGGTGGAGCATCGAATCTACCAATAGAAACGAAGAAATCCGTTTACTCTGATTGGCCGATCAAACGTCACTCTACCTGACAAGCAAGATTTTCGAACGCCCTTAAAAAGCGCGCGAAATTTGATAGATACCCGAGAATTCTTTTGACGTTTCATTTAATGAGATATTGATATTATGAGAAATATTCGACGAGGCAACAATTGTAAATTTATCGCACAACTTAGATTATTTTTAGCTCTGCAAAAAATGTGTATGAAAGTTTCGTATGTAATTTTGTTATTATAATTATAAACTTAATATTTCACTTATCTTTATCAAAGACCGCAATTATTTTTTTTGTATTATAACGATAAATATTTAGCGACGAATTTTACAATTACATACAATTCTTTATTAAGTATCAAGCGTATTTGTACATTCTATCGGTGCGCGGAAAAACGAAAAAATATATATTGAACAAACCAGGGAGATGTTGTCGTTCGACCTTTTCTAAATTAAATTGTTACACGAAAGAGGGGACAAATGCACAAGCCGAATCGTCAGCCTAATTTTAGATTCCGTCGCATTCGTCTCTCCGTTCCGCGCAGACACACAAGCAGAGCTCCCGTAAATGTTACATTAAATATACAATATTTGTCCCGATAACAAAATGTCTCTGACGAAGAAGGGGTAAGCCAGCTTTTTCCGGAAGAGAGGAGCTAATAATCGCTTCAATTGAAACTTACATTCGGCGCGAGATTATCTCTTTTCCGTTAACAATGATAAAAATTCATTATATGTTCGCTCGTTATAATTTGCCTACATAATGCATCTTCTGTGTACGATCGACTCGTGCTCTATTTCGGTTTCTGCGATTAAATTTACAGCGATAAATTTAGAGCAATAGGGAAGTCCTCGACAGACTCGTCTACAAAAAATTAGGGTCACGCATTCCAAATGTGCGCATTTAGCGCACGAGATTTTGAACCGACTCGATTTGCACGTGTTATTTTAAGACAATGTTATAAAGTACTAACATACGATATTTCAGATACACATTCCTAGAGCAAATAAACATTTTTTTAAATTTTACAAATATATATAAACTCAAAAATATAATGAATAAGTACAATACTTTTATCTGTTTTTCTGAGAGCTATGTAAAGCTTTCCTGATTTAAATACAAAACTTGCTGAACAATCTTATATGCATTTTCGAAGATATCCTTGCACAAAATAATCACAATATGACGTCGATTTCCTCAAAAATTTCTTGGATAATCGTTCTATTTCCATTTTATAATTTCTTACTTTAGTAAACTGATGATCGTTTCTTCAGGTTCACAAGATATAAATAGTGCTATCTTTCTCTCGCAGTATACCTATTATATTTTGCCTTGACAATTTTCTTAAAAAAAAAATTCGATTATTAAATTACAACAAATATTCGACTTGAACTCATTTCACGTCTCGTACATCGCATTCGCTCTTTCTGTTACAGAACCGTCTCACTTGACGAATTTCGTCGTAGCGTACACGACGAAATTGCGTCGCGAGAATCGTTAGCGACTCGCTTCGCGAAATTGTCCAGGTCGGGCGACAGACGGGGAATGATCGAGATGCTTGTAGAAATGCCCCAAGTGGCGGGGCTAGACCCGGGCGACTCGTATCAGGGTAAGGACGACGCGCAGGCAGTGCGGTTGTACGAGAGATCGCTTAAGGCGGCGGCGGCGGCGATGACGACAACGACGGAGCCTGGGGATGAGCACGCGGAGGAGCTTAGAACGTGTAACATTCTCACGAAAGCACTGTTTGCGGCCGGTGCGAGTGGCAGAGTGTTCCTGGACGCGGTCTGCGAACGCGCCAGACGTTCCTACCGTCTGCGCGCATACGCGAGATGTCTTCGGGATTGCGAGTGCGTGCTGGCGCTTCCGGGAGTTTCTATGACGACTCCGAGGGAAACGTCAGGTACTTGGTGCAGCGTAGAAAGGAGTGCCTGCAGCTGGAACGGGAGTGCTCCCGGAAATTAGAGACAAACAGGTCCTCCAGGAAACGTGGCGGGAGAACGTCCTCGTCCTTCTCCTCTTCCTCTCTGTCGCTCGGGAAGACGCCCGTCGTCGACGGCAAGCCGCACGACCGTCTCGCGAGCTGCCCGGATAGCGTCGAGCTGCGTTCCGACGAGGCCAGGGGCCGGCATCTCGTAGCTACAAGAGACATCAGACCGGGAGCTGTACTCATTGTCGACCGGCCGTTTTCCTTTAGTACAGACGCACCGGCTCTCGGCAGGAATTGCTTGCATTGTCATGCCACACTTAAGTTAGAAGACACCGTGAAAATCCCATGCCGTAATTGCCAAACAGTTAGTAGAGCGCATGCATGTACCATGTATATTATCAGCATCGTCCCTGCAAGTTTTTTTTTTGTTTAATTTTTCTTTTCACATGTGTGTGCCCTCCTGCGAATTTACACGCCTACATAATGTATGTACATCCCTCCGAATATAAATCTTGTTTCGCGTTCCTCAGGTGTCTTTCTGCACGGAAACGTGCCGCGAGAAGGCTTGGGAGACGTATCATCAGTACGAGTGCACGATATTCGATCATTTCTTCGAGAATGTCTTGAACGACAGACGCCAGCAAACATCTTATCTCTTGCTAGCTTATCGCACGACGGTCTTACAAGCGTTATCCTCGCGAAACGGCGCACGTTTGCATCCTGATCTCTTCCGATATCACGCCGGTGATCAAAGAAGTATAGAAGATGAGAAGGAATACGCGAGATCGGGCTCGAGGCAAACGTACGATCCTCTGGATTATCGAACGGTATTCCAGCTGGAGACTCATTCCGCCGACATGGAACCTAACGCGAATCTCATTCGCGCGATTCAGGCGATCTTCCTCGCGAAATGCCTCATCTCCGTCCTGAATAAACTAGAAGACTGTACGAAGGAAATGTTCGTTCCACTGGCCGTGGCTATGTTCCACCATTTGCAGGCGATTAATTGCAACGCGTACGAGATCGTCGAAAATGTTCACGGGGAGACGACACGCGTCTGGGAACCCAGGAATATCGGCGGCGCGATTTACACCACGGTCAGCCTCGTCAATCACAGTTGTTATCCCAATGTGGTTCGCCATTCTTATCCCAATGGTAAGCGATCTGAAAAAAGTACTCCGCGTTAGTCTTATGTAAAATTGGATTTCGGTTAAATCAGCTGGTCTTCTCATATATTGTAGCTTCTTATTTGCTGGACAATTACTGAGTTACAGCCAGTCAAACTTACAGAGTTGTTCGATTGGATTAGTAGATCATAAGCTACAACACATGAGAAACCTAGCTGATTTAATTTCATTTAGGGGGGATTTCATATAAATTATAAATTCAAAAACTCCACAATAATCCTGCATAGAATTGAATCTTGATAAAATCTCCCGGTTTTCTGCATATGATATAGTTTTGGTCTAACAAAAAATGTAATAGGCTCAAAGCTAAATAACAGATAATTACTCATTTACAATCAGTCAAACACAAAAACTCGGACTCTGCGAATTATTTGACTAGCTGTAACGCAGTAATAATTGTCCATTATTTATCTTTGCAGTTATTACATATTTTGTTCAGCAGGTGATAAGCTGCAACATATGCAAAAAACCAGCTGATTTAATCGAAATCTAATTTTACAAGATTGGTGCGAGGTACCTTATGACAGAAAATGTGAATTGTTCTAAATAAATCGTTTTAATAATAATTTCCACGCACATCAGGAATAGTCGTGGTCAGAGCGCTGCGCTTCATCGACAAAGGATGCGAATTGCTGGATTGCTACGGACCTCAGTTCCTCAGCGAGTGCAGATTGACCAGACGCGAGCTCTTGTGGAAGAAGTATCGATTCCTGTGCGGATGCGACGCCTGCACGCAAGACTGGAAGTTTCCGCTGCCTGAGACGATGTATTACAAGTGTACAGCGTGTTCCGGACCGACGGATGTCCCGGTGATGAGCGCAAACGTTTCGCAGGATGTGGCGAGTCGACAGTGCGCCAGATGCGAAAAGACAATCGACGTGAAAAAACTCGAGAAACAGCTTCGTAAATCGATTCAGAAGAGAGTAAACGCTGTCGCGAAGATGTATCAGGGAAATTACAAGGATGCGATTCCTCTGTTATTCGAACACGCATTTTTTGTCGAGAAAAACTTGGTTGAACCTAATATCGAAGGCATTAAAACGGAACAATGTATCGTCCAATGTTACAATTCTTTAGGCTTGATCTCTATATAATAATCTCAGTCTGCTGATAATAATCATTTAGACTATTCGTTATTTAAATAGCTTTTTCAATAAACTATTACAAATAATATATAATTGAATTATTATTAATAGATTATTTAAATCAACTAATTAAATAACTACTGTAAATGAGACTATTTAAAATAGTAGCGAAATAGTTACTTAAATTTTTGTGTCAGTTTCCTACTTTTTACACAGCTTTGTAAAAAGTTGCAATGTATATCTGCATAAGAGTATACTTTCAGCTATTTTAGAAAATATTTTTATAAACATAGAAAAACAGGAAATATTTGCAGCACAACGTTCTTCACCCTTAAGTGCATTATCATTAACAATGCAAGGCAATGCAAGATTAGAGTGATGAAGAAGCATATAATTTCCGTGTAATAAAACATAAAAAAAAAAAAAAAAATTATTACAAAGTTATTTCACACAAGTCAGAGTGTATATATTAACGATTAGTAGATAATTAGAAAATCGAGCTTAAACTATACAAATCCTTGCAAATCAAACAATAATTCGATGTTGCCATAAATGCGTATTTTATGTATGATATTATGTGCTTTCTTCATGCTCGTACAATAAAATTAGGTAATGAAATATATCAGGACCATTGCTTCAATTGCGATACATATATACCTTACTTGCATGAGAAAAATAAGAATTATGTACATACGGTGGTCCATCATATACATCGGTTAAAGTACACACTTTAACTTAGTTGATTAAAACACAGATGTAATACCTAAATTCAACTAGAATTCCATGGTTTAGGCGTTCGATTACCACATGTGTGTCTCCCTAATTTCACTAATGATGTGACCAGCTAAGGTTAATGCCTGCAGAATAAGAGCAACCGTTAGAAATCAAAATTCGAAATGAAGAAATTATATATGTAATGTTTTATATAATATTTTATATACCTTAAGCATGTCTGCCGTTTCTTTACGTCTAACAGCAATGTGCTCGCTCTCAACCAACAGAACCTCAGCCTGATCTGATTTATACAAATGTGTGACAAGTTCACTTTGTAAATTATCTTTCACATGGTTGACTAGAAAATGCATAACAGCCTTTGGTACACTATCTTGAATGGACTTTCGTACAATATAAAAGTATGATCTTATGAGCCTTTCTGTGAACAAAGATAAGTAAATGTTAAAAATTATAATTTCTTTATATGTATATATTACGTTATTTTGTGATGTATAAGAATGTATCAGATTTTGTTAAAAATTCCCTGAGAATTTCCTGATAAAAATTAAAATATAAAACAGAAAATAATTTATTATAAACATCTCAAGGAATACTAATTTTACTAAGTTTACTAAATTTAAATTATTTATTTTAAAAAATTATTTATTTATTAAATAAATAAATAAAGAGTATTCATTTATTTATATATTATCTATTAAAACATTAAACAATTTTCTATATTTATAATAAGATCTTGATATTAAAAATAGATTGTCAATCAAAAATATCACATAAAATTTTAATAAAAACTTAAATATTGCAAGATATGTTAGACATATGTTTCTCAAGTGCTAAATAAGAATAAAATTATCAAAAGGATAATTTTTAAAAAATGACAAATGAGAATTACTGAATTTTTCAAATTTGAAATTGAGAATATCAGATTTTCAAGATTTTTTCTGGAAGTATACACCCTGAATGTATATCTTTCTTACCAATAATATCACAATCCCGTTGTTCGCGCTCGCTCAGCTTTCGGGATGTCTGTATTGGCACTGCAGGGAGTAGATTTACTGGTTTTTGTTGCGGTGATGATACAATCGCTGGATGCGGGGAATTACTACTTTCGCGCATCCTGACCGGAGAACCGTCCATCGAACTAGTCGACTCTGTTCTTCCATGAAGTATTAAGTTACTTAACAGCCAGTGATTTTGCTGTCCTTGTTGTTCCTTAGTCTGGTCAGAAACAGAGTTCTCATCTTGATTATTGACTGTCTTTTTTACAATCTGTTACAAATATATTTTACTATTAATTACACACCATAAAAATGAAAAATGGTGTTAATTAAATAATAAATAACTTTAAAAACATACGCGAATATATTGTCATCTGCACTTAAAACATTGTTACTTTTGAATAGAATAGTATTAATTATACATATAAAAAGAATAAAATTTTCAAAAAAGCATTAAATAAAAATGTACTACTTACTGTGTCATTTGTGATTATGGTATTGGATGCTGAACCTAATCGTTTGTTGTGCTTCAGGTGATCTACATCAGCATCCTTCAGTAAAGACGATACGAACGCTGCATCTTTATGAAAATCGGGGTGCTTAGTGTTAATGTACGCCAATTCTATCGCCACCAAATTCTCTACCTTTTTTTCAAGAAATCAAATCATTAATTAGTATTAAAAGAACACATTATAGATATACAATAAATATGTATAATATTAAAAAAATATATATAATATTATATATAATATATATATAATATATATATATATATTAAATATTATAATAAAATACAATATTTTGCTTTACCATTGTATTGGTATGTGGGAGCCGTCTACGTAGCAATTGTGTAACAACATCGACAATACGTTCGTGCAGTTTGGGGAAACGCAGCATCTCCTGCTGCACCTCAGTGCCACAATGCTGTATTATGCTCTGCATTTCTTCGTGCACAAGCTCCACGCACCGTAACGAAGGATCTTCCAATTTTCGTATTTGACGTTTGACTAATAACTCGAAGGAAACTTCTGGTACAAAAAGAGCTGGTCTCGGACCAGTTGCATTGCGAATAGCAGTCAGTATGTCCACTTTACTGAGATCCGCCAATGGATTAATCGAATCGAGCGTTTTGCCAAACGTTTCATGAAATATATAGCAGATACGAGCGCCGCCACAGAGCTCTGTGGTTTCTATGTTTCTTGCGGTGCCTTCTATCGTAGCACAGTAACTGTTTGCAAATTTCGTGATTATTTGCAGCAAGGTTTGACTTTTGTCCTCGACGTCTCCGCCATAGGAATTGAGTAAGGTTTGATACTGCGCGATCATCGTATTTACTCTGTTCTGTTTTCAAAAAACACAAGTTCTACCAAATTATGCTTACTTTAATAGATTCTAACTATATTAACTATAATTCAACTGTTAACATTATTACCTTCAATTCAGGTAAACAATCCCTAATATGTTGCATAAGTAGACGATTAAGAGTCTTCGCCAAATAAGGAGTCCCGTTTCTGTTTGCCAATGTTGGATATTTCCGTTGCAAGAATGTGGCCTCATCTTTCAGTGCTTCCTGAATATTTTTATTATTCATTATATCTTGCTGAGAGCGATTAACGACGCCTATAATACCCAATTTAACTGGGATAACTCTACCACATAGAATATCTATGGCATCGGTTCCTAAAAGAGGAAGAAAAGAAAATGTAATTAATAGCGTTATATAATTAATATTATGTTCGTGATAAATTTAAAAAAATTAAATTTACCAGCATCCATGAGATCTAGTTTTGTAACGACAGCGAGTGTTCGTCTGCCATCTGGATCAACATCTTTACTTAACTTCAAACTTTCACTTGTAGCCATATCAGTATTGGCAGTGACCACTGCTAGGATTATAGAGTTAGGACTACATATGTATTTTAATACAAGTTCACGAATCTGATTCTCAATGTCTTCCGGTTGATCTCCGACAGGTACCTTTGTGATACCAGGTAGATCTATGAGTGTCAGATTAACAACCGATGTCGAGTAAATCTTAAGATTAATCGGTTCTGGACAGATGCCTTTGTTTGCACCAGCCATTCTGTCAGTTTCAGCTTCAATCTCTGCACGGATATCATCGAAGTCTTTGTAGATTTTGTTCTTTGTGTGCAAAAACATTCCCCATTCCTCCAAATCCAGAGTACCATTCTCTGCGCTTCTATGTTCTCGATCATCCCTTGGTGTATACACAAGTTGTAATATTAATGGACGTCGTGTGACAATACCAGTTCCTCGAGGTAGAAAGGAGCGTCCCACTAAGCTCTCTATTACAGATGATTTTCCAGAGCTCTGAAAAATATATCTGTTATTGCATCATCATCAAAGAATATCTATAAATTATCAAATTTTGATTTCTTTACAAACTCAAGCTTTTTTATTTAAAACAAAGATACTGAGATTCAAATAACTTCACTTTTTCCATTTTCTAATTCATTATTGATATGAAAATATGTAAAACAATTATAATATTCATAATATTAAGATATCAAAAAGACTATGTCTTTTTCAATTGTTCATAATATATTAATTGAGATATCAAAAAGATGTCTTTTGTCAATTATAATATAAAAACTGAATAACTGTACAATGTCAGAGATCGCCATTATATTTTTTGTGACAGAAAAAACTTACATCGTTCCATCAAACGATGAATGATATACTATGCAAACTTTCTTGCAATTTTTTTTCTTAATCGAACTCTCGAGTATATTAATTTTATTTTGACAATAGAGAGTGTTCGAATGAAAGGAACAGATCTGCTGTTATTATATATCAAAAAAAAAAAAGAAAAAGAGAGATGGAGAGACTCAACTAACCTGCGTGCCCAGGACGACGATTTGCGGCAACTGCAACACAGTAGCACCCACGGTATTAAATACATCCTGCAGCTTGTTTATGACGGGGATCAGAGCCTCCATGGTGGATTAGGTAGACGATGAGCGTTCAGGAGAAGACGAATCGATCGAGAATGAAGTGGTCGGTTGGTCAATCGTTTAAGGACAGAGCCGGGTCCAACAATAACTCCTTCCGGGTTTCAATTTAATCTCTTCTGACGTTCAGTGGGCTTCGGTGACAGCTAATCAGCTGATTGACAGCTCGAGAAACGGCGACGAACGGAGATAAAACCTCTCACAACTTTTCGCTTCGAATCACCACCAGAATAATAACGTACATTCGATTCCTCACCCTTGCTCACCCTCCATAATTTTCATTCACACGCGTGCGCACCTTGTATACGTATACACGCGATACGCATGCGTGTGCGTACGTGTGCGCGCGCTGGATGTGTGAGTGACGCACGTACAAGCGACACGTAGATAAATCGTATCAATTGTTTCCATTCTCTTTGTTTGAATTCGAGCATCTCATTTAAAAAAAAACAATATTTTTTATTTCAATCTTTTCCTTTGTTATTTTTAAATCTCTGTCATCAGAGAAATTAGTTTATTGATATATATATTTATTGGCGCGCATTTTCTTCCGTTTGGCGCCTTTTTCGACGCTAAAATCGACGATGAAATGTGACGTCATTGGAATATGTGTATATTCATTGAAATTTAACCTACGTCGTTTGCACAATGAAAGAATCGTTTGACTTTGACAGCTTTATTGCGAATCACGATTCTTGTTTCTTTTTTTGCTTGTAAATCGCACAAATTACTCCTTGATTGTTATGTAATTATAATTTCTATGATGATATATCAGTCATTAATTCACTTTATACATGCGATGTAATAATGAATAATGTATATATCGTCTTCGATTTACATAATCATAGGATCGAATTATCGATGATAATAATAATAATAATAATTAACTCACGGATAATAACAATTTATTCACAAATGAATTAATTTTTTAAATTTTTATTAATGTTTAATTATAAAATTTACTCACGGAAAAATTAATTTTTATTATTCTTATTAATTCTTTTTAATTATAATTTACTTACAAAAAAATTAATTTTTATATTCTTATTAATTCTTTTTAATTATAATTTACTTACAAAAAATTAATTTTTATTATTCTTATTAATGTTTAATTATAATTTTCTCACGAATGAATTAATTTTTATTATTCTTCTTAATTTTTAATTATAATTGACTCTCGAATGAATAACTCGAACGATTCGTAAATGACGCCAATAAGTCACAAGAGAAACTTCAGAGGTGCGTTCGGAAATCTGCTGTCAAAGTGCAGAATTTGATCGACCAATCGGAGACCGAGGATCTCTGCGTCCTGATTGGTCGATCGAGCATTTCCCTAGAATCTAAAGTGCTGCCATCTATATACACTCGCATCGTTCGTGGTCAACAGTCGTGCTTTCATCGTCGCGTATCGCGTCGGTCCGCAAAGAAAAATGCAGGTATGAATTAATTAGTATCTCTACGTCGTTAATTATCGTATAAATTCGATCGTATCGCGTCTATCGACATCGTAATCGCGATCGCGTACGAAAAATCGCTCTCTTCGGCCGTGAATCGCGAATCTCGCCGTGAAGTTGCATATACGGTCCCAGAAACATGTCACGTGACCGTGACGTCACGGCTCGGGCTTCTCGCAAAAGCAGTCGGTCGGAAATATCTAGCAAAGAACGAGATAAATACGTATAATATTTTATAGCTTAATCGTCGTCAAATATTAAATTCAGTGAAAAGTGAAAATATGGTGAAGTGAATATCAATTCGGGACTTCAAAGTGCGTCGCGAAGAAGTCGTCCTCGTCGTTCGACGAGGTCCTTCGACAAGTAACCTCGAAGAAAGCGGCGACGCGAAATCGGAGCGTCGGTTTTGTTCGCGCGCGAATAAGCTCCCGCGATTCTCGCGTTTTACCGAAACGCGTCGAAAATATGATAATTAAAATCCGGCGTCGCCGTTCGCGAACGAAAAAAAAAAGAGTAACGCGAGTGCGAGTGTTTCGAAGTGTCTTCTACGAGGAGGCTCCGGGTGGAACAACTATGTGGTAATTTTATTTATTTATAGTTATTTTTTTACTCATTTATTTTAATTTACTATTTATTATTTGTTTAATTTTTTTTATTTAAGGTTAATTAAATTAAATTACTCATTTTTATATAATATACATTTTTTGCATTATTTTTTAATTTTTTGTATATTTTTATTTTTTTTTAATTATTATTTGTATATAATATTTGCTTTTATTTAAGGGAACAAATAAGGATAAAGAAAGGAAGAAAGGAGACCCAGGATGATATCAGGCAACGGTGGAGCAACTATATGGTAAATAATTTATTTATTATTTATTTTATTTTTTTAAATTTTTTATAAATAATAATTTAATTTTTTTTAATATTTTAAATTTTACTATATAATTTCTATGTATTTATATTTTACAGTTAATAACTCCGCTGCTGCGCATCGTGTGCCGGTGAGTCGCATGGATTTACTATATAATGATTTTGTGAAAATCATGTATGAGGGAGAGAGAGTACATATACCGCAATATGAGATTGCAAGTCTTCAAGAAAAATGAAGAAATAATATTTATACGGGTAATGCGTAACGTTCACAAATTTTTTATTTAACATTCACACTAGGCTCTTACGCATAAATATTTTAGACTTTTTTAAAATAATTTTAATACGCACGCAACAATAATTAAATAATCGGCGAAATTTCTGCGTGCGATTTCTTCGTTGAATATTCAGTAAAATATAAAACAGCAAAATGTAGGGCCCAATTCCTGAATATCGGCGCGATTTTTAAGTGTTCCAATAAAGCTTCTACAAGGATAGTTCCCGAAGCAGAAGTTGGTTTTCTACGGAAAAAAATAGTACGACGAGGAATTCGGAATCTGAGACTAGAGGAAAAATAAAATCGAAATGTAAGTTGATGTAATTTTTATTTCATTATTTATTATAAAGCGATAGAAAAATATATATGCCTATAATTAAGTATATTGCTCAAATATTAAGATAGAAAACTCTTTAATATAAAAAGATATAATTTTATTTTTGATGCATTTATAATTTCTTAAACTTTATTTTTATATCTTGGCGACGATTTAAATCGCGCGGGTTACGAGGCTACATTTTTCGATTCCGGATCTTCCGGATTATAGATGACGCTAATTTGAGAGAAACAGTAAACAGTATGAATGAATCTCCGGTCTAATTGTAAGGTTATAACTCTAAAAAGAATATAGAAAGACTTCTTTTAAAGAAATAAATATCCAAAAGAGCAGGTGCAGAAGGCAGAATTAATTGAACATATAATTATACAGAAAAAAAGAAATTCTAAGCAAGTATTTCGATCAATTTCTACGAAACTGCATTGAATTTATGAATGAGGACCAATTTTCTGAACTTTATTAATTAATTTATGTTTATAAATTCCCTGTAAATATGTAAGTAAATAAAAACTATACGATAATACATAAGTATAATAAAGAAAAAAACTAGCAGAATGAATTCTTATTAGATAAGTTTGATTTTCAATCCACATAATCCATAGCTATGATATAATTGTTATCATAATTATTATGTCCAGCCTCAACATACTCTTTGGTGAAGGTTTGCAACACGATGAATTTACCACAAGTGTACTTTGACATATCCGCAGATGATAAGCCATTGGGACATATTGTAATACAGTTACGTCCTGATATTGTGCCAAAGACATCAGAAAATTTCCGTGCACTGTGCACAGGAGAGAAAGGCTTTAGTTATAAAGGAAGTTATTTTCATCGTGTTATTCCCAATTTCATGTGTCAGGGTGGTGATTTTACACATCACAATGGTACAGGTGGAAAATCAATTTATGGTGAAAAATTTGAAGATGAGAATTTTGAACTCAAACATACTAGAGGTGGTACATTATCGATGGCAAACTCTGGTCCAAATACAAACGGCTCACAATTTTTTATCACCACTATAAAAACACCTTGGCTAGATAATAAACATGTTGTATTTGGTAGTGTTGTTGAAGGAATGGACGTTGTAAGAAAAATTGAAAATTATGGTTCTTCGACTGGTAAAACATATCAGAAAATCATGATAGTAGATTGTGGTCAATTATCTTAAACACTAAGTTATATATATATATATATATATATATATATATATATAAAAGTTTGTAAATTACAAAGTAAACTTACAAAACAAATTTAAAATTTATAATTTTTACATTTTTACATTTATACAATCATTATTGTATTTACACAATTTATAATTGTATACGTTAAAAGAGACAAGTAATATAATTAAATTTTTATTTGCTAATAAAACCGTGTAAGATTACATATGTCTATGCGTATGTATGTTTATGGGTGTTCATGCATATACAGTAATTACATTTATAATGACTATTTAATAACGAAATTATTTTGCATCTTTGTTACTCTATTTGTAATATCTGAGAACTATAGTATACTATACATTATATGTATATATCTTTTTTGCAATCTACAGTTAAAAAATATTCTTTCACTAAAGTTGATAAACATCTTTATTTTGTTAATGTATAATTAGGCATAAAAATTAGACATATATACAGAGTGCTATTAATGATTTAAATATCTAGAACATAAACAATATTAAAAATTAAAGATTATATGATTTTCATGAATAGCTATATGAATAATAGATAAAATCAGGTTTTTTATTTTGATAATTAAAAATTAATATTTATATATCTTTGTTTGATCTTGTACAGAAACGTTTTGTAAATTTTTTTTGTTCACTGCAACATACAGATAATACATAGATTTATGATACAAATATCAACAAAAAATATAAATATCATTCTAAATCGGAACGGAAATTGATGCTTTTCCTAATCGACACATATCGGTAAATTAACGACGAAGAATGTATTGAGTTCTACAATAGATGCGAATATCAAAAATACGAGGTACATCACGAGACAGATGATTCCGACTGTTCGATTTAACTTGAATTTGTTAATAAATAAAGCTCCATATAAGATGATTAACGTAGAAAAGAGAGATGCCGAACTGTATACTAGTCCCTGAGAATTGATCTGAACGAAATATTCTCCAGGTATTTTTGGTAATAGCGCAGCTTTTATAAACCAGGGAAGTCCGAGACACAATAATACATCGAATACATTTGATCCGATTGAATTACTTATTCCCATAGCTCCTAAACCTAGAAAGAATTTTTAGTATTTACAAATAAAGAATTTTAATATAAAATAGAGAGCAGAAATTTTCGTTCATCTTGTTTCTAACGTCATGATCAACTAATAAGGCAACAAATAGATGATTAAGATGTTTATCATACCTTGATTTGTGACGATAACACTTGAAACTGCTTCAGGTACGCTCATTCCCGCCGCGAGAAACGTTAAGCCCATAATAGAATCAGGAATTCTAAAAGTATTGCCTGAAACATAAATATAATGAGAATATGAATATATGATACATCAGATAATGTGATATAGATTTATGAAAAGAGTGTTGAAAGATGTTTAAAAAATGTATGTAAAGTGTCTTTAAATATTTCCACAATGTTCTTCTGATGTTTTAATACAACAATTAAAGTCTTACGTTTTCAATTTTCTGATGTTTGTTAAAATATAATAATATATATAATAATTAAATATAAAAAAATGTAAAGTGTCTTTAAACATTTCCACAATGTTTTTCCGATGTTTTAATAATTATGGTAAACATATTATATTATATCGCAGCTGTGGATTATTATGCAACTTGAAAATCAATTATCTAATAAGAATTAATTCTGCTATTTTTCTTTTTATAACACTTGTGTATTATTGTATAATTTTTATTTACTTACATCTTTTTTACAGAAAATTTTCTGCTTCAGAATTTAAGTTTGTTTCATGAAATTTTTATCATGGTAGCGATTTAAATAAAATATATGTTACAAATATATACATATATGATTATTTAGGTAAAATTAAATATGTTATTTAAATAATATATTTTATATATATATATATATATATATATTTAATGATATTTAATAATCAATAAAAACGGTACATACCGATAATAGTGATGACCCATCCAATAATGTAAGATGTAGTTGCGATCCATATGATACACATGAAAAACGTAACAGGATAGCAAGATCGTAGTTTGCTTCTTCTACAATCGGGAATAGTGATGAGTAATATTACATTAATTGGCCAAGTAATTATCCACCATATTTTTTCACACGTTGAAGTCGGCCAAGACGTTAGATTCACTATATTAACTACAAAAGAAAAATAAAATATGTAATATGTTTTACTGTTCATAAGTTCACCGTATAAAAAATATGTAAAGTATTATATAAAAATACGTAAAATTACATAAATAATAAGTGTAAAATTACACGATAAATAATAAAAATGTTTACATTTTACACTTAATTTTACATTTAATTATTTATGAAATTTTACATATTTTTATGTAATACTTAATTTTTTTACAGTGTATATAGGAACTATTGCATTATTCGCGTGAAAAAAAAAATATATATATATATGTCGCAACGAGATTACATAAAGATGTTGAGAACGAAATGATATTACAGCCTTATATACAATTATTATACATTATCGCTCGTGCGTCATTTGTGATATATACATACGTGATTCGTCCGCCTCACTTGAACTTGAAAATCCACATATCTCCGTTTCTTTGATCAAGTCTGTCAGATTTCAGAGAATGAAAGATAGCCAAGCATGAGATTACATTTGTTACGAGTAGTTTACCATATGCAATCCCTGCAAAAAGATACGTGGATTAAAATGAATTGACAGGCATTTATTCTGTGAGATTAAATTCTTTTAATCCGACGAAATCAGACTTCGATTTTAAGAATTTTTTTACCATTTTTTGTTTCTTTATACGTCAAGTAGCATTTTATATTGCTCGCAAATATGTTAGTTTTTATTTTTTGGCGATCTGTAGAATAAATTGCACGACAATGCAAAATTAAATATTACTGAAAGTAAAAGCAAATAAATTGATAATTTCATGGAGAAATAAAAATTAAAGAATATCAAAAGCAATTCCTGATTTCTGAAGATTAAAAATTCATAACTTCACAGAATGAAATTGTATCAATTTCTTTTAATTCACTTATTTTTGCAGAGGCGATAGCAATAAATTATATATTATAGATATCTTACTATTCGGTAAAAGCAGGGGGCTCTCTTCGCAGATATTTCTATATCTGTTCTTCTTTCTAGACGTTAGTCGACTTATAAAATTACTGATACGACGATTGAAACACATTGCTGAAAAAGAGAGCGATTATTTTGATTGTTAAAATAATTTACATTATAATATATTATAATATCGCGGGACAAACAATTTGATTAATTTATACTTATTATTAAATCTCATGTTAAACGAATCATTTATATTTAATTAAAATACTCGTATATGATTATTATATATTATTAAAATATTTCTGTGAGAGCTTACTATATACTTTCAGATTTAAATTGAAATTCGTAACCTGTAATAAGGATTAAATTAATACGATACATTTTTCAGACTTATGAATAAAAAATAATGATAATTTACGTCCTTTCCGAAATGAATTTATTTGCTTTTATTATTGTATGTTATTAAAATATTCCCGTGATTACTATATATAAAATTAAAATATTCCTGTGAGATTAGTATATATTTTCAGATTTAAAAATCAAGATTAAAATCTGTAATTTTTTAGACTTATGCATAAAAAAATAATAATTTACATCATCCGAAAATGAATTTATTCGGTTCTTTTTATTATTATATATCATTAAAATATTCTTGTGAGATTACTATATGCTATTTTAGGGCAAGATTAAAATTCGTAATTTTTCAGACTTGTCTAAAAAAAAAATAATTTGCGAAATGATGAATTTATTCATCGTTTATACATTACCTGTTATATACAAAATGTAACAGCTGACGAGGACGAGCGCCTCGTACCATTCGACACGTTCGTCCTGCAGAGTTAATATCAAGAGAAGAACCGTAAAAGCGTATGCGAGTGTGTCGCGCGACACAGGCCACCATTCTAAGTGTAACACCTGTAATAAGGATTAAATTGATACGATAAATTGCTAAAAAATTTATACACAGAGAGAATTTTCTCTTAGAATTTATCTTGAAATTCATGGTGATCGTGGAACAATATGGTATTGAAAAAATTTTGCAGGAGAAGATTAATATTTATCACAAATAAAAAATATCGATATCTATCTCAATAAAATATAAAATATGTTTGATTAATTTTACTAAAATATCTATGTAGTAAAATTTCAACACAAAGAATTTTCTCTTAGAATTTACCCTGAAAATAATGGTAATCGTGCGACAATATGGTATTGGAAGAATCTTATAAAAGTCTCTGATTAATATTTACTACAATAAAAATATTAACTATGTAAACATAGTAAATTCTTAATAAAATTTATTATATATATAGTAAATTTTATTATGTACATATTAATATTTTTTGTAGTAAACATTAATCAGAGAAACTTTTATAAGATTCTTCCAATACCATATTGTCGCACGATTACTATGATTTTTTCAGGATAAATTTTAAAAGAAAATTTTCTCCGTGAATAATTTTAAAATATATTAAAAACTGATGATTCTTTAGGCGTTTTAAATAAACTAGATGCCAAAAAAGATAAGCATATAAAATTTTATATAAATTTACAATGCGACATAATATTTTCAATCCAACTTAATTGGTCATGATAATTATCGGCTTATTACCAAACATGATAAAATTTATAATGAATTTTGCGGCAAAATCTAATGAAAAATTCTCTCCGCGTACATTGCGCATACACTGTAAAAAATATTTACATAAAAATATGTAAAATTACATAAATAATAAGTGTAAAATTGTACGAAATATATATATTTTTATTATTTATCGTGTAATTTGACACTTGATATTTATGTAATTTTACATATTTTTATGTAATATATTACATAAAAATAAAAATACATAAAAATTTGTAACATATTACATAAATAATAGTAATTTTACATATTTTATGTAATATGTTACATATTTTATGTAAAATATTACGTAAACATATGTAAAATTACATAAATAATAAGAAATATTTTTATGTAATATATTACATATTTTTTTACAGTGTAGATACCTCGTTCGCGAACAGCGCGCAACACGCGGGCACTGCCAATATGTTGAACACCGCGGAACCGACGATCGTGCCGACTCCCAAATCACCTTCTGTCACGAAAGTGCCGATGACGTTGATAAACAATTCCGGGCTCGAACTCGCAGCCGCCATCACGGTCGCGCCGGCCACATCCTCGGTGACATGGAGTTCTGCCGAAAGATTTCGTTCCTTTTATTCGAACGACGCTATTTTTTTCGCGCGAAAAATAGAAAAAAAAGAGAGAAAGAGAGGGAGCAAAAAACCAAATAAAAAAATAAATTGAATAAAAAAATATACATTATACGTAAAATTACGTTGAAGTGTCTGAACAGTCCTTCAGTTATATACTCACTCTCGCAAATTTTCTTAATAGAGGGAACGAAATAATCGTCGCAGACAATGGCAAGTAATAAAAACAGATAGATAGCGATGACGAAGTGGATTATTATAAATCCTGCCTGTCTTTGCTGCCGTGTAAATCCGTCGGGCGGGAATTCTTTGATCGCCGGCGGCGTGCAATTGTAACTGTCGTTTCCCTGTTGTTGTTCCAACTCGCTCATCTGTAGCAATTTACGTCCTCCTAAAAAAAAAAAAAAATCAACATTGCAGCCACGAGCGAAAATAAAAAAAAAAATAGATCTCTAGAAAACATTTTATTCCGGCGACAAATAATTTCTCGAAATTAATATACAATTCATTCCATAAGAGGCGCGTAAGAAAGGGGGATGAAAAAATCCATATTACATTCATATACTCACGCCAGTCTGCTTCGTAGCCGATACTCGAACTGTCAGAGAACAGTCCCGCCATACTGGCGCAAAAAATGTACGTAGCTGGTATAGTAATAACGAGAAATATCCGGTATCCGACCGTATGTCTGCGCCGCCATACCATCCTTCGTTATGTAAGAACAATGCGCCGAGACGAGGGTGACTTTCGGGTTAATTAAAATAACGCGAAGGAGAGAGTGTATATGCGCGCGACCGCTCTTTCTCCCTCTCGATTAATATTATACGATTTTCACGACGCGACACGCAGCGATTACCTGCCGTTTATCTGACACTTTGGAGTTCGATCACACGTTTATACTTTTCATCCGTGAGAGATTTTATCGTTCTCTTAACCGATAAGATATATTACTGCGCAAAGCAATCGCGTCCGTCCCTTCGATTAAAACGCGCGTAGGAAAATTTCCGTATACACGAATGCGTTTCTGTCCCTCGAGAGAATCTGCTGATTTTCTCTCCGCTCGATTTAGATTTATATATACGGGGGCAATTTATATATACTCTCTTCAGCCCCGACCAGGTTTACATTTGTCATTCCTCGAGTTTGTCACGTGGTCGTCGTCGTTATCGCTAGGAAAGCTACCGTGGCTTATGACGTGCGATATCCACTCATTGACACTCGCATATTTCAATTAAAATTTATTATTTACTTATTGCAAGTACATTGAACAATGTATGATATCGCGTATTCTTTGTGAACGCTATCTTCGATATCTTTGAGATCGCAGGGGACGAATAGGCGAGAGAGTTCTTGACTTGCGCTTTTTTTCTTCTTTTTTCGTGAACGAAGGTAAAATACTACGATTAGAAAAATCTTTCATGTGTTTATACATGTATTTTTTCGCATATACCTGTTTGGAAAAACATTTTTTATCGCGACAAAGTATTGGCGGATTGACATTGAGCTACTTATTTGTAGTCGAATCGAAATCGATTAGAAAACATGTTTTGACGTTTGTCGATTTTTTATAATAAAAATGGTAGTATATGCAAATTTTTGTCTGCAAATTTTTTAAAATATTATTTGCCAATTGCGCAAACTTTGTTCGTGATAATTTTAGAATAAATTTTCAAATAGCACACTGAAAAAAATAGTTGTTAACTTGACTATACCTTTCAAGTAAATTTTGTTATATTTTTTTCAGTGCATTTATGCTAAAGTTTAATTAAATCTTGTAATTTATATTAAATCTGAAAATTTCTAAATTTAAATGTAACGAGCAAGTCGTATAATATAATTACAAAAAATATGTAATTATTTATCGTATACGTTAATAGCGTGCATTAATTCCAGTGTTTGCTATTATCTAAATAAAATTATATTGATGATCATCTAGATAAAACTTTGGCGTCATCTTATCTTTATATAGATAATACACTGAAAAAAAAATTTTGTTGGATTAACAAAAATTCTGTTTGAAAATGGACGAAACGGAATTCTGGTTGAATCTACCAGAATTTCTTTTAATACAACAAATATCTTGTTTGCACCAACAAACTGATTTGTTGTGCAAACAAGATGCTTGTTACATTAAAAGGAATTCTGATAGATTCTTGTTGCATTAAAAGGAATTCTGGTAGATTCAACTAGTAATTCCGTTTCGTCCATTTTCGAACAGAATTTTTGTTAATCCAACAAAATTTTTTTTCCAGTGTAAAAATGTGTATTAGCTATATATGTATCTTAGATGATAAAAAATATTATCTTTACTAAATTATCTAGAATAATTCTCAGATAATTTTGGTTTAGAATCATAGCACATAAAAATACTTAAATTGTAGAATTTAAGCATAGTAAGCGATAAAAATTTACAAATAAAAATATGAATATATATATTTTTATATCCCTTTTATAATTTACATTTTTTATAAATGTGTTTACACAAGCAGTCTTAAAAATTATTATCTAGAAAAATAATATTTAGATGAATCGCCATATAATTTTTTTTAAATAGATATTTAAAACAAAATTATCTTCATATTATCTAAGATAAATTTACAGATTTTTATCTCATCTTTATCTACCTAATTTTAAAATCATCTAAGCACAACACTGATTAATTTTGATGCAAGGTGCAGAAGTGGAGATACACATGTTATCATCGTAGACAGCAAAGCGATTCGGTGCTTCTGTACTAGGAAAATTGACACGTTTGTGCGTATGAGTGTAACACGATATAAATCTAACAGAAGACTAGTCTAGCTGGTTTAAAGCCGTACTTAGCTTAGAGAAAGCCACTTTGTATTGCATATTTCATTAATTAAAAAATCATTATCTTACTACGATAATAATAATTACTCGATAAGTGGCCTTTATTATTGTGATAACAATTTTTTTCATAAGCCTTCTACAAAATTAATATCAAAGGATCTCTTAAATTAGAAGATATTTATAAATCATGCGACAGTATTTCATTACTTTAACATTACATTTTTGTATTAATATTTATAATCGCGTCAAAAAAATAAATATGATTGGGGGGTGATGTTGAAAATGAAAAGTCGGTCTATTAATCGCTAACATTGTGCCTTAAATTTTTCCTTCTGATATATGCGTTTAGAAGTTGCTCGTATCTCGCAAATTTGCAAAAATAAACGCGATACGAACTAGTTTTAAAATTTCATTAAAACGTGCGTCTACACGGAAAGAATTTTCTCTTAGAATTTACTTTGAAAATCATGGTAGTCGTAGAACAATATGATATTGGAAGAATTTTATAAGGGTTTTTCTAATTAATATTACAAATAATACAATTTTTAATACATAGACACAAATTTTGAGAATTGTGATTTAAATCATCCAACATTATTCTTAAGTTTCAAATTGAATAATAAATTGTTTATGATTTAGTAGATGAATAAATGTTACAAGAATATTGATAATAATTGGAGAGAACTAAATAATAATACTTAATAATAGACATATGTGAATAAAAATATTTCGTTTATTAAAAATATATTTGTATTTCAAAATATATGTGTATAAGTGTCATTTAAATTTTTTTCATGTGAAAAACTTGCATCAATTTTAGTTTGTATCTATATTAAAAAAAAAAACACAAGTCACTATATGTGTAATTGAATTATACATATATTATTAAAAAATATGTACATAGTAAAATTAATCAAATAAATTTTATATCTTATTGTGCTAGATATTAATATTTTTCATCGTCGTAAATATTATCATGATTTTCAGGGTATAAATTCTAAGAATAAATTCTCTCTGCATACCGAAAAATAACAAATGAATTATTAATTAATTAAATGAATAAATATATTATGTGTGTGAATATTGAATATTGATTAACAGTAATTGAAGAGAAATAATAGACATGTGAATCAATATTTCGTCTATTAAAAATATATTTGTATTTAGATGTCGCTTAAATTTTTTTCATGTGAAAAACTTGGATCAATTTTAATTTGTATCTATATTAAAAAAAAAAAAAAAAAAAAACACAAGTCACTATATGTGTAATTAAATTATATATTATTAATATGTACGTAGTAAAATTAATCAAATAATTATTGTACTGGATATCAATATTTTTTATCGTGGTAAATATCACCCTGATTTTCAGGGTAAATTCCAAGAATAAATTCTCTTACCGAAAAATAATAATTTTTCGTTTTCGCCGATCGAATGTTCGCAGATGACGCGTAATGCATGTTGTTTTTTTGCTGTTGTAAATTTCGGAACTGTCAGTCGGCTTGAAGCTACATACGGTACGATTCAGCAACAGGCGCTACGTGCGAGAGAAGAGAGTTAGAGGGAGGGGAGATTCCAACAAACGATGTCGGACTTCGGAGTAGATGTTAATGTAGTATGTGTGTGACAACGGGATTGACAACATGGATACGACTGACCTAGGAGGAGGTGTGTTCGAATCTTATTTTCAAATAATATACACCGGGACTGCGACCGTGTTAAAACAGTTTCGCACGAAGCGAGGATGGTGTGAATCGTGCACGGGTTATCGAATACGTCGATTGGGAGGAAAAAAAAAATTCGAAAGCCGGAGAAAAGGATCGGGAAAGAGAAATATGCATTTGTACATATATAAATGTATATAAGGCGCTTTCGATCGGCGGTTCCCCTTTTCTCGGCACTTTGCGTTTCTCCGCGAACGCGAGAGTTACCTTGTGAAGACCGGGAAATGTGCGAATACGGTAGGATGTTTCGTTGTACGGTGTCAATTTTTCGTCTCGCGATGAACAGCGATTGATGGTGAAGAAAGTGCTCCTCAAAAATTATGCTTATTATTCATCTTTTTTTTTTTTTTTTTTATATCTTTTTCCGCCGAAATTATTTGCTTCTGTCACTTTGATCTCTTCTTATTCATTGCGCTTTAACAATCGTGTTGCTTCGGATATTCTATACGTAAGATTGCAAATTTTTTTATCTTATTTAATTTTATTGATTTGAGAATAATTATCCCGCTAAAGATCTTGCTTTTTCCTTCTTTCTTTTTTTTTTTTTTTCAAAATTATGACATTATTTTGTTTCGACAAATAACAGATCTCTACATCTTTTCGAATAATTATGTACATATCGCTTATTTGCAAAGAAAAATTATTTATTCGTGCACATCGCGAATTTGTGAATCCGCGAAAGAAAACCTCTCCGTAATTCAATTCAACATATATATAGTGACTTGTGTTTTTTTATAGATTACAAACTAAAATTGGTCCAAGTTTTTCATATGAAGGAAAATTAAATGACACCTAAAACACATACATTTTAAAATACAAATATATTTTTAATAAACGAACTATTTTTTTCACATGTCTCTCTTGTTTCTCTTCAATTATCAATCAATATTCTTGTAACATTTATTCATTTACTAAATCATGAACAATTTATTATTCAATTTAAAACTTACGAATAATGTCGAATGATTTAAATCACAATTTTCTCAAAATTTCTGTCTACGTATTAAAAATGCGTAAAGTATTATACCAATAATATACCGAGTGTAATCAGAGATAATCGGCTTGTAATCAACTTTGAGCTCTTTTTTAACATCCTTAGAAAGCAACGCGAGACTGTAGGAAGGTAAACAAATTTTCTGCGCGCGTAAACTATCACAATGCATTTTGCTTGTATTAAAATATCACGCCATTTGTAAAATAGCTCAACAAAATTTTAATATCACATCACAACAAAACTTATATTTCAAATTTAATTTACCAGTACACCGAACATTAATACAATCAGACTATCCTTGTGTCGCTAACAAGATAATCATATCCTGACTAAGGTGCAAAGATGAGCTCTCGTGTTAATCCGGACATACATATGAAATGTTATCAAAAATATACGAAAATGTCATCCTTATCTGTTCTATTCATCATTTTAATCATACACTGTAAAAAAGAATTGTTAACTTGACTAAACCTTTCAACTAAATCACTATTTTGTTAATCGAACATATATTAGTATTTAAATCAAATATACGTTTTGTTCGATTTAATATGTTACATTTAATTTAAATATTTTTATATGTTTTATTAATTAACAAAATAATATTTAGTCGAAAAGTTTAGTCAAGTGTTAACAAATTTTTTTTACAGTATACAGATCGTTTAATAAATCAGTTACAAACTAATATCCAAAATATTTAATGCTCTTCATTGGCCTTATTAAGTATTAATATATTTTTGTAATATAAAAAGAGCGGCGGCTCAATGAATTTGTCATCTTTTTGTTAAAGACGTACCTCGAGTCGTTTACGCGATTGAGGAAAAAAACAAGGATTAGAATTAATTATTCTGTTCGCGTGTCTAAAAGAGCTCGTCAAATTCTTCCAAACGTTCCCCGCAGACATCTTTTAAGCCAAGATCTTGATCAATGGCATATTAACACAGCCACACGCGTGCAGACGTAGAAGTTTACCTCCACACTGTACTCGCGTTAGACGAAGCATCCGCTTTCGTTGCAGGCAGTTACGTTGACCTTTAATAAGAACAACGCAGGGGATGGTGAGGCATTAATTAAAGCCAAACGCGGCGAGAGAGTCTTGAGATTTGAGAAAACATAGGTGACTTCAAGCGGCTCCGAAGCTGATTAAGCACCGTCAATTACGAAATAAGATTAATGAAAATTAATGAAAATGACGCTCGTTCGTCGTTTATTATCCTAACGCACCGTTCTTTGTCACTCACTTGACTAGCATGATCATTATCAATCACGTGTCCACACTCAGAGATTTACATATAAACTAAATAAACCATTTAGAGAAGGAATCGTACGTTATGAGCAGCTTCGCGTTTCATGTCCAAAAAATGCAACGATACCTTTTTCAAATTTTTCATTATTCCGCGAACAAGGAAAACTTTTTTTTTTTTATTTGCATTACACGACGTTATTTAGATCCTGATTGATTATAGAAAAGATCTATTAAATGTTTCGCGAAAATATTTCTTTTTTTTTTTTGTCTTTCTCAAATAATAATTAATTTTTAATTTAAATTGTAGCAATTGACGCTAACATTGTTTAATTGTACTGATAATTAGCATTTATTAATATTTAATGAAAATAGTCGAATATTCTTCTTTGATTGTGTAATAAACAAAAAGCTAAAAAACAGCATATTGATTTAACAATTAATTCGATCATGATTTAAATACGAAAAACATAATTTGGAGAAAGCAAAGTCTCGAATCAACTTCACTCACCTCTGTTATTTATTATTACAATTTACATTGTATTACGTGGCTTTGCTATGAAGTTTGCGTTGCAATTATTTTTTTATTTCCATTGCAAAATGTATTACAGAACATATAACGATAATGCAAATCATTTATGTTTTTACTTTGATATTATATTCAATATTCGCAGAATTATTGCGAGTTTTTTCTCTATTTTTCTCTCTGATAAAGATAAAAAAAGTTACATGTAAAATATGTGATTTTTATGCAAGTTTATGCATATTATTAAAAAGGCATGCTAATTAAGAAAATGTTAATAATCGCGAATATTATTGGATGGTTAATAAACATAATTTCACAAAAAGTAATATTTTTTTAAACAAGAAAAATACAAAAATAATTCTCTTTATATTTTTAATAATGCATCAAAATTTAGCATTCAAAATGTTCTATTCATAACTTTGAAAAATTTTAAATTAAAATTGTAAAAGAATTCTTTTGAAAATTATTATATTATAGCTGTGACATCTATATGAGACGTGAAAAGAATTTTATTTTTTATTAAACAAAATTAAATATATACTGTTAGAAAAGTTTCAGTTCTCAAGAAAAATTCTTTACCGAATATCCTTCGATCGTTCATTCAAAGTTTCACTCTATAGATCGTCGAATGCAAATCTGAAGTTAAAAAAAATTCAAAATTAAAAAAATCGAATCTTTATAAAAATTTATGCCACAACAGGAAGATTTTCCTTGTTTATACGAATCCATTAAGTTTGAGACGATTATTATCGTCGAATTTTCTCTTATAGAATTTACTCTGAAAATCATATATGGTATTGGAAGAATTTCTCTGATTAATATTTACCACAATAAAAATAGCAACATCTACCACAATAAAATATAAAATATGTTCGATGAATTTTACTATGTACATAATAAAATGTATTATGCACATATTAATATTTTTTATTATGTGATAAATATTAATCCGAGAAATTCTTATAAAATTCTTCCAATATCAATATTGTCACGATTTTCATGATTTTCAGGGTAAATTCTAAGAGAAAATTCTCTCCGTGTGTATATTCGCGGCGCGAAATCGAGATAATCCTACGAGAAAAAATCATCCCTCGGCTTTTCTCTTACATACTTATTATTTCTAAATTTTTTTTCGTTGAACTGTGTTATCCAAATCGGCTACCGTCTGCCGGCAACCGGCGACGCCTCGCCCTTCCGACCGAGAACGAATCGCCGGAGAGCCCGAGTCGAGTCGTTGAGTCGTCCGTGATATATCTACGTTTATACGACGTACATTAGACATGAATGGCATCTGTTCTGCCAAGTTGAATGAGAGCAATTTAACTTCTTTAGGTTGCTTAATCGGTAGGAAGTCACATCCAGTCACATAGCGGTATGAAACCTGTAAGAGGCACCAATACTCGCGCGCGCGTTCGCATGCTCGTGTGTCTCTCCCTTTACGGGGTAAAAAATGCGGAAAGAGAGAGAGAGAGAAATTATAGAAAATTATTGAAAAGCACGCGAGAGAGGAATATCGTTAATTAACTTCGTCGCGATGTCGCTTTAAATGACGACGGCGCAATTAGTTAATCCAGTACTTACGAACTTGCGACTATTTTATACGTGCCGCACTGATAATTCAATCCTTCAAAAGAGGATTAATTTAAATCGAACATTGTATAGTAATGATCAGGTAGATGAGCGACGTTCATTATTCACAGGAAGTGAATATCGGTTCATTAAATATTTCCGAGGAAAAGAAAAATGGAATAAAAAAGTTTCACATTTCTTCTCACTATTGCAGAATTTTTTTCACGATGTATCACTAAAAAAAATGTTTAACTTGACTAAACCTTTCAATTAAATTACTATTTTGTTAAATCAACGTATATTAGTATTTGAGGCAAATATACGTTTTGTTAAATTTAATATGTTATATTTAATTTAAATATTTTTATAGGTTCAATTAACAAAATAATTTTTAGGTGAAAGATTAGTCAAGTTAACAATTTTTTTTTTCAATGTATCTTTATTTATGATTATTATTCAGTAGCGTGATTTTTTAACAATTCACCGTTTGCTTTATTGGACAATTGTTGAATAATAGATTTTAATGCGCGATTTTAATAATAGATTGAATAATGGATTTTAATGATAAATAATTTCTCATTATATGAACGAAATACATATAATGATAAGGAAGCCGTGTCACAGTGTCACGCCAGTAAAATAAATCAATAAGACGATAGAGTCTATGCCAAGAAAGTTGAAATGTCCACAAATATTGTATACATAAAAGATGTGAGAAGTGGACATGTTATTAGAATTAAATTGAAGCTAAATTAAACGTTAATACACACACGCAATGCATGTAATATATTTTCATTAAACGCAAGAAGAAAATTATTTTAACGTCAAGTTTTGATATCATAAAAAAATATAAAATATAAAGAATCTAAAAAAATAAGAAAATATTAAAAAATATTAAAAAATTTTGGTAAAATTCCAAAAGAATATTTGGCAATTGCACAGCAGAATCGAGCGCTGCAAAATAAAAAACTGCGATTTGACGTAAACGCAAGTTTCGTGCAAGTGAAAATTCGTCTGCTAAAATTGACATTTAACGTGATGCTGCTCGATGCTAATATACGCATTGAAAAAAAGACTAAATTAATACATATTTATTTCAATACTGCCAAATGAATCATTTATTTGAAACAAATAAATATTTTTCATATCAAATAAATATTATTAGTTTCATATATAAATGATTTATTTGGCAGTATTGAAATAAATACTTATAAGAATTAATTAAATTTTTTTTCTGTGCGCGCGTATCGATCGCATGTATATATAATACACAGTTGAAAAATTTCTGTTAAATTTAACAAATATCACATGTCCCAAACGGTCTACAGAAATTTTTGTGTTAATTTAACATAATATGGATATGTTAAATGGAGACACAAATATTGTGTTAATATTTTAACACAAAATAAATGCAAAACGTCAAATAATTTAAAATAAATTTTGTGTAAAATTAACATACTTTTAATGTAAAAATTAACAAAAAATATGTTAATTTTAGATTTTATCATCCCCACTTATATTATAAAATAGAAAATCAACATGTTTTCCTGTAAATTTTAACAGAGAAATTTTGTCACTAATAACGCAGAACATATTTATTGTGTAAAATTAAAAATAGATAGCACATTGTGTTACTCTTACATTTTTTTCAGTTCTTTTAATAATTTAACATTTAAGTTCAATTAACAGAACAGTAATAGGTTAAAATTAACACATGAATGTGTTAAATATTTAAGAGAAAAATTTTCACGGGGACCGTTTTACCAAGAAAACACAAATTTTTCTACTGTGTGTATATACATAATACACATATATATCGCTATCGCGGATCACCTTTGTTCACTCCCTCTCCCGCGGGCTCCTGCTTGTTTGCCAAAGAATTCGGCACGACACGACGGTTCCATAAAATTGAAGTAATGACGAACGGTAACGAGACGTTTCCTACTTGTGGCGTATCGTTATCTTACCACCACACGATCCAATTTGGACACACCGTCGTAACCGTGCTGTGTGTGCATATGCGTGACATTCCGACATGTCGTTTCTAGCGAGAATTCTTCCTCCATTCGACGAGTCAACGTACGTGCTGCTCGCGTATATATTCGATTTCGCAATCGTCGATGATCTGCGCCTCCTCGTCGTCGCGATCTTTTCCCTTCTAGCGCCGGAATCGGCTGCGTTCCCCCGACTTTAAAAAGATAATGGTTGAGCTCTAAGCTCTTATCGTATTAAAGCCACCGGAGCTTATTCCTCTTTCGAGGAAAAGTCTCCTTTTATGCTTTTACGCATTCGCGAGCGCGCGATCGACGTAGGAATAATATTCGCGCGAATGACAGGAGCGAAATGTCAAAAACATATGTTCGGGGAGTAGTAGCGCAAAACATGTTTTTCGCCTGACAGTTCTCCGACGCTCTCGTCGTGCCGCGACCTGCGAATGGAAACCAAGGTATATTCTCCGCGAGTTTAATTAACGCGCACTATACACAGTTTTGTATGTATACGTGTTTTGCGCGTTACGCAACGATTCAAAGATATATACGCATTTCGCCGGACACGAGTGTGTCCTGGGTGCGGTAGACACATCCGGAATCGGTATTATGCGATCGCACAGGGTGCGGCGAGAATCGTTCTCGATAAAAATAAATCGGGATTGCGCGGCCACGAAATTTCTTCGATTTTAGCCTCGCCAAAATTTCATTCCCGAGCGAACTATTGATTTCGGAAGGGAAAAAAAATGAGGGGATAGTGTGAGAGATTTGAAAAATTTGAATAGCAATAAACACAAAGAAATTTGATTGGAAAGGCACTTCGAAGAATTCGACATTTAAACATTTTTTGAAAATAAATATATTGCGTACCTATATTCACGCGCGTTTATTTTGGAGCAATGTAAGCGTTGTATTATAAGAATTTATATGCTATTATAATCTATTAATTATTATTAATTTGAAAGCATTCACCAAAAATTATTTAATTATTCTAACCGCGGAAATAAGAAATATATATTTAATAATGAATCTAAGATTCGCACGCAAAAAAATATTAGATCGTGAAATTTACTTTTTTTAATGACGATTCTATTTAAATGACTTCTGCAAAATAAAATAGTTGCAATTTATACATATTTTTTTTTGCAAAAATTTATTCTGTTTTCATCTTTCTTCTCTTTTAGATTAGAAAAACTTCGAATACTTAATTTTTTAGCCTCGCTAAAATTTTATTCTCGAGCGAATTATTGACTTCGGAAGGGAAAAAAATAAGGGGATAGCGTGAGAGATTAAAAAAAAATTTTAATCTCTTAAAATCTTATCCGTCCATTCGACGGAGGAAAAAAACCGGGTGAAAGAAACGGAATATTTATTTCTACATTATCTCTATATCGATTATGTAAGATTTACCGCGCTTATTACGCTTGCGATATCGATGAAGTAAATTAAGGCACGTCCGTCGTAATAAGAGTCAATGCCCTCTGTAGAACGCGACGATTGCATTCGAACGTACGTATAAAATTTCTCTCTGATAGACAGTGTTTGCTGTTATCCAAATAAAATTATATAGATGATCATCTACACTGAAGACAAACATTTGTAAACTTGACTAAACCTTTCAACTAAATTACTATTTTGTTAAATGAACATATATTAGTATTCAAGTTAAATATATACGTTTTATTATAGATTTAATATGTTACATTTAATTTAAATATTTTTTAATATTTAATTAACAAAATTTAGTTGAAAGATTTAATCAAGTTGACAATTTTTTTCAGCGTACATAAAGTTTTGGCGTCACCTTATCTTTATGTAAATAATAAAAATACGTATTATCTATATCTGCATCTTAGATAAAAAAAAGTGTTACCTTTAAATTATGCAGGATAATGTTCAAATAATTTGCTTTAGAGTCAAAGCAAATAAAAATATTTGAGTAATAAAACGTAAGCATGCGCAGCAAGCGATAAAAACTTATAAATAAAAGTATATTTAAGTATAAATATAAAAGAATATATTTTTATATCTCTTTTATAATTTACATTTTTTATAACTATGTGTTTACATAAGCGTTTGTAAAATAATATCACCAGAAAATTATCTAGATAAATCGTCACATAATTTTATTTTTCATCTAGCTATATTTAAACTGAAATAATCGTTATCTTATCTAAGATAACTTAACATATTTTCATTATAATCTTTAGCTAATTTTTAAATTATCTAAGCACAACACTGCTAGTCGGAAGAATGTCAGACAAAATTACTAATTACACAGAAATTGTTCATGAGGTTCTGCGACAAAGATTATTATATATACGATCGTGTGCGTATTTTTCTTAAAGCGACAACTTATCTTCTTTTTAGGTATAAATTGTACGCCACCGGCTATAGAAGATTTTCCACACGACCTGTTTGATGAGGAGCAAAGACAAGGCGGTGCCGTTGTCGTACACGTCGTCGTATCGCTTTACTTATTTATCGCTTTAGCAGTAGTATGCGATAAATTCTTCGTACCTGCTGTAGAAAAAATATGTCACGGTAAGAGGGTTGCTTTGCATATTATTTTCCCCTGCGTCGCGAGAGAAATATTTATTTCGTTAAAACCGATGTGATAAATACGCAATCCCAAACAAACCGGATCGGATGAAAATATAAGAGATCGTTTCTAGCATCTCTTACCGACATCTCGCGCTGATCACCCGCTCGAGATACGCGAACTCTCGAATCGATGCCGATGCTGCGGCATATCTGCGTCACTGCGGGCGCCAGACACGTCTTCATCGGTTATCGTAATTGTCTCTCATTTGGAAACTGGCCTCTCGCGTGACATTACGTGGAAAACAAATATAATACGTAGCCTTCAGCGTTAAATGCGATTATCCGTTTCTCGAATTCGATTTGGTGCGATAAGAGTATCGCATTTATTGCCGAGTCGAGGGTCGGACAATCGCATTTATCGCTAAACACTACGCGAGGCATATAGTAATATCGTTGAGGGAAAAAAAAAATGGTTAATCGGTGATACATTAATTATATATATTAAATCTTGGGATTGACATTTTACTACCTGGACCCGAAGAGAAATTCTCCCTTTCGATTTGATTTTTTTTATGTATCCACTTTTTTGACATGTTGCATCGAAGGGAGATATTCGCTCCAGGTGGTAACGTGTTTCTTCGTGTACGCGTGTATGAAAGGGTAAACGAATCGAAGTTGACGTTGCACTTTCAGCACTCTCCATGTCAAAAGACGTAGCCGGCGCGACGTTTATGGCGGCGGCGACGTCGGCCCCAGAATTATTCGTGAATGCCATCGGAACATTCATCACGGAAGGTGACATTGGCGTCGGGACGATAGTAGGTTCCGCAGTATTCAACATCCTGGCTGTCCCAGCCTGCTGCGGTATCGGTGCGGGAATGGTAGGTTGCCAAGTGTTCTATATAATTTTTCGAATTTAATATGAAAACTTGAGCAAAAAATTGAACGCTATATATTTCGAAAGAAATCAATAATATTTATATATGTATTAATATGTAATTAATAATATTAATTAGAATGTATAAATTGCTGTGAGAAAAATATAAGTGCACATTTAATAAATTATATATATATATATATATATTTAAACATACATATTATATTATGTATATAAATAAATATATATATATTTATGATGGATTTGTGTAGATGTAGAGATTTATATATTTAGACTTATATATTTAGATAAAAAAATTATTAATTTTTACATTTTTCTTATCGATACCTTTTATCATTGAATCGTCAATAATTTTATTTTATGCTTAGATAATTATGAACAAATATAAATTTTATCACGATTCAATAGATATAATAAGTATATTGTGTTTAAGTAAATGTATAAGTAAATTGACATTGCCAACTGAGACTAAGTAAATTGATATTGATAACGCCAAGGATCGATATCAATGTGCGTAAAAAAATAACTGTCAAAAATGCGTCGTACTGATATGTAATCAACATTCTCGAAGACACATTTTTATACATTTAAAAATCTTTGAGAATATATACCTACACGCTTAAAAATATCATTTAAATTAAATTCAAATTACTTAACCAAATAAATGCACAGAATATTCAAAAAATTTAATAAATATTTCTCCTCGTCTATAACAATAAGAAAAATTCTTTAAAATTTAATTTAAAAAAAGAAATCATTTAGAGAGCATGAAAAATATATAAATAATTTCATTGTTTAATTTTATTTTTAACGGAGAAAGATCTTTATTTATTTAAAATTACTACATATTTAAAACATTCACTCTGGATGTACAAATTTGTCAAATATTCGAGAGCACTCATTAATATTCGATAATATTTTCTCTCATCGGACACATAAGATATGTTCATCAGTTATTCAAATAGAATATTTACGTAAAATACATATCCTCCGGAGACGCGCAAGTAATATTCATTAAAAATATTCACAGTACACCCATATTTATTATCATATTTCCCATATAAGCAGGTGGTGCCACTGGATTGGTGGCCTGTCAGCAGAGATTGCCTTGCTTACGGTGTCACCGTCGCCATTTTAATATGCATTATACACGACGAACGGGTGGAGTGGTACGAGGCATTAACGTTGGTGCTCTTGTATATTGTTTATATCGCCGTGATGTATTGGGACAAATCGTTCCAGCGGTGTACGAGATTCCGTACGAACGACGATCAGATATCTTCTGACGGCCGACGAGTTACGACAGGTGAGACCGTTTCACGAGTTTTATCGCAGCTCCGATTAACGAGCGTCTTCAAGTACAGAAACTTTGAAATGAATCTAGATGCAATTCGATATGTATTTCATTAAATTTCACTCTATTCTTTCCATCGAATTTTTGTAAAAAAAAAAAGCTTTTTGATTAAATTTCTCATATAATTGAAAAGAGAAAGAGAATAAAGTTCTCGAACGAAGAGGACAAAATATTTTGATACTTCCCTGAGTCTCGAGGACGCAAACGAGAGTATTATGTGTCTCTGCGATGTAATCCGACGCTGTAACAATATGTTTACTTGCTTAAAAGCGCTTTTCTTACAGATTCCAGCGACATTCACTTACCAAGACCAGACAAATTACAATCACCCGGGGATCATGTGGAGCAAATAGCCACTATCGACGTTCCGCTACAAAATGGCGGGACGAAAACGCAGGAAGAGAATCCGGACCCTAGTAAGTTTGTTTGTTCACTTGTTTGAATTTTTGCATTTTAAAATAAATATAATTTGTATAATTAGAACACGAAGGGGTGTCATTAACAAATATTCACTCTCCTAGTAAAATCTCTAATCTAATCAAATGGCGATTTGTCAACTCATTATCGACGATATACCCCTGTTAATGTATCTGTCAACGATTGTGTTTGATAATATTAATGCGATGCGTAATATTTCAAGCGAGAACCACTTGATAGGTCAAGTGTGCGCATTCAAGCACGTGCGAATGGGAATTTCCCGAGCCATCGAGAGATCAGAGATCAAATATTTAAATTTGATGAACCTCATCATAGAGCTATTATTCAAATCTCGCGCACCCTATATTATTTCACGTTGTTTTAAAATGACATTCGAAATCCTCGGTAAACATGCGAGCGAGGCAACATCTGTTTTGGATTTAATATCCTCCGTAACATGTTGTACGACAGATTATGAGTACGAACTGTTGGTGTGGCCGGCGCATGCTGGATGGTTAAGGAAAACCGCCTGGGTCACAACGTGGCCCATTCATCTTGTATTCATGTGCACAATTCCCGACTGCGAGAAACCCCGATTTAAGAATTGGTTTCCCATCACGTTCGTGATGTGCATCATATGGATTGGATCGCTCAGCTACGTCGTGGCGTGGATGATCACTATAATCGGTGAGTGTTTTAAGATAGAATTTTAATTGGAGAATTTCGAAAAATTTCAAACAGTGAATTCTAAACTTGCGCACATTTTCTTCTTCCAGGTGACACGCTCAAAATACCAGATTCCGTAATGGGTATCACTTTTCTCGCGGCTGGAACCAGCGTGCCCGAAGCAGTATCGAGTGTGATTGTCGCAAAACAAGGTACATACAATCATATTGCATTTTATAATACATACAGGAAATTAATATTTTTCGAGGAGATATCTGTAATCATAAAATTAGCGCATGCCGAGTTAAAAACATTGAGCGAGGAACTTGATCGAGAACCGAGAGCCATTTATTAAGACATAAAAAAAGCGAATTTCACGGAAGGAAAGACTATTGCATGAAGAGGAAAGATATATACAGTTACTATTTTCTCCCTCTGATCGTCCCGTTTTATTATCCAGGACATGGCTCGATGGGCATCAGTAATTCGATAGGATCGAACACGTTCGATATATTGCTATGCCTCGGACTACCCTGGCTGATCAAGTCGTCCTTCTCGCCCACGCAACCCGGCAGGCATTACATCAGTATAAATTCCGGCGGGCTGGAATACAGCGCGATATCGTTGCTGTCGACCCTGATGCTGCTGTACATCGCGTTCGCCTCCAACAAGTTTCAGCTCGACAGAAAAGTCGGTCGCGCCTGTCTGTGCATGTACGCCGTGTTCCTCATATTGGCGTCGCTGATCGAGCTCAACGTATTCTTCATGGTAAATCTCCCCACCTGCCAAAGGACGGTGAAATGATCAAGACACCCTCTGGACGATGACCCGCCCGCAATAAACGTCCGGGCGCGGCACCGCTCGCAATCCGCGCCGGAAACCTTCTACCCCTTCGGACTTACCGAGAGAGACCCGCTCGTGCGAGGGGGTGTTTATATTTCCAGCTACACGGGACACCGTGTGTACAGTTTTAATATCAACAATGTTATCACCGTGTTTTAGAACCATGGCAGTAATGCATTTTGTATTTACTTACTGCTCTCTAATGCCCTCTTGTCTTTTGTCGCTCTCTTTTTCTCTCTCTCTCTCTCTCTTTCTCTCCCTACTCTCTTCATCGCAAATCTCCATGACATTTTTGAGTATATTTAGTCGACATTTCTTTCGTTCCATCCCCGACATACATATATACATTTTACGCTCATCTCGAGTTTTTTCGCAATTTTTTCCTTTCCTTTCTTCGCTTATTTTTCTCTTAAAAATACGATTACTGTGCTTACGGCTATATTGTGTGCGCCGAAAGACCAACCACTTACGATTAGCCACAGTAACGAGATCTCAAGCCACACGATCGGAAGCCTCAAAAAAAAAAAAAAAAAAAAAAAAATACGATAGGGGTGGGCGCTCCGCGACTGTGTCTAATTGTACGAAAAAAAAGCGCAAGAAAGACTGCCGTTCCGTCAGTCAGTATCGCAGATACTCGGTGTGTGACCGCGTGGAAACGTGTTTACGAGAGAGTGAAATGTCATCTCGGTATATTTAGCCGCGACGGCCCGTCTCTTTTACAGAATCCGCGTTCGACTACGGATGCAAACTTCAGTGTTTCCGGAACAATTTGCCGTTGACAAATACCCATTTCGGTGAATCTATCTCTATTAAGTATCCCCGTGTTAAAAAAAAAAAAAAAAAAAAAAAAAAATGGAAAACCTATCTTGATAATGTATATTCCAGGAAAAAGTTTCATATATGCAAATTAATGTAATTGTCGAGGCAAGCCGTCGCGCGCGATAGCACCTTTTCTGCGAGATATTAAAACACACCTTCACACAAATTGCGAAAAAAAAAACACCGAATCTGTGACTGTAAATGTGTTTAGATAAAACCGTAACTTAACATTTAATAAAGTACTGTAATAAGTTATTAAAATAATACAGCCAATAAAAATCGATTCCTCTCCAGTCTCTGTGAGTGTACATGAGGGAGGAAGGATAGGGGGAATCTTGGCTCGGAAATATGAAATTTATATACAGATACAGTCTCGCAAAAAAATTATCTTTATGGTACACAAATCCGGATTTAAAAATAACGAAAAAAAATTGAAAAAAAAATTCGTGTGCGATTTTTGACAGCACTGAATTGATTTATCTTGGGATCGATGAGAGATGAATCGTTTAAATCGACAGTATTTAAAAACGCTGGGCTATTTATATTTCATCGAGGCAATTTTTACGGATAAATGATACACGTCTCGTTTTGTTTCCCGTGCACGCACAGGCGTACTATGATATTCTTATTCGTTTACACGAGAAAATCGAACTACGAGAGAAGATCCGATACATATACATATACATCATAGTGATGCCCCGGCGCTGTTTTTAAAATACACATGAGCACAAGTTGATGCTTTTTTTCCTCGAGACTCTCTTCTAGAAATATATTTTAGCATATATATAATTGCGGCGCCTTACAGAGGGAGAAGATACACGACTTTTTTTTATAGAGAAAAGGTTTTAAAAACTAAATAAATAAAATATAATTCTTTTTGGCTAATTTGATATGGATTTTTTTCAGAGAAATTTAATTTATGATTACTAAGATATTAAAGAGTCGATAAAAAAAGAAGAATATAAAATCTTCGATTGAAATTTTCAGTTTTACATAGTAAGAAAATTGTAATGCAAGGAGTATGTAAAGCACACTTTTTTTACTACTAGAAGCGAAATGACAAACTTTTTAAAGCTCGAGACTATATTTTATTCTTCACGTAGCCTCTGACCTCTTTTCTCTTCTTCGCAAAATATTCGCTACAAGAAGATTACATTATTCTGTTGCATAAAATTATCATTTAATCGCACAGCCGCACTGTTGTTGCCGATCTCTGAAATAAAACCCAGACGCCGTAAGTCGCTCTCTGTCGAAGAAATAATTTTCATATTGGCCAAGACTGCGTTTATAAATCTTGACCCCGCTATTTCTAGTTGTACGCCTCCGTGAAGATGTTGGCACAACTTTGATATTCGAGAAGACATTAATATCGGAGCCATATGAGTAGAACTAATATAACGCGAGATTTATTTCGCGCGTTTATCATCAGCGAGTCTTTTTCTTCCTCGCTGTTAAACATTCCGCGATTGAAAATCGACCGATTTTCTGAAGAAATACCCATCATCATCATCATCATCATCATCATCATCCCTCCAATATACATCGAAAAATCTGATTTTAAGTCGATGTAGATATATATACGTCTCCTGCGGTGCACGCGAATTTTCCTGAAGACCCGCGCCTTGGCACGGATTCAACGACCGAGTTTACCAGCAAACCTCCCGGCGCGCGTCTCTCTTCGCAGACTCCGCAATGTATGAAAAGATACGAGTCGGACGGGACGTAGCTAACGCAGCTCGACGTATAATTCCCTCCAATATTTTGCGTCGATTGCGAGATCCGCTTGCAGGTACGTACTATATCAAACCGATTCGCTCTGCGCAACGATATATATATATATATGTATATATACCTATATCTCAGCGCGAACGTCAACGTCACATAGCTCGTTGACAGCGATCAGCTGATCGTGACAGCGCGCGCGAGCGAGCGCGCGACCGTATCTTGCGGTAGTCTCTCGATCTACACATCTAAACTTCGTCTGCTCCAGCGAATATATATCAAGTCATCTCGCATAATCGTCCTCGAGCGGTGTATTAGCCGTATCCGCGCGCGAATCCTCTCTCTTCCCCACGTATAACCGAGGCGATGACGCTCGTGAATTTATTATCGCTGAATAATATCGCTATTATATTCGGAGCAGCAAATTTCGCAATCAGAGGACATGTTTACATATACCAATATGTATATTTTTGTTCGCGAGATCGCCACTTTGCTCTCGTCGCGCTTATGTAAATCGGCGATGTTAGAGCGTCGCGTGTACGTATATGACATATTCATCCGTATAGGTGTGCGACGCTTGCTTGTGTGCGCGAATGTACGTACAATAACTTTGGGTTTAATGGTGGTGAGGGGTCAGTTGCGTGTCGGCGCGCGGCAGATCTGCAATGCGGCGTTGCCGTTGAAACCGTTGATTCACAAAACCCTTCTTCCTACGTTGATTATACATGTTTCCTCCGTTCATGTGTGTGCGCGAGGTACAGAGACGCCGCCGGGGAAGAAGGGGAAAAGAGGGGTTAGAGGGGAGGACGAACAGGAATGTGGCTACGGGGCTACACACACTCAAGTTTCACAAACATTTTTACAATCGTTCTATAGAAAAAAATACTCTTCTACTCTATATTCGGTATTTTTGACTTTTTTTTTTTTTTTTTTTTTTTTTTTAAATTCAAGAATTTTTATTTGCGCCTCTTCAGCTTGAGCGAAATTCGGGTCACCAAAATCATCTTTGATGATTTTCAAGCTTTATTTCCGCTAGCGTTGTGTTTCGAAAAATGAAGCAAAGTTTTTGAAACATCTCTGGATCCATCTTACATTCGAGAATTAGTCTTTGAACACGAGGAGAGACGTATATTTTTGAGAAAATTTATGATTTGCATTTAGAAAACACGATACTCTCTTATTTAATATTAGATGTACATTAATAAAAATAAAAACCGGGTACCGCAATCGGCGTTTGCCAAGAGAAGACCTGGCGGAAATTAGTACGCATGCGTCTTCGACAATGCGGAAGGGGCATTTATATATAATCTACCTCGAGAATGTGAAACATTTTGAATTGTACAAGGCGGCAGACAATTGTAGAATCTCGATCGAAATCTTTGCGATTCGACTATTTTTAAATTGCAGCCATTTGTCAAAAACACGCGGTTGTTTCTGCACCGAAAAAAAATTATTAAATTAATAAATATTTATTTCAATCCTGTCTAATAAATCGTGAAATAAATATACTTATTCGAATTCAAGAAATATTTTTCAGTGTAATAAACAATGTTACTAAAAATGAAAAGATGTTAATCCTCGCTTCAGTTTTTAATCGTACAGTAAAATCGCGATAGTAATAACTTCCTGAACATTATTGCCATTATTGTGATTTATCGATATCTGGATTATTTGAAGTATCTCTTTCGATAAAAAAAAGCAACGTTTACGATACCATATCTTTCAGCTGTTCGAAGAACATAAAAGAAAAAAATTACAAATATTTTTCAAGCTACTTCTATCTCTTTCACGATTTTATTTAAAGAAATATAATCGATCGCGTTTACTAAAATATTGTATTCTCCCTATATCATTATGCATAAAATACTATATAGATTATGTAATACTACACTGAAAAAAATTATTGAATTAATAAATATTTATTTGAAACAAATACTTCAATATTTATCTGTTTTGAAAAGGATTTTCTTATAATCAAATAAATATTTTCCAAATCAATATTATTAGTTTCAAATAAATGATTTATTAGGCAGTATTGAAATAAATATTTATTCGAGTTTAATAAATTTGTTTTTAGTGTATACCTACATTATACAAATTTAAAACTAAATATATTTAATTAGAAGAGCGCAAAAGAAGCCACGATATTAAACATTTTTGTATAAAAGGGCGAGGGTTAATTAACAGCCGGCTAATTATTTTTCATACATTAAAAAAAATTAAAATTAATAAATATTTATTTGAAAGAAATAAATATTTCTCCGTGTTGAAAAGGATTTTGTAATATCAAATATAAAAATAGTATATTTCACATATATCAAATCAATATATTATTAGTTTCAAATAAATGATTTATCAGGCAGTATTAAAATAAATATTTATTCAAACTCAATATAATCTAATATAGAAAATAAAGGACTAATTAAAGCTTTTCTAGCCCTTTATTTCCTATATATTATACATACTTTAATACTAGACCCTAAATCTTAATAATGAATACAATTTACACTGAACAAAATGACAAAAAGAATAAATATTTATTTGAATCCTCCCAAATGAATAATCATATATTTGAAACAAATATAATATATTGTGTATCAAGTGCGGAAAGTTGACAATTGGTCACGAGTGTACAATTGTCAATCCACACGTGATACACATACTATTTTGTATTACAAGTGCAGGCAAAGTGGTTTTGTACGCGTTTTCTGTGCGCGAGATGGCGGCGTGGGAAATCGGCTGCTTTCCGCACAGAAAACACGCACACAAAGTGCCACTTTGTCTGCACGTGTAATACAAAATATTTTTCACATCAACTCAATATGACTAGTTCGAAATAAATCAATTCATCCGGCAGTATTGAAATAAATCTGCTGATTCGATCCCGCCTTCGCGGGCCGAAACGTGCAAGCGAGCCGGGTTTACCTGCAGGGGCTGCGATTTCGCAGCCCCCGAAAGAGCCTTCCGCGTCGGAGGGAGGCTTGGTGGAGGATTCGCGGGGACGTCGTAAACCTCGTGTCCGCGTCACGATGCGCGGGCACGAGTTCCGCGATTTTGCGCGCGCAGCCTCTCTCTCTCTCTCTCTCGCAGGCGAGAGAAGGGGTTGGCGGATCGGCATCGTGCTCTCGGGGAGGGGTTGCATCGCCAGCGTCCACCGTCACCGGGAGAAGGTGAGAATCGCACAGCGGGTATCGAGCGGTGTGTGCGTGCACAAGTGTTGCCTATACAGGGAGCACGACCACTCGCCGTCTCTCGCTCCGTTTCTCTCTCTTTCTCTCCATCCTCTCTCTCTCTCTCTCTCTCTCTCGCATCCCCATATCACTGTCCCATCGCGTCCTCTCTCTCCCTCTATTTTTCCCGTAAAAAATCCCGATTTTTACCACTCATGTTTCGTCGGCGAGACCCGCGAGTGCTCCTTTATGAGAGCGCGTTATCGCCGCGCCGCGAAGTTCCGTGATCACTTATGCTCGAACCGCGAGCGTCGTCTGATAATGCACCTTCGCGTTATTGTCGCGCGAGTTACGTGACCCGCGACACGGGAGTCTACGCGACGAGCAGCGGCGGCACCAGCGGCAGCAGCGTGATAGAGGACGGTGGACGGTGGTCCTCGTGACACTCTCAGTTGGGGTGAACTCACGGGGGGTGATGGATCGCAAGGCGAAACTGTAGCCCCCGGTTGCGATCGGAGAAGGGCTGTCAATCTCGTCTCTTCGTATATAATAGAATAATAATCAGAAATTATCTCCGGGATTTTTATTATAGAGATACATATTATACCGCATATCCCAGCTGTCATATCGATCACACTTCTTCTCGCGTGGCGCTTTTTTCGTTTTTCTTTTTTTTTTTCTTCGAGAAAGAAAAAAAAACCGACTGTGCGTTACCCTTGAAACTCTGTGCCGACGAGAGAAAGAGAGAGAGGGAGCAGCTGGTGAAAGTTCGTCTGCTCTTGGAGGATAAGTGGTGCCTAAGCGTGGAGATAAAAAATAAGAAACCAGTGCCTATAAAATCGCGAACACGATGACTCGATGATCCCTCGTACACACGTTACGCATTTTCGGACGACGAGCGCGATGCATCACGTCAAAGTATCGCATCAGAAGCAAAAGGAAAGCGCGCTGAGTGCGCGAAGAGACGGAGGGGACTAATAATAATAATAATAATAATAATAATAATAAGGAATTGAAAAATCAGCGGGATAAAAATCCCGTTCCCAGGCAGGGGCTGACGAATTGCCGCATTAAGGGTCGAGAGTCCCGTATATATATATATGTATATATATATATATCTATATATATACACGTGTGTGGGACTCCGCGATCGGCCAGTTTTTCGCGGTTCTTCCTTCACCGGAGGAGCGATTGTTCGAGACTGTGAAATTTTTCGCTGCTTTTTTCACCCTCCCCGAGATCAGTAATGTCGCGATTAATGCTGTGCAATCTCGGCAATGCCTCGACGGCGGGAAACGATACGAACAACAACGCGAACACGAACAGCAGTATGGAGGACGACGATTCTTATCCACTGCCTACAATCTATCGGTATGTAGATTTCATAAAAAATGGAGAACGAATCAAGAGCGAGGGAGAATCGCACTTCCTTCCCTCGAATGCACTACCCGAAGTCACTCGCTGGGGTGGGTTCGCGAACAAACGTCATATAGCGAGACACACTTGTCAATCGAAAAATTCTGTTCGACAAGCTTTTCCCAATCTATCTCGTTAATTTTGAGAGATACGAAAAATGAGCGATCGAAATTTCATAATGGAATAGATTCATTATATACATGTGTGTGTCGATATATTTGTAATAAATTAAATTATCTTATTATTTTATCCTGATTGCACAATTTATATAACTTGGTTTATTTTTCATCTCGATTGCAATTATATTATACGTATTTAAAATTGTCCTAAAAATAAAAAGTGAATTAAATATGTTTATTGCAATTTTTGTAAATAATATTTTTTATTATTTATTATATATATTTAATTTATTTTAATAATTTAATTTATCCCTCAATATTCTATTATTTAATAACAATTCCATTTATTTTTCATCTCGATTACAATTATGTTATACATATTTTAAAATGGCGCTGAAAATACAAAGTAAATTAAATATCTTTATTGCAACTTTTGTAAATAATTATTTATTATATATATTCAATTAATTTTAATAACTTAATTAATCTTTCAACATTCTATTATTTAATAACAATTCAATTAATTTTTCATCCCGCTTGCAATTACGTTATAAATATTTAAAAAATGGCGCTGAGAATAAAAACTAAATTAAATATCTTTATTGCAATTTTTTCATAAATATATCACCGCACGTTCTTTGAGAGCTTTTTCTTCCCTCTCATGCATTCAATTTCATTTAGCATACGCTATCGCGTTGATCACACGTCGATACAGTTTCGTCCCACGCGAACGATTGGAGCTAGGGGGCTCTATTTCGGCGGGAGCTTTATACATAATTATTAAGAGCTGCCGGGTCAATCACAAAGCGATCGTGTCTAGATAATGTCGGGCAAAGTGATCGGTATACACCGGTGTGTGTATATATACGTATACATGCACACATATATCGGGCATTCGAGCGAAAGGCAGGCTGATATTCTCTACCCCCGACCTGAAACCTACTCGTCCCCGCGCCGGTGACCCACATGCGACGACGACGACGACGACGTACTGTACTCGTGGTGGTGGTTTTAGCTTTTAAAGGGGCGCATACGTAACACTTATACCCAGACGTTTCCGAGAAAAAAGCTTGATCGGGGCCGCGAGACGATGATCTGACAGACAGAAATTCAAATGGATTCGAGGAAAAATATGTCGTCGGTCATTTGTATATTTCAACCCCCTTTTTCCACCCTCTTCTCGAGTGACACGAGGAGAGAGCACTGAGGTGTACCAGCTTGCTTAGACTCGATTGCGTCAACGTCACTCTCGTGAGCTAACTTTGGATGTAATAAGAGCTTGGCTGCGTCTCTGTATCATGCTGAAGACTCTAATCCGATGGGGGAGAATGTAATCCCAGAGGGATGGCGCGATCGAACTTTGCGTTAAATATTGATGAGCGGTGAATTTTAATTGGAAATAACTCGAACTACGCGAATATGTCGCATGATGGAAATTTAATTTTAATCTTGATTTTTTTTTATACGTTCGTAATCTTTTTTTTAATCTCGTTTCGTCCCTCGAAGAAAGTCGGGAGAGACCGGTCTTTCTGTATCATGTCTGTAATTAATATTAAGCTAATAGTGTGCGGATTAAATATTTCCATATTTGCATGACATGTCAGACAGACGTGTAAACGTCTACTCGCAAGGAATATTCATGAGTTTTAATTACTCTTCGCTCTCTTCCCCGCGAGATTTTAGCAAAACTTGTGTTGGATTTGCAAAGTAAATGAGTCTCGCTGATATTCGGAAATATATATATGTATGTATATATACACTCGAGTTTAAGATCTGGAACGGAGAGTCTCATTCCAAGTTTAGCAACTCGCTCGCCTCGTCTTGTATATGTGGGGAATTATTAATATATGATTGAAAATTCCCTCGGAAATCCATATACGACCGATACACGCGCCGACACATGCACACATGCACCCATGCGCGCGCACATAAGCAATGCATAACGTGATTAAATGACGCGACAGGATAGGATCAAAGTAAATATGGAATATTCCACGATCGAATGTCTTTTCAATGAAAAAGGAAAAATATGAACCAAGTAAAATTTCATAATATGACCATCAATAATCTATCAGAATTTTAGTAAAATAAATCTCGTAATTTTATTTTGAATTTATTTTGATACAAATTTAATTTAACTTTATCTTGTGGCATTTAAAATATTGCACGCAAAATAAATGTTTTGAACGGACATTTATTAAATTGTATTAAAATTGTTTCAAGATTAAGGGTTATTTATAGGTTGTCAGTTGACATTAGAGCAAAGCAGCTTGTCAGCTGATCGACTAATCCGCAACTGTCAACTGGCAACCTATTATGGAATGATCCTAAATGTCAGTTCCTCAAAAAAAAATCCTTCCAATTTGATGTTTCTCCAAGAAACATTAAAGGAACATTTATTAAATTATATTAAAATTGTTCCAAGATTAAGGGTCATTTCACAATAGATTGCCAGTTGACATTAGAGCAAAGCAATTTGTCAGCTGATTGATTAACCCGCAGCTGTCAACTGACAACCGGGCCATTGTGGAATGACCCTAAATGTTATAAAAATGTCAGTTCCTGAAAAAAAATCCTTCCAACTCGATGTTTCTCTGAGAAACATTAAAGAGACATTTATTAAATTATATTAAAATTGTTTCAAGATTAAAGGTCATTTCACAATAGATTGCCAGTTGACATTAGAGCAAAGCAACTTGTCAGCTGATTGATTAACCCGCAGCTGTCAACTGACAACCGGGCCATTGTGGAATGACCCTAAATGTTACAAAAATGTCAGTTCCTGAAAAAAAAATCCTTGAAGGAGAAAAATCCTTCCAACTCGATGTTTCTCTGGGAAACATTAAAGAGACATTTATTAAATTATAATAAAATTGTTTCAAGATTAAGGGTCATTTCACAATAGATTGCCAGTTGACATTAGAGCAAAGCAACTTGTCAGCTGATTGATTAACCCGCAGCTGTCAACTGACAACCGGGCCATTGTGGAATGACCCTAAATGTTACAAAAATGTCAGTTCCTGAAAAAAAAATCCTTAAAGAAGAAAAATCCTTCCCACTCGATGTTTCTCTGAGAAACATTAAAGAGACATTTATTAAATGATAATAAAATTGTTTCAAGATTAAGGGTCATTTCACAATAGATTGCCAGTTGACATTAGAGCAAAGCAACTTGTCAGCTGATTGATTAACCCGCAGCTGTCAACTGACAACCGGGCCATTGTGAAATGACCCTAAATGTTATAAAAATGTCAGTTCCTGAAAAAAAATCCTTCCAACTCGATGTTTCTCTGAGAAACATTAAAGAGACATTTATTAAATTATATTAAAATTGTTCCAAGATTAAGGGTCATTTCACAATAGATTGCCAGTTGACATTAGAGCAAAGCAACTTGTCAGCTGATTGATTAACCCGCAGCTGTCAACTGACAACCGGGTCATTGTGGAATGACCCTAAATGTTACAAAAATGTCAGTTCCTGAAAAAAAATCCTTGAAGGAGAAAAATCCTTCCAACTCGATGTTTCTCTGAGAAACATTAAAGAGACATTTATTAAATTATATTAAAATTGTTCCAAGATTAAGGGTCATTTCACAATAGATTCCCAGTTGACATTAGAGCAAAGCAACTTGTCAGCTGATTGATTAACCCGCAGCTGTCAACTGACAACCGGGCCATTGTGGAATGACCCTAAATGTTATAAAAATGTCAGTTTTTGAAAAAAATCCTTCCAAGTGAATGTTTCTCTGGGAAACATCCCGAGACGCCGATCGATCATAATCGAGTTACGATACGCAGGCGACATCGATAAGTCCTGTATGCACCCTTGTATGCGCAGCTGCCGTGCACCCATAGCAAGTCTGGATTGCATGGAAGAGTTCAACGGCGGCGGCGGCGGAGGCGGAGGAGGTGCAGACTCGGGCGTGCACTGCAGCAACACGGCCGGAACGAAAGAGCAGCTACTAACTAGCTGCATTGCCGCACAAGCGCAACGTTTGCAGCACCCTTCGCCAGGTATTCGCTACCGCAACTTGGGCAAAAGCGGTCTACGTGTTTCCAATGTTGGATTAGGTACGCTGAATGTATTCCCCGGACTTTCTTCTTTTAGAGTCATTTCTTCAGATTATCTCTCTCTCTTTCTCTCTCTCTCTCTCTCTCTCTTGCGAAGGCTGCTTTTCCACCCCCTCGGCTTTGACATACATATGTTTACATATACAGGGTGTGAAAAGGGCACTCGATTATTTCGGAAACATGACAAAAGAATGTTTCATACAAAAGTCGTCGGGTTTAAAATGATCTATTTAATGATTTTATCAGTTTGACCTTGAATGACGTGGCCAAGGTCAGGGTAAGGTCGTTTTAAATTTTTTTAATGAAACCCCTATTTTTTATTACCTATTATTGTAGCTTATCTTGAGAACTTTCCGAAACATTGTAATTAAGTTATTTTTTATGAAGTATTTTGCGAGTTACGACCTTTGAAGTTTACAGTGCTTTGACATAAAATATAAAACGTCTTGCGAAATACTTAGTTTTCAGTAATCTCGCTTTTTACCTTGATACTTTTGCGCAACAGAATGAGACCAATCGATTGGCGTGAAAGGAGCACATAGGTGCTTTAAAAAAAGCTGCAATTTTCCAACGTATATTTAAACAAATCATTTTTCAAACCTCAACTTTTCGCACGAAAACGATTTTTCCGTAAAAGATCGTCATAGGTTTCCGAAATAATCGAGTGTCCCCATCTTTTTGTTGCACCCTGTATATAAATATACGTGGAACCACCACCTTTCTCGCGACGCGTACACGTGTCGCAAATCGATCCTGAAATGCATACACACACCACGCGGCTATCGGATTTTTATTATGCGGGTCCCAACCCTCTTCTCCTTCCGCAACGAGACCGTGGCTGTCAATTCGCGTCTTCGCGTTTATTATTTATTTAATACTGTCTTCCCGCCAATGCACACTTTTCCATTCCGCGGCCTCCGAAAGGAGGACGCGAAATATACGATATATACTTTATGGTCGATCGAGTTTGCGTGTATGTGTGTGTGTGTGTGTGTGTGTGTGTGTGTATGAAATGGCTGAATCGGTATTCATGTATAGCTTGCGTAGACACAAAACACACATTGCGCTGCATATGATATCTAGTGATCGCTTCAAGTTACTATAACTATACACGGAGAGAATTTTCTCTTAGAATTTATCCTGAAAATCATGGGAATCGTGTTGGAAGAATTTTATGAGTTTCTCCGATTAATATTTAGCACGATAAAAAATATTAATATGTACATACTCGATTAAAATTAATTTTATATATTAATATTTTTATTTGTGGTAAATATTAATGAGAAAACTCTTATAAAATTCTTTCAATATTCTTCCGCGATTACCATGATTTTCAGGGTAAATTTTAAGAGAAAATTCTCTCTGTGTACATACTTTCTGACGACATTGCACATTTTTTTCAGAAAAAAAATTTTTTTTTTTTTTAATTTAAACATCATGAAAAATATAAATATCGATGTAAAATTATTCTTTTAAAAACTGAGTAATTTTTCTGCACATATATTGTTTATACATGAGTCAGATACAAATAATAATAGTTTATATTGGATTAGATGCGAAAACAGATGTACACATCAAAGGAATATTTTATATCCTGGTAAAACTGAACTATTACTATAAAAAGACGCAAAGGAATATCTGAAATTTTTGCATGCTTGAAAAATGTATGCTAATTTAGAGGAGATATAAATTTTCTCTCGCGATGTTACTTTGTGAATTCCTACAATTTCACAGATTCTACCGCGAAACGCCTCGCTCGCTGTTTTCCACGTAAATGATTGTTATTTCTTGAACGCATAAGCTTCCAATTTTCCTGCGCAATGTTCTTACGTCAGCAAGGCCGACTTGATATCCTCGAAGTATCAATTTGAAGCAATTTATTAATAAAGATTCTTTGAAATTAGACGCAACAAGTTTAAGAACACTTAGGAAACGAATTATATAACTGAATCGACAACATGAAACTTTCTAGTTTAAATTTAATTTAGTAGTAATTTTATTTATAAACAGAGTCCGCAAAGACAGAGATTATTACTATAATTATATTAATTTTGTCGAAGCTTTGGATATTCTTGGGAAAAGCACAAATTTTTAATTTATCCAATATTAAAGTCTTTTAGAAATATGTAGCTACATATGCATGTAAAATGATTAAATTATTATAAAAACACAAGTTAAATAAATTGAAATCAATAAATAATAAGAAAACTACGAAATATTAATCAGTTTCAAAATTTAAAAAAAAACCGGGTTAAGTGCGAAGAACAAAATTATTTCTTATAGAATATAATAAAACTATTCGTATAAAAATAAAATTAATTACCGCGGTTTAACAAAAGTGATTAATTTAATAAGTAACAATACATATTTTACTTTCCTTTCCTCCTTTTTTGTTCAGCTCCGCTGTTCCTTTTTCTACCCTTCACTTGCAGCGAAAATACTAATTACAAACAACTAATGAAACATTCATCATGAGTACGGATAATCAGCAACACGATCACGCGACACTTTGCACGACGATATTAATTAATCTTATACTCGAGGCGCACTTTATTATAATTGCGATCGAAAAAAGGAAGAAAAATACGAAAATTACGTGAAATATTATTAGGATTTACACGCAACATTCTTGCAAATTCGCGCGAACTCTATATGTCATCGTACTGTTCCTTGTTTGCGGAAAATATTAAACATGACAATTATTTTATTAACTATTATTAGCTCGCGCAATTAATTAATTCTTGCGATAAACAAAACGTACAATCGTCGTGGCCAAAATATATTTAAAATATATATAATATAATATAATGTATTTTGTATATAAGATAAGAGCAGAGAGAGGAAGAGAGGGAGAGAGAAGGAGAGAGAGGAGAAGAGATAGGGGAAAAAAGAGAGAGAAGAGAAGAGAAGGTAGGGAGAGAGAAGAGAATAGAGAGAGAGGAAGAGAGAGATAGAAAATAGAAGAGAGAGAGAGAGGGGAAAAAGAGAGAGAAGAGAATAAATATATAGATATATAATATAAGATAATAGATATATTATATATATATATATTTATATATATATATATATAATATAATATATATATAATATAATATATATATATATATTAATATATTATATATAAATATATATTATATTATATATATTTTAAAATATATTTTGGCTATAGCCACGACGATTGTACGTTTTGTTTATCGCAAGAATTAATTAATTGCGCGAGCTAATAATAGCTAATAAAATAATTGTCATGTTTAATATTTTCCGCAAATATAATATATATAATATAATATATATAATATATAATATAATATATATTAAATATATTATATATATATTTTTTATATACGTTTCCTGCAAAATATATTTTACAGGACATATATTTCACATAACACATCCACTTGAACTGGAGGAATCGAGACGATAAAAGACGGGGAAATCATAAAGTGTTGTTTTATCGCGACATATACGAGCTATGATTACATCCGTAAATATGTGATTTGAAATGATTATACGTTCGATTTTTCCATTCGCATAATTCGCCTGTTCTCTGTTGGAAACGCGCTGCTTTTATTAACAACGAAACAACGATTTATAATCCAATTTACTTCGATTTCTATCTCAAATAAACGTATACACGCTCAAACAGTCGCCGGAATCGCATCAGCTGATAACTGCTAATTGCTAATAGTTCTCGGATTTAGTGTCCCCCGTTCGTACCTTTTGTGATTGGGAGGATAACGATACGACACGTATTGCTTATTCGAGCTTGAATCTCGTCGCGCTAATGTCAACAAACGCAAATGTCAACAATCATTCACGAACATTGGCGCTAATACAATAACACGCTATAACAATTCAGAATAAATTGTTCAATAAATAGTTTTGCTTTTGGGAACGCGAGGAGAATAAACCTACAAAAATTCAGCGCTATTTATACTTTTGATTATACAAAGCGCTTTGTATGATTTATTTAACGCGATGAATTTTTATACGAAGTTAAAAAAGTAAAAGAAATAATAGAAAAAATATACCTGTGTAAATAAATACTCTCTGCTAAATCAATTATTGTTTTTTTATGTGAATGTAAAATAAATATAAAGTATAAAATTCTGAAAAAGTATTTTTTAATATAACATTTATTGATTAAAAAAAATTAGCTGCTCCGAATCTTATAAAACTATTTTTTTTCGCGATGTAACGCAAATATTCCGTGAAAAAAACTTTATGCTTTTTTACGTTGTCGTTTATTTATAGTTTGTATATTCGATCATTATTTCATCGTCTTACGTATGTAGACGCGGAATAAAAATAATTAAATTGAAAATTAAATTTATTTTATTTAATTTCATGGAATTAAAAATAGGCATTTTTTAAAATAGTCGCGCGGACTGATAAAATTGCTAATTATAAAATAATCGTACAAAACGATCGCACATTTTGTATGATATTACATATGATAATACAATAATATATGGAGCGTGTCTAACATCTTCTCGCTCGAGTCTCATTGTGCAAATGACGACAAGGCTGTGGAATGTTAGCGCGCATATGTATATATACCTATATCCTACCAGCACGTCAATCACATCCCCCACCAAGCGCGAAAAATATTTTGGCAACGAATTATCAATAACATATGTAGTGTTCGGCCTTGATATGTCTAGCGCGCTATTGTTGACGTAACTCTGTTATTATCCACGTGCCGACGCATTTAAACAGGAAAATAGTGCACTGAACAAAAAATTGTTATAAATTAGCAAATATTTAGTTCAATACTGTCAAACGAATCATTCATTTGAGACAAATAAATATAATATTTATAATAAATATAATATTTGTTTGTTTTGAAAAGGATTTTTTGATGTCAAATAAATATTTTTCATATATAAAATAAATATTATTAGTTTCAAATAAATGATTTATTTGACCGTGTATTGAAATTAATACTCATAAGAATTAAATTATTTTTTTTTAGTGTGGATGGACGCTATCCTTTTTTAAACGCGATTATACGATAAAATCGAATTGAATTTATTTAATTCTACACGGAGAGAATTTTTTCTTAGAATTTATCCTGAAAATCCTGGCAATCGTGGGACAATTGGAAGAATTTTACAAGAGTTTCTCTGATTAATATTTACAATAAAATATTAATATCTATTATAAAATATGTTTGATTAATTTTACTATATGTACATATTCATATTTTTTAGTGTGATAAATATTAATGAGAAAAACTCATAAATTATCCATAATTTTCAGGTTAAATTTTAAGAGAAAATCTCTCGTTTTAAATATTGTCGAATATTTTACGTAGATATTAAATTACATTATTTATTAGGTTTAATTACGGAGCTTATTACCTTCATTATTCGATTCTGCGATTCGATATTATTTTACTGCATATTCTAAATCCAAATTATATTTAGATCGTCGAAAGAGTCCAACAATAAGCGTCTCGCACCATTATTTTCCTGTTTAAGTGTGAATGATAACAAAGTCTAATAAATAATTAATTTATACTTAAAAAATGCTTGTATAAAAAAATGTAATATTCGTATAAAGGCCATTTTTATATGTATATGTAGCCTGCTTCTAAGTATTACTGAATTTTTAAATTTCACGAATGAAGCAGTTTTAATTAAATTTAAATTTAATTTGATTAATTAATTTTTATTTAATCAAAACTACATTATCAAATTATTATATTATATATAATCATTTTTATCTCGCTACAATACAGATTACGACATACCTTAATCCGAATGATAATTAGATCGTCGAAAAGAGTCAAACAATAAGCGTCTCGGATTATTTTTTCGAGTGTTGACGCGTGAATGATAAAATAATCGGATAATTAATTAATTTATATTTCAAAGTGCTTGTATTAAAAAATAATTAATATTCGTATGCAGGCCATTTTTATGTAGTCTCCTAAGTATATTATTGAATTTTAAATTTTCATATAGCAGTTTTTAATTTAAATTTAATTCACTTAATCAATTTTCATTTAATCAAACTTATATATTATATGTTATCAAATTATTATTATACATTATATATATATATATATATATATATATATATTATTATTATATCATTATTATTATATTACGTATAATAATTTTTGTATTACACGTGCAGGCAAAGTGGCACTTTCGGTGCATGTTTTCTGTGCGGGAAGTGGCCGATTTCCCCCGCCGCCATCTAGCGGCGACGCGGTGAGTGAATAAGCCGCGTTCAAAGCCATTATCTACGGCTCAGCCGCGTTAAAAGTCATTGTATACGGCTGAAGCCGTAGGCAATGTATTGAACACGGCTATTCCCTCACTGTGCCGCGGCAAGATGGCGGCGTGCGATCGGCCGCCTCGCGCACAGAAAACTCGCAGAAACAGCCACTTTGCCTGCACTTGTAATACAAAATAGTATGTGTATCACGTGCGGATTGACAATTGTTCACTCGTGTGGGGTGGTCCCCCGCACTCGTGATCAATTGTCAACTTTCCGCACTTGATACACAATATACTATTATCTCGCTAAAATACGCTTAAGATTTCCACAAAATGGAGGAAATGAATTTCTCGCGGAGCTTGAAAATAAATTCGAGGGCCGGCCTTGCACGCTAGCATCTTCTCTACCTTCTCTAGGACGGAATGTCTGGCTTTCTTTTGCGAAATGCGGATAACGAGAGCTAATAAGTGTGCTGATACCATTAGATACCGGCCGGATACACACAAGCGGATACATTATATACGTCAGTTTCTCGATGTCGTCGCGAGAACGACGCGTCTCGCGACGTCGATATCCCACGGATCCGAAACGATCGCTGATGTCGCTTGATTGGTTTTATGGGCGCAGGAACGTGGACCACCTTCGGCGTAGGCGGCTGCGGCAGCGAGGAGACCGCGGAGGCCGTCGTCGCGCTCGCCTACGACAGCGGGATCAACGTGTTCGACTTGAGCGAGGCTCACAGCGGCCACCGCGCGGAAATCCAATTCGGTCGCATCCTGCTGAGGCGGGCCTGGAATCGTTCCAGTTACGTCGTCACGACGAAAATCTACTGGAACACCAAGTGAGTAGAAGGGTTACACGTGTCCCGGCGTGTATATATTAGATATGCGCGTGTTTCTCGGTGTCATTTGGTGGCGTCGTCGTGTGCGATGATGATGCGTGTTTAGCGAGCATTATATCATATAGCGAGGAGCGACTGTCTACATACATGCATATTTATATATATATAGAGGTGGCTCTTGTGTCGGTGGCTCTCTCGATGTTGTTGTAACGCTGCTGCACGCGAAAGCGCGAACAAATTTTTTTTTCTTTTTTTTCATATATATATATATTTATATTTATATATGTATGTACGGGGTGCGTCTAGATGAGTGCGGAAGATTTGAGGAGATGATTGCCTTGCCGAAAATTAAGGGGGTTTCTTATCTAAATATTTATTCACTATTCCTGAGGATTTTTTCTTAATTATTGATTTTACAAAAAAATAACGCATATTTTTAGATGGTCCGATGAAAAATGAAAAAGGGGTTGTTGGTTTCATTCTCTTGTAACGATGGAGGAAGATCAAAAAAATATGAATATTTTTAATTTGTCTGAAATTTGAGAAAACAATAAGATTTTTGTTCATATAAGAAAGCACCCTTAATTTTCGACAAAGAATTATCTGCAAAAATTGGTCGCACTTGTTTAGATGCATCCTGTATATGTACACACATACACACGTGTTGTGCTTCTCGATCGATGGCTTCAGTGTATAATCGAACTTACCGCTCACCGACCTTGCGAACTTCATCCCTTTCGCGAACGTTTCCCTTAGCGTATTCTATGTAGACCATAATATTACATTAGACGTTGTACGTGATGCTTGTACCAGGACCGTAAAAAGTAGATGAATTAAGAAGAGTGTCTTTTTTCTTTTTCTCGAAATTTTTTTCTCATTTTCGACAGTCGAGTTACGAAAATAATTGTATATGAATTTTTTTTTAGGACTGTAGAGAACCCTGACTTTTTTCTCGAGCAGAGAGCGGATAGATTCTCGGAGAATCGAATTGTTTTTTTCGTTATCGTTCAAGACCGAACACACTGAAAGTTGCCAATCATTTCACAACTCGAAGGCTATCGATACCTTATCACACATTTATTTACCGATCGCATATCTCGAACAATATTGGTACAGAAAAAACTGAGCCTTTCCTTAAAACATCCATTCTCGAAATATATCGCGATGCCATCGACGGATGACAATTAATTGGCGGGACGGCAACAAATACCCCGGGTTAAATCGCGTTTGCCGCTCTTATATATATTTCAGGAACGCAAACTCGATAAGGAAGAGATACTGGTGCAAAAGTGAATCTCGCCACGAGAGACGACCTCGTTTAATATTAAGCGAAACGGCGCGCGAATATGAGGCTCTCCGCCTTGACATGTGGATCGATAACTAGGTTTCCGTGCATTAAGCATCGCAAACCGCCTTGTTTGTTCGCTCGGAACCCGGGGGTGTATAATCGCGAAAGCAAAGAGACCATATACGCCAACGCAAATACATATGCATAATATATATATATATATATATATATATATATATATATATATATATATATATATATATACACACAGGGTGTCCTATAGGAAATTGTTGAAATTAATCAGCTGTCATTTTTTAATGCACGCAGTTAAAAAAATGTGTTGAGAAAAGAGGAAAGTCTGCAGGTTTAAATAAAATTTGTATTACACGTGCAGGCAAAGTGGTACTTTGTGTGCGTGTTTTCTGTGCGGAAAGTGGCCAATTTCCCACGCCGCCATCTAGCGGCGACGCGGTGAGTGAATAAGCCGCATTCAAAGCCATTGCTTACGGTTGAGCCGCGTTCGAAGTCATTGTTCACGGCTGAAGCCGTGGGCAATGCATTGAACACGGCTATTCCCGCACCAAGATGGCGGCGTGCGATCGGCCACCTCGCGCACAGAAAACGCGCACAAAGCCACTTTGCCTGCACTTGTAATACAAAATAGTATGTGTATCACGTGCGGATTGACAATTGTTCACCAATTGTCAACTTTCCGCACTTGATACACATAATATACTATTGTGTACCAGTTTATTTGATTGAAAAAAAAGTAATGAAAAATACTAATAATCACGTGTGTAAACTAATAATAAATATTTTCGAAGTGCACACCATTTGAATCTGTATAAAATTCTACTCTTTTACTCGTGAAAACTTTTTCTAACTTGTTATCTTTAATGTTATCGACGATCCTTTTAATAGCTGCTATAAAATCTGTTGAAAATATATATCATTACTTTATATGATTATTAACACTTTTTTCATTACTTTTTATCGATAAAATAAACTGGTAAACTGCATACTTTTCTCTTTCCAACGCAATTTTTATTTTCTCAATAACTGCATGAATTAAAAAATGACAGCTGATTAGGTTCAACAATTTTCTATGGAACACCATATATATATATCTCCATTCTTACGAAATTCATTAGTAGTAATTAATCCAAGTTTTGCAGCAATTATATTTATATCTATTGATGACACATGAGATTGATAATATCTACCATTCTTGATAGGACCGAGGGTCGCGGGCTATCGCGGAAACACATTATCGAGTCCGTGCAAGCTTCGCTCGTCAGGCTGCAACTGTCGTACATCGACATTGTCATGATCCACAAAGTCGATCCAATGTGTCCGATGGAAGGTAACTTTCCACCTCCTTAATATTCTCTTGATGCGAGTGACACTCTCAAAGATTCGAATCCTTCCTCGAATCCGTTCCTCAAGTACAAACACTTGCGGCACAAAACTCACTGCACATAAACTCCGAGATATATACCCATATTGTAACTTTGATATTGAATTTTTCAAGACTCTTCTGTCGGCGTAACGTTTAATTTCAGGAGAGACATTGTTGTTATTTATATTATTGGAGAAGCGAAGAGAGAAAAATTATCTGATATTGCGAGAACGTGTGAAATTAAAATATATATACTAAAGATAAAAGCTTGAATGTGAGATATCGCACGTAAATCAAATCGTATCAAATGATACTGCACTTTGAACGATTTGTTTCAATTTTTTTCCGAAAGAAAATAATCTTTAATAAATTCTTTATTCTTGATTTAAATTAAAAAAATTTCTAATCGATTACATACTTGATGATTTATAACATTTAAACGCGAAGAGCTGAAAACATTCTATTCCTCATCAATTTTGGCAATAATCTGCTCGAAAAGCAATTCTCTCCATAGAGAAATCATTCCGTAATAAATTCTGCTTTTCATGGATAAAGGTAAAATTATTTTCATCAAAATTAATCGCAAATTGAAATTGATTTGAGTTTTTTTTTATATTTATGAAACACGAGTCCATTGAATAGTGTTATGCAATGCAATTATTTTGACTTCATAATTAATTAATGTCTTTTTTTTTTAGTTGATCTTAAGGGAAATCCGATAAATTTCCATATTGCATAACGCAATTCAATTTCACAGAAAAACATAAAAAATCTTGTCAGTCCATATATACAAGAAATTTGAAAAAGGGATTGAATAAAGTTATACGAGGAAAAGATCTCCGTTTATATAGTGACGATTTGATGTTTGGCAGTTGCACTGTGCCGTAATAGTTACCGTATGCTTCTTTCTATATATTCAGTATACTCTTATATATAGTGTAAAATGGAAAGTTATTGTCGTAAAAGTATGTATATATGTACCTCGTATGTTATTTATTTTCTTTTTATCGATATGTGTACAAACTTCCTCCTGTGTTTATGTATCGCGTTAAATGTATGCTTCAATATCGTGCAAAAAGAAACACTAATGTATGCAAGTGAAAACTATTTTGGCTATTTTACCTTTATCCTTCCGTACGCTTTAAAACACATTTCTCTGCTTTCTCTATCTCTCTTCCGATAGATATTTCTCTCTCTTTCTCTCTCTCTCTCTCTTTCTCTTTTTCTCTGTAATAAAAATATTCATTTAACAAGAGAGGACTTGACGCATCGTTCATCAATTCATTTCGGCAATTTTTCCACACGCGATGAAGGAAGGCTCCTTCGTCGTCCCTCTTGTACCTTACTGTATCTTTCGCGTGATCTCATTTCAGAGATCGTTCGCGCTATGAATTACGTTATAAGCAAGGGTTGGGTAATGTACTGGGGCACGTCGCGATGGTCCCCCGTGGAGATTATGGAAGCCTACACGAACTGTCGACAGTTCAATTGCGTGACGCCGATCGTCGAGCAAGCGGAGTACCATCTGTTTTACAGGGAGAAGCCCGAGCTCTACATGCCGGAGTTGTATAACAAAATTGGTAAATTAATTTCTCTCGATTTTTTTTTTTTTTTTTTTCGCAATCCGTTTCTTCCCTCGACCTCCTCATCAAACCCTTTTGTCTCTTACAGGCGTCGGTTTAATGGCATGGTCCACCGTCACCATCGGAATGGTCTCTTCAAAGCCGGAAGATTGCGGAGTATCGTTCCTCTCGAGATCCTCTTATAAAGTAAGTATATATGTGCAGGGTTTGAACAAAATCAATATTTATCTCCAAAAATATTGTTTCGATACGTAGAAAAATATTTCGAATAAAAGCTGTAGGGTTTTTCGAGGGAGAAAGAAATTGGCGTTACTGAACTTTTTCCTAAAGACCGACTTCAAGGTCGTTTGAAGGTCAAATAAATCGATTCCTCGTGGACTATTCATTTTTTGACCATTCTACTCTTATATCACTTTTCAGACAGAATTTCGATAAAGAAAAATATGGTGGTGCCGTTTAAAGGAACAAATGACCTTCAAGACCTTGAAAATTTTCTACGACTTTTATTTGAAACATTTTTCTCTTGAAACTGTATGTTTGGAGATAAAAATTCGTAACGCTTTATTTGGTCCACCCCGTATATAGAGTAAGTAAGTGTGCGCGGATTTATGTAGTTTGTGGAAAATAATTTGATAAAAACGTCCCGAGAGTGTCTCGCGATCTTCCAAGAATTGTCAGAGCGAATACACTAGTAGTCTTCTCGCTCTTGATATTCTTGAAGTATCTTTCTTTTGCGACGCAAACTGTTGAAAATGAAGGATTGTGTATCCCGCAACAAGAAACAATCTCTGTGATTTCAGAACAAATACTCTTCGTTCAGTTGGACGGAGGATGAGACTCAATCTTTATACAAGGAGGTATGATATATCGTTAATAATCAAAGGAATAATGCTGCGCGCTCATTGCATAAAATATAATCGTAAAAGCACGCCGTATTTATTTCACTCGCATTTATTTCGAAGCTTGCATTCGCCGAGATCATTCGACGATATCGTAAATAAGTTGTAAAATAGAGATAACACGTTTTTATTATCCCATTAAATAAATGCGATGCTGAAGAAACGTCGTCTGATGCGGAAATACGATTTATTCTTGAATTAATTTTTTTTTTTTTTTTTATTTTGACAGGAGTACGCGTGGAAAGACAAATCCGCCGACGATGAGACTCGGAAATACTCGGATAAATTGCGGGATGTTTGCGCCCTGGCCGAGAGACTGGGATGTTCCTTTGGACAACTGGCCATCGCGTGGTCCTTAAAGAATGAAAGTGTTCAGTGCCTTCTGCTCGGTGCATCCAATATAGATCAATTGTACGAGAGTCTCCAAAGCTTACAGGTAACAAAGCCGTTTGTCCTCTCCATTTGAGTTAAACATATAATGTTTAGAGCATGGGCGGCCGCAGGATTTTTTCCGAGAGGGAACGTGATTAAAATTTTTTTATTCCTGATTTTTTTATTTTCTCTTAATTTTAAAAAATTTTCTTTTCTTTTTTTTTTTTTTAATATTAAATATGCAAATAAATTCCAGTGTTCTTGTCCTCCTTTGTGGACGCCCATGCTTTAGAGTGAACGACATCTCGTGTAAGATTAAGATCGAAATTACACTCTTCTTATCATCGTCAGATGATATCATTTAACGCCTTAAAGTCGCTTGTCAACAGAGTTTTAATTGATCTGTCATTGCGTTGCGAAACCATTTTTTCTTTATCAATTCTCGTCTGATAAAGAATAGGAGAGAGAGCTGTCTATATTTTCGAAGCTAATTAAATCAAAGCTAATTAGTTTCTCTCATTTAAAATTGCAATTAAGCCGTAATGCAGTTGAAGATCGTATAATGAATCTCACCGCGAAAGTCGCGGATTGGCGAGAAAAATAAGGAGAAAAAAAATGCGAATTTTCAGCTTATCCCAAAGTTGAACGCGAGCATAATGAGCGAGCTCGAGAGGATTCTTGACAACAAACCGTCCCGACCGCCGATGATATCCACCCTGGCGCTTAGATGACAATCGATGTGCCCCCACGGAAGTGGTGGGGGCTCCCTGGAGGAAGCGGGTAGTCCGAAGAGCGAGGGCGGCAACAGTCAGGATCAGGAGCAGACCAAGGAGGTGAACAACAAGATGTCGTTCTGCGAGATACAGTGAGATGCGCGGACGGCAGGCGACTCGCTGCCCTAAACAAATGTGTATAAATTGTCGAAGCCCGCGAAGAGGACCGAAAACGTCCGCGCGTCTCTCTCTCGTCGTCCACAGACACGCAAACAAACAAACAAACAGACACACACCCCTAGCATAGCACGACATATCCGAAAGATATTCAGAGGGCATTATCAGGATGTTCTCGGAACATCTTCGGGATATGTGCGCTGTTAGGGACGCGCACACATCCTCGCTTTCATCCCCTCGGTAGGTCCGAATTGTACATACGACACACACGAGTCGATGACAATACTTACTAATAACGAGAACAACATCCGGGAACTTGCCCGCGAGACCACCAAGTCGGGATACTTCTTCTAAGCACGATATTTGTATCTGCTCTCTCGCGTACGTCATTACGTGGATATACTTTTGTATTACACGTACAGGCAAAGTGGCACTTTGTGTGCGTGTTTTCTGTGCGGAAAGCGGCCGATTTCCCACGCCGCCATCTAGCGGTGAGTGAATAAGCCGCATTCACAGCCATTGCCTACGGCTGAGCCGCGTTCAAAGTCATTGTCCACGGCTGAAGCCGTGGGCAATGTATTGAACACGGCTATTCCCGCACCGTGCCGCCGCAAGATATCGGCCACCTCGCGCACAGAAAACGCGCACAAAGCCACTTTGCCTGCACTTGTAATACAAAATAGTATGTGTATCACGTACGGATTGACAATTGTTCACTCGTGTGAGGTGGTCGCACTCGCCTTCGGCTCGTGCGTTTATCCCCCGCACTCGTGATCAATTGTCAATTTTCCGCACCTGATACACAATATACTTTTACCAGTAGATTTTACGTAGAAGAGGATTATAGACGCGACGAGGAATCTTTCTCCCGTGTTACAGCGGAATCGCGTGTCGCGCTTTTCGAAAGCATTTTCCGAGAAAAGGTGATCAGGCTTATTCCACATAAGTCTCTCCGGAAGTCTCTCTATCTTCCTCCCACCCTCTCTTTCTCTTTCTCTTTCTCTCCCTCGGTCGGAGGATTTATCGTCGAGGTTTCCATTCGCGATTCCAAGTGTTCATTATTCTTAGCGTTAATTAATAATCCCGTTTGCTACTCACACTCGTAGTGAATGACCAGGAATTTGGAGTGTCCAGCAGAGTACATTCATTCCGCCACTCACTATAGTCGAGCAAGGGCGATTTGCGAACGACATAGCACGTCGATTATCATCTAAAAGTTACGTTATAGATCTTAAGGATTTATCAAGAACGAATACTATCAGTAATCGCCACGTTTTGAATACTCTATCCGATATTTTCTCACCTTCGATACACATCTCGTACACCACTTTATTGACTCCGGAAATCCGTCATGTATTTTCACCACGCCTAATTTTTCGCATTTTTTTTTTTTAATCAATTTCCTTTTCTATTTATTTTTATGGTCTCTGATTGTTTTGCATTAAAAACCGCGTATAAAGAATACTTTGAAAAATTAATTTTTTTTTGCTAGTGAATGAAAAGTCAGAGAGTAAATTACACGAGAAGAAAAAAGACGATAATTGAGAACAAGCAATTGCCGGTTTCGATGATCAATCGAATCGGTAGAATAAATCGAAATGGACGAAAAGTGGACTCTAGTAGAAAAATGAATTTTTTATTGAAATTCTATTTAATTCTTTAGTTTCCATTCACCTGTTAAATTGAATTCCTTGGATTGATAAATTTCTTAGCGGGATTATATTTTACATTTGTAATATTCTTGCATACGTTTGTGTTTCCTAAAACGCCATGTACTAATTAAATATTTGCAAATTCACAATCAAACTCGGATATACAATTACATGATAGAATTTTGAGGAATCTTCGAAGAACTGGACAGTTTGTGCACAAAAGATTTAGTTCAATAGATATGAAAAAGAGACGACGTTTGTTTAGCTCTCCCACACAAGAACTTTTCGCTTTGAAAGAGATACAGCACATTCTCAGGAAAGATCATTTATCTTGAAGAGAGACTTGCGAGATTCATAGTGATCTCTACGATTACATCTTTGTGCAAAGTGTCGATGCTTCTGACAAAGAAGAACTATTTTTTTTTCATTTATCTCGCGCGTTGCTTTTAAAAAAAAATGTTGACAGAGTCATCACGATACGTATCATATCTTCGTTATAATAAGCTTTTCCGATCCATTCAAACATATTGCTCAAGTATGACAGATTGTGAGAAAATTTCTCGCTCTCCGTAAAGTTTAAACTATATATTTAAAAAAATATCGCGCGCATTCTTCGGATTAAAATCTGCAGTCGAATTTTCAATTAAATCTCGAAATCCTCTTTTTTCTAAATTTTGCGTGTGTACTAATATATCAAAGTATAAACGCATTTTTAAGCAGGTACACGAGAAACATACCTATACATTAAAACTACATTATTATAATCTCCTTCGAACCAAAAAAAAACCAACACACACACATACGCGTGCGTTCGTTTTATATATGATTATTATTATTCTTTTGAACTCTTTTCTCACTCAAAAAGAACGAAAGTGCGATACGCATTATCAATATTTCGCATCCGCGCGCGTGATGTAAGTTAAACTCATTTTTACGAGTATGTATAAAAATGCGGGAATTTTCTTCGCGCACTTTCTCTCTATCTCTCTCTCTTTCTCTCTCTTTCTCTCTCTCTCTGTACAGAATATCATTGACATTTCACTTAATCTTGTCAAGCCAATTATCGATGATAAATGCGAGAGAGCCTCTTGGAAATTGTACGATGTTGTCGCATGCTCTCAGAGAGAAGGGGATTTAATAATGGAAGCTGCCAGTACGCTTTTATCGCGCGCAATAACGATCTCTTCGAACTCAGAACTTTTGTCCGCGAAACGTTATATATAATACATATATATATATAATATATATACATATATACATATAGATACAGAGCGAGAGATGTAGGTGATCTAGCGTAAATATTTGGAAGTGATAGGGAGCGGAAGGAAAGTCTCTACACAAATCGAACATCGCGAGCAAATATACATATAATAATTCGCATTAACGTATATATATTAACAAACCGGAAAGAAAAGCGATACTCATCCGGAGGGACTGTTAATCGTCATCGATTCGTCAATCATCCGTTATTTTGTACATTTCCGAATATTTACGATGTAAAAATGCCGATCTGCTCTTGTTGCCGACGAAGGGATTATCGAAAGGATTATCGGTGAAAGCTGCGCGCGGAGATAACGAAAACCCAGATTCGAGAGATCGTTTATCTGATGTCGCTCTATAAAGATAAAATTGACGGCACAAGTAAAAAATTGACACGATGCTTTATTTAGTTAGTATCATTTTAATATGCAATCGGTTCTTTCCGTGACGAGCTTCTGCTTTTACAACCGCTGTAATTAGGTAATTAATTCGTCCTAACGAGAAAAACGCTTCGGAGGAGAAAAAGATATATATTTCCAGAGAACAGAGTTTTCATTTTGCCACTTTTACGCAATATTTCGTTATATCCCGATTGTCCCGATGCTATATTATCGCTTGTAATATTATATTAGTATATTATCTTAGATTGAATCAGATCGAATGAATTTATTCTTAAAAAAAGTCAGATTAGACGAAGAAAAGTTTCCTATAATATATAATTATTTAAAAGATTTATATATATATATATATATATATATATATATATATGCTTAATTATTGCTTATCGTATTTCAATACAAGAAACGAATACACGTATATATTTTAATTGAAGTTCGTGCAGTTTATACACTTTACGTTTTTTTTTGTATACCGTAATAAAGATTAATATATTATCGCTAATAGGATGTCACAGTATCAATATTACAAATTTTGAACACAAAGCTAAGAAGCAGACTGCACGTTAATCCAGATAAGACACTCCTAAACTAAAAGTCAAGGGGATCCAGCGAAGACCAGTTTCCACTATTATAGCTTTTAGCGATTACATTATAATATTAATAATTTTTATTTGATTTTTACATATTGCCCACGAAGGACAAGCCATGTGTTAACGATCGACCATAATTAATATAAAGAAGATATATACATAATATATAAAGTTTTTTTATGATTTTTCCCAGAATATCGATTTTTACATACTCTCTCGATACTTTTTTCCTAAAATAATATGATTTACTCCAAATTAAGAGGAATTACTTAAAAACAAGAGAGACCTAACGTGTCTCACCGCGGCCTATTGCGGTACACCTGCCTTTACCGCCTTTACTTACTTATCGCCTGTTTACTCCCGTAAATAGGTACAATAATATACATATAGATCTCATATGCTGACATATAAAAGCGTAAATCCATATCGTATATATCTCCATATACGATACAAAGGCAAGGTACGGCAAGGCCGCAACGCCATATAATAGAGAGAAAAAAGCAATATATCCGAGTCCAACAAAATTAAAAAAAAAAAAAATATTTCCGACACGCGCAGAGTCCTTTTCCTAATCGTATCGAATAAAAAAAAAGAAATTAACGAATCGTCGTCATGATATTTTGTTGCCCGATCGTTTCCACGATTTTAAGAGCACGAAGAGCTTGATTCAAGTCTCGTAACGCTAAACCGGAAGAACAGCAATGGGAACGAGTCGTCGTCTATCTTGAGAGGTCCTGGTGCCCATCGCTAAGGGGATATCCTAAAGGTCATTGGGTATATCCGCGTACGGTCATTGGTGACATCCTGGATGACCAAAGGGGACCAATGCTGCGATGGGCTGGGATGATTTTATCACTGATGTCCCATTGCTGTGATAATTGGCTTGTAACTATTGTCACCGAATACGATGATGACACATTTCTTCCAATCATATGAAATATAAGATTTTCAACGAAGAGAGAAAGACATGGGCGTCGCAGGATTTTTTCCAGGAATGGGCATAATTAACATTTTTTTATTTCTTATTTTTCCTTAATTCTTTTATTATTATTTTTTTATATTAAATATACAAATAAATTCTAGGCTTTCTTCAAAAGAAGAGCAAATGCTTAATTTTTTTACTGGTTCCAAGGGGAGGCAAATGGACGCCCATGGAAAAAGATGTATATTTTACAATGAAATTAGGAGTGAAAAAATGTGTGGCGCGAGATCGTATTTGGATGAAATTGCGAATTTATACACACGCGTAGTATTTATATGTAAAATTGATATTTGAAAAGAGGATTAAACTCTTTCTCAAACGGACTTGCTACATTTGGCGGTATTAAAAAAAAAAGTAATTGGACGTGACATCACGATCGCTTCGTGCTCGTAGAATGCGGAAACAGAATCGATATCAGAGAAGAAATGTCATGCCGTCCGCTTGTAAATATATATATAGCCAATTTATACTATAATGCATCAAGTTTGGGATGGGCGGATGGTACTTTTACGATATCGGGATCTACATCTCGTTTGCAATTTTTAGAGCGATTCTCTCTTCGAAATTACGTATATTTTTTTTGCAAAAAAATTTATGAAATAATACTTACAAATTGTAACCAGATCTTCATCTATAAACTCTGAATACGCAAAGAAAAATACAAACGGATCGCGCGCGATTGGCCCATCTCAAAAAAATAGAATACTTCAAAAACACTTTTGCGTCTTCATGATTTACAGCATTATATAACATCTAGTGTATAAAGATTATATATATAATAATTTTTATAATAAAAAAATATAAAAACTCACATCTATGGAATATTACTTATTAGGAAAGATATTGCATGAGTATATTTTATCGTGTTCTAAATATATACAACCTTTATCAAAGTCATTACACTAACAACAATGTCGATCCGCGAGTTTGCAAAGTTCATATCTCGTGTACAGAGCTAATTATAAAGAAAATAAGTTGAAAAATGAAAGAAAAATCTTTTTTTAATATCCTTTTTTCCTATAACGTAAGAAAAAAATAATTTTTATTATAAATTATATTTATATTCTAATATATACAACACAGTGTCCTTGATATATTGTAGATAAAATATAAATACATGAAACCAAAATGGAAAAAATATCTTGATGATAATATTTCACAATTTAATAATGATTTTTTTTTTCATTACGAGTAACGATGAAAAAAAGTATTTTCAATCGTTAGGAACTTTCGTTATTGCTTTTACATATATCTATGTATATAGAATAATCTCAAAGTTAGCAGAAGTATCTTTGATTCATTCTTATCTTTCTCGAATTGAACAATTGATTATACAAAAAAAATCTCGAATTGATTATACAAAAAAAAACTCGTAAAATGACGACAGAGTTTTTTAAGAACACATGGGTAAATTCACCGGGAAGAAGATGTTCAGTTCAAACAACAGAGCGAAAACTAAGAATATCGCGTACAATATCAGGCAAATGAGACCCACTTTTTTGTTCAATCGATACTTACAGACCGCAGTCACCGTGTAGAAAGCGATGACGCAGACAATGATCGAGAGCACGCTGTAACTTAGAGCGTCCGAGATGATCTTGATGTCCTTCTTGTGAATGAGTATCTTTATCATCCACGGTAAACCGAGACACAGCAGGATGTCGAGTGTGTTCGCGCCCAACGTATTACTCATCGCCATGTCTCCGTTACCTGTGGGAAGGAAAGGATCGATCCGAATCACCAGACGATGTTGTGCACAATTTTGTGCATTTCCTAACTCTCGGATCTCGGCCCTTTGACGAGTAAGTTTTTCCTCAATCGATTCCATCATAAATCAGCTCACCTTGTCTAGAGAGGATTACGATGGAGACCAGCTCCGGCATGTTGCCTCCTGCGGCCTGTAACGTGATGCCCATCACGGAATCCGGGATCCCGATGGTGTCGCCCAGAACAGTAGTCGTCCACGACGTCAGGTAGGAAGATATCGCGATCCATATCACGCACATGACGAACGTTATCAGATACCAATCTCGCCATCGTTTGTACCTGATGTCTGGCACGGTGAGAAACAACATCAGCTTCAACGGCCAGACGAACCAGAACCAAATTTTCGCCAGGTTTCCTCCGGTCGGCCACACAAAGGGTGTATCTAAAAGCATAGAGCATAACTCATCAGCGATTTGCTAATACTAAATATCGTTTTATATCTTATCGTAATATTTGATTTTGAAGCCCATTTTTCTCGTAATTGTAAATGAGTGATTGATTCGTATAGATACCTGGTTCTACATATTCTTCCGCTTGTTCCACGATTTGATTCGGCGTTTCCACGTCGGAGATAGACTTGCGACCGCTGTTGCTCGTCAAGCTCTTTTTTCGATATTCCGCCACGAGTTCTCCGTGGAAATAAGGCCTGTACGAACCGTCAGGCATTGACTCTTCCTTGTCTTTAGGAACTGTTGGATAATAAAATTCTTATGTAGGTCTCTGTACTCACTTCTAGAATTTTAGACAAACGTATAACTGAATAGAGTTATTGTTACGCGTTAAAGATTAGAGACTCGAGCATACTTTATCCTTCAAAATAATCAGCTTCATCCAAAGTTTATTCGTCGCGATATTTTAAAAAGAATTATGAATCGTTCATGTGTCGTAAAGACACACAAATTATAACATAAAATATTCAAAGCTCGAATCCACAGCAAGTACTTTTATAGCAGACGATCTGTGTTAGCTGTTGAGAAGCTTGATCACATCGTGGAAAGGCGTATGGAAATTGCACAAAACAGATATACTTCGAAGAGAAACTTACTTTCTTTTTCCGAAAAATTCGTTCTGCGATTCTTGTACAGACGCGCGAGTTTATTATGCCAACGTGCAAAGCATCTGCTGCAAAACAATATCGTCAAATAAATGACGAACAGTACCATGAGGATGATTGCTTCGTACAACTTGATTACGCCGTCCCACATCACGATTACTAAGATGGTGACCGATAGCGTGTAAAGTATACAATCTCGAGTTAATATTCGCCATTCTAATGGTATTGCCTGTTGGAAAATTTAAGAAAAAAATTGTTTTAATTTACTTTGACATATAACGCGGCAGAATGATGGCTCACTCTAATGTAAAAAGCTGTAGGAAAAATATAATAAAAAGTTATAGGAGAAATATAATAATAAAAAGCTATAAGAAAATGATAATATATTATAAAAATGTTGCGTGAGCTATCTCGATAATATTTATGTTAAATTAATTTTATGATCTTTTTTATATATGGAATTTTGCACACGAGCATCAATTGTGGCTCTTTTTGATATTGCTGATACAATATTTGCATCAATAATAATGAAATTGAAAAATTACAAGATATTTAAAGCGATATGTTACACACGCATTTATATTTTAAAAATTTATCGCAGTCAAAGTATCGGAATCAAAGATAAAATGAACAATTGAAAATTGGCTCGTATTTATCGAATGCAACAGTAAATGCCAGGGAAAAAATTCTGCAAATCATGAAAATATTTATAAAAAAATATTATTTACATAAGCAAATGTGTGTGATGTATATGTGTGCGCACATGAAATATTACTCACGAAATTCATGACCTTATATAGCTGATATAATTACACACATATTGCGCTTTATAACTGATATCCCGTAATGCAACACTTGAATAAGCACTATAATTTTTATGTTTACTTTGTAGAGTTTAATCAATTTTCTAGTTCACTGGTAACGGTGAACAAAATCGACAATTATGGTTTACAGAATTTCGTTTACAGAATTGTGAATTAAAAAAAATCTTTGAAGAGATAATGCAATAATATATGTGTCATTTGCTGAAGAATCTGTACGGATTAAAACAGAAAAATAAGCCATTGTGAATTTATTTTTCTCGTGTAATTAAATCTTTAGTATCACGTGCAACGATATGTCAATTAATTTAATGATAATAATCGAAAAAAAATAATCCGAAACAATCTTTGCAAATTTCTTCGCTCGCAACTTTTACATAATAGATTAAAGAAACAAAAAATACATGTTTCAATAAAATATATCATCACATTTAATAAATAAAAATATTTAATCGCATCAACAATAAACTCGCGAAGATTTTTCAATTATATTTTATGTATTAAATTATGATTATATTATAATTATATGATAATTAATTATATAATTAGATATTTGACATTATATGATGATATCGTGGAATAATTGTCACTGATATCTGAATCTCTTAGATAACAATTAAATGTTCGTGAACCACGAATTACTGCTGCTAATCGTAAATAAGAAAAAACGAATAATACACGAGATATATTAGTCTGCTTTGTGATTTGAGGTATTTTAAAGTAAGAAATGTATTATTTTCTGGGGCATTGTAATCTATGCATAAACAAGATTTTGCGTATCAACTGATTCGTATTAAGTAATGACATGTTATTAAAAATAACAAAGAGTGTAATCTAATTCTCTGGTTCTTCTTCATACTTCTCAAATCTCAATAAATCCCCATGATTAGATAATGAGTTTTATTAAACTAATCATAATTATTATTAAAACATTTCATATTCATTTTTTACACATCCTATATATATTTTTAATTAATAATTTTTTAATTTAAGAAATAGGTTTATATAAATGACGAATCAAATTAATATATGTACAATCCACATAAGAAAAAATGTTCTGTTTCGGGAATTAATAAATCACATATCGTCTCAATGAAATGACTTATCGTCGATAAAAAAAAATAATTTTTAACGATGATGTATTTATGTGCATATATAGATGACAAATCACAATCATGTATCATTAATAAAAATAATTGCTGATAAGCGAGATAGATAATAATACATCGATAATATTCTCATTATACAGTGGATGCTGATTTGCACAGAGAATTAGGGACTATTTTACTTCTATTTTTTTATTATTTATTATTTCTATTTTTCTTATAATTACCTTTATCAAAAGTAATTTCAATGTATTTTCTCAGACTTCAATTTTTATTTCTTTAACAAAAATTTGACAATAAAAATATATGATATTAGCCAATAGTTTCTAATAAATATCTCATACTTTAAGCCTTTTACAAATATAGAGATTTCAGAATTTATGTATAAATGTCAACTTTGGTATCTTTCCTCTACTTATTCGCGCGAGATTGCAGATACACATACGTGGTTAATACGTGGTAAATAGGACGTATCTGTATATGTAGATCTCTAGGTATACAAACTAATTGTAAGTAGGTTTCTCGTTGTCAGACGTATATTGTCATTATTCAATAACATTCCACGCGTTATTACTTAACTATAATATACTTAAGTGTACTCACGTGGGTCGCCGATAACGCGCCGCACGCTGGAGTCGCGAAGGTATTGAAGACCGCGCCACCCATGACGGTGCCGACCCCGAGGTCGGATTCCGTCAAAAAGGTGCCGATGACGTTGACAAAGAGCTCGGGAAAGCAGTTAGCGGTGGCAAGGAAGGTCGCCCCGGCGACGTCACTGCTGATGTTCAGGCGTACGCAAATGATGTCCAGGGTCGGCAGCAGGTAGTCGTTGCAGACGAAGGCCGTCAGGATGAAGCAGTAGAACCCGAAGAAGATGTGAAGCGCCGCCGCGCCTCGACGACGCTGCTCCAGAGTGAAGACCTCCGGGAACTCCTCGATCGAGCGACCCGTGCAGTTTTCTTCCGGTCTTGCGACATCCTCGAGCGGCGAATCGTCGTATCGGATCCGGTCAGCCTGGTTCGAACCGTCCTTTGGAAATTCTTCAAGGATCGAGATTGCGGATAAGTTCTCATCTATAATCGAGAAAGTCATTCTCACGGAGAGAAAAACATTTGGCTATAAGTATTGTAATTGCCCAGGTAGCAAGCGTATATCATTTTGACGTTTAATGACGTCAGTTTGCTACTTAGGTGGCTCTGTATTATTTTTCAATTGTTAATGTACTATGCATATAAAACAATGTGATATTTTTTGAACTGTAACATATTTTTTTTATCTCTATTTTGTTTCTAAAATATGCAAATATGTTCCTTTACCATGTATTTATTCTGAATATTATAACTTCTTTTATCTCTGCATGTGTATTTACAATTGTAATTTTACAAATATAAAAGTACGTATTTTAGACTATTTTTGTTCGTTTACTTTAAATTTTTTATACACATTTTCTCTATTTTTTTCTTTACATTTCTTTTCGCATTTTCTATTTTTTTGCAATAATTCAATGTACGTATTATTTTTACAGTTCATATTAGCAAAAAAAGATCATTAATAATATTATGCATATCAGAAATAGGTAAGACTTGGCATAATAATTTATAATGAGTGTTGTAAAAACATATCTTACAACACAAAACATACACAAAATAAATTTACGTCTATAAAACGATACAAATTAAATAAATTACAATAACTATGCCTAACTCTCGAATAAAACTTATATTAGAATTCTCATCAATTATATGAATTTTAAATTAATTACAAGAACACAAACTCCAGATAACTTTCTAATTACAAACTTCCCACAAACGATCTGCCAAATCTCACCGATGTTTCGCACCTTGATAGGTTCACTTTAATGTCTTTATCATTACGCTGAAGATCCATTTTCCTCTTTTTCCAATCAGCTGTATCGCGAATTCGTAAACATTTTTTTCTTTTTTTGTCAGAGGGTTTCGTGATCGCAAGAAGATGTGGTGCGAATATTTATTTACGTGATCAATAAATTCGCGCCGAGATAAAGCTTCCTCTCTCGTTGAACTCACCGAACAACCGCGCAAATCCTAGATCCGCGACACTGTCGACAGGCGAGTGATTAAGAATGATAAGTATCGTCAGCGCGATACCGATAGTCATTCTCGTAAATTTTCATTCGCGAAAGTGTTGCTCTCGCTCAATTTTTTTTTTAATCAGCGAGTGAATTTTTAGCGACCCAACCACTCGAACGAAATACGGTAAACTGCTACTTGAACCACAGTAACTGACAGTATTTATGATAAATTCCGTCGATTAGAGAACCCTCTCTCCTTCCTACTGAGACAGAGAGAGATAACTCCTTCGGTTGTTCGAGTAGAACAAAATTAGATAAAGATACGTATAAAAGATCATATATCGTGGATTATCGATCAATTACTTCATATATATATATAGATCTCTCGTCCACCTCTCTATCGATGACTGACGTATATCACGTCAATTTTAATTTTTTACGATCGATATCGAGGTAAAAATTTGATTTTGGTGCAATTATTTGATATTTTGATTCAATTGTGTCCTTACGTAGTTTCAATTATATTATAGTTTTTATCTACAGATGTTTTCTTTCTCAAGAAATATATTTATACGCTGAAAATATTTTCTTATTATGATAGAAATTAATTCGCATACATGTCGCATTTTATTAAAGAGCATTATTAGTTAATGGCATCAACGTATTTTTCGAAATGGCAATTTTGAAATTTTTATTTATCTTGAGCTTATCGAATGAAACGTAAATAGATTTTTGATAAGAATATTTTTAAACAGCAACATTGTGAAAAATATCAATCTATCAGGTACACATGTAATTCAAATATGCACTGATATAAAATTTCCACAATAAGGAAATATGATAGGAAAAGAAGTTTGTTTACTAATTTACCAATCATTTTTAATTAATTGTTTTTTAGACAATAATGTAAGCGATTAAGTAATTCAGGACTTGTGCAAAATTAAAAACAAAGAAACGTCAGAGAAAAGTATATATAGAGATATAATATAGTGTTTCTATTAGTCTAAAAATATTTATATGTTAAAACAAAGTTCTTTCCAATGAAGAATAATTTTGTATCATTGAGTGGATTTCAGTATACAGTTTGTTCCAATATGTTAATAACATAACTACATACATGATAAGAGTCATAGTTATGTATTTATTCCGGTTTCTCGGGAAACGCGACTTTGGGTTTGTTTGAGTCTGATTCTGTTTTATTAGTTCTATTTGAACGCAACACAGCGCCTGGACTGGGATATGGCCTCATTTGATAAAGAGGCCCTGATGCGGTTGTATCGGCACCAGTCTTGGCCTCATTATGCCTAGCCAATCCATCTGACCATTTTCCTCTATAATATAATTATATATAAATGAGAGAATGATATAGAATTATATATATTAATAAACCTACGTTTGTAATGCAAATGCATACCTGGGAATGTCGCTATACGATGCTGGATCCATAGGATCCAATGTACGATCTTTTTTGTCTTTACCATCACTTCTATCAGATCTTTGAACTCTTTTATTATCTGGTCCTTTATATCTTGTACGATTTTCAGTCTTCCTATCTTTCCTTACGTCAATTTCATCTACCTAAAAAATCATAGCGTTGTTCGCGTAAATATTAAATGTTTTATTTCGATATTATATAATAAAGAACTTGTAAATTTGCAATGTTATATAAACAATATACTAACTTCCATTCGTTCTATTTGTTCTTGGTCACTAACACTATCATCACTTGACATGTTATCATCTTGATCACCTGCTTTTAAATGTAATTCTTCACGTAATTGAGATGCAGGTTGTGATATCTGACACTTTGGATGACCAGGTGGCAACCAAGATACCAAATCAGATGACCAATCCCAATAGTAGTGTTGTCCGCTGTAAACAGATCTTAAATTAATCAATTTCTCTGCGAAATATTTTGGTACAATATATCTTCCTAATAATATATAATTTCAATCTTTCTCCAAAAATAATATTACTGAAAAACATTCATGTCTATTTCCATAAATTGACAATAAGATTATGTTATAAAATACTGTACACAATTACTATGATTTAAATAACTGCAAATCTAGCACTTATTTTTTTAAAGTTGTCTAAAAAACTATTAATATTTACCATCCAGGATCATAAACTGCCTTCCAAGTCTCGGGTAAAGGATATTTTTGAATTAATTTCATTTGTCGTTTTAAATACTTATCTGAAGGTTGTACATGTCCTAGTCCCCACAATTCTTTACATTTTTTTGTACATTCGTGATAAATGTTATATTTATTGGGACATCCACTGTAACCCTAAATGAAGAAATAATTGTCTTTAATGTTAGTATAAATACATATTAGAATATGTTTAGCTCATTAGCTTCCAATTTATATATTTTTCCCTACGGTTGTTAATTTTATAGTATTGATAGAGACTGCGTACAGTTGTAACATATACTTATAATATGCTTCTGTTACTCGAATATGCTTTTGTAAGAATTTCTAATAAATGTAACTTTTATCAACCAATTAAATTGCTTGTTTATATAGACCTATTATATTATCATTAATTGTTATAATTATACACGAGCTGAACAAATAATTTTCTTGAATTATAATTGTCTTTAAAATTGCACTATTTCAATATATACTAAAAAATTTAATACTAATCTATCACAATTATGCGTACCATAAATTTCTGTGATATATCAATTTGATTAATTTCTTCTTTTGCATTGTCATAATCTTCGGCTATTACTTCTTCATGCACCTTCTTTTTCGTCTCTTTTCTTCCGGATTCTGCAAAATTAGTAATTAATGTAATCAAACATTATATAAATACAGTGCATGAAATTTTTATTATATGTGTGTGTGTGTGTGTGTGTGTGTGTGCGCATATATATATATCTTTTTAGAAATATCAGTTTTTATGAATCGAAAGCAAATTGATTTAATTGAATTGCGGAAAAATTTCATAAACAGTTATTGCTAATAATTGCATTTTTTAATATATTATTATATATTATTTTTTAATAGAGTACCATGTTTTTCAGAGCCAGAAATCAATCCCCTTTTTGCAAGACGAGCAGCCAAGGCAGCTGGCAAAGGCATTTTATGCCTTCTCAAATCAAAAGATGTCAATGTATAAAACGTAGAAACAGCTCTAAGATAATTCGAGCGGAATATTTCACGCTTTAAATATGATTTGTTTACAAAACAATGTAACCTCAAACATCAAACATTACGAAGCTCTGTAAGTTCGAACGATCGAGAAGCCACCAGCACAAAAAGCATAAAACACAAATATTTAGAAATATATTCTAAAATGTTTTATCGTTTGCTATTGTATTAATTTTAAGCTCGACACGAATTATCTTATGTTCACAGTACGTTTATATATTTGATCTGCTCTTTGCAGCTTGCAGCTGCACTTTATTATTTCTTCTGCGCACCATGAAATAATATAGAAATAATATAAATCATATATATATTAAAATATATATGTATTTATTATTATTTATTATTATTTATTATTATTAGAGAGAAATAAAAAAATGGAGCAAAACTCGCGGACAAATTCGGAGTCGACACTCATGACAGCTGTCATCGAGGATGTAGTTACGTATTTTTAATAAATTTAAAACCAATATAACTAATATATTAATATAATATAAATTATATTATTCATATTAATATATATACATTATAAAAAAAAAAAATGGAGCATAAATTCGGAGTCGACACTCATGACAGCTGTCAACGAAGATGTAGTTATGTATTTTTAATAAATTCAAAATCAATATAACTAATATAATAATATAATATAAATCATATTATTCATATTAATATATATACATTATAAAAAAAAAAATGGAGCATAAATTCGGAGTCGACACTCTTGACAGCTGTCAAACGAGGGTACATGCGGATCGGCCTGAAGGTTGCGCGCGTGCATTGTCCACGCGACTCTTCCGTCTAGCGCGATCGCAGACTCCGTGACTGTGAAGCGTTGTCCAGTGACACTGTCGACGCCCAGTTGCGTGTGAGTGTTAAACTGAAATTTTACACATCCCGCTTAGCCGCGAGCGATCACAGCTCGTCGTTAATAGACGGAGGACGACTGTCGGATTCGGTTTTGCTCGCGTCCCGCGCGATTTCCGCCGCCTGATTCCGCTGTACGGTGGTGTGTTTGACATAATACTCAAAATGGCGACTCCGAAAACAATGAGCCTCCGGTGCGCTTGTACGCCACTTTTCGCCGATCCTTTTTCCCTCCCTCGTCTGTCGCAATAGATATTCGACGTCGAGCGAAAAACGCAAGGATTACGCAAATTCTACGTACATATATGTATATATAAATATATATGTGTGTGTATACAGTCGGATGTGAATTCGAATCAGTGAGACAACGAGATATAGCTTCCTGCACGTCGATCCTTGTGTAGTTTTCGGTACAGCTGTAGGATTTACCACGGTTTCTCTCGTGTGTAAAAGAGGTTCGCAGTTATTTGCACGTTTTTGTATCGTTAATCAGACGCGATTCATTGCGCAATTTGTTTTTTTTCTTCTTCACCGGCATCGATCATCTCTTTCGTATTTTCGAGGAATGAGACTCCAGTATTTTTTTTTTTTTTTTTTTTTTTTATTCGAGCATAGATAGAGTTGTATTGGCCATCTAATATCGGAGCTTCTTCGCGTTGCTTCATTAATTGTATCGAACAATTTATCAAAAGTAATATTCGATATCAAGATAAGTGAGTTTGACACATTTATCATATCACAACACCATATGTGAATGAATATCTTACAGTGAGATATTCAGTATACATCTATGACGGATCATACAATATAGATAATAGATAATTTGACCCAAAACCATCGTAAATTATACATACATTTACACGTCATGCAATTAAATTATTGCAATTAATTTATATTCTTGTAATATTTGAGTTAAAAAAAAATAATTTTTTAACATTTTCTCTTTTCCACAGACAGAAGTCAAAATGCAGACAATAAAATGTGTTGTAGTGGGAGACGGAGCGGTTGGTAAAACATGTTTATTAATTTCATATACTACGAACAAATTTCCATCGGAATATGTTCCAACGGTATTTGACAATTATGCAGTCACTGTTATGATTGGCGGTGAGCCATATACATTAGGATTATTTGATACAGCTGGTAAATATCATTTATACATATATATGCATGATTAGATAACACAATTGTTTGTAATCAATTATGTCACATATATAATATATAATATATTTAAGTAATAATTTAAAGCAGATATAGATCCAGTGTTTGCTGTTATCAAAATAAAATTAGCTTATCTTTATTATAGATAATAAAAATATGTATTATCTATATCTGCATCTTAGATGAAAGGTGTTAGCTTCTCAAAATTATCAAGAATAATGTTCAGATAATTTTACAATTATAAAACAAAAATAATTGAATTTAAGCAGTAAGTGATAAAACAAATAAAAATATATGAATATATTTTTATATGCTTTTTATAACTGTATTCGCGTAATAAACGGTTTTAAAAATGATATTATCTGAAAGTGATAATATTATCAAGAAGAACTGCCATATAATTTTATCTTTTATCTAAGTATATTTAAAACACATCTTTATCTTATCTAAGATAAATTTACATATTTTTATTTCATCTTTATCTAGCTAAAGTTTTAAAATCATCTAAGCACAACACTGGATATATTTATTATAATAAGAAAATATAATAAAATTATGTTAGTGGCAATTTACTAAAATTTTGGAATATTTTGCAGGTCAGGAAGATTACGATCGTTTGCGGCCATTAAGTTATCCGCAAACCGATGTATTTCTTGTCTGCTTCTCAGTTGTATCTCCATCATCGTTCGAAAATGTTAAAGAAAAGGTATAATTCGAATTAATTATTGTAACATTATCAACTGTTTTATCTTCGATTTATTCTGATGATTTATTTTAATTTATATAAAGTGATTTATTTTAACAACTAATTTTTATGTTAATTGTTGAAATAAATCACTATTAATTAAAACAATCTGTTAATTTTGACAATTAATAATGATTTATTGTAATGATTTATTTTAATTAACAGTGGGTACCGGAAATAACGCATCATTGTCAAAAAACACCGTTTTTGTTGGTCGGTACGCAAATTGATTTACGAGATGACGCAGCGACAATTGAAAAACTTGCAAAAATAAACAAAAGGCGATTTCGAACGAACAAGGGGAAAAGCTTGCTAAGGAATTAAAAGCTGTAAAATATGTAGAATGTAGCGCTCTTACACAGGTATGATAATTTTTTATTTATACTCTCAGTATTAAAGAAATTTAAAAGTGAAAGGAAGCTAATTCATAAAAGTTTTAAATATTATATTGTTTATTACTATTTGACAGCTAAGTTTTTTAAAATTATTTTATTCTTTTGCTATGAAGACTTTTAATATTTCAGAAAGGACTTAAAAATGTCTTTGACGAGGCAATATTAGCTGCTTTAGAGCCTCCAGAACCAGTTAGAAGAAGAAGGTGTACCATTTTGTAGTAGGTGTTTGACTTTTTTTATAAAACTGTTAGTTCTACAGTGACGAAGACTGTAAGTTTCCTCATATACATTGCATGCGAAAAGATTTAGTGACAATTGTTAAATTCTAAGGCATATATAATAAGACATGAGTATTTTTTAACATTGGCATATACGTGGATACGAAGCAATCTTTATCTACATTGACATTTTGTGTAAATTTTATAATTATCAAATTGTAATTGTAATATCATATTATCTTCGTCTTGATGTTCTATCAACGTATTTCACATCATTCCGGTAAAAGCGCGTCTCTGTATTTGCATCATGATCATATGTGTCGACTCTGTCCTGTTTCATTCAACATTATGTAAAAAAAAAAAAAAGATTTCCGAAAAGGAAATTTAGGGATATTATGACATCTCCAAATCATATTTGTTTATGAAGAAAATATAATTTCATTTTATATATTTGTATAAACTATTTCATAAAGAAATAGATTTTGTTTCCTATGATTTATAATCTTCCATAGATTATCACGTGGCAATACACGTATATGCAAGAGTGTAATACTATTGATTTTTGTATTTTATAACATCTTGCATATTGAGTAAAAGTTTATTATCTTTTTTGGCGAATACTATATTCGCCTTTAAACTTTTTGCAATTTTTTTATAGCAGTCTGTATCTATAATGTATATATTTACTACAAACACACATAATTATTTTACCAATACTTTTAATTCATTAAATTTGAATTTTGTATTCTAGCTCATAAAAAATAAGCGATTCAATGAGAAATACGATAAAACGTGGTAACTTACATTTACTATTATTGTTTTTTTTTTAATATGGAGAAAAGAGAAATAAAACAAAATCTTACTATTGTGTAAAATCATATATAGAAATATCGCACGTTCGTGTGTTTAATTAAACAAAATTAAATTCTGTTATAAGATCTGTAATCTTCTTAGTGGCCATATCGATATATTATCAGTAAAATAAATAATTACGTTAATATATTTGATTAGTTTAATATATTTTTATGTTGCAATCGAATATTTCTTTAGTCATTTGTAATCGCATATGATTTAATTATGTATGAGATATTATAATAATAATTTTATTTTACCAGCTCTTTTGTAGTGATTACATTATAAAGAATATTGGTGTCGATTGCCTGGTTCATGTGAATATAAATAGCAAAAATATGTTGTTAGCTAATATATTCTCTATGAAAATATAAAATATTCTAAATCTGTTTTAGTTAAGACAGCTTTCTTTCCTTTTTTTTTAATTATTATTATTATCATCTCTTTGAATTAAATTGTAATATTTTGCTAAGATAGTCCATAGCAGATATAAATTTATTTTATCTCCATTAGTTCTTATATATAATATGTATGATATTATATTTCATACAAGTAGACTAAGACGGTATAATTACAATTTTCAATCTGGATATGAAATATAATACTATTATTAGAAAATTTCAATTCTATACAACTCTTATTGATAATAATATCACTTGTACAATATATTCACACACATACATATAAATAATATATAACAAGACTTTTTGTTTGCGAATTTAGAGAAGGTATCGAATATTAAAGGTTTGCACGGGTTGAAAAAATCTGACGCGACATAGAGCTCAAAATTTTGTTTCTAGATATGTAATATTCATTCTTCCGACCTTGTATATTATCTGTATTATACTTTAACTCTATAGCGGAGACGAATTGTCGAAAGTCACGAATTCAGGCTCATACAGACCTCTGTTGAATACATCTGGCCGAAGAATTTTATCTAAGATTAGATGTATTTTATCTAAAAATGATAAAGATGAATTTTATCTAAATTAGATTCTAGTTATTCCCACGCGTTTAATATTATTCTTATTTTATTGTAGATATATCTTTTCTCATCTCTCTACTAATTACATGATAATTTACCGGAACAGGAATCAGATATGTTTACGAACCTCTTTATAAATTACAAAAAAATCCTGAATTGAAATTATTAATATCTCGCTAAAAAATTTCCTTTAAAATCATTAAACTACTTACTTGATAAGGATAAAAAGATTTGACTTTAAAATAATAGTGGAGGATAAATCAGATTAATGAGATTACTTGATGACTCGTATCAAAATTACGAATCATATTACATATAAAATGAGTTAGAAATAAAAACGATTAATTATAAGTGCCCGAAATTTTTTATAAGAGTATGCACGTGCGTATTTGCGTACATATAATTATAGTCAGGAAGAATATTTATATACATATATATTTCTATCATGCTGAAGTTTTTCTTTTGTATATTATCTTGCTATTTGAGTTGTTTTTAATTCCCGAATTATAAAAATAAAGATGTTTATATAATACAATCTCGTTTATATATAGATACATTTCCTACGGGAGTTAATTCTCACATTTTTTCGAACAAAATTGTGCAATCGATCAGAAAAGATTTCATATACAATACATATAAAAATATTCACATTTGAAAAGGGAAAACTCGTTATGACGCTTTGATAACTCGTAACTAATTGCACATGTGAGACGTTTTTAAAATAATAGTGATTATTGATGCGAATTTCTCACATAATTATTACATCTCGAAACTTTTATACTTGTTTCATATTTTATACATGTTTTTATATACGACGTGTGTTTTATTATTTCAATGTTCCATTCAGTGAACTGCTATTGGAATGCAGCCATAAAAATGTGCCACGATTTTTTATGATCCGATTTATCCGCATCGATCGTAGAGAGATACATATATTTTTGTATAGCGTACGTTCGATTTTTATCGCGATATTATTATCAAATAAATAATGGCTTTACTCGAATTCGAATTAATATCTGCGAGCCCAATATAGCCTCCGCTGTTAGGCTGCTCATGTTAGTATAAATTTTTTTGTCTGTGTCCAATGACATAATCCAATTAGAGTGAGCGCGGAACGTAAACGCGAGCGTTAATTGGAGCGTGCGTGCTGGTTCTTTCATGTAGAATTCACAAGCTGACACGGATATTCTGCCATTTATTCGTACAATTGTTACAGCCGTTTTCCCCGTTTGTTCGGTGGAAAGCAAGAAAATAATTTTTTTTTTTTTTTATATAAACGAAAGATACGACGAGGCGAGTGCAATTGTTAATGTTGGTGATGATAGTAGAAATTTAGTATAATTTCAAGCACAGCAACGTTGTTTGAAAAATATAATGTGAAATGTAGAATTATAATTTAATTTTCTATGACGAATTCCTGGAAAATCGAAGCTGAGAGAATTCTTATGTAACTTTGTAGCATAGCCTATTATCAGTGATTATAGAATCTGATATAAACAGATGGAAAATATAAGAGATTATTCATTCAATAAAATTTATACTTGAAATAGAAGAATGCGTACGTTCACAGTTACGTGAATAAACGTTTCCAAGAATTTCTCAGGCGTGTGTGTAGCTTATAAATAAGGACGCGATATAATTATGCATATATAGAATTTATTAAGATAATTGAAACAAAAGGCTAAACATGATACTGTGGAATAGAATCGTTTCTAAAACACGTTAGGTATTCTATTACAAAACCTGATGTATCACGCAGAAAAATGTAAGGTATGTAATACTTAAAATTATATTTAAACGAGGACTGATAGGATATAAGACATGAGATAACAATAGATTAACGCCCAAAAAAATTTTTTTAGTTGAGCTCTTGTGTTAAACATTTCAGTCTTCTCCAGAGAAAATTTCTTTTCCAAATCCATATCTTATCGTCAGCTTTTGCATACTTTTCAATCTTGTCTTAGTTTTACAATTCAATCTTGTCTAGAGAAAATTTTGTCCCCGAATCCATATATTATCGTCAGCTCTCGCTTCTTTCAAACTGCGAGGTCAACTTGAAAAAGACGCGAGAGAAAACGAACGGAAAAGGAAAGATATTTTCATCTCGAGATATGTCCAAAGGAATGCGCAACTTTTATAAGATCAAGGCGGATGTTTTACGGAGAAGAGAAGAGAACAGCTCGGAAAATCGCCGCTCTATTTTCACCGCGTGCGAGTGAAAGAGAGCCGCGAAGGAAATAGCTGCAAAATTGGCGTTTTTCTCTCTTTCTCAACGTTTCTTACGACCCATTTCGGAGATGGAGCGGCTGCGGATTCACGACAACCAGTAACAAATCATCCAACAGGATGGAAAGTCGTTCTGTCACCTGTACGACAGCGTACGATCAGCGACAGCGGCCGCGCGAGTGCCGCGAGTTCCGCGAGTTCCGCGAGTGCGGCGGCGATAAAAGGCAGGGTGGGAGTAGCGGCGGTGTCGGGGGGTGAAAGGAAGGGTGGGGGTAGCGGCGACGACGGAGATTCAGTCTTCAGTCTCGGTCGGCGCGTCACGGACGACGCGCACGGCTGACGGACGTCGCTCGTAGAGAGAGTCGTGTGACCGGAGGCAGCAGCCTCCGTTTCATTGATCTTTTCTCCCGCGTCTTCGTCCCGCGGATTTTTTCTCTTCGCGCGCGACGACGACGACTTTATATTATCTCCCGGGGGAAAAAAAGGCGACATCCTCGAGGACGATGGTAGGATCCGCGCTCGCTTGGTCGCACTCGATAGTTTCACCGACGAATCCACGTTACTCCGGATTGTGATTCCTCGCAGAGGGAGGAAAGAAGAGATCTCAAGGTTTTCCGTTCGCGTTTAATCGCGATCGCGGAGGACCACGTATCTATATTCGGACCGACCGCGGAGTCGCGTCGGTGGTCTCTTCTCGACATTCGTCAAGCGAAATCGATAAACGGGGACGTCGCGAAAGAGAGAGAGGGAGAGAGAGACAGAGAGAGAGAAAGAGGGACGGGCGCTTATACGCGCGCACGTTTACGATTCGCGTCGTGAAAGGTAGGAAACGAGGACTCGAAAGAGAGAGATAATTACAGGAATGTGACAGGGCGATCGTATGGTGGACTCGACTCGGTAGAGAAATTTGCACGACGACGTTTCACTTCGCACGTCCTCGCGGAAAACGAACAAAACCGCGCGTCGGCGCCACGGCACTCGCGCACTCACTCGCGAGTGCGCGTTTGTTCCTACGTATACGTGTGTACACACAAGTGCGGTGCGTATCGTCTTGTTAGAAAGCGTCCCGTAGTATCATAGTAACCTTGAGACGACCCGTCAAGGTGACCAGTTTCCGCAAGAACTCGAGAAAAAAGTTCCTCGTCCTGGTACCGTGCGAGATCCTCGAAATAGCGGAGCGACGCGATTATTCGCGAAATGAGAAGAAGAGCTCGAGCATGCCTCGATCGATAGGCGCACGGCCTTCGCCGGACTGACTTCCTCGCGCACGCAACGCTCGTTCTCCGTCCAGGAAGCACGTGGACGTCGTCGTCGTCGGTCGGTCCGGGTCGATCATCTCCCAGGCAACCGGGGAGAAAGGTCGAAGCATGTGATCACCACGGCGATTTCATCGATCACGCGGCCGATCACCCCTCAAGGGAGAGGGATGTTGCGCCCGTTCGACGGCAGGATCACTTAACGGCGGCCTCCCCCGGACAAGGAGTCGCCGGACAATGAACGATAAGGGCGGCGTACAGAGACAGGTGGATATCGCTGGCGAGAAAGTGTGGGAACGGCGAGCGTGAGGGACAGACACAGGCAGGTATAGGAAGCCGTATAGCACAGGTGGCGGTGGCAAGGACGAGAGAGAGAGAGAGAGAGAGAGAGAAAGAAGGGAAGAATAGCCGCGTACTATATATCGTCCTGGAAGGAGGGAGACCGAGCCCCTGCGAGGACTGTGTCTGAAAGGAAAAAAAGGTATACAATGAAGAGAAAGAGAGAGCGAGGCACGACACGTCAGTGTAGCGAATGACACGTGAAGGTAGTGGAGAGAGAAGCTTAAAGTGGCAAAGGGAGGAAACCGCGGGAACAATGAAGGAACACGGAAACAAACATCCGGCGGAGCCGGCGGCGACGAAGACGCTCAAGTCGCTGCTGAAGAAGCCGGGCCAGACGAAGGCCAAGTCGCAGAAGCACCGGGTGGTGATCAACGAGAAGCTGAACGAGTTCTTCGCCGCCGATTACATCATCCTGATCAAGGAGGAGTGCTGCGCCGATTACGAGGAGGACTGCGACTGCTGTTACCAGGAGCACGAGTTCATGCGGCTGGGCAATTGCAAGGAGTGCCGGGCGGAGTTGAACATGCACTTCGGCCTCGGCAACGGGGCGAGATACGGTGGTAGCGAGATGGGTCCGAGGGCGGGCGATCAGACCCAGTGCGAGAACGTCGCGCGCGCCGGAGGACCACCCCGAAAGCCGGGAACTCGCGAGAACTCGCAGGAGGACGAGGAGGAGGACGAGGAGGAGGCCGACGACGGCGAGGAGGAGGAGGACGACGAGGAGGAGCGGGAGGACGAGGAGGAGGACGAGGCGGTGGAGAACGTCGACGGTGGAAAGGCGGAGAGGACGACCGACGACGACGACGACGACGACGACGACGACGACGACGTCCTCGTCGGCGGAAGGGAAGAAGGACGCTGAGAGTGCGGAGAGTGCTTCTTCCCAGGTGGAGAACGGAACCGCGGTTCCGCCGCGGCACGAGCAGCAGGAAACCCTCAGCCCGCCGGAGGGTTACAAGGACGTGTGCTCCGACAGCGAGATCCCGAACGAGGCGACGGAGCAGCGGAGCAGCCGTACGTGCGCCGAGTGCAATTACTATCAGCAACAGGCAACGGGTGAGTCGACTCTTACCCTTGTTAATACGAGTCGTAAACGCGCTTATTTTCTCGATTAATATATGTACTTGTCGGAGACGCGGAAGAGACCGTCGCTTCCTCGAATTCTCGCGGTACAAGAGACTGGGATTAAATATCTTTCCTTCTATACAGATGGCGGAATAGGAGGAATATATATATATATATACATATATATGTTAATTATTTTACTGTCATATATTACTATTATTTTCTATATTAATTATTATATGATTAATATATATTAATAATAACATATGATATAATAATTAATATTAATAATTATATTTTATATATATAATAATAAATAATATTGCAAAAATTATATATTATTTATAAAATGATTTTATTTTTTTTTAACAAAAAAAATACATATATATTTATATTTGAATTAATTCTTTATCTTATTTATTAAAATGTAACGAATAATATATCATAGAGGAATTAATATGTCAGCGACAATTTTAATTGAGTAATTATAGAAACGCGAAATTATAGGCAATTTTGATTCTAATAATTCTTTCACATATTTTCGACGGAGAGAGATTCTAATTTGTTTGTGTCTTATCGATTGAATTCTCGTTTAGATAATTGGAGATTATAGAGACTGATGGAGAATGAAGATTGATGTGTTATTTCATAATTGAAAAATATTATATTATGTGTGTATAATATTAGATTTAAAACGATATTTTATTTTTTATATAAAAGACTAATTTATTTGCATATTTGCATTAATTCTTGTTTTACTTTTTTATTAACTATCAAAATTTAACGATAAATATATTAAAAGAAAATAAAATTATGTATGTAAGCATTTTAATCGAGTAATTTCCAGAAATTGGCCAAATTATAAGCAATTTTGCAAGGGAAATTTGGATTCTAAATTACTTTGTATATATTCTCGACAGAGAGAGAATCTAATTTATTTTGGCATATATCTTATCGATTAGATTCTCGTTTAGATAACTAGAGATTATGAAGACTGATGGAAGGGGAGAGAAAGCTGGAGATTGGAAGTGTAATCTCCTATAATTGAAATAGAAATATATTTCACTACATTATATATATCATATCTTATTATGACTTAAATCTCTCCGTCAATAATCAATTTGTCGGAAATAGCGATATATTATTTATAATTTATACTGTTAATAATAATTTATATAGAATGTGAGCAGTTATCATTGACAGTTATTGAAATTAATATTAGTTTAAAGCACTCGTATAAATGTTCTTTTTGTCACTAATAAAGAAAAGAACAATTTCATAATATTCTGCAACGCGAGTCACGTAATACAGAGCTTAATATAATGTAATAAACCACATGGAGTGAGCATTTGAAACTTTTATGTCTAGAAACTTTTGATACGTTTTATGTCGTTGGTTAGAAAAGGAGAGAAAATCCGTTATTGTCTAACAAGCGTGTAAAATATTCGCTTAATTCGCCAGAAAACACTCGCAACATTAATTTTCTCTAGCGTTTAACGGATCTAAGATGCGCATTTTGTCTCAATTGATCTTTATATCTTAATAGCACAGATATTGTAAAAATCACACTTGCTCAGAAATTCCAGTAATTTTGTTTTTATTCATTTTTATTAATCATATATCAAGATTTTTTGCGGAAAAAATTGAATACAATACTTTATTGTTTCACTTTTCGTCGAGCGTTGGATTAAAAATGATTATGGTCATAATCATCAGAATCATAATGACAATCTTTTACATGGGGAATATAAAAAATTCAATATTACTTATTAAACATTTATATAATTAATTTGCAAAGTTATTATATATATTTGTCACTATTAACTTTAGCATTACTGATATTTATTGATAATGTGTGCAATGGCGTTGCTGAAAATATATTTTTCTCTCTGCTATTCAATTATAATATTGTAGCTAAAAAACGCGTTATTTGACGGTGTAGAATTCAAATGAAATTTTACATTCGATAAATCGCAGATATTTATTTTCTCTCTCTAAATATCAGTTAATCGAAAAATGTAATAATTATCGTATTTCTCTCGGTTTTTAAATTAAATGAGAAAAAGTGCTTAGAGCCACGGAAAATAATTTGTCAAAGGGGAATAATTTCAAAGTATACCTATCTACATAGCGCTTGCTCTATTACGTTTCAATATTCGCGACAATTGTACATACTAATACAATTTGTACATAATATATAATACGCTTTGCGCTACGCTATTGTGCATGATGAAAGTAACGATGCCGCGTATCAAGAGTTGAATCTATCAGCTTTAATGGAAAGGTGCAAATTAGAGGAATTGCATCGTTGCTCAGCTCTTTTCTCACACATAACTGAGAAACAGTCCCACGATATTCCTCCGCGCACAGGATGCGTATATAATAATGGTATTGTTTTTCATGAGTCTAGCCACGCTCGGTAAGCCGTTTAAGAACATAGCAGAGAATTTTTATGCGCATTCTTTAGAATACCAAGAGAGTTTTTTTTTTAAAAAAGGAAAAATATCTGCACTTATGAATATACACGATTATTCTAATTTCATCATTATAATAACCATTTCTCGACTCTCTTTGCTTTTTCAAAATAAATTGATTTAAATAGTGACCCTATATATGCAATAATAATTTTAAAAAAATGCATGAAACTTTATTAATATAAAAAAAACATTTGTGGAAAAATATGCAGAATTATGCATCATCGCGTACATGCATAGAGGGATACGTAATTTGTACATTTGTCGATTAAAAGCCCTGATTAGATTTATGAACGCAGTCACAAAATGCCGATGCATGCCGAGTATAGGTTTATTCGCGTATCAACGTTCACCGGAAGCGCGGCCTAGCGTAACTCCGGTACTTCCCTGATACTCGGTAAGAGCACTTATATTTCTAACCGAACGACTCGCAGCGTTTTACGCTACTAAATAGAACTAAATTCTTCATTAGACATTACGGTTCCCGGATAAAACAACATGCAGCTACAAAAAACTACAAAGTTTTTCTAAGTTTATCCGCAAGAAAGGAAGCAAAAAATACCGTAAAAAATTTTTTTTTAATATGATCGATATCGCACACGTGACAAAAACGTCAAAAATGTCAACGTGGACATTAGATTCGTAAAATTCTTTGACGTAAAAGTTTGCAAAATAATCTTTACTCTCATGGTTGAGATTCGCAACAGGTTGCGGTTTAAATGTGAATGAGTAAGCAAAAATAAAAGACAGTTATTTGATGTTTTCATGAGTAAGTTATACTCTTGGCATGCCCTCGCTTTGAATCGACGAAAAATCACAGAATAACGTAGTAAAATTCTGGAGAGCGAATTATATATACGTATACATGTATGTATGAAACGTAAAAAGCCTTGTCTGGACACGCAAAATTTGTCAGTCGAACAAAACGACACTGAAAAAAAGAGACTAAATTATTACATATTTAGTTCAATACTGTCAAATGAATAATTTGTTTGCAATAAATAAATATTTATTTATTTTGAAAAGGATTTTCTTATATCAAATAAATATTTGTTATATTAAATAAATATTTTTTTAATTAAATAAATATTTTTTATGTCAAATAAATATTATTAGTTTCAAATAAATGATTTATTTGACAGTATTGAAATAAATACTTAATAATTAATTTTTTTTTTCTGTGGATTTATATCCATGAATATTCGTCTAAATTAAATTATTCCCATTTTAAATTTTGAAACAAAATATAAAACTATATATATACATATATATATTTTTATTTTTTATACAACTTTTAAAGCGCGCGCGATTGCGGTGTACGATTGGAAATAAATAATGAGAAATTCTATTCCGATAGTTGAGACGAATCAGCTTGATTTTCTTGAAGGATACCGAGGAGGCAATGACGACAATAGGCGACAATAGAAAATGTACGTCAGCGTATTATTAGTGCGAGTGTGCTGGTCTAGAAACTGCACAAAGTTATGCAAGCTGTCAACGGTTCACAGTGCGACTTTGAAAGTGCATTAATATCGATGGCCATCGTTTGGAACAACTCTCTAACAAGGAAACCGGCAAAATAGTCTCCCTCTCTTCGAGCTTCAATTCCACCACATTCGAGAACTTCCTTTATAAAACAATACCGAACTTACATCCTGAAATTTTGGAAGAGGCTTCTTTTCCTCGCGTTTAATCTTGCATTTATTAATATAAGCTTGTAAGAGACTCTTACAGTCTGAATACCCTAAGAATACACATTGCAAGTACGTCAAGTTTAATAAAAACTATAGACTTCCCATGCGGCTATATTTAATTATGGAAAATGCGTGCGATGCCGTTGGGACTGTGTTTAATTTCGTAACGAAAGCTGAGCAATCGGGGAAAAAGGGCAGAGAGAATTTCAGAGTCGTTATTTTTTTTAAATTACTACATCAATATTATATTATCGTATTTTTAGATCTTGTTACAGTGATTTATTCCTCCACTAAATAAAGATATAATTGTTTACATACGATTTGATACGATCAATATATCATGTTAGATTCAGCACACCGAATTCCTTTTAACTTACTAGGTCATTTGAATAATTTCGAGATGCGATAAAATTACCATATAGAGTCGTGCATTTTTTTATCGAATTTTAATTTAAATCTATTTAAAAAATAATAAAAATCCGATAAAATGTTCATAAAGAGGCGTTTTCTGAGGAAATCAGCTTTTTCATAAAAAGAGAGAAAATTCGCAATTTCCGGCACACTCTGTATATCTCTTCTGCGTATCTATTAAAATACCATGATACGACACACATGATAACAGATAAACGTTTGTAATATCTTACTGCTTTAAGATCTTAACGAGATACCGCAGTACAGAAATGGCATTTGTATCAGACGCTACATTTTTCATTCGATTGCAAAATGACAGATTTAACGAATAGTGTAATAAATTCTGCGAGGATCACGTATTATCCAAATATTATCAGTGAGTGATTTAGATGGCATGCATTTTGCATATTAATTCGGCATTTATTTATAGAGATTAATTAAAAGTAGCGCGCCCAAATAATCTGCGTATCTAAAAATTTATTCCACCAACAGTAATTAATTAATGTTCATTACGTATAATTATGTATTGCACATATTAATATGATGTATATTATAATAATATAATTACACATAACTCTGTGATGTAAAATAAAGATAGTGTATTCCATTTTTTTTTCAAATGTTTACTGAAAATCGTGAAAATTTAAGACTAGAGAATGCGATTCTCTTTTTGTTTTAGAATGCGAATCGCAAGCGAAAGATCATGGGAATGAGCAGAATACGCAGGACAACAAGGATGCCAACGATGGCTGTCAAAGAAATTTGCAAGAAAGACTGGATAAACAGCATCGAGCATCTCTCCCTGGTATATTTTTTATTCACTTTATCAATTGGCTTGACATTTGAATATTCAGAAAACCTAGTCAGCACAAATTATTTTTTAACGAGAATTTATTTATCTCCTCGGATATTTTTACTCTCTAGTATTGATTTGCAAATTCACAGCAAGATCTTTAGAAAATACTTGGAAATTTAAATGTTTTTAATCTTTATATTTTAATTATGTTATTCACGCAATCAGTAATAATTGAAACTTGTGTATAGTTGCAAAAATTTTCTATATACGTTATATGAAATGTAACGAGAGTAATATTTGACGTATTTACAATTTATTATTTCACATATACCATAATTAATGCTGAATAAATTTCTAAATAAATCTCGAATATGAATTACGATCATTCATTTTATGGAGGCGACAAACTTAAGTAAATATAATAAATAAAAGATTTATGTGTTGCATTTATTTGTCTAATGTGTAATTTTCTGAATAAACATGTTGATAATTTGCTTCGACATTTAATGCGATTATTTAAAGTCTTTTCATTTTAATTTTTAGTTATCTAAATCTCTCTCTCTCTCTCTCTCTCTCTCCCTTTTACTCTTTTCGCTTAATTTTAATTCTTGCCTATTTTTTAATTACTTAAGAAGTCTCTTTTTTACTCTAATTTATCTAATATTGTAAATAAAAGTTTTAAAACATTTACTTCCATTTAATGTAAAATTATTCTCTCCCTTTTACTCTTTTTGTTTAATTTTAATTCTTGCCAATATTTAAATTTAAATTTTTAATTATTTAATATGAATTACGATCATTCATTTTATGAAGGCGACAAAAGTAGATACAATAAATAGAAGATTCATATGTTGCATTTATTTATCTAATGTGTAATTAATTTTCGAAATAAAAATGTTGCTATATTTGCGATTATTCAAAGTCGTTTAATTTCTATTTTTAATTATTTAAGTCTCTCTCTCAATCATTCTCATCAATTATCCAAGTCTCTCCTTTACTCCAATTTACCTAATTTTCTAATTAAAAATTTTGATACATTCCTAATTTTAATTTTGAATCATCTAAGTCTCTCTCTCTTTCTTTCTTCGCTTAATGAAAATCCCTGCCTAATTTCTAAATAAAAATATTTCGTCAAGTCTTCCCGCTTGATCCGAGCGATTCGGCGATTCTGTTCGCAGATCTGCACCATCGTTATCTCGTGGAGACGATAACGATGACAACCGTCACGGAGCGGCGTATCGTGCGGGAGATTAGCGAGGAGGAGCGAAAGGATTGCTACGGGCGATCCGACACGGATAAGGACAGCAAGGGCGAGAGCAACGGTTTCAATCCGGCGCTCTGTGGTCCCGGGGTTCACGAGAACGTCGACGGCGACGTCGTCGCTTCCGAGGATCTCGAGCAGCCGAAAAATCCGACGACGACGACGGAAACGGATGAAACGACGACGAGCAACGAGCAGGACGCGAAGGACCTGGCCCTTGTGTTCAAGCTCGGCAACGTGGCCCTCGCCAGCAACAGCCTTAAGCCGAATTCCGCGGTGAGGCAGCTCTTCCCGAACCCGAAGTTCATCTCGCCGCCGCCGGCGCCCACCGGCAAAGGAACCACCTGCCCGGACCAACTGCACTCCCAAGAGGCGGAGAAGTTCCTCATCACCGCCGAGAGCCTACGGCTCTTCGACGCCGTGAAGAAGTCGAACGTCCCCGGCGGCTCGTACGAGTCCCCGGAATGCGAGTCCGCGAGCTCGATCAAGAGATCGATCGAGAGGAACACTCTGCGTCGCAGCCTGATCGGCAAGTACAACACGGTGGTATCGCGCAAGAAGAATCTACGGCCGAAGAATCTGTCGCTCGAGGAGCGTATCAGGCAGCTCACGTGCGTCGATCAGGACGAGGAGAACGTGACCGATACCACCGACAGCTCCGACAACACGAATCCCGGTATGGAGGCCAACAAGTACCAGAACTCCGGGGAACTCGCGATACGTACGTCACCGCTGGGCGAGGAGCGGCCTATCTGCGAATCGTTGCCGGCGAGCGTCGTCGCCTCGACGGAGACCACTGCCACCTTGACGATGGTGTCGACGAGATCCGGTTCCCTGACGACGACGTCGACGACGCCGGCGACGACGGCGATGACGACGAGCACGATGGCGCACAATCCCGGGTTGGTGCTGGGGATGCCGATGCTGGTGACGGACAACCCACCGAACAATCCCCAGTCATCGACTTATCGGAAGATCACAGATTTATTCGCGCACAAGAAGAATATCCCGCCGAATCTGCCCGATCTCGGGATCGGCGGCAGGAGCCTCCTCGCCAAGGAGTGCCAGTCCAAGAATTCGTTGACGAAGATGAACTCGGACGTGCGTAGGCAGCTGCTGGCGAGTCTGGCGCCGCTCTCCTGCGTCGCCGTCAACAGCTCCGACAACCAGGACGAGTATTATAGAAACGAGTCCAGGATCCTGGCGAACCACCGCGAGTCGATCAATTATAATTCCGACTCGTCCTACAGTCTCGAGGACATAGAGGCGGTTCTGAATGGCGACGACAGAAATAAGTACGCCGGTCAACCGGACGTGACGAGATGCACGCCGATCGGCAACAGACCCGACATCGGCGACAACGCCGCGGACGAGCTGCTCGCCTTCGTCGAGCAGGACAAGTCCAGGATGGAGCGGATAAAGCGCCGCTACAACGAGACGGAGGACCGTTACGCGTTCATTAACGGGTACCATTCCGAGGACAAGGCCGTGAACACGTCGTCGAACGAGAATTACGACGGTAAAGCTGTGAAGAACCACGACGTGCAATTGGACAACGAGCTGGAGGACGACGAGGACGACGAGCTCAACGATTACGGCTTCAATCGGCGACCTTCGGTGACCGGGATCAAACAGCAACAGTATCCCAATGAAGCTACCAGCGACGTTACCCATCGTCCGCGAGCCTGCGTTGGTGCCAACAACTTCAACGACCCAGCGAGACCCAGCTCGATGTACCTGCCGACGATGTATTGCGACGTGAACGGCGACAAGATCGACGCCAAGTCTCTAATGGTCTCTACCGACGTCGCGGACGAGACGATTCCTATATCAGCTGACGCGTACGCGATGGGAAGCTTCGAGCGAGACACCAACACCATCAATCGCATAAACACCATGCAGCGACAGATCGACGATATATATCAGACCATCGCCGAGAGCACGGCGGTCACCGCCAACATCCAGGGCATCTCCGAGCACGCGACCTACCTGGAGAACGCGGCGGTACCGCGACAGTTCGTCAGGACGCCGTCAATCGGCGACGCGCACTTATATGCCGAGCACAGAAACGGTCATCACTACTTCCAGGAGCAACAGCAGCAGCAGCAGCAGCAGCAGCAACAGCAGCAGCTCTCCAACACCCGGATGTTGCGTATCGCGGGTGGCGCCGGCGTCGAGGATGTCGCGGGCGCGTTGTACACCAACACCCTGTCGAAGATGCAACGTCGTCACCCGCCGGTCACGATCGCCAACTATCACTGCAACGTCGTCCCTGGTGAAGCCGTGCCCAACACCACCAAGTGTTACCGCACCATGTACTTCGTTCCGTACAGTGGGATCTCGGATCCCACGTATCAGAATCTGCAGCGTATCCTGCCGCCGCATTCCTCGCCTAACTACGCCAGTCACATCGAACGGTACCCGTATCCCCGACTGAACAAGACGGCTGGTCAGCAACAGCAGGCCTTGTACTACACCACGAATCGTTCCACCACGTCGCACGGCAACTTGAACACGTCTCCACCCGTCCCACCACCACCTCCGCCGCCGCCACCCCTATCGTCCGTCTCGAGTCCGAGTGCTCTGCAGAGCGGTCAGCAGCAAGCCTTGCATCTTCATATGCACCCGCATCAGACCGAAGACGCCTTTCGATCTCCCAGCGTGGCGTTCTCCCCGGTCCCGCATTCCACGCTGCATCATCCTCCGATGCAGTTCCATCATCATCAGCATCAACACCAGCATCATCACGGCGAGATGGCGACGTACCGGGTGATGACGCAACAGTCCCCGTCCTCGTACACCGTGATCGCACCTTCCAGATGCATGCCGGCCAGCAATCAGGACGGCTATCCCTTGTATCCGGCGCATCTGGCGCGCGGTAACGCCGTCGTCGCCGTCGCCGCGAACTCGGACGTGCAAACGCAGACGATCACCGTCGCGGCGGCCGCCGCCTCCTCGTCGTTCTCGTCCTCCTCGTCCTCGTCGTCATCGTCGTCATCGTCGTCCTCGTCCTCGTCGTCGTCCTCAGCCTCGGCGCTGTCGTCCTCGTCGTCCTCGTCCACCGCCTCGGCCACCGTGGCCTCATCCCTCATCAAGTGCAACCCCGTCGGCGCTCAACCCGGACAGACCGGCTTGACGACGACGACGACGACTACGACGACGATGGCCGTGTGCGCCGCGCCCCCGATGCAACTGTCACGAACTGTCAACGCGTGCGCGGTGACGGAACGCGGAGTCCCCGAGGGCGCGGCGAGTCTGCCCACCCGGGACAGCTATCAGCAAACGCAGCTGTCCGCCTCGGCGAATCCCCACGTTCTGCTGATGTCCAACTCTTACGTCGACCCCAACGCCGGTCTCATGCCCACCCCGACCAACCCCGCGAACACGGTGTACTACGCCATGAACGTCTGAGATCGGATGACGACGGAGGAGGAGGAGGAACGTGCGATCGAGAAGGCGCACTGATCGACTCCACTTTTTCGACTTTTTTGGGGATCGGCGCGTTATCAAATTCTGATTCTACGGGGTGTCCCGTTTTGAATGATCCGCGCAAGTATCTCGAGGAATGTGAGAGGAAGTGTTTCGAATAAAAGTTGTTTGGTTCGAAGGGGGACATAAGGCGGTGCGATTTATTTGACCTTGGATAGTCGTTTGAAGATCACCTACTTATTTTTCATTACATATTCTTGTGGTTTATTTCAAGAGCTTTCCAAAATACGATAGTAAAATATTTTGTATTACAGGTGCAGGCAAAGTGACACTTTGTGTGCGTGTTTTCTGTGCGGAAAGCGGCCGATTTCCCACGCCGCAAGATGGCGGCGTGCGATCGGCCACCTCGCGCACAAAACCACTTTGCCTGCACTTGTAATACAAAATAGTGCACTTGTAACACAATATACTATTTTCATTAAATACTTTTTTTGAGTTATATTCAGTAGTACTTAATGAAAAAATATTTTACTATGGTATTTTGGAAAACTCTTGAGATAAGCTACGAGAATATATAAAAAATAGGTAGTTCCATTTAAGAAATTAAAGATGATCTTTAAATGACTATCCAAGGTCTAATCAATGGCACCATTTTATGTCCTCCTTCGGGACCAAACAACTTTTGTTTTTCCGCATCTTTCGAGATATTTGCATGAATCATTTAATAAAATGGGACATCCTGTGTAATGAAGAAATTTACAAGAGTAGAGAGATGATCAGTTTTTCCGAGAGGCTCTATCGAGTGATTTTGATGAGTGGTTTATAAGTAACGAAGAACGCGCGTTAAAATCTAGAGAAAGAGAGAGAGACTCGCCGTTTTTTCAACCTTCTCCTGCATGTACCAGAAGTCACTCATCTCTCGTTGAGACGGTGACGTTCATCAAGGGTAAAATTTTTCTCTTAATTCTTTCCGATTTGGCATATTTCGCTTTCTTCATTTTTTTTTCATTCTTTCTCGTCTTTTGTCCACGCTTTTATTCTTCGCGATTTTTTTCCCACGACTAAAAGTAAGAGCGAGAAGAGCCTCGTTTTAGCCAGAGAGCCTAATTTCCTTTCACGGAATACGAGAGTATTATATTTTTTTAAAGAGTGCGACCGACGAGGAGACCTGTCGTAGGATTATTAGACCCCGAATGAAGTCATACACTCTCTTTAGACACGAAAATATATATTCGTTGCAAACTTTTCACTATAATATATATATTATAATATATATATATATATATTATAATATATATATATATATTATATATATATATATATATAACGTAGTAAAAATATTATTATATAAAGAAAGTGTATACGTATATGTGTTGCGCTGTATTGCACTTGCATTAATGCTGTTTTTTCGTTACTTGACATACGATATATCGATATATTACAGCGATATATATAATATTATATGTAATATGTTAGTCCGAATTAATATTATTTTACTCGCTCGTTATCGTCACGAATTATAACACTGTACAAACTTTTTAGAGCACTGTAGATATATATCTTTGCTTAGAGATCAGCGGTTCTAGGATATTATTCCTTATGTAGGATCATAGGTATCGCAATAGAGATCGATATAGATTGTTAGACACTATCGTCATTTATACGATCTGACGAAGTTGTTAATTTTTTGTTTCGAATTACGACGATAATTTATAAAACGCGATCGGGACGTTAACGTTTAAAAAATTGAGAAAAAAATTTCTCGACGGAGAGAGAAAGAGAGAGGACCGTCGCCGGAAAATACATCGTAAGAATTTTTCCACAAAGGAGACGCGCTTGGCAGCGTCTACATGTTATATACTCTGTAATATTTCCGAAAAAAAGAGAGAGAGAGAGAAAGAGAGATCAATTCCGCTTTATTCCGCGTTTTGTGTAGTAAGACTTCGTCTCTTTAAAAAACGAAGGACGGTACATTCACTTGAATTGCACTCGTATACGCTTCATGCCAAATTGAAAAAAAAAAGAAACGTATCAATGCCTCTAGTCAGTATAAAATTAGTCTACATAAGGGATTACGTACACGTGTCGAAAACAAAGACGAGATTATATGCAATTCACCCTCTTGTTAGTTAATTTTCTTCACTTCGCGCTGTCGCGTCGACCCGAGACCTTGCTCGGGATTCTCCGGATCTAACGGAGGATCCAACCGAAACCAAAATTACGTAGCATATCTACATATATATTTACGGTTACGGTGGAAGCGACAAAACGTGTGATTAATGATATACTTTGACATTTCTTAACGACGACAAGTATTATAAAAATAGATACACACACACACACAGATTTAAATAAGTACAAAGTACTCTGCTCGGAAGACGGAATAATGATTTCATTTGTGCGGCAACACTTGGTCGGCGTCTCTCGTCAGGAACTCGTTGAAAGTACAACCGTCTCGCGCGTTTCGTATATATAAAATCCTCATGTCCTATCGAAGGATACCCCGGCAGTTATATATACATAATATACGTATATAGTTCGATTAGACAATATATAGGGACACGCGAATCTATTTTTTAGCGTAGCCACTTTCGCTAAAAACTCACTTCCGAGGAATAAAGTAACCCGTATCCGGTAAAAAAAAGATATATATACACAAAGTAGTACCTCCAAGATCGAGGCATAAGATCGCACGGCCTATATAATATACAAGTTCACGCTCGCGCGTGGAACGCGAGATAGATAGTTATTTATTTTCTTCGTGCCAAAACAGAAAAAAAAGAGAAGAGAGGAGAAAAATGGAAAACCGTCTCGCGATGAAGCGGAGGACGTATTACAATGTAATGGGCTAATAAGTAACGGGGATTGAAGATCCAAGACACGCGTTTGACAGTCAATTACGGGCGAATTCATGAGACGGGAGAGAGAGAGAGACGAAACCAGATCAAAGAACCTTTCTACCGCAGCGAAGGAATGAGACGAATGCGCGATTCGATGTGCAATTTCTCATCTAATGGATGTTGAACGAGACCGCTCTTCGATTCTCTTCGAGAAAGAAAAAATGCAAGAAACATGAACGCGTATTGTTTAAAGGACGACTCTGACGATTAAAGGCTATTTATCACGGTACACGTGATAAACGAGAGAAAGAAAGACGAATATATCTCGCGAGAGAGATTAGAAAAATTACATTATTATTTACATATATATAATAGTTGATATATGTATAATATATATTGTATATTATATTATTTATATTTATATATATATATATATACGATAACAAATTTAATTCTATCTGTTAGGGAAAAATGTAGGCGTTGAAAGTTCTCGTGTAACGCAGAATCCCAGATGGAAGGTGATACGCGAAATTGAATCGCGCTTCTGTTGATATATAGGACTTAACATATACATATATATACATATATATATATATATATGTATATATATATATATATATATATATATATATATATAAAACTATCTCCTCCTCGTCGATGAATTCTCTACGCGTTTTAACTAAATTCACGGTTATAGAAAAATAGCTCTGACCTTTCGCGGTGAGAGAAGCTTGGTTGAGCAGATGTATTAAAGGGCTCGCGGTCTCTCATACATCATCGGCGATGATATAAATAAATCGGTAGGTGTTATAACGTTTTCTCTGCGTAAAACAAATGTTGCGTGTGTCGATAATATATATGTGGGCAATATAAATCGACATATTAATCGACACGACCTGATTACTTAATTAAGACGCTATTGACGTAAGGGAAGTACGCGTCGCGCGTTCATTTATCGTACATCTTATGTCTTATCGGAGATCCTTTTTTTACCCCTATATATATATTATATATTTTAATTAGAATATATTACAGGGTATGTTGTTGTGTAATGTCGCAATGCGCCCTTACACGTGTTTATGCCAAAGTGGAATCATATCAAAAAGACACTTTTTTTTATTCTATGTACCTTTGTAACTTTTTGTCGAACTGTCACTCGCGGATTTCCCCGATTCGATTTTTTGTCAAGAGGGGAAAAGAAATCACGCGTACGTTTACGATTTTACGATTTTTTTTTTTTTTTTAATCCCGTCTCTATACAACAGGCGGACGATTTTTAATATTTGTATTATTAAAATGTTATTGCTCCTGATATTTTTACTTTAATACTACTTTTAGAGTACTAATCAATATGATAAGTATAGTTGCGAATACAGGTCACGAGTTCTGCTCCAGAGGATAATTTCATAGAGGAACATCTATCGCGAATATAAAGACTCTTGTTAGCTTTTCAAAATATTGGAGATATTCCTGTCGGAGGTACATTGTCATTTTCCATTACTTGTAATTTGCATTTTCTCCGTTTAACTTATTACTCGTGAATGAATTTAAAACAAAGCTTTAAATGCGTACGTCCATTAACTCGTGTGATATATTTTTCGTTCGATTATTAATTTCCGCGAGCAAAACGAAGGAAAGGATATTTTCTTCCTCGAAATTCAAGAAGAAAAATTGTTCGAATACAAAAATACGCAACTGCGTTGGCGTCTCGATAATTGAAAAGAATATTCCCCGTGGTTTACCTTCCACTCCGAGTAATTCTCTGCGAAATGCATCTCTCTTGATGCGGAGAAAAGAAATATATATATATATATATATATATATATATATATTCCCTGGAGAGAGATGACATTCTTTCGCTTTTTCGCATCTCGCGAATTTGATCCGTCAAAAATCTTTCGGCCGAAAATATATATACGTACAATCCCTCAGGTATAATCGCGAAATACCTCTCCGATTTTGCTTCTTATCTCGATACGACACCAAAGATCCGTTTGCTTTAGTTTCGTCGAACGTTAGAAAAAAGAGAGATCTCATCTCAGCATCTATATATAATATTATACTCGTTATATAACACTCGACTCTAAAGATCTTTAATTGTAAAAAGATTTTTATATTCTCTGTTGACCTTTTTATATATACATATATATATTATATTATATATATTTATACATATAAATATATTCTCTCTGACATTTTATAAAGACATAAGATTTACCGTAAATGAACGCCTGTCTGCGCGCGAGAAAAGATGCATCCCCAAGTAGCAAACTGACGTCATTAAACGTCAAAATGACGTCCAGTGATGTCATTCGACGTATAAAAATGACGTGCGCTTGCTATATCTGGGATATATAAATAATGCTCTCTCGGAGTCATCGATTCTTTATAAAAGACGGCTTTGTATCGCGATTCTGATTTCAATTCGGATAGGATGAGCGCAAAGAGATTAGCTTAATGTAACATTGTAATCCCAACGGAGGTACTTAATACCTTGTGGCGATCTTTGTTTCGCAAATGTATGTATGTGTGCGTGTGCATATCTGCAACAATCGAGTGCGTTGCGGATTATTTGCATTATTGCAGCTGATTCCAGGCGGGTGCAAATGTACCAGAGCGATATGATAGCGATCGATCGAGCAGTAGGTTATAAGTGTAATGTATCGAGCTATTTGATAATATCGTTGTACCTCTCTCCCCTTTCCTTATCGCAGTTTAGAGCTGCACTTTGCATCTCCGCGAATATTATTTACTTGAAAAGGCTATTCTCAACAATTTCACTTTTGCATATAAAAGCGAAACGTGAAGCGAGATGTAATAATAATAATAATAATAATAATAACGACGCTTTTATGCGTCTCAGAAACCAGAGAACCATATTGTATGAACAAGCGGAGATTAAATCCGCGAATCCCGCAAGAGGACACGTGCATTTATTTAGAAACCCTAGAGCTCTCTCTTATGTCGCAGAAATATTGTTAAATATTTAATATATAATAATTGTATAAGAGTGCGCGGAAAATGTGTGTGCGGAAGAACTCGAATCTGTGAAATCGAGAGATATTATTTTCTCAAAGGGAAAAAAAGAGTGCATAATCACCCGGTAATACACATAATTTACACATTTTCGTAGCGCACGCTCACAAATCCGAAAGAAAGGAAGAAAACAAATCATATGCATGTCGACTCACCCCTTAATTGTTGAGTGTCCACCCTCTGCTAACTCATCGGTAGACTCGGAAGAATGTGCGTATAAATGTCCGTCGTCATCTTTCATCTCGTGTATTCGTAAAGGGTTTCGATGATCCTGTATCGTTCATAATAGCGGCTAATATTTTGTATCGAGTTGTACTCTTGATCCTTGACGGTCCATTTAATCCTTGAGATTTGTGCATCTGAAATATGAAATGCAACGTCCGATTTTAGAGAGAAGAAACGTCAAAAGACGTGAAGGCGAGGTGTAAATATAATATAAAGGATCCGAGAGATTTCGTAAAAAAAGAAATGAATAAAAAATTTAAAAAAATAACGCAGACCGTTAAGGATTAATATTTTGTAAAGCGAATATATATATATACATATATATATATATATATATGGCTCACACACCAAAAAAGATCCCCAAAGGCGAAGTTTTTCATCGCGTCTCCGATCGCGTCGCGCACATTATTATTATTATTATAGTTAAAGAGACTAGGATTCACACTGCGATTCTGTATAATGTATACAAGAAGCAATAGAGAAAGTGCCAAAAGTTTCGTTCTATCCGTTTTTCATCTCCATAAAGGAGTAGATTCGTCGAGCGCGATTGCTCGAGGAACCGCGAGGCTGTGTGTGTATTTCTATGTTTAATTAATTAAAAAAAAAGAAGAAGCGCGCGAGGGAGATGACCGATATTGGAATTCGCGGTTGGCTGGAAAAGTGGCACATACGTAGACAGACCACGAAGTTGCATTACATATATACATATATATATATACATATATATATATATATATATATATATGTATATATGTATGTATGTATGGTATATGTATACTAAAAGTTGTATCGCGGAATATGATCCCCCATTACATGAATTTGCGGTCTTGAACTTTTCCGCCCGCGGATATCTGAAAAGCCGAGAAAAACATATTTTCTATTCGATTAGAGAAGGAGATACGAGTCGATATGATAAGGGAATCGAAAAGGGAACACGATCATTCGATACGATGATTTATATCTGTTTTTTTCATCGTATCACACCACTGATAATGTTTGTTAACTCTTTAACCTGGACTTTTGACGGGTTGTTTTACTTATTTAAAGGAAAATTCTCTGTCGAAGAAAATTGTGTTCCTATAATACGTCTCTATTTCGTAGAGTGAATTTCGAAATTGATTCCATATACGAGTACGAAGGTAGCTGTCGAAAAGGATTAAATTCAAGCACAAATGAAATAAACGAAAAAGTCCAACATCTCCGGAAATGTCTGTTAAAGGGTTAAAAATATTTCCTTCCCGTCACACATCCAAAGCACATCTTACATTTTTCGATCTATTTTATAATTCGATCTCCATCTCTCACGTTTTTGCGGAATTAGCGAAACATATATTTGGGATTCGATGTAAGATTTCTATCTTTTAGACTGATTAGCGATCGCGATAATTATCGCGAGATTTGTAAATGCATGTGGAGAGTATTATTCTACAATATTATTATAGAAAAAACATAAGTAATGGAGGTATGAAAGAATAAAAACCCTGTCAATCTGTGTGCGCGAATGTGTGTGTACGACGTAAATATGTAACGTAGAAAATTAAGATACATGCATATATATATATATATATATATATATATGTATATATGTACATGTATATATATATATATATTTAACTTTAGAAGGATCGGCACACATTTTTCTGTACCTATATATCACAGCAGCCTTTCTAGATAAGGAATCCATGGCGGTTTTCCGAGATTACTGCTGATTAATTAACGGGAGAAGACAGAGGCGCGTGATAGATATATACAAGGCCGATGTAAGGGATGTAAAAGCGGATTATCGATTGGATCATTCATCTCGACCGGGTTAAAACGTGGCCGTCACACGGTTTTTCTAGCGTTAAAGGATTTTTATCACCGAGCACGTGCGATGAGAAAAAAAGTACGATTTATATATACCGGTCGAACATCTTGATGATACATACCTATACGTACCAAAGAGAATAACAGAGTCACGGAGCGAATAATAGAGAGGCTGACCTGGGGGAGAGAGAGAGATTTATGTTCGAAAATCTCCAGAATTATAGTTTGCGTGGCAAATTTTTTTTTTGAGCTCGTGAAACAGCGAGATGTATAACACGGAGCATATATAGGGTGTATCTCTAAATAAATGCAAAAAATTTTAGGAGATAAGTCTTTGTCGAAAAATAAGAGGGATTTATTCTTATGTCCCTCCCTGAGAAGTTACACTTTTCTAAAGAGAGAGGTAAAAATTTAGTTTTTATTTTTTTTCTTAAAAAACTATTAATTTTACGAAAAACATAAAAGACAAAAAGTTTTTGAAGGAATCAAACTTTCTAACGCATATTTTTAGATGATCGCATATTCCAGTCCGTTAAAAAATTGTAATAAAATATAGGGATTGTTAGTTTCATCCCCTTAGAACGATACAGGAAGACAAAAAATATTAATAAAAATATCCTTTAGTGGAAAATATCCAAGTTTCATTTTTTTTTAATTTATCTGAAAGTTGAAAAAAAATGAAAAAATCATCTAAAATTTTTCGCATTTATTTAGACACACCCTGTATAAATGAAAAATGTTTGAGAAGATATGGCATGGAGAACGATGAGCTTTTATAGCGAGGTGATTTTGATATTAACGAGCGAAATACTCGATCATTTAATCGTGTAAAGGATAATAATAACGACGTGGACGCGAGATAATGTAAAAGCGCGTCCGAATCGTACCGTCTCAAGCTGTTTAGTCTTCTGTGCACCTATATTTGTAATCTACGGAGGTAAATCTCACGGACGCATGCGAAGCCGCGAATATTAACGAGCGCGAACACATACTTAGAGAGAAAGAGAGAGAGAGAGAGAGATAAACCATATAGACGGCAGAGAGTGTATCTTATAGTCCGATGGTGTATCCACGTTGCGAATGGAAGAAGAAAATTACGTGTAACAACAACAACTGGGGAATTGTAGTCGGTGTGCGCGAATATAAATGACTCTCATTTAAATTCAGGCGCGCCATCGGTCTATGGCATCGGAGAGCCGGTGAAATATACGCAAGGAAAAAATTTTACATGTATATTATATAACTCAGATGATTATTAAATAAAGTACTTATAAGAAAAGTGTATATATAAATAAAACTGCAGCTATATATATATATCTATACGTCATTGCGTCCTATATATGTTTTCACGTTATTCTTATCCTGCTTTATCGTAAATTATTGACGATATATTTCTTCAATGAGAAGTAAAGTGAAGTTTATACACTTACTTGGCATCAATCGACGAGATTCTGATTATTCATTTACTCCGAGTAGCGGATTCTCACCCCTATATCGATTGTAAAAGTAAAAGAACTGCAAAGAATGACAGAGCACAAAAGTGTGTAGTCTCTCTCGGGTGCTTCAATACGGAATGAATCGTTGGTTTCAAATTTCAGGCATCCTCGCCTCATCTGGCGGCAACAAATGTAACTATCAAGCGATAAATAATCGACTTCTCGGCGAGGAAGAAATTCTCACCGTCGATAATTATTATACCTCAATATATTCGAATTATATTACAATATTATTATTATCAGATTATTATTATATCTAATAATATTATTATTATATAATAATAATAATATATATTATTTTTCCTTTGTTAAATGCGATTCTACCGACCGGCGATAACCACTAGTACGTTTGACAGCTGTCAGATGACGTCACCCGCGGCGTTGGACGGCCGGTGCCACCGCCCTTCGTACATCGCGCCCTCGATAGACGACGACAGACCGGCCCTACGTCGCGGCGCGGCTGGGCGCGATCGGGACCGCACGCGGAAACGTAAATTACAAACTTGAGAAAAAAAAACGCACTCTCCCGCGCGTAAAACATCAATAATCAATTCTCGCGCTTCGGACTCCGGAGAGAGAGAGACACGTCGGTCGGCTGTCATTATCAAGCGTGTGTATACGTACATATATATATATATATATATTTATATATATATTACATATACACATATGTATACGTGTGTGCGCGCGTGATGGCTCCTCCGATTCGGGGCTCCTGTACGCGCTCGATGGTCGAGCATCGTCGCGCACACGTCGCCGCACCTATCACCGGAGTGTCCTCGGGCGGCGCCGCGGAAGAGAGAGCGGCCGTCCATTGTTGAACGGCGGACGTTCCCGGTCGTTTCTTCGCCCGAAGGCGGAAGAGGAATTATCACCGCGGAAGAAAAACAGGGGACTCCGGCCGGCGCGCCTTGGAGAGAGGAAGCGTGGCGCGGTGTTCCTCTCATTGTCAGTGCGGTATGATCAATGAACTCTGAAGGTTGAAGTCGCGTGTCGACAGAGAGAGAGAAAATAAATATAAATCGCTCTTTCTCCTATTTTTTTTTTTTCTCTCCTCGACGACTTCCATTTTCGGTACGCGACGAGGAAATTATTCACGACGACCACGCATAAATATAAGAAGTTGGGAGAGCGCGTGCACGCGTAAACGCATCCTTCTCTCTCCCTCCTGTTCTCTTGGAGATCTTACGTCAGTTGGAGCGTTTTTCAACCCTTTTGTTCGGAGCCAATCGGTCGAGCCCGCTTCGTTTAACGCTCTCCTTCTCCTCCTCCGCCTCCTCGCTTCTCCCTCCGCGTTCGTCGCATCCGCTCGCGAGCGAGCGAGAGTTCTCGTCCGCCTCCTCCAGGTCCGACGATCAGGCTTAATCGCGGGACGCGCGCGAGCGAGCAGTCGACGCGACGCGACGCGTCCTTCGTGATTTTTTTTTTCGCGCGACAGCCGGAAGCTGGATCTCGTTTCGTCGCGCGACTTTTTTTCCCCGTGACATTTCTCACCGCGTCAAACGTCAAACGTCAAAAATCCGCCTTCCAGTAGTGTCTCGTTTCTCGCCTGTAAGAACGAATCTCGAAATTACGTGATTTATAGTGACTGAGCGTGTACAAGGTGTTGTAAGATATACTCGCATCCTCTCCAGCAAGAACTCGGAGTGCAAACTGGATTTGTTGCCTCTTGTTTTGTGTTTTGTTCCGTCTCTCCTGTTTGTTTATCTTAGAGTTCTTTCTACAGTCTTTTCTCTATCTGAATATGTTTGCACGATAAGTAGAACAGTGATCTTTAATCAGGAAGATAATTGGGGAACAGTGATCTTTTGATCGGGAAGATAATTGAGGAATGTGAATTTTGTTTTTGTAGACATCTTTTTTTTTTGAAATGTTTGATTATGCTTTATTTCTCTCTCTCTCTCTCTCTCTCTCTCTCTCTTAGACATATGATTTTATTATACAATATACAGTGTATAATAAAGTTCATTCAAAGCTAATTTTAGTATGAAAATTATTCGACAAGTTTTCTGACAAAAGTGCTCAAATAGTTAATATTTTTGTCATCTCTCTATTTTTTATAATTAATTTATTGGAGATCAACATTGTTCTTCCTTTTGACTCAACTTTCATCACACGATACATGCAATGATCTCTTATCCTATGGTTCTTTTATTACAGATGATGTCATAATACAGATTTATTGATTGTACCCTTTGAGAAAGCACCCATTAAACAATTGCTTTGTGAAACAAAGTAAATGATTCAAGATGAATGATATAGACACTTTTGGCATGAAGGGAGGCTCAAAGATGCCTCACAGTCATTCGACACCAGCTGGTGTGGACGGAGGTAGTAGAACACCTCCTGCAACACCAAGGAAGGCTGGAAAAATGCTTGCGGTTCGTGTACAGATGTTGGATGACTCTATTACAATGTTTCAAGTGCAGGTAATTGAATACTCTTATTTTACTCTTAAATAATTCCCTCGACACATATATTTCAATTGCTTGCGACACTATATATGCTAATTGTAAGACACACCAGAAGAAATTATGCAGTTAAGTTACGAATAAGACTAATAAGATTCAATATATAGACTCTTTTGAATTTACATCCTAACATCAATTCTAATCATCTATAGAAAAAAATGCAAGTTTTTTTCTTTAGTAAAGTTCTCACTTTGATGAAACTCGTAAATATATATGAGATTAGAATATTTTTCTTTTACATGGTTTAATTTTTTTTTCCTCTGTGTGTATCAAGCCTTCATGTGCATTATTTATAAGATGTGTGAGCTGTATATGAAAATTGTTTACTGTTCCTAACTTCTCTTGCACTCTCTATAGAGAATAATCATGGAAGAATAAGCGCTAAAATGACATTAAATGATGCTTGAATATCTTATTGTACCTTTACAATTCCATAGTATATAGCATATGAGTGTGTGCATTATTGCATTTATAGCCATAAGCTATTGTGTATCTGTGTTACGCATCTCTCCATGTGTATTCTTCCCCTATGTATTAAAATATTTATCGTAGAAGATTATTAAATAATCTAATCCAAGCTCATACATCTTTCTCCCTTTCTTTTATATAATCTTTATAAAATATATACACATGTATGGTATATATATATACATATATATATATATATATATATATATATATATAGATATATATATATATATATATATACACATATATCATTTAATATATTGATCATTACTCTTATGGTGTGTCAGCTTTATTGTTTGCAATCGTTCTCATCTTTTTATGTAATAAAGGAATATGTATGTGCATTAATATACCCATCAATCTATATTCGCTGTGTAGGCATATATTAAACTATTTACTTGGTGCATCCAGGTCAAGTGTCATTGATTACAAAGCCTCTTTTAGAAGTTCCTCTCTGTGAGGCTATTTAACTTAAAATTTCGATTCGCGAGATTTTCAGTTTTATATTACTTTGAAACATTTCTTTTGTAATTTTGATAATTTATGGAGTTCTATAATATTATATTTAATTTATGCCAAAATACTTTAATTAAAGTTAGACTTTGCTCTTTCAAACATTTTTTTACAACTTTACAATCATATATAGTCAGATAGATCGAGATCTCTTGTTTAGATTTAAAAATTTATTGATTTGTATTATATATATTTTTATATTAACAAGATACTTATATATACTATATACGCTCTATAGTGTATGCATATACTTCCAGAAGAATGAGCTACTGGAGCATATAATGTATCAAATGGGGGATTCTTGTGTGCAATATATGTGTAAACTCATTTATTGATTATTTATTTACAATGCTTGCAACGTGTTGCTTGTTTCTTTAAAGATTAATTTTGTATTCTCTGTAGCATCTTAGCTTCTTGCAATGAAGTTGACAAGATTATTCAGTCTATATTTATAGCATTTAATTATATAATCTTAATTCATATATTTTGTAAGATATATAAATATTTAAGTCTACATTTTTTTTACATAATTATATATCCCTCATATCAAGTTGAAAATATAATAAATAATAATGAGGCTATTATATAGCAATGTTTAGGAATGTTATGGCTTAACAAGTTAATTGTACTAATTGTATTGAAGCTTAAAATAATTTATCAAATTGTATAAATTTTATTATTTTAAATTTTCAGGCCAAAGCACTAGGTAGAGTGTTGTTTGATCAAGTTTGTAAGCAATTGCACCTTTTAGAAGCAGATTATTTTGGTCTCGAGTATCAAGAACCAAATTTAACAAGAGTAAGATGTGTAATTTTTTATTTAATTTCTTAACGCTTTTCTTTTTAATGAGCAGTGAATTAAAAAAAAATTATATTTGCAGTATTGGTTAGATTTGGAGAAACCAGTATGCAGACAAGTTGGCTTATCTCTAATCGATCCTCTATTGAGGTTCTGTGTTAAATTTTATACGCCGGATCCTGCACAACTCGAGGAAGAGTTTACAAGATATTTATTCTGTCTACAAATCAAACGGGATTTATCTCTAGGTTTACTGCAATGCAATGATAACACAGCAGCATTAATGGCCAGTTATATAGTTCAGGGTAATTACATCATTGTTATTTCTTCCGCCGTTAAAAGTATTATATCTAAGCTTTAGTTATGTTATTTAATGAAAAGGTTTTGTAATCTACTTTCTTGAGTACAATCATCGTTTTCTTTCTCGTAGCTGAATGCGGAGACTATGTGATAGAAGATTACCCGGATCATACATATTTATCAACATATAAATTTGTGCCTCATCAGGATCACGAGTTGGAACGACGTATCATGGAGAATCACAAGAAACATGCGTAAGAGACATAAATTTCATGAATGTAATAAATTTCATTAATTATTGAGTTTATTTTAAATATGTATATATATATATATATTTTTTTTTTTTTAATGTTAACAGAGGCCAATCTCCTGCAGAGGCAGATCTCAATCTTTTAGAGACAGCTCGACGTTGCGAACTGTATGGAATGAAAATGCATCCAGCTAAGGTGAGTTTAATAATGATAAAGAAAAAATTATGCTTTATATATATTGTGCATATATATTTACATATTCTTGTTCTTTGCTAGGATCATGAGAACGTTCCACTAAATCTTGCAGTGGCACATATGGGCATTGTAGTTTTTCAAAATTATACTAAGATAAATACATTTAGCTGGGCCAAAATCAGAAAAATCAGTTTCAAACGAAAACGCTTTCTAATCAAATTACATCCTGAGGGTTATGTAAGTACTTGGAATTTTTAATGATTTTAAAGGGGTAAATTTTTATCTTGAAATTAATATGAATATATTGCGATATTATCTATTTGACTCGTTTTATTATCTCATTTACAGGGTTATTATAAGGATACAGTCGAATTTTTTTTCGAAGGACGTAATGAGTGTAAAAACTTTTGGAAAAAGTGTGTAGAAAACCATGGTTTTTTCCGTTGCTCTGTAGTTAAGAGAGTCGTGAGGCAAAAGACTAGAGTGCTTAGCCGTGGATCGTCATTCAGGTATATTAAATTATTATCTTTCTTAACGTGAATTACAAACGTGTGTTTATATAAATCATTTTAATATTTTTCAATGTACAAGATAACTTTAAAGATCTTTTAAAGTGTTATCACACATATATGTGTAAGAAGAATATTTAATGCTTCAAAATGCTCGTAAAATAAAGAAAACCTCTATTGTTTGCACACTACAGGTATAGCGGCAAAACTCAGAAACAGATTGTCGAATTTGTTCGGGACAATTATGTGAAGAGGCAGACGTTTCAAAGGTAAGTTGAAGAGATTGACAAGTGTGTTGAATAATTGAAAGTCTTTGGATACCCCCCCACGTAGGTAGTGCATGTATATTGCGTACTGTTTTCCCCCCCTAATGTTGGTTTGTACCATTGAAATCTTTACTTAATGAACGCATCAATCTTGTGTGGGTGAGATAGGAGGTGGCACGGTCTTGCTTTTGCCGGAATCGGTATTTATTATTATTATATATACATGTATTATCCACGAACGTCCACAATTTCCATAGCGGAAACTGTTTCCAAGTTTTTATATTTCCGTTTGTCAGTGTTGCCTGCTCGGACAGGGGTGGCGGGGAGTCAGGCTCACCATCAGGCACGATAAACCCGAATGATGAGTGTACCCTCTCTCAATAGCGTGATCACTAATTATTTATTGTTGTCTGATAATACACAGCAAAGTACCATACTTCACTATAATATATCCTTATATAACAGTTTTATCCAACAAACAAGATACTTGTCCATAGCAGTAGACTGTTCTAAAATAGAAGTTTTTAGCTTTATTATTAATATATTCTCGAAAAAAGGAAGCTATTTTCTTGTATATACATATATTGCCGGTAGATTTTCATTTGCTGTGCGATATCGATGCACGGTTGAGAAACGCCTACATACATATACATATATCGTGGAAACATATTAATTGATAAAATGAGAAATAGAACATGTGTGAAATATTAAATTTAATTACAAGAGTAGCCAGTATATTTTTACATTATTGGTATCTCTATCAGTTTCTCACTGAAAAGATTTCTATGTGTATTGAGATTATATTTTTGTGACTAATCTTTTGGATTTTAAATTTTAATAATTGTAGGGTGTATAGGAGTAAAAAACATTTGACACAAAAAATAATATACTATTCCAAAAGTTGAATGCATTAAAATTTAAAGATAACATTGGATATATTTATTTTAAAAGTGCACTTTTATTTGTATATTTATTTACGCTTCTGGACACGCAAGATATTTTTCTTGTATCTCACATAATTATATTGCACGTATGACTCCATTTGCGAGAAAGTCACAAATATTTTAACACAAAGATTTTTGTATTGATTAATACCTTTAAGATGTATTTTTGTGTGACATTTGTAAAAATGAGGACAGCCTTTACACGCTACAATTTTGTACTCCAAAAGAATTATCCTTAAAATATATACATATAATGGCTGTCTCTTCACTATTCCTAAAATTTGTTCAACTAGTAGTTCAACACAGTTCTCCTTTGCACTCATGTGATATCTCGTATATCCCAATGATTTATTAGTAATATATATATATAGTATTTATTATATTTTTACACAATTTAAAATACACATTTAATCGTTGTACCTTGTTATAACTATTTTATAGTTTAAAAATATATAGCACATATAATGAGTGAGAATCTAATCATATGTTACAGCGATATTATTATATACATATTGTATTTAAAAAATCGGCTACTCAACGGCGATGTTGACCGTGTATCGTATCAGAGAAGTGTAATCTATTTTTGTTTATCGCATCGCACATTTCAATACGTGGGTTAGCAGGAAGATCGATATCTTCCTCGCGTTACGTACCGTTAGTCGACGGAAGCTATTATTATTATTATTATTTTTTTTTTTTTTAATTTTTTTTTTTTTTTTTAATTTTTTCTACTGTCACACTTTGCGATCTCGTTAAGGAAAAAAAATATATATAAAAATAAAAGAAAAAAAAAAGAGAAAGAAGGGATAAGTTGGTTCCGAACAGGCTTGGCATTTGATAGCCTAAGTCTGATGCTGAACTTGACTCTCTCTTGCTCGCAGGTCCAATTCGTTCCGGCAGACTAGCGGTGGTAGGGCATTGCAGGGCTCGGAGGGGGGAGGCTATCGTGGGGCCACTCCAAGCAGCTCCCTTATGGGCAGCTCCAGCATCTCTGCCCACCCCCTCCTGCCCCTCGGCGATCCTGGTATGTACCATGACCGACACCAACCTCCACAACAAACGCTTTATTTTTAATTTCTCCGCCCTTTGCCTCTCTCTATTTCTGTCCACCTCTTTCTAGCCTCATTTCTTTTCACCGTATCATAACTCAAGTACTGTAATTGTAGAGTAGATTAGCGTATCTCTTAAATAGATTGCTTTTATACATGACCTTTGTGCGTAACAGGTTTATGATGTTTGTAAAAATTATATGTAAAATTATATGTAAAGCGAAATTTATTTTTATAAAAGGATACAATCATATATGTAGAGGTTTGCGATTACAATTGCACACTAAAATAATGTTTAATGTGTGCTTTGATATCACGAAGAGTGTCAAAGTAATATCAACAATCTTCGATAAAAATACGCCCGAGTAAAATGTATTATTAAAAGATAGCAATGTTAATGATTAATCTATATTGATATTCTCCATCAATGAAACGCTTCATCAATGAAACATTCATTAGAGAGTAATTAATCCTTCATTAGAGAGTAATTAATAATTTAAGATAAAAAAAAAAAAGATGTAATCGCATAATGGGAAATTACGCGCCAAGGTTCTATATATGAAGAGGTATGCGCTCTTGGGGTAAAATTAATAGTTGGAATTTTTTTCAGCCCTGGCAACCCCAGCTCTGTCTCTGTCATGCGGTTCGATGACACTGGATTCTCCGACGACTGTGACGAGTGTCTCGATGGGCGGGATGATTCACCGTCGAGAAGACACAGCTACATCGTATCGGACGCTCACCTCTATCGACGTCCATTCGCCAGCTACCCCCAGCCTGGTCCCAGCACCGCGGCAGATGCATGCTACCAGTCAACAGCGGATTTCATCAACAGGTCGTATCAGCCCCTCTAACAGCAGTCCCCCTGAATTCCCACCACCACGACCTCTGCCCAGACACCCCTGGCAACGGTCGGCTAGTTGTCGCGATCTGTACGCATCTAGTTTCGAGGACTCCGGTAAGGCGCGACCGCGGGACGACAAGGTCGCCGCGGAGCCGCCGTTAGATCCATTTGTGTTAGCCTCCCAAGGTGAACTAGACAACCCCATAACGCGTTACGACGAGAGTAATCGTTCGTATAGCGCGGCCAGTTCGAAATTACCCTCTCTAGATCACGACTCTGTCCCGGAGCGTGTTTACAGCAGTTCCTACCCGGGAACGTCGTCGTTGTCTACCGAATCGGGTCATGAGGAATCGGGTCCCGCCGGAGATCTGTCCCACGACGATCTCTCGCACGATTCTTACGAGCTTTTGGAACGCGAGCACGAATTCGAGTATCCGGAATCGTATTCGAGTCCGCACGACGAACCTATATCCGATCAGAGCGACGAAGGGATCGAGCACGAGATGTTCCAAATGGACTCCGAGACCGATTCCTTCGTCAAGCATAGATCGTTGAAGCCTTCCGAGAGGCAACAATACAAATCCGCGCTAATTGATCTTAAGAACACACAGAGAGCGAAGTCTATCGATCGGTACTCAGCTGTATCCAAGGACGGTGATTACGTAGTCACCGAATCCAGGATACAACGGTCGTGCACTCAGATAGAGCGCAAATTCGAGATGAGACACGCCAATTCCGTGGAACAGTCGTCCAAGATGACCGTTCCGCATCAGGATTCGGTTAGAAAGGATCCCGTGGTCATGCAGGTGCAAAAGCAAAAGGTTTCCGTTCTCAATGAGTTGAAAAACTTGAAGCCAAAGTATAAGATCACTCACGTAGACTCGGAGGTCTTGCGTGACGAGGGTATTATGCGTCCGAAATCGCGAATAGACGACGATCTGAGTCCGGTAGACGGGAATGATAGGACCGTGTCGGATCACGCGAGAGGTAGGACTACTAGGGCTCGTAGTATCGCCAGCTTGGAGGATCACCCGCCGCGGTTGTACGTCGAGACGGGTAGCTTAGGTCGCGGACACAAATCCAGGGATAGGAAGTCGCGAGATTCCGAGTTAGTTAAGATCGAGAAGGTGTTGTCGAAGGAGCGAAAGCGAATCGAGAGGGATTATTCCAGGGATTCTAGGAGAATCGACAAGGCCGATTCTCGAGAACGACGGTCTGTCGACCGGCTCGATTCGCGAAAATCGGACGGTCACGCTCGTCGCAGCGTAGATCGGATCGATTTGCGCGAGTTACGTCGTAGCATCGAGCGGCTCGACGTGCGCGAGAAGAGTTACGAGCACTTGGACTCGTATTCGAGGGAAAAGAGTGCCTTTTATTATGATTTCTATGAATCGCGCGGTAAGAGCGTCGATCGTTTAGACTTTCAAGGGCTGCGCGGCAGCATGGAATATCTGAGGAGTCCTAAAGACAGGAGTCCTAAGAGTCCTAGGAGTCCTAAGAGTCCTAAAGAGAAGAGTAGCACTCATCGGCACGCGAATACGCGGGAGCGCAGGGAGAAAAGCATCGAGCGGATCGATTCTCGAGAATCGAGGAAGAACAGAGCGGCCTCCATCGATTACGAGAGGCATACTTTGGAGCGTTTCGATTCCGGGAATAAGAGCCCGTTCGAACGATTAACTCCGAAGGAGCAACGAAGAATGAGCATCGAGAGACTGGACTCTCAGAAGTTCGACTTTGATCCGCGAGCGATCGAGCGTTTCAAGCTGGAGAGTCGTTACGAACAGAGAGATCGAATTCACGAGAGGAAGAGTCTGGAGAAGCTGGATTCGCGGGAGCGAAAGCATCTAGGTCGCTTGGAGTCGCGGGAGGGAAGGAGTCTCGAGTGCCTGGACTTTGATAGCAAACGGAACGTCGAGAAGATAGAATACAAGGATCAGAAGAGAAGCAAGAGCAAACCCGAGAAGGTTAAAGCGCTGCCGCCGGAGGAGAAACCGCGGGAGCGCGACGACTGGAGGAGCCTGGAGAAGGCGCGGAAGGACAACGAGAGGCGGGAACGCGAACGGCAAGCGAAACTGTCCCTCGAATCGCGGACGGAGACTGTCATCGGCGTGCCGCACGAGATGGAGAATTTGAAGCCGAAGGCCGTGTTCGCCGAGTACGAGCCGAAGGTCGTCGGCGGCGTCGTCCTCGGTTTCGAGGAGACCGCCCTGCCCGGTCACATACCCGTGGAACGTACAAAGAGCGACCCGAATCCGGCGCGACAGAGACTGGGATCCAACAGCAAACGGCACATGCTGATGCATCAGAAGTCTATAGATCTGACTCCCGCGGATTCCGGGGACGAGGAACCGTTCTCGGACAGCGCGGCGACGGTGCAGAAGACCAACGTCGATATCCCGTACACGTTGCACAAGAGGCACGTGATGAACGGCACGGCGTCCGACGAGAAGTCCGAGTCGGACAGCAGCAAGACCTCGAAGAACGTCAAGAGCGCCGCCAAGGACCTGCCGAAGCTGCCGTTGAAGATAACGGACATCTCGTACTTTGATCTAACCAAGTTATCCTCGATGGAGAAGACCGGGAGCAAACTATCCCCGGATAAGCCGAAGAGCGGCGCGATCACTGCCGCGAGACCAAAGTCCATCTTGAGTCCGTCGGATAAGCCGAAGAGTATCTTGAGCCCGACGTCGAAGCTCTCGCCCACGTCGGATCTGAAGAGTTTCGTTTGCAGTTTGTCGCCTACGAACAGAAGTCCGTCGAAGGTGAACGCGAAGACTCAATCTCCCGATAAGCTTTCGCCGAAGGGCGGCTCGTTGGACAGAAACAGGGCCGAGGTCATCATCAACGAGGATTACGCGTGCAAAAAAGCTTCCAGTTTGGATAAATCGAAATTATCTCCTTCGAAGTTATCTCCGGTCGAGCCTAACGTCACCATTATAGCGGCACTCGAGAAACGCTCGCCCAAGAAGTCACCGACCGATCCTAACGTAACTATCGTATCTGTGATACAGAAGAAGAAATCCACGGATGGGGCACCTAAAAGTCCTACTAACGTGGTCAAAGCAGCGGACGCTAAATCAAAAGTCGCTTTGAATTTTGCTGACGTTGTCAGCATGGAAATGAAGCAGAACTTGGAACGCAAAACAAAACTCGAGAAGGATAGTCTAAAGGCGCCGGACGATAGTTTAGAGAAGCAGGATAGCATCGAGAAGATACCGTTACCGGAAATTCCCGACGACTTGGAGAAAATTATGCCGGACGACCAAGCAGCCATCGGAAAAATTCAGCAGGCAATGATGAAGGAATTGGTCCATTCGTTCAGACGAAACGCCGACGAGTTGTCCGACGACGATCAGAGAAAAGAGAACGTGCAGTCCGTCGTGGCTGAGGTTCACATATCGGCGGCGGAATTTAAGACGGAGAAACCACCGATTCCGGTGAAACCGAAGACCCTGGAGAAACCGAGTATCCCCGAGAAGACGAAACGTATTTTGGAGAGAATAGAATCCAAGTTCTCGGAGGTTAGCAAAAATTCCGCCACGAAGATCTCGAGGCCCAAGATCATCGATACAGGATTTGACGATTTTGTAGATCCAGTCGCCGATTTGCCTTTGGACGAAGTGCCTGTGAAACCTGCCCTAGAGTTGGATAGTCTTAAAGTTCCTGAATTCGTTCCTTTCATGCTGAGACCCCACGAACCGCTGAGATCCAAATCGCTGTCCCTGGCGGAGGAGAAAGCGCCAATCGACACATTGCTTTCCCCGGAAGTCGAGAACAAGCACTTCGTGCAGGACGTCTCGCCGAAGAGGTTGAAGAAGGTGAAATCGGAGCCGAAGAAGGACTTCAAGAAGCAATCGAAATCGCTGGAGGGTGACAAGCCGCCGTTGAAGAAGAGCGCGTCGAAGGAGTCGCGTGCCCCGGTTGTGAGTACAAAAATTGACAAGTCCAAGTTGAAACTCGGCGAGATGCCGCAGGAGATTATAATCATCGATTCGACCGACGTCGCGCCGGAGATCAGCATCGTTCAAAAGGGCAGATCGAAATCCGTAACCAGGTTGTCCGACAAGCCGTTCTCGACGTCGAAGGACGACAAGGAGGAGACGAAGAGCACTCGCGCGAAATCCGCGTCGGTCGACGACGAGTTAATCAAGGGTACAATAAAGTCCGAGAAATCCAGACCGAAATCGCTGGGAATATCTAAGAGCTTGGGAAGTACGGAGAAAAAGGATTCGGTAGAGAAAATATCCCCGAAGAGGATCAAGGCTGCTGCCAAGGCGGCTGACTCGAAGGCCGAGAGTAAATCCGCCAGGGATGCAGGATTGAAACAGGACGCGAAATCGACGCGCAAAGTAACATCGAAGGTAGAAGCGGCTGCTAGCGAAGAGACCAATGAATCCAAACAATCTAAACCGGAGAAAGAACCTTCTAAACTACCTGTCAAACCCGACGTCGTGATCGATCAGCCGGTGGAGACTAAACGGACCGCAGCAGCGGACGAGTCCAAGGAGTCAATCAAGGAACCTTCGAAGAAGGCCGCGCTCGCTCAAGACTTGACTCAGTCTCCCCTGGTGTTGCGGAAACCGGGCCAAACGCCGATATTGTTCGCTCGCGCTCGCCTCGGCCTCTCCGAAGGTAGCGGAATCGGCGCTCTTCAACGTCAGGGCGCGACGCAGTCGCCTACGGCTCAGCGACGCGCCAAGTCCTTGGACGCAGCCGTCATCTCCGTGCACAGACTCCCGCCGGCAAACGCGTTCTCCAGCAAGGATGACACGGTGGACGTGTCGGAGAACCTGGAGGATCGAGAGAACGTCGCAGCTGCCGCAGCCGAGAGTGCGAATGCGATGTCGAAGGCGCAGTCGGCGCAGATGGAGGCCTCCCCAAATCACAGATCCGACAGCACCGATCACACGACCATTCCGGAGATTTGCACCGACTCTCTGTCCGTCACCGAGACCTCGGCGCAGTACTTGGAGTCGCCGTTGACGGAGTGCAACGAGATTGTGGCCAGCATCGACTTGATCCCTTACGAGGGACAAGAGAGGCAGATTCCGTTTATCAGTTACATCAACGGAAACGAGAACGTGACGGAAAACATGAAGGTAGAGGAAGCTACGAAATTCATCGATCAGAGCTCCGCGGAGTCCGGCGGGGAACAGGAAGCCTCTGGGAAGAGTCCCGAGGTGTCGAGGGAAGCTGCTGATCAGTCGTCGACGATCTTTGTGAAGAGCGCTAGTATGGAAGGTGTCGTTTGCAGGCAAACCGAGGAGCAGGATGGGGAAGGAAGCGCGAAAATGAGCGAAACGATTAAATCTCCGAGTCGTTCGGAGGATCTTCGTACCAGGAGCGAGGACTCCGACCGGAAGAGCCCGTCCGAGAGAGACGACGTTCCTAACGTCACCATAAGCGTGGTTCGAGAGGATGAAAAATACTACCTTAGCTATTACGATCAGGACGAGCCTCCGGATATGGTCAAGTCGCCGATACAGATATCCATCGAGGAGTGCTCGGACGACGAGGGAAATCCTGAAGAGGAGGAGGAATTAATCGACGAGCGAGAAGAAGAGGAACACAAACGACACGACTCCCTGGATACGAGCGAGGACACGCTTGACGCGCTCGACACCCAAGTGCAAACGCGAGGAGTGGACAGCGAGATGAGCTCGCCGGATTACGGCGTCGACAAGATGGACGAGAAGACGTTGGTTGAGGTCGAGCTGACGCCGGAGTACCTGGAGATGAAGAGAGAGGACGAGGAGACCGCGGAAGATTTGCCGGAGGACGAGCCGGCGAAGGAAGCCGTGGAGATTGCGGACTCCAATCGTTTGTCCATCGACAAGAAGCTCAGATTGAGCACCGAACGCTCGAGGAGCGAGGAAACCAGCACTTACACCCCGGACAGAGAGGACCCGGACTCCAGCTCGTGCTCCATCGCCCGGCCGTTGGGGATCGGTCAGATACAGCCTATAGTGGATCGTCGGGAGATCATGATGATCGAAGGCGCTCGCAGTGGTTCTATAGACGATGACAATAGCAACGGCTCGCAACCACCTCCGAAGCACGAGATGAGCGCCACGTGGAAGTCGTTCCCGCAGGAGAGCTCCGGTAGTTCTAGTTTGGAGGAGGGCTGGGCGCCCCAGGACGAGAACAACGCGCAACAGTCGCACTCCGAGGACAGCAACGGCCAGAACGAGGACAGTTTTCAAGAAGATCTAGCGGATTTCCCCGGCACCTTCATCTACCCCATCGGACCCGAGATCCTGGCCAACTACGGCGCGTTCTCGCTCTCCCGTACCTTGTCCAGGATATCCGAGCGATCGACCACGTCGGAGCAGGACAAGAGCGACTTGGAGGACTCCTTCAAGCCCAGCTCGAGGTCGCCGAGTCTCGACGACGAGTCTTTAATGTCCAGCGACCATCAGCCCTCCCTATCGTCGGATCCACCGTCCGGCACGGCGTTACCATCCGTCTCGGACGATCGTAGAACGTCCTCCGAACTTCCGGATATCCCCATCGACGTGATCGGCGGCCAGGAGGACGATTCAAAGTCACCGCGAACCACCAGACGGTCGAGGTTGCAGTTGCAAAGCTCCGAGGACTGGCCGTCTCCGCCGAGCTCGCCCGTTTTCGACACACCGGTGGTGAGCCACGTGGAGACCTTCTACATGGAGATCAAACCGGAGGAGGCCGTCAAGGTCACCGTCACCGACAGCACCGAGACGCCGCCGGTTCACGGGGCGGACCGGGACAGCGATTCCAGCGACGAGAACCGGACTCTGCACGACGATCTGCACTCGACGTTCCTAGAGGACGGGCAGAGCTCGACGTCCGCGACGACGGTCGACGGTACGGTGAAGATCGCGGTGAAACCAAAATCCAACTCGTACATCACCGGCTCGTCGCACAGCGAGGACACGTCCATGGGTCTGTCCATGTCCGAGTGGTCCAGCTCGAACAACACCGTGCGCCAATTTTGCCAGTACTCGGGAACCAAGTCCGACGACAATTCCCTGGCGGAGCTCGGCGCCTCGATCTCCGATTGGTCGGGCAGCACGACGGTGATACCCCAGCAATATTACTCGACGGCCGGAGACAAAAGCCAGAGCGACACCACGACGTCCGAGAGAAGTGCGACCAGCATGAGACCAAACTCCAAGTGTCAGACCGCCGATACCTCCTCCCTGCCATCGCCACCGTCTCCGTCTTCGTTGCCGCTACCCGTGTCGCCACCACTGCCCTCTCCGCCCGCGACGGCCGGCTCTCCGTTCCGATACGAGGACGAGGGAGCCGCCGATTCCGAGCACCGCGAAGCTTACGAGGTGGTTCCCGAGACGTACGAGGACAACGATCTCCGTCAAGCAGCTCGAACCGGCGACGAGTTCGACGAGGCGCGACGATTCATCGAGAGCCAGTTCGACGAGCATCGTCGATCGCGTCGTTATAACACGACGACGACGACGACTACGACGAGGAGGAGGAAGAGCGACGTCACCAGGCCGTCTATCCGGAATTCGCCGGCATCTCGCCGCCTCGCATCACTCTTCGAAACGAGTACGACGAGGCCATCGAGGACGACCAGGACTTCCAGACGTTTCCAGAGGACGAGACGACCCTCTGCGCGGACGACACGCCGCTGCCAATTCCCGAGGAGGACGAGGAGGACCAGCTGTACGACAACGTCCCCGCCATGAAGTATTCCAGCAGCGACCAGGTGCGGATGGAGGTCGGTCGCGGTGACAGCTCGGAGGACATGCACGAGAAGTACGCCGATCTCACCCTGCAGTCGAGGCTGGCGGACGACGAGTGGTCGTCCTTGGAGGAGCGAAGGGACCTTCCTCAGGAACGCGAGAAACCGGTCAGAACGATGGGGGGTAAGTTTGATCGCGGTTTCTCGGAGCCGAGTCCGCACGACGTCAGCAGGTACCACGGCACCAGATCCACCGAGCGACCGGTCATGGTACCGATTCGCGCCAAGTCGACCCCGTATTACTCCACGACGAGTCAGAGCGGCGAGTCGACGACGTCGAGCCCGCCGATGCCGATCAGAACGCAGATCAGGACGAAAACGATGCCTTACTCGTCGAATCGCAGCCCGCAGAGCGAGGGCGACACCTCCTCGAGCATGGACAGTCCGGCGCACACTCCCGATCGGGGTCAGCGGGCCTTCCGCCGGAAGCGCCAGCAGAATACCAAGAGACGTCATCGCGTGGTCGTTGACCTCGAGGTCAAGGACGGCCACATAGTCTCCAGCACCGATTCCAGCTTCGACGTGGCGACGATACCGCCGCCTCTGCTGCCGGAAGGCCAGGACGACGACGAGGACGACGAGTTGTCCGAGACGAAAGACGGGCGACGTCGTCAGCAGCAGCGTTGACGCGACGACGATCCTCGTTAAACGGATAAGTGACAGAACGACGGTGAAGGAGAGGGAATTAGCTGATCGATGGAAAGTCTGTGAGGAAATATTTCCAATCGTGGAATTGAGCGCACACTTAGAATTGATACGAAATGTCAAACGGCTACGTGAAAAAAAATGGAAATCGATCGCGAACCGACACAAACTGGCCTTTATTATTTTTGCTTTCTTTTTTCGCGAACGATCCCGATTCTCAACACGATGGCGATATCGGGATCCGAGAGATTATATAAATATATATTATATATACGGGTATGTATTCGAGACGAAAGTTATACATCAACGACGGCGTAAAAGAAGACAAGAACGACGGGCGTTAATTAAGTCGTTTCCTGGGGTATTTAGGAGGCCCGAGGCGAATGATCAAAATCCGCGCGATGGATCTAGGATAATTATCCTTAGGGATAAATACACAACGTTTGTTACACGTTTTAGAGAGACCCGAGTTTACTTTGATATTATACCATCTCGTGATAGAATCCCTCTTTTATCCCCGAGTAGCTCGAGTTGTTAGTGATGTAACTCATGCATAAACACGGAAAGCGAATATCTTAATTATTAAGATCGACGCGCACAATCGACGCGTTATATCCTAGTAATAATTATAATAATAATTATTATAATAATAACGTACGACATTATAAGATAGAGATCGAAGGAACGAGCGACGCGTAGAACTTTCGAGGGTAAAAATCGTAAGTTTAAGTCGTATATAAAGGAGAAAAATACCGCGTAATCATTTTTAACCCTTTAATCGGTCCACCAATCTTCATTTCATTTCTCGCACGAGATACCAACCCTCTCACGCCCTTCTCTTTCTCTCTCTCTTTCTTCCGACATTATTAGGGAGAAAAAGTCTTGTGCTAGGATACTTAAATAAGTAATGTGTTTCCTTTTTTCTGCATAGCTTTGTTTTATGATCGCACTCCTCCAAGTGTTAAAGGGTTAAATAGAAATCACGGCGTTTGCAAAAGTGACACTATACTTTATCGAGGACAATCAATTTGCAAAGAGGATAAAAGGACCTCTCTCTCTCTCTCCCTCTCTCTTTTGAGGGAGGCGGAATTAACCGGTTGTTCGTCGGCGATATGTTGTTTCCAATTCAGAATTGAATTCCGAATTTCGATACAGCATTCCGAACAGTATTTATAGATACGATCTATGATTTCTCGCCGCGATTTGGTTCAGAAAGGAGGAGTTCAAAGTTGCTCAACATAGGTACATATATAAAATCGCGCGCGTGTGGTGTATTTTGTTCCCTCTTCTTCGTTGAGAATTTTTTTTATAGAAGTGTAGAAACGAGAAAAAATCCTCCGAGAGAAGAAGAATTTTCCTCCGCTACGTAAAGCCTTAAATAGGCGGATCCGCGAATCGGGAAGGAGATCTCTCCCGGAACGCTCTCTACATTAGGATCTCGTAAGATTATTATTAGGGGATTTATTTATTTTCTTATTTATTATATATACAAACAGAGATAGAACGGCTGTTTTTTTCTTCCGCTCGTTCTCGACGAATTTGCTACTCGAGGCTAATACGACGTACATGCATACCGTTTACCGATTCGTTTCCTTAGGCCGGAGATTTTTGCGTGGCGGGTGATTTGTTACACGATTTACATAGAATGGAAACGCCCAGCGTGAAGGAGAGAAAATTCCGCGAAAGAGTCCGCGATAGAGAGTCCCATTGGTTTCAGCTTGTATTGTGCCTAGTTTTTTACATACCACGTTCGTCGCATATATGCACAATTTAACGATTGGCGAGGCGTGAATGAGTCGTACACGTTGCGTGTGCGTCGTGTGTGCCTGTCGACGTCTTTAGATAGGTAAAATATACGTAAGCGTAGGTATTGATTACACAAGAGAGAGAAAATGAGTGCACTGTGTTGTGCATTGTGTGCTGCCTGTAACGAGCGCATGCTGGATGTGTGTGTGTGTGTGTGTGTGTGTGCGTGTGTGTGTGTGTATGCGTGTATTCCAGGGATAACAATTATGAACTGTACGATTTACAATTGAATGCATATTCTCGGAGAAAAGCGACTCGGTTTCATTCTTCTCGCGTCAGGGATAAGGAAATCCCGAACCGTCGCAATTACTTCAAGTTTTTATTCTCTTTTAGGCCTGTTTGACAGGAATTGTTTTGTTTGTAGGATTATCTGTTATAGATATTTTTATAGTTTATTTATTATATTTATATTTTATATTTATATTTTTATATTTTTGTTTTAATCTTAATCAAACATATTTTGTTGTCTTATAAGTATATATTTTAAAAATGAAAGATTGAGTTATATAAAATATTTGGGGCAATATTTTATCTGACGGAGTTGTAGCATTTTTAAACATGATCAACGAGAGTAAAGATTGATCCACACGGAACAGCAGGGTCAATTTAATTTTTTTAATCGAACACTGAACAATTTTAAGCTCTCTTAAAAACATCCCTTTCTCACTAGAAAAATAATTTAAATGGCAGCTAAAAAAAAAGCACAGTACATCTTTAAAAGTCCGCGTTTCGTTGTCAAAATACACACTCCTTTAAAATATATATTTGTAGCGAATATAATTAATTGCAGCAATAATTCGTCAATAAATGTTCAGGAGCGGCATTTCTGATATATATCATGAAACGAGAATCGATTACGTTTCTGTATCGATGTATATATCCGAATTTTTTCGCAATATAATACATATAATATCTGCAAAATGAATCGCTATTGCATACGCGGGTTACGTTTAATCGTTATTCGATCATCGACGTTCGATTACACAATGAAAGAGATATAGATATGGCTCGAAATGTGCGAAAACACACAAAAGGGAAATCACGACCGCTGAGTGCCGATAAACGATGAGACACGCCACATATTATTATTATACTTTTACTCGACGAGTTAGCGATCTCGCACACACGATAATTGTTAGTTTTAATATCTAGATATATTCTGAATTTTATAACATATTTGTATATATACGATACGTTGAATTCTCAGATTGATCGAGTTGATTTATATATATCAGGATTTTAACACGCTGATATATGTATTGTATATGTATATTAGAGCCGTAACTGTGTCAGGGGTTGGATTTTCTCGTACATGCCGTACATATTGTTATAGTCCGAGTTAGGAACGATAGTCATTCTAGGATTTGCCCGACGAGAGACCGCTGGAATGGCTATTATTGAATCACTTGGACAGGTCGTGGTTTCGAGAATTCTAGAATGGCTGGTTAGGTGGCCCTGATTTGCAGCACCGTATTTAGGTAGAACTAATAGGTGACTCGTGTTGGGCCGTGTACAAGAAAGGTAGACCCGAAAGATAGGAATAAATCTTTTTTTTCGAATATACATTTCGATCTAAATTAAACAAAGAGCTTTTTTCTGTTTCTTTTCGGGCAAACAATCATGTCGGAATAAATTTGTTTTTAAACGCGTCGATGAGATGTAAATTAAAAAAAAGGACAAGCCTTGGACGCGCGCAAATGTTGGAATGTTAAAAAAATTGCATTGTTCGAATAATTTATCTATCATACAGAAAAGAGTTATTGTTAACGAAGAAATGTATATGTATAAAAAAATTCCGAGCGCTTTTAAGACGGTTTTACAAATTTATCGAAATTATGAAAAGTGTTTCTTGAAAAGATTTATGATTATCACGGATACCGCGCAGGATTTTAACGCGCGGATGAACGAGATAGACGGGTTTAATGAGATGATTAATCTCTCCAAATACTCGGTGCAGAGGTCATACTTGCCATAGTCTAGTTACATTAATGTCTAGAGGCACGGCCTTGGCGATTAGTCGAATAAAACCCTTTGATGCGTTTAGTATCATTGTGTATCTACGTTTGTGTATTGAGTATTTGAGCGGCAGCGAATTCGATCGAAAAAAAATCATGTATATTAATTGCAATATACATGGATACATTTTAAAACGTAATTAATAATTGAACAAAAATAAAATATAATAAAATTGGGAAAAAAAATCTGAATTACTCTCTCGAATTCGCTGCAATCCAGGATTGGTACACGTCCTTCCATCTCTTGGTTCTTGCATTTGTGCATCGTCAGAATTTTATATCGCCCCCTGTCATCATCGTAATATTTCGCACTTATATCGCACACATACACTCACGCACGCGTCTCTCGTCTCTCACACACGCACTTATTGTATGATCCCGATCCCCATCATCACCTGTGCTTTTGCGCGCGAGATCTGTCTTTACTTGAGTGAAAAAAAAATACACGCATCGCGTCTTCGCAGATTCCCCTTGCATCATTAATTTCAATCAATGTACCTAAATCGTAGTATTTTTCGAATACCGATATGCAAATGCATTCGCGATGAAGAGACTCGTCTAAGAAATGAAGAATCAACAATCAAAAAGAGATTTGCTAGGTCTGGAACATCCTGTACAACTTGAAAACGAGGTGTCGTGCGAAAGGTTAAACGGAGAGTTACGTGCGAGGAATTGCACGTTTCGTCTATTACAAAAGTTCGAAGTTCAATTTCAGAGATCGTGTTATTATTAGATTTCGTCGTCGTCTATCTCTCTCGAGCGAGCGAGCGCGTGTTATCGATTCGCGGAATTAAATTATCCGATTTAGATATAGAAGTATTTGAAGAGCTTTTTTTCCAAGCACACACAGCTGCACTTGTCGATCAATCGATGAAGAGGAATGACGTACTTATACAACGATACCGCTATTCTTATACAGATTCTTCCTAGACCTAGCCCGAGGAATTTTTTATCTATCGGATTCTTCATAGTAATCTCTTTTCTACCCTTTTGTAGGCTTCGTTTTAACTTTTTTTTCATTTGGAATATAAAAGACTCCGCACCAAGTACATAGGATTTTTCTTTTGGTGCAATTGGCTGGTTTTTTCATATGTTATAGCTTACTACTTATATCCTGCTGAACAAAACATGTAATAGTCTGAAAGCTAAATATTAGATAGTTACCAAGTTGCAGCCAAATGGAGCCCAAGTTTTTCGTATTTGACTGATTGTAAATCAGCAACCATCTATTATTTAGCTTTAAGCTTATTACATTTTTTGTTCAGCAAGTCACAAGCTTCAAAAACAGTCAATTCCACCGAGAGCCGAAATCCTACGTATTTAGTGCTGTGTCCTTTCAACTGATAACACGATAAATTTATGTCCTGCTGAACAAAACATGTAATAGTCTGAAAGCTAAATATTAAATAGTTACTAAGTTGCAGTCAATCTAACAAAGCCCAAGATGACTGACTGTAAATCAGTAACCATCTATTATTTAGCTTTGAGCTTATTACATTTTTGTTCAGCAAGTCACAAGCTTCAAAAAACAGCCAATTACACCGAAAATCCTCTATGTATTTGGTGCCGTGTCCTTTCAATCGATAACACGATGAATTCATTATAATTAATATATTCTTTTTTCGTACACATATTTTGTGGCAAAATACGAAAGTGAGACGAGTTTCTCTTTCGAAAGAAGCTCTAAAGGTGAATCTCTAGAGTGCATTTCCAAGTCGTATAGGTCCCCTATAAACCACATCCCGAACAGAGCGACGGGCCTTGGCACAGTAGAAGATAAATCCGCATATATGCCCGTGTGGTGTACTTTACATATGCTTCTCGACAGGTGGTGGTGATTACAATCGGTGGACCTACACGAACGGATACGTGAACTCGCCGGCCTGGCACATGCATTACCGCGTGAACCAGGTGCGTAACGTAATGGTTCACGCAACACCACGCACCCTGACCAATCGATTCTTACCGCTTGTCCCGCGTTAAGCGGGAAGCCGCACTCGGTTCAGGCTTTAGGGAAGTACCACGCTACACGTCAATGAGGCTAACGCGAATAAACGCAAGAGGATCGTAAAAAAAAAGCGAAAACGAAATCCCTGAGCGTACCAGCTTCTACTCCGTCTTCCTTTTTTTTTTCTTCACCTGAAGGCTCCTGACTCCTCGCCGATTGTGCTAGAATTGTGACGTCAGAGACACACGCTAAACATTCTTGCGTGCCATTTTTGGATAAAAAGATATTTCGATGAAACATTACTTTAGCACACTTTTAAAATGGTTCGAAAACCATCTCTTTCCCTTCATAATCGATCGACAGTTGTAAAATGACTGGAATACGCATATGCAAAGTTATTGATTGACAAGGGAAAAAATAGTTTAAAAAAAATAATTTTACAAGTGTGCCAAAGAGATTTGTAGTGTAGTTTCAACAAAATGTTCTTTTATGTAAAAATGGCACGCAGAAATTTTTAGCGTGTATTTTCTCGCGTCTGACGTCACAATCTGACATGTCCGAGGATCCAGGAGCCTTAATTCTTCTTCGATTCATCGCCGAAAATTATGTTTGCGATCGTTTGATTTTCACGCAGCACTTTTACAGGGTTTATAATTTTTGTGGGGTGGAAAGGAGGGAGGGAGGTAGGAAATATTGTACGTAGGGTGAGATCTGTTATTAAAGAAAAGAATTTATTTCAAGTGTGATCTAAGAGAGTATAGCGAGTTAAAATGTTCAACAATTTCTATAATATTTAAATAAGGAAAATGTAGATTTCGTTTTTGACAAATATAACTGAGTTATTCAAGTGTCAAAAATTAAAATAATACAATAGCAAAATACAGGATTTTTCGAGAAATCTTTCGAGAAATTATATTGATATTAGCGACATCACAAAGTGTTCTTTCGTGTAATATTTATATATAATATTAATACTATCTCTTTCGAGCTTTTACCTTTTTCCTGTATCAAGACTATTTTGAAAACTTTCCAGAATAGACAATTCGCTCGTATCGAATAAAGCGAACTGTCCTTTTTTTCTCTCCCTCTCTCGCACAATTCAGTTTTCGTTAATTGTATAATTTTTCCCCCGATTTTTCTCTTTGTTGCAATTTCAGCATGTATTTTCGCTTCGTTATAATACTATTTTCGTAGCGAGATTTCTTGCCTTTCTCCCTTAGAACTTAGACCCACTTCAACTCCCATTTCGGTCGCACTGTAATATTTATTTCAGAAATCCTTGACATGTGTTGCTCATGATTAAAAAAAAAAAAGATGAGAATAATCCGTTGTATAAAAATTGAATCGGGACCTTCGTGTGAAACTTACGTGCACAAAAATATCCAATAGTCTTCACAATCTCAATACACTAGCACCGCACTTTTGCAATATTTAGATATTCTGGAAACGTACCGTTAATCAAATAATTCCGCGATTTTACTCGTTATCAATTAAATATGCATAATAACTGGTTAGCCACGCAATTGGTAACAATTGATATTTCCGATTGTATATATACGCGATGTCGTATTAGCTCAAGTCTTGACTCGAAGAGAACTTGCAAGATTATATTTAGGTCTCGATAGTTTCGCAAGGATAAATCCACCCTCGGAAATACAATCCCCCTTCACATTTTTGCGTTTAGTCGTATTAGTTCGTGTGTGCTCTATAAATCTATAAATAGTCTATACCGTTTAATCCTGCCTCCCAGCCTAGAGCGTGCGTAGAGATGTGAATTTTTATTCATAATTCATATATGTTTAATCGAACGATCGCGAATTGATGGTACGCTATAAAGAGCAGTTTTGAAAATTGAAAGACAAAAAAGAATTTTTTAAATAGCACGTTTTATAAATGAGAGAAGACGCGATTTTTCTCGTCGGAAATATGGAAAACAGCTAATGGAACATACGTAAATTAGCTACGAAGTCTCGAAAAGTCGAGCAGTTTTGACCATTTTATATCAAGCTGTGATAAAAAAAAGCGATTTGGTAGGAGATTGTAGAATCTTTTCCCTCGTCAATCTTTTTTTATTGTCACCTGCGAAAAAAAACTTGTAAACTCACATCTCTAGTTGCAGCGTGGTACTAAAGTTCCCGCATTCACCACTATTACACATACACACGCAAAACATACACGTACACGTCAATTATGAAACTTCTTTAGGAACCTTTTTTGGAACCATTACGTAGCGCCCTGTCACGAATCACGAACGTATTTTGCCACCTGTCACACAGTGTGTCCCTGATAAAAAAAATATGTACAAAGATACCCCAGATTCACGTCACATATTGCTCTCATTCAAGTTCAACAATCCTCATCACAGTTATATATGTGTATATGGACACCGTAAAAAATCATCTCCACGGCTCTCCCTCCTCAAAATTTATTCAAAGTGTACCCCCCCATTTTCTTCTAGTAGAAAAAAAAAAGAAAAGACCCACACGGTAGACACGAACGATCTTAGATATTCCGCCCCTTGTAGTAGGAAATTTTCGGCGATCTCCTTCTCTTCATGTTCAAAGAAAATGAATTCTTAATCGCGGACGAAAGGAGCTGAAAATTTTCTATTCGCGATGTACACATTATTGTTCGAATGTATGCTCTCTTCTCTCTGCTACGAATTCCTCACTCTCTTCGATAATTCTCATTGCCATAATTACCATATATTTATTGTAAGAATGTTCACGAATTTAGCAATAATAGTTTGACGCCTGGATGAGCGATAGAAGATTTTGTCACAACTGGATGGATTTCACTCTACATCCTCTTGATTTATTATTATTTTTTTTTATTGCAAATTCTCTAGAGAATCGTTCTTTCGTGCTTCTCGCGGTATCGTATCTCGATAGCGGTTCAGGGATCAATATATAAATATAACCCGAGCGTGACAGCCGAACGACTGTTATGTATCGAATAGTCAATCGCAGAGAAATTTGCAGCGGAGACATATTTTATAAATAGTTGACCCTCCATTGCACGATATTGGCAAGGATACAAATCACGCGACCTGGATTTCTACTGTAGAAATGTTGCCGCTTTTAGAAGTTCCCTTAACAAGAACCAGCCAGCGATCTTTTGCGAGAGGAGACACGCGTTTTCGTATTTTTCATACAAAATTTGCTGTTTTTTTTTTTTTTTTATTTCTATTTTACTTTCCAAATTGATTTTAGTGTGGAAAGAGAAATCTTGCAATGAAGGGTTGATCACTTGCGTTATGGATCAGATTTCGTTCTGATGGAAGAATTTCACTGCGACAGTGATTAAACTCATTCTTCTAAAAATCGACAAATTTTTTTGGGGGACATTTAATCGTTTGCGTTTTTTTTTTTTTAATGTATTTAGAAAATTGGAAAAGTTTGAAATGTTAAGTCTGCTAATTCTTGTAATTCAAAGCGCGATTAGTAGATTCATATAAAAGGAACACTTAAGAAATGAGGTCTTCAGGATAAAGTTTTAATTTTCCTAATGTTCGGATATCACTCATAATTATATATATATTTGAGAACGATATTCTGCAAAAAAAAGAGAGAGAAAAAGTTAAATTTCGCCTAACACATTTCAGCTGATTGTAGATAAAAACTTGTCATTGATAACTCACGAATGCAATTAGAACGCAGCTTAATCAAACTTTTTTAATACATTCTATGAACTTGACCACGTTTTTATATAGCATTCTTATTGTCACATAAAACATTCACATTCTTATTCTTTGTAGCAAATTCAGGATGCCGCATAAATTTTTTACTTAAAAAAAAATAGAAATATGCACATATTGGCGCGTAGCAAAATTCATTTAATGAAAATAGTGCCAAATATTTGATAATTAATTAGAGCGAAATGACCCCTTAAGTTTCTTCTTTAAAAAAGCTCTACTGCATGTGAATATAAATGCACTTCATTTTTATAGCTAAGGACATGATCGATCAATTTTGACGTATTTTGGAGTAAATTTGGTCACAATTGTAATTTTGAAACAATATTTATAAATAAGCAATTCATTAATTGCTCTTTTGCAGAGCTCTTTTTACTCCGATTCGCAAATATTTGTCAAGAATATTTGTCGTCTGTCCAAATACATATATCCGGCATGTTTCGGCTTTTAAACTTTATTAAGGATAAAAGACAAAAAATTGACATTTAAATATAAAAATCGAATAAGCCAGTCTTTTCTATACCGTTGCAAACGACAACGCAAAAGCGCATTGTGTTCCTATAATATATCTTAATCTCTCAGTGTCAAACATTTTTATAAGACTGTCGATTTTAATAACGATATTTATAACGAAGTCCCAATATAAGATCGAGTGTTAATTTACGTCACGTGTAGTGTTCTCGTTGGAACAATATTGTTTGTCTTCCAAGTTTGTAATTTCGCTATAATTACGTCGTTCTTTGGCTTTTAACATCTTGTCTCTTCCGATGGCTTGCCAGACTAGCAATAAAAAAAAAAAAAAAAAAAAAACGAGTCCCCCTCAATTGCTCCCCCAATGTAACTTCGAGCTCGCTCATCTTCCGTTTCCGGTCTGCAAAGACGACGTTACTCGCGTGTCAACTGACTTCCGCTTCGATTTGTGAGCGTTCGAAATGTACGACGTCCGTATACAGGATGCCCCATTTGCTGACTGAGTGTCCTTTTTACATACATCATCTGTATAAAAATATATTTGGAAATTTATCGAGAGAAAAGATTCCCATTACATCTTTTTTCTCAGTACACTTCAAGGGCTGCATCCTCGAAGAGTCCGATAAAGACTTTAATCAAACGAATCTTGTCAGCTAGAAAAAATTCCGCGATCATCCAACCATCATCCTCTTTCATTACTAATTAATTCATTACTAATTCCAAGGAACAATCAGCAGGATACGGTGGGACACCCTGTATACGCACACACACGCACACACACATACACACACGTGTATGCAAGAGCATACATAAACATAAAATTCTGTACAATTAGAGAAGCCGATTTAACGATCGGGAAAACAATGACTTGTGGCGATGGACAAGAAAATTAAAGCAAAATACACACATCGTAGTAGTAAAAAAAAAAAACGTCGGGGTGTCCGTCGTTTCGGCGTAACGCTCCTTCCCCCCGCCCCCCGTTTGTAATTTGTGTAACACTTTTTGATCGTTTATCGATATACCGTACACTTGTTAACGCTATATATATATATATATAATATAAATATAAATATATATATAAAAAAATATATCTGTTTTACGCGGTGATTCTCCCCCGATCGAGACGCGCCATTTTGTCGATTGATCCGATTCGATTTCGAGGGATCGATATATATCGATGGAAGGACGTGGGGGAATTACCGGCGTCCCCGAAGGACGAGAGCGGTATTCCAAGCGTAGGGAAATCTATTGTACATTGATTATTGATACATTAATTATGATAACAATAAATTATATACAAAGTCAAAGAGGAAACGTTATATACATATATATATCGGATCAGTCTTAGTTTTTTCCGAACACAATAGTTCGTTTCGTTCTCCAATTCGTTTCTTTTTTACCCTCGTTTTTTTTTTTTTTTTTTTTTTTTTCATTTTGTTCCGTCCACGCGGTTGATGACTGACGTTTTAATTTCGGAGCCGATGTATGCACGGACTCCAGGTGGTTGGTTGGTCTCTCTGCATTTTTCTTCATTTTATTACACGGAGATCGAATCTCCGTTCTCCCTCCGATTTGCGATGCGCGATTTGTCCTTGTTCTCCGTTTTTTTTTCTTTTGACTCTTTATACCGTATCTCTTTATACCGCAATGCCGGATTCGTCGCTCGACCGGATGGCAATATATGTGTGAGTAATGCCCTTACAATGCCTGTCTAACTGTGGATTGTTACGATTTTTTTTCCTCTTCGTCGTTCTTTCATAATTCGTTTTAAGTAGTACAAATTTCCCGTTTAGAATTTCGTGCAGTCTTGGGCTCCTCGGCGCATTTGCATCCATCAAGTGCCTCAAATTGCAGTTGCAGAAATTATTGCTGGAAAGAGAGGCATAAAATCATTCGACAATAAAAATGATATACACTTTCATGGATATCGTAATAAATAAATACGCGATAAAACATTTTTATCATAAACTTGGCAAAATTGATTTCGACGTAACTAGCAATTTTATTCAATACTTTTACGACGTTTCGACCATTTGGTTGTGGTCCTTATCAAATGAGAATTCTATAACACAATATTACAGAATAGTTTTTAACAATGTTGAAACATTTATGACCACAAACATACTCATCAATTAAAATGAAATTAACGCTTAACATTTGAATATGTTCTTGTATGTTTCAACATTGTTAAAAACTATTGTGTAATATTGTGTTATAGAATTCTCACTTGATAAGGACCACAACCAAATGGTCGAAACGTCGTGAAAGTATTGAATAAAATTGCTAGTTACGTCGAAATCAATTTTGCCAGGTTTATTTTCACCACTAGCGTCCAATATTAATTTTGATTGATCTTATTTTTATCATAGTTTTTGAAGGCTGAAAATTAAAAAATATCCTTAGAGGTCATACATATGACCTTGTATAAGACTGTGATAATACAGCTTTAATTAAAGCGGCAAAGGCTATAGATATATATGTATACATATATGTATACAATATGTGTATATATATATATATATATACATTGTCAAGGTTTTAATCATGCAAATGCGTCACTAGCCCATACTTGCATTTCAATGATCTTTATGCCATTAGCTTTGATGCAAAACAAAAGCTATATAATACACTTGTCTTTTTTTTGGTTCACCCATTTATTATATATCGCATTCGTCGTTTTCATCTCCGACAAAATCGGAAATTCGATCAAAGACTCGCTGCCTAAAGAGGCTTTTTCCGTTGCGAACGCAATGCTGCTATTTCCGTATGCGATTTGTGTTTCTTACGTCAATAAAATATAGACTGTAGATTTTCACTTAGCATTGATTTTGTTTCTTATGGCCACTTAATTTGCTTTATTACTCGGAGCACAATATATAGCTACGCGCTTTCAAAGCATGAATCTTCGTGAAAATGAACGTTTTGCTCTCGCATATAATGTTGGCTGTAACTTTGATTTTCTTATTCGGAAATGGCTTATTTGCATCTCACTTGTATATCAGAAAAACTGGATTTTTTTATACTTAAATTTCCCTTATAAAGAAAAATCACTGCACGTATCCAGCTCTAAGATTTTGGAATTGTCATCTTTATATGTTATATGCTATAATAATTATCCGCATTGTTGTTAAGATACGATAAAACTCTTAGAAATTTGTGATAAAAATATTGAGTACAATATTGCAATGTTGCTTCTGGTCGAAAAACAGTAATTTGCAATAGCGTTTTGCTCTTTTCACAATGTCTGTTAATACATTGAACGTGTCACATCATTTTTTTTTTTCATGCATGTAGATTTTTAATAGTATATGTGTACAGATTTTATATATAGTTATAGATACTTAATTATAGATATCATCTCTCGACTCACATAAAATAATTTTCTCACAAGCATTTTTGCTGTTTTATCGAAATCGATTATTGACTTTTTTTCTCGAACGTAACAAAGATTCATAAAAAAGAAAAATTTGAGATATGAGGAAACTCAAGAAGATTATCGAAGTTGAGATCAAGTACGCGAAATGCCAAGTGAAAATTTATCAAACTTAGCTGATATATAAACAACTAAATTAAATGTATATTAATAATTAAATTAAATGTATCTTTTTCAAATATAAAACGCCGTCTCTTAAAAAACAAAAAAAGGATTTAATAGTAATATATAAATATTATTATTAAAAATTTATAAAAAATTCTTAATTTATTAAAAATTTTATTGTATTTATATATTGTACAATGATTTTAAAATAAAAAATATTAATTCCTTAACAGCACATGTTCGAAAGGAGAATATTCAAAGGATATTTTACATTCTCAGGATGTTCTCTAAACGTCTTTCGGATATGAGTGTTGTTGGAATCATTATTAAAAATTTATTAAAAATTAAGGAAAATCATAATAAACTAGAGAAAGAACCGAAAGAAAGAATAAAGACAAAACTAGAATTAAAATATTAAAAAAGGAGACAATGGTGCACTATAGCATGCACACATATATACATCAGGCCTTATATTCCTCAGCTATTATCTCGACACTTCTATCATTTATTATTTTTCTCATCTCTTCTGTATTTAGCGAAATTTCTCTCCCAGTCGTCTGACTAAAGTCTATTTGCAGATGTCGAAGCCGACAAGCAGGAGATATCTAATCAACGGGAGAACAATAATTTTGTATACACCGAAAAATCCTCGGCTAAACGAGCGACAAACGGCGAGGTCGAGGTGAAGGTTTACAAAGTTGGAGAATCGCCGGATCTTAGTCCGGTGAAAAACGCACGAAATGGGGAAGCGGAGGAAACGGAAGTTAAAAGAGCGAGGGTAAGTTGGTTCTTTATAAATTGGTCAAAAAATTAACACGAATATGCAGTTGAATAAAAAAAATGAAAAGGAAATTAGATTTGTATCTAAAAATTTTAATTTTTTTTTGCATCTTTTATAATAAAGTTTTTTTTTTTTATCCAGAAATGGCCAACTGATAAAGCCTATTATATAACCAAGGAGCTTCTCGTGACAGAACGAACGTACAAGAAGGATTTGGATGTTATTAATGTGGTAGGTAAAAAATTATTGCGCCAGTTCACAGAGGAAGCTAATGAGAAATTTTCGACAGTCAAGAAGAAGAGTCGAATTTTTTGATAATAATAATATATAAAGATTAGAATAATATATGTATATCTATATAATAATATATAGAAGATTAGAATTTCTTAATTATAATAATCTATAAAAAAACATTGAAAAGATATTTATCTAATATATATCTAATATTTATCTAATATATATAAATACAAAATCAAATATGAAAGGAATTAATAAGAACCAGGCGCAGATATTAAGCGCGATAACTTTGTTTTTAAATTCTTCATTAATTATATTCTCCACAAAATAATGAATGAAGAATTTAAAAACAAGTTTCTCCGCGCCTTCTCATATCTGATCGAATTTTGTAAAATCCTTGAAAATATTCTGAATTGCCATTTAATGTTCGCAGTGTTTCCGGGAGGAAGTTTCCAGGGAAGCGGAATTAGAAGGGGAATCGGTAGTCTCTCTGATCGAGTTGCTCGCTGACGCTCACGGGCCTTGCCTCCAGGAGATGGAGGTACGCATTAATCGCTGGGAGAACAACGTCCGTCACAATATCGGCGATTTTCTCTACAATACGTTGTTGAACATCCTGCCTCTCTACGACCAGTACCTCGAGAATCTAATTCCGGTGCTGGAGAAAATGGAATACTCGATGCGAACGTCACAACGCTTCGATCAACTCTGCCGGGATTTCGAGTCACAGAAGCATTGCTATTTGCCGTTGACCTCATTCCTTTTGAAACCTTTGCAACGATTATTGCATTACAACAGTATTATCGACAGTACGTGTAGATTAAAATATGGATTGTTCTTTTTTTTGTAATGTAACTTGATGCGTAACTTTTGCGATGTCTCTCTTTTAGGATTATTGGATTATTATCCGAAAGACCATACCGATTTTGAAGATTGTTTGGCAGCGAGAGATAGACTCGGCGAAACGCTACTTGAGGGACTTACAATTATAAATCAAGCGGTAAGAAAATTATCGCATCTTACTCTCTAAATTTTTTAGAATGGAATCTCACTCTAAAAGAGCAGAATTTCATCTCTTCCAAATCAATCTCTTCCAAAAGAGTGAAATTCTACTCCAAGAAATTTAGAGAGTACTAGCTTATCGAGTCTACTGTGAGAATACAGCATTTGAATGGTTTGGAACAAATAGTTAAATAGTTCCAATGTATTCTAATTTCTAATCTGCTTCTCATTATTGCAGGAAAACCTGGTACAATTGTGCGAAATGCAACGAGACATTACTGGCTTTGACAATTTAGTGCAAGAAGGTCGAAGGTTCATTAGACTAGGGTGTCTACAGAAGTATAGTCGTAAAGGTTTTCAACAGCGTATGTTCTTCTTGGTAAGTCTCCCGGTATATTTTTTGTTAATTAGTGTGACACAAGGCAGCGAGATTAATTATCGCGTTTACCTTCACAGTTCTCGGACGTGTTATTGTATACATTCCGTACTCAACAACCAACACAATGCTTCCGTGTACATGGTCAACTACCATTGAAAGGAATGAAGATTCAAGATGCGGATAATAAAACTGGGACGGATTTCGCGTTTATTATTGATGGACAAGGAAATCAGTAAGTGTCAAGTCATATTTCTCAAATTATATTGCATTAAAAAGATAATAATCAAGAGATACTAATCAGTCAACGTGGTGTATCTTTTTGCCACTTGCATTTAAAGTTACACTTCTCGTTAAATTCGAATCGTTTTATTTTTGCAGATCATTAACAGTTGCAACAGGTAATGAAGAAGAGAAAGAGAGATGGATAGAAGATTTGAACATCGCTGTAACGCAAGCCGATGCGTCAGATGCGAAGATGCCATATTTGAGTTTAAAGTCTTGTAGTGAGTTCCAAAATCTTTGGATTTTGTTGTTTGAATAATAAAAGTAAAGATTCCATTTAAACTTTGTCTTTTTATACAAAAGTTTTAGGTTCAGCTGACGAAGTCGGAGATGGTGTAGGATTAGAAGTAGATCGAACTAGTTGCGGAGGTGCAAAGGCCTCACAACGTAGCAATACTACAGTTCATGTTTGCTGGCATCGCAATACAAGTATTAGTTACAGCGATCAATTACGAGCGTTTCAGGTATGTTAGAATTCTGGATTATATATGTATCTCAAACACACACACACACACACCTTTTTCATTGTGTGAGAGATTTGTATATTCTATATAAAAATTAATCAACGTTTATTATGTTTCAGAATCAGCTAAGTGGATTTCTTCTGCGGAAATTCAAAAATAGCAATGGTTGGCAAAAGCTCTGGGTTGTATTTACTAACTTTTGCTTATTCTTCTACAAGTCTCATCTAGATAATTTTCCCTTGGCTAGTTTGCCGTTATTAGGATACACTGTATCCACACCGTCGGAAAAAGACGGGATTAATAAGGATTTTGTATTCAAACTACAATTCAAGAATCATGTATATTTCTTCCGAGCAGAAAGTGATTATACTTTTGGAAGGTAAATATGCAACATACTCTTATAAGTCAAAAACATTTTTTTACATATAAATATATGATTAATGATTACATATTTAAATTTTATCTTGTATATGTCACGGTTTAAGAAAGGCATAATAAACTTACATTTTTTTTCAGATGGATTGAAGTCATTCGAAGTGCAACTCAACAAAGCCATGTGCCCGCCAGCATGAATGGAAAAGAAGAATATTAGAATTTAATCTATACATGATAATGAAAAAATTATCAAGATATGAACCATTTATCAAAGAATTATGCTATGTAGTATGATTTTGAGATGTGTAACAAGAAAGTCTAAATCTTTGGCCTTATACTTGAAATCAAAAATTGCGTGTATCTCGGATTTTATATCTATCTAAAAATTAATCAGTGCTCTGGAAGAATAACTCATGTCCAATTGCATTTTTTACTATTATGTAAATTATAGATTTACATACTGGTAATATCTTGGAAGCATTTACTTAAAAGTGATATTTTTAATCATAATTCTTCTAAGATTGTATTTTCAAACTGAAGTCATTCTTCTAGAAAACGTTACAAGAGAGTTTGAAGATAATTAAAAATTTTAATATAAATAAATAATATAATGACAAAGAGATATTTAAAAAAATTATTTAGAGACAAAAATATAAAAAGATTTTATGTACAAATTGCAAAATTTTTTATGTGATTTTTTATGCTTTGGGTACAAATTTAGTGATTGATATTAAATTATATTTAGACAAGAATTTCGATATTATATCACAAACTTACGAAGAATATATAAAAGAGTATATACGTATAAAAATATATAAAAATTTGTAAATATATATTTACACATATATATAAATCGCACTTGTTTAGAATTATTAAAATTTTTTTATATTTGATCTATATTAAACGATAATAATTGCGTAGATAATTCAAAATCAAACGTAATAATATAAAAGCATATAATGTATTTTTAGAAATTGCTTTTAACGACAAAGATTTTGTCGTTATAAGCATGCATTACATATAATTGGCTTGCATTATTATTCAATGTATATAAAACGAATATAACATTATGTTAGATTTGTATCTATATAAGTATTTACATTATCAGTACTCTTTCAAGATGCATTCTGTTATATAACATAAATAAGTAAAGGTTTGGTGACATTATCAATGCAAGGAATTATACGTGTATTAATATTGGACCAATTTTGTATTCAAACCATTATCTTTAACGTTCATTGTTTTCAATAAGACAATAATTTTATACATTTTTTCCTTTTATAAGATCTAATTCGTTTAAATAGAATGCATAACGTAATTATAGAGAGTTATATTGTAAGCTGTAGATGCGTAATAAGATATGCTTATGATTTAACTCAACTTTAATAAATGGTGCCATCATGCTTTTGAGAACCAGTATGACGTAGCATCTGCAAAGAGACTGAAAAGTTTTTTGGAGGATGGCACGATATATATATAATACCATATAACAATGTTTTTGATATCTCTATTGCTATTTTTAAATGACGGAATTTGTACACCCTTCCTTTCTGTACACCCCGTCCAACCTAAATAATAAATCAAAGAGATAAATAATTAATTAAGTTAGCCATTAAGCATGTCCAATTATGATTTTATATTGTATAAATGCGTAAAAAATGTGGAAGTCGATCTATTTAAATGTCTTTTTAACATCAAAAGACATTTAAAAGGATGCGTTTTGAATTTTTGTGTCATTTGGAGAGATTGATTGTTGTGTAATTTAGATTTATAGTTAATATATAACATGAAAGAGAGTTAGAATTTATATATATATATATATAGTATAGTTAAAAATAAAAAGCCATGAGTATATATTTAGAAATGAAGGCTTATACAAATGCTTTGTGATGTGGAAACATATCTACATAGAAATTTGTTTTTAAATCGTAGACAGGTTTTTAAACTTCAATTTTGTCTCTCATAAAATATCTGACGTACAATACTTGTGGAGCATTCAACAATCTAACAGATAGTTTAACATTATTGTAATATTATAAGATTAACATGTACAAGAGATTTCCTTCATTATCTTTTAATTATCTGCTTTGTCAGATTGGAAAGTGTTATTATGAAATAACATTATTAATTTGCGACAGATGCAATTACACTTTGTAACAGTAATAACCATAGATTTAAATCAAAATATTCGCAATTAAAATGGAGATAAACTCTAATATTAGCATACCAAGAGTATTTATCTGCGAAAGATGCAAACAAAAAGAACAGACTTGTACTGCGCAATATTAAAATTACGATATTATAAATACAACAATAAAGTCAGTAGGAAAGATCATAAGGAATATACTGTGTTCTAATGAAATCAAAGTGTGTTAGAGAATTTGCATGAAAACATAAAATATATATGTAATGTTTGCTATAATGGATAGATTCTCTATACAATATTCGTTTTCTTAAAGTAGCTCAATTTTGAGAAATCGTTTTCTGATATAATCAATATCGAAATAGTCTATGTATTTCAGATACATGTATCTTCCACTGATCAATCCATTGTATTTCAAGAAATACAACTTTTCTTTAATTATCTTCTACAACTAATAAGACGAATGAACGTAACATTATAATTATGTAGAATTATCAGCATATTTTGTTGCAATAAACATATCAATAGGATTGCAAATCTTCTTTCTACTAATAATATTGAATATTTTATATAGATAGCAAAACTAATGTTATAACATTTTTTTGTCTTATATAATATCAGAATCTTTTGATTACATTAATTCAATTTTTCTTATTTAAGTCTTTAAATAGACTTCCAACATAGTATATTTGAAATATTGTATTTTTTATAATTTCCATCATTACTTTATAATGAATCATTCAGAAATAAAAACGACGTCAATGATTATATTATTTTCAATATAAAACCACAATAGAATTTTATTTACAATGTTTCTTTGACAGTATATAATAATAATAAATAAACTGATTTATCTAGTTAGTCCTGTATTACGTAATTGTAATTAATACAATATTCATTATATAAGATGTCCAAAAATTATTGTACTGATTCTCCACAATTGATAAAATAATATAAATTATTTATTAGTTATTAGTTATTTATATACATTTGTGATAGGCACACTATGTATATTAAAATCGAAGATAAATCTTCTGAGAAAGAACGTCACATTTCTTGATTGAATTTCGCAGAAAAAACGAGTCTTAAACGATACACGAGGAAAAAAATAAGAAAAAAATCGTATTAATCTGCTGTTATAATCACGCTTATATCCTTACAAAAATCTCGCTAATCAAAAATACGCGCCAGATCTACGTCACGTTACGTCACGCGCAAATAGCGCATACTTCATGCACGAGCGTGGGAAAAAATCGCCGGTAATGTATGCTGAAACGATTTTCTTAGCAAGTAATGTGGCTTAGTAATTAACTTAATGAGTTTTGGTACTTATATATTGTATACATTCTTATGATGATCACTTTGATCGATGACACGTTGAGCGGATTTTATAAATCGCGATGACGCACTCGTGAATATATATTTGTTAAAATATAACCTATTAAACACCGAATATATTAAGTAAAAAATATTAGAGGACCGGAAAAAATACAAAAGTTAATTATATAATTAATTAATTTTTTGGAATATTTCGCTGTCAAGTAAACTATCGATTTTATTGTCTGATAGAGATATAAAAACGAATAATCGATCCATAATTATTTATAGTAAATTATTTATAGTAAATTGTTTATAGTAACGCAAAAGGAACATTTATAGCTACGCATTGCTTCTGCAATTTATAATTATCTTTTGTAATAATCGATTTTTTTACAATATATACGTCTCTGTTACAGCTAATTTTCTCGCCGGAAGTTGGAAAAACTAGAAATCATGGAATTTCCATTTCAAATCTCGAGGAAGAAAAAATGTATAGGATTCCCGCAATTACATAATATATTCATATTCCAAGACGTTTAAGAGACGGCCAACAATATATATTCGACAATTGCTTCTTCGATATCAGCGAAGACGATCGCTTACAATCGACATAAAAACGGATCCTGGCACTTGATGTCCTGTTCATATAAAATGTACGGTATAAAGTAATGAATTCAATTAATTTCTCATCGATCGTTATCTTAATCACGCGTTAATCGCACACATTGCATATATATATATCTCTTATTCGATAAAATATTCTTCGCCAGCTCGAAGACTAAAGAAAATTATTTATTAATATCTGTATTCAATCTTGACCCTCTTTTGATCTAGAAGTAATGACATAAATTTCTAGATTTATGCTTTTCTATGAAAATTTGAAGTTTTCAGTTAATTTTACGTACATTATTTTTGTACAAGATAAACGCGATTATATAAAAAAATCTATATTTAAATAGCGAAATGATTTATGATTGCATACTTTAAGAAAAAATTCTCTCGTGCGTGTTTATTTATCTGTAAAAGTATTATTTCCTTATCAAACGCGCGCATATTTTTATTGTATAGAAATATACAAATCGCGTCCAGTGAAATATATCAAATAAATAGCAATTAGGTCAATATCTAAGCGTATTTGTTAATATAACGAAGGTTATCGTAGATTTATTTGATAAAGCGAATGACGATCTTTGGATTGAAATGAGCAATCGTGTGTGTGATTATTTCACTAAACAAATATTTCTCTTCTCGTATGTCTCGTTTCCTCGTTTCGTATGTTTTGTTCACTCTGTGCCAAGTATGCAAATCATAAATCATTGCAAATAAATAAAAAAAAACACCAATGACGGAAAACAGACGAACTCTATCGCTTGACTCTCTTCTAATTATACGCATTTACTTCAATCTTTTAAGTCGATTAAAATTCCGTATTTTCCATTGGATTTAATTTCAACAACATAACAATTTGTTGTTTTATTGTCATAAAACTCTTAAGAAATAATTTATATTTAGCTTTTTATCTCATTAATTATTATATCTGGCAATATTGGATATTTCTCTAACTTGAAATTAATTAGCGGCCGAAGCATTTTACATTACAAATTGACCAACTATTAATGAAATGATGGCATTTCATAAAAGTTTGTATAATTGATTCCTAACTCCGAGAAATCTGCGGTTGTAACCGATTGCAATAGTTTTGCAACATAAACAAGAAAAGTATTTTATCTTTCGTGGATGCAGAAAATATGTATGTTTTACAGTTAATTTTCTTGCGTTTTTTTAATTTGTGCTTCTCGGAATATACATTTCGTAGAAACACACACACATATATGTATATATTATATATATATATATATATATATATATATATATATATATATATATATATATATATATATATAATATGTGTGTGTATATATATGCATTGTGTGTGATTATTTGAGATTTAAATAAATCGTGCAATTTTTTATCGTTTATTATATATACATGAATGATAAATCGAATAAAAATGCTTTAATAATTTTTAAGAAATGTTTATCTTGTAACTATTATTTTTATATATTATAGAGAGATATTTTACGCTAGAGCTCGTTTATTTTACATACTTAATATATAATCATTGCACATATATAGAATTTCATTGAGTATACAATAAATATTTCATTTATATTTCCTATAAATCGATTATATTCTTAATCATTTATTAATAGTTTAATATGAATATGACTTTTATTGGATTTTAATAGTCTCATAACAATAAGTCGTTATATATCAATAAAGTTTTCTATTTATTATAGTTATATATAATCAGTTATACATAATAAGACATAAATAATTAGTTTTTTAATTTTACGACATTGTCGAATTATTTCGCGTTGCTTAATTCGCAAATTAATTTCTGTAAAATAAAATAATAGTAATAATAATTAATACTTGCGCGTTGCTTAATTCGCAAATATTAATATTGTTTTCATTAATAGTTGGTCAATTTGTAACAATATTAATATTTGCGAATTTTATGTTTTAATATTTTTTCCTCTTTATGTTACATCTATTACTTTTTTTATTCATATAAAATTATTTGTGAAAATAGGAAGATCATGATTATCACTCTAAGAATTGAATAATTCCAATTATATATTATTAGCCATTATATCACACAGATGATAAATTTTAAAATGACATTGAAGCTCATCAAGAGAAATCCGTTGGAAGCTGCAGTGGCCTTCGTTGAAACGTTTTGCATTATCGGCTTACATGTGTCATCTTCAGGGATTGTTTGACAGTTAATCAAAACCATTGGCGATGATCAATTCCGTTTTTTTCTTATATTATCGTTCACATTTAAGCACCGTTTAATGTATGAATTACAAACCATATATTGCTACTTATCATATTCTATATTCTATATAAATAACTACGTTGACATGTGTATAATACATAACGTATTTATTACAATAGCCAGACATAGTGACAATGTAAGGATAATCACAGAAGAAAGTTTTTGCTTTGTCTACATACGACTTTGTTACCTAGCTGTCGATACATCATAATTTAATCTCTTGTTTCAATAACTGTACATACATTGTCTGGCCTTCTTGAGAACATCATTTATTTGAATTATAATTAGTGCTTTTTACTATAAATAACTTTAGCAAAGTAAAAATTCCTCTTTTTCATATTTCTCTGAAAACAAGCATAATTTATGCGATACTAAAATTATTGCTTTAGTATAAATCATTCTTGGGAGATTCTTATTTGAATATGCTTCAGCATAGACAAATATATTCCTTTTTTAATATCCTTATTTCTTTTTTGTTCAATTTATTCTTGAAATAAAAACTTCTTTTTTGTTTTAGGTCTTAGGTTTTTTGTCTTAAGTTTTTGAAATAAATTAATTTTACACATTGTTTTGTATTATATGTAACAGCATGGATGAAGTACCAGTTCATCGACGTCAATCACGGTATAAACAGAAGAGAAGATCTGCGGTGGCAAACCCGCGTGGATCCCCGTTCAGGATATCTCCGTCGCCGATCACCTTAACCTTGGGCTACGCATCTCCGACGCATTTTTTGCTCCCGTTGTTTCTCAATCCGATATATCAGCGAAGGAGCCGGTGTTTTAGGAAGGAACGAGCGGCCGAGGTGGGAGGCAAGATATAAAGACTTGGTGACCACGGTCGATCGGGATAGAAGCGGATATCATCATGTGGCAGTGTCGGACGACCGGCCTGTTGGCCTTACTACTACTTGCAGCGTGTGTCCAAGCGCGAGGTAAATTACTTTCGAATTTGCATCAACATCTCTCGTCGTCGTCATTAACAGAGTCTCTCGCCTCATTTACCAAGATACATTTTTATTAAAACGAGAAGAAGTCTTGACTAATAAAATAATCCCGACTCGTGGCCTTCATTTAAAATTGGTATTCCCAGTCTTCGAGATATGAGTAAGATGATAATTCTTGTTTTTAAGATTTAATAAGCTAGAACGATTTAATAATTTAAGCTATTAAGAAGGCAGTAATAATTTTTCATGACAAAATTTCGCGTCTTCCTTTTTGTAGCGTCATAATCCTTTCTTGCTTTCAAAGAAGCTTTACCATGAAAACACGAAACAGCCACGTGAAATAATTCAACTTTTTTCTCTGTCAGAGAGAGAAATCGATAACAGATCTTGAATACGGAAATGAGTGCTTGCTACCAGATACAGAAAATTGACGTACTTGAACTCTGACCCAAGATAATCGACTATTTTGCTTAATGTACATGTAATTTCTTGTAAACATTAAGCAACTATTCATTTACTCTGTAATACAAATAGAAAAGAGGAATTCATCTAAAGTATCTCATATATGAATATTTCTCAAATGATATCAACATAATTAAAATTACTTTGTTCAACGTTTTCTTGAAAGTTAACGTTAACGTCTAAAAAAATAATTCTCGATTTGTTACAGAAGTCGAATCACTGCGATCAAAGCGTTATAGCGGAGGAGGATCATACTCCTCAAGCAGTGCCAGCAGTTCTGCCAGCGCAAGTTCGGCTGGTGGTGGTAGCAGTTACTCCAAAACCAGTGCTCAGGCTGTCGGCAGTGCTACGGCAGGTGCTCAGTCTTCAGCATTGTCGAGTGGCAGTGGACACGGAGGTGGCGGTCATGGTGGATATGGGGACGGTGGTTATGGAGGCGGTAGCGGCGCTCTAGGAGGTGGCGGTGGTGGTCTAGGAGGTGGCGGTGGTGGTCTAGGAGGTGGCAGCGGTCACGGAGGCGGCTACGGAGGCAGTGGTACCGGAGGTGGCTACGGAGGTACCGGAGGTGGCTATGGAAGTAGTGGTACCGGAGGTGGCTACGGAGGCAGTGGTACCGGAGGTCATGGTGGTTTAGGAGGTGGCGGCAGTCATGGTGGTTTAGGAGGTGGCGGTAGTCATGGCGGATACGGAGGTAGCAACGGCGGTGGATACGGAGGTAGCAGCGGCGGTGGATACGGAGGCGCCGGTGCAGGTGCTGGTAGCGGTGGATATGGTAACTTTTTATCTTTATCCATTTATTATTTTTTACAATTTAGTTTTCTATATATGTGCATTTATATTGTGTATTTTTTTATTTATTATACCTTTTTTGTAAAAAGTTGCTTGTATATTATTTTCTCCAACTTTGAATAATTAAATGTATATATAATTATATATAATTTTTTTTCTCTCTGAATATCTCATTTAAAAAGTAGTTCTAATTCTTTATTTAGTATATATTTTGTAAATGTTTTAGGAGGCAGTGGAGGCTACGGTGGGGGTAAGTCCAAAGCGAAAAATTTTATTTAGTCTATAAAATCTTAGAAAACGTACAAAACAAAATATATATAAAAAATTAATATTTAATAATCTGAAAACTTAATCTAAAAATTTGCTTTGCATTCTAACAAGGTTTTAAGTACATAATATATTGCAAAAAATATTAAACCTTGAAATAACATAGAAGTATTAATATAATCGAGTAGACGATATAAGCTTATTAATCCTCTTATATGGAACATAGACATACTAATATAATATACTTTCTAGAAAAGAATAATTTCATAAACTATATATATTTACTTAAAAATGCTTATAATTTTTTATAATTTAATAAGAACATTTTATAATAAGAACAAAATTGTAATATGCAAATCCGATTAACAATATATACATTTTTAGGAAGTGGAGTAGGTAAAGTTAGCGGAGGAGGTCTTGGCGGCGGTGGTTATGGTGGAGATACATCTGGTGCCGGAAGTTACGGTGGAAGTACTGCTGGTGCCGGAAGCTACGGTGGAAGTAACGCCGGTACCGGCGGTTATGGCGGAAGTGGTTCCCTAGGTCATGGTGGTGGTGGTGGCGGCCTCGGAGGTCATGGTGGTAGTGGTGGTCTAGGAGGAGGACATGATGGTGGTTCCTTAGGTCATGGTGGCTCCGGAGGATACGGAGGTAGCGGAGGTTTAGGTGGTGGTAGTGGTGGTTATGGCAATGCTGGTTCAAGCGCAGGTAGTTACGGTGGTAGTAGCGCCGGAAGTGCTGGTGGTTACGGTGGTAGCGGCGGCGGTTCAGGTGGTTATGGAAATGGTCGTAAGTAATACATATTAATTAATAGATTTATTGTAATAATTTATATTATTAGAATCTATTTCATAGTATTTGAAATATTCCTAATTTTTATATCTTTAACATACTTTTGTAGTTTTAATGAGCCACTTAATAATTTTTAAAATTTACAATTAAATAAAAATTGTACTCTTCTTGCTTCTACACGTAGTTGTAATATAAATTTTATGAAAAATGAGTACATGTTTATTTTTTGTTATAAGAATTAGGTGGAGGATATGACTCCGGTTTTGGTGGACCTGGTAAATGGAGTGGGGGTGGCGCAGGTAGCGGACACGGCGGAGGTCTAGGAGGTGGACATGGAGGAGGCTCAGGCGGTGGATATGGAGGAGGCTTAGGCGGTGGACATGGTGGAGCAGGAGGATTGGGAAGTGGAGGTTTGGGTGGTGGACCTGGAGGAGGCGGATATGGACAGGGAGGAGGTCCAGGCGGATATGGACATGGTGGAGTAGGAGGTGGAGGTAATTGGAATAATAAAAAGAATCTAGGAATAGATTTAAGGAAAGATTCAAAATTTGAAAAAAGTTGATAATTACTTAGAAATTAAATTTGATTGTTATATCATATATGATATTCCAGGTGGCGGCGTAGGAAGTGCTAATGCCCAAGCCAGCGCTAGCGCAAACGCCGGTGCTGCAGGTAGTGGAGGAGGATACGGAGGTCACGGAGGTCACGGATCGGGAGTAGAGTACGTATCGTCAAATATACAAATTAGACATTAAGAGATATTTCGATCATTTTTAATTAATTGTCTATAACTTTTGAATACTATTTTAATATACTTGGATATTTTTCTAAAAATTATTTAAGCAAAAATAATTAAGAAAAAATATTGTTTTCCCAAATTATTTTCCAAAAAATTTCTTATATTCATTATTAATATCATGAATTGTATGTATGGGATGCTCCGAATATTCTAAGAATGATAATTAGGATAATTTTTGGTATTGTGTGTAACGTGACATCATCAGAATTTTGTACGTGCTAAATTAATTCGCGTAGAGTTTTTCCAACAATAGTAAATTTTCAAGGTGAACAGGTCTCGAGATGCTTCCCGTTCGTCATATAATCGACGATATGTAAACTATGCTTGATTATGTAAATCAACAAGACATGATAATTTAATGAACAAATATGAATGAGACATAAAACAACGCAAATAAACCTATAAGTAGCAATTACTTATAGTATTCTTTTTTTAGAATTTGGACATTTCAAAAAATTCATTAAAATTTATTTATACAATTGTTGATGTCTTATAAAACTGTGATATTATTACAATTATAAATTTAAAATAAAAAGAGCATAAAAATGTGTGGGCTGGAAATGTAAAATATATTCTCTACATGCAAATAATACATTAATTATTATATATATATATACTATTATTCTACAATATATCAACAATAAATATAATTCTATTTTTTATTTTGACTTATCAAGGTTTAATATCTTTCTTTTTTTAATAAAACAAATTACTATAATGTTATGTGAATATTTAAAACTTTAAAAATATGAAATAGATGATAATAAATTAATTCTTTGACAATTATTTGATTTGCATTTAGAATTTCACCGATATATATTTTTTGTTTATAGTTTATTCTCTCGCATCGGTGACACCGAGGAAGGTGCGGACCAGACTGGCACTGTGGAAGGTGCAAAGGGTGTTTACAGCAGCAGCGCAGCTAATATAGATAGTACCGGCAAAGGTACTTATTCCGTAAAAGCGGGTAAAATTCCAGCGTAATATCCGCGTTTTATTTTCGAAAATAAATATTATTTCGCTAAAAGATTCTTTCGAATGATCGGCGAGCTGTGATTATAATCGTATTTTTACGACGTAATAAATATAATACAATAAAATATGTAAGGTTTATGCTTTATTTTCTATAATTGTCAGGAAAATAATTTGGCGTCTAAAAGAAAATAAATTTTTATATAAATTGTATATTTCTTTTTGTGAATTACTTATATTTTTAAAAATTTATCCACATTCGAAAAGAAGGAAAATCTGTAATGACTATAAACGTCGGAAATCTTTTTAAATAATAATTTTATTAACTCTGTGTCGTAATACTTACAAAATAAAATCATGTATGTCCCGTCATTTGCTAAAACTATTCGTTAATGTTAATGACGTTTTGATTAACCGGGAAAACTGGTTCTCATCACTGACAAATGCTAATCAAGTGGATGCAATTTATGTATTATTAATCATCATTGCGTAACCGACGATTATGGAAGTTTGAATATTTAATCGAGGATGAATAATTCATAACGTTTGTCGAAACTATAAATCCAGTTACATGATGATATTATTTCGCTGCGTTACTCGCGATCAATGTAATTCATCTCTACTCGGACAAGGAATAAATTTTACTTTAGAGACTAAAAACATATTTTGCCTCATATCTTTCATGAATAATTTACAATAGTCTCTTTTTACAAGAATTTGTCTAAAGTATATTGATGAGATAAACACGGATTTCTCTGAAAAGATATATATATATATATATATATATATATATATATATATATAATAATAATAAAATAAGCATAATATAATAACAGTGCTCTTCATGCATCGTAAATTGAATTCAATTAAATGGTAATTTAATTGTGTGTGTGAAGACTCATTTAAACTTCAAACCACAATTATATTATACTAATCATGTGCGTGTTTTATCTTTTTTATTTACAAGAGAGAAAGAAATAATATTTAAATTAAATTATATATATTTAGTATTTCTATTTTAATTTAATATTTAATTAAAAGAAGTAATATTTAAATTAAATTATTTATATTTAGTATTTCTATTTTAATTTAATATTTAATCATTCATGCCTGTAATAACGCGATTAAATTAATCATTTCATATTACGTCATCACATGTCTGAAAGTTTGACATTTTGAATCAATCTTCATTGACCAATCAAAACGCAAAGGGCGAAGATTGACTTCGCTCTGATTTGATTGGTCAATCAAACGAATTTGTATTTAAAAATACTTGGTTACCAATCTAGATAACTTTATTAATTCGTGATGTAAGACAGTTGTTTACATTGCGGTGTCGCGTGAAGTAAGGTTACTCATGAAATCATGACAGATTCAACGAGTAGAAAACTCTTCATCGACTCGCAAATATTTTAATATCACGTCCTCGACTGCGAAAATGGACATTTCTGTATAACATAAATAATATTGCTCTTTTCTGACATCCTTGCCTTGTCTCGGATGAGATGATTGTACGATGAAGACCGGATCATGTCGACGCTCATCGAGATCAATAATAATAATAATAGTTTGTTCGACGAGGAGCCTCGCGTTCCCGATACGATCGAACGAATCGAGGGATCCACGGTGACATATAACGATTTCTTCTCCAAGTATCTGACAGGTAATGAACCCTGTGTCATTAATTCCCGAGCAACAGAAAACTGGCCGTGCAGACGTGAGTGGGTGTCGAACGATGCACCCAATTTCGAGGTGCTTCGTGCATTGTTTGGTACGTAGAAAAATTCCATCCCTAGTAGAAAAAAAAACGCAACATGCAACGAGTATTGACATAATTTAACTTCCATTCTCCAGGACAGACCGTGGTCCCGGTCGCCGATTGCAATAGGAAGTTTTACAACTCGCAATTCAAGGATGACATGCCTATGAAGAGCTACTTGGATTATTGGGTCGATTATAAGCAGAACAATTATTCGAAATCGATGCCGTTGCTGTACCTGAAAGACTGGCACTGCGTGAAAAGCTTCCCCGATATCCCCATTTATGAAGTGCCTCAGTATTTTGTGTCCGATTGGCTGAACGAATATTACATTGCTCATCCTGAATTAAATGATGATTATATGTTTATTTATATGGGACCGAAAGAAACGTGGTGAATACATTTTCAATGTTACAACTATTTTCCTTTGAGATTCACAATTTATTCTCACGTATTATTCATCATTGTATCTTTGCATAGAGACTGACTTGATTGTTTGTTCTATGATGATACAGGACTCCTTTACACGCGGATGTTTTCACATCATACAGTTGGTCTGCAAATATAGTTGGGAGAAAGAGATGGTTACTTTTTCCTCCACACGAGGAAGATCATTTTCGTGATCTTTATGGGCAATTAGCATACGATGCAGTTTCAGCGGATCTTAATGACCATACAAAATACAAAATGTATGATAGTAAAAAGTTAAAATGTTTTGATATAACTCAAGAAGCAGGGGAGATCATATTTGTGCCATCTGGATGGCATCATCAAGTTTGGAATTTGGTAAATAAAAACTATAGGATTTTTTTTAAAAGGAAAATTGAATTGTAGACTGATGGAAAATTAATCATATTACTTTCGATATAGGAAGATACAATTTCCATTAATCATAATTGGATTAATGGTTGTAATATAAGCAATGTATGGCAGGCGTTAAAAATGGAATTGAGATCTGTTATGAAAGAAGTTGATGATTGCAAGGATATGAAGAACTGGAATAAACATTGCCAATTGATGCTCAAAGCCTCCTATGGCATGGATTATAAACAGTTTCTCGAGTTTATATCATTTATTGCTAAGAATCGTTTACATGCTATGTTGAAGAAAAATCAAGTTGTCAGTTTTCGCAAATATCATTTTGGATATAATCACTGTTTGTTTGATTTGCGAGCACTGAAAAACGTATTGGAGGATATTATCACAGACGCACAAGATCTGTCTGTGTACAACTTGATGTGTGAAAATGATGAAGCACGGCTGTTATTGAAAACTGTTAATTCGTTTCTCGAGTCATCTTGTAACATTGAAAATGTAACTTCACCCATGATTGTGCAAAGCAAAGTTCAATAAGTTCAAGTTAACAGATGAAATAAATTCGTTAATAGAAGCAAATTGTGATGTTTGTTTTCATAAATATAGCACTTTTACTTGGTTGTCATATTCTTATGTGTTTAAAATTTTATAAATTCCCTCCCTTAACTTTATTTAAATTTTCTCTTAGAAGATAACATTTTGCAGGGCCATCCTTTTAAGATTATCTTTGTACAATAAACGTTACATCAGACACATTGTCCAATTATTCACAAGTAAAATGTATAAAGAATTCAAGTGTTACTCACTTTAAAAAAATGCTAATACGTTTGCTGTGTGGAACATGTGTATGGCAAAAAGTAATTATCTTATGTTCTATAATGTATATACGATAAATAGAAGCTCTAGAAGCTCTGGCGTATTCTTTCACTATATGAGCGAAATTGATCTCTTTAATCTAAAGTATAATTAAACATAAAAATAATATTTTTCCCTTAATTAAATATATATACTACAGATTCTCTAATTGTATAAAGATTTACAATAAAAATTTCCTATCTGAACTCTACTAATTAAGCTATAAGTGCAACCTAATCATGGATACATCGTCTCTGCTGCTTGTAAAACAATAGTATCTCACAAAACATAACTTATATTTAGCTTTTACGCGCGTATTGTCTTATTTACTATCAATTATATAAGCATAAATATTCTTATATATATAATTTTTTTCTGTATGTGTTAAAATGACTATACACGCGCATGCGCATGTATGCACTTGTATATGTATACAGATACAAATACATACTAGCATACACGCACATTAGCATATATATTCGCAATAAAAAATATATAAAATTTATAAGATGCAAATATAAATTTTTCTTCAAAAAGTGCCCAATGTGATTGAAACTAGACGATATATCTTTCTAATCAAATTGAGTCAGTAATGCATATATGTATGTATAATTTTTTCCCGATGTATTATTTATGAGTGTGCGTCTAGAGAGCCCTGTTATACCCATATCTAAGTTTGCATCTTGTTTTTTTTTTCTTTACGTGATCCATCTATTCTCCCCCGATATACGCTACATCTAATGTAGATATGCTTGACATGGAAAGGATTGTGAAATTTTTTTATCATTGATATCTTTAACACAAATGTTCTATCTCTATTAAATTTGTAAAATCTCTAAAAAAATATTCACAATAGAATTTGAATGCAAAGCAAAAAAAAAGAAATAATACGAAAAACTGTAATGTTAAATATATCTCATCTATGTAAGATGCGCGTGTAAATATTTGTTAATTCATAAAAAATGTGCTCTTTCCTGCAGAGAGTTTAATCTATACATTCCTTTCCTTACTGACTTGTAGCCACTTACAAACTGATATAAAATATTGCACAGCTAAAGAGTTATTAAAATTAGATACACAGCTCAGCTCTTCTTTCTATCCCTGATATTAAAAAAGAAGATTGTCATGGTTAAAAATATATGATAAACGATTTTTATCGCATAATTTTCTGATAAAAAATTTTCTCCGTGGCTACAGAAATAAGCAGAAATACAGGTGATTACAGACGATACATACGTCCCTACCACTTACACATTCGCATATATACACATATATGTTCCTGTACACACACATGCATTCTAAATTTAAACATTTTCTGACATTTTTAATCAATAGTATCAATTTTCTTGCATAGCAAATATATCTAATATTTAAAAAGCATCACACATGTCACAAAGTCTAACACATTGATCAATAACAATTAACCACTACTGCAAAGTTTAGACTTTCTGCAATGTGTGCTTATATATTTGTTGATAAGTAAACCTTTTATATCTCTATTGAAATTAAGATGTGTATATGTTTCTCAGTGTATTTTTCTTATATTTTAATTTTATTACTGAAGTAAATAATGTGAAATCGTATTCCCCTGCCGATTGAAGCGAAAAAGAGGCCGAATAATCATCGGTTTACATGTGAACAAATTTCTACGAGATTGTTTCAAAATGCAAATGATATTTACAACATCGAGGGGTTTTATCATCAGCACAAAAGTGTGGCTGGTTATAAAGTAACGTTTATATATATATATGTATATAGATAACTCTATATTATCTTTGTTTAATTTATCTCTGAATATATAACTACCTAACATTTTTCATTTTTACATCTTATCTTTCATACATACATATATGCATACATATACACATATATGTATGTATGTGTGTTAAAATACAAAATGTGAATTTCCTTAACGAAAGGAAGTAAATTATATTACAAGATAGGTAATATTTATAGATAATATTCATTTTCAAGCGCGGAAACTATTTATACGTTTCTCTCGAGAAGATTGTTCAACAATTATACAGAATGACTGGGTAGCGTCTGTATGGGTGGCACAGTCGGCGTTGTCACAGTTGTCGGCGTCGTCGGTACAGGTACTGGCGTCGATGGTATCGGCTGATGCGTCTGCCTCGGCGGGGAGAGAAGCTCTTGTCTGTCCCTCTCCCGTTCTCGACCGGGTCGCCAGGCTTCTAATAAGGCCTCGACTCGATCCTCCGTGGGTCCCCATCGTGCCGCGCCGGCTGGATTTTGCAGCCACACCACCAGTGTGCCGTGCACCGCTCGGATGTTCACCTCGCCTCTAGAAAAATACATTACAAAATGAAATAAATTCTTTTCACATACGAGTTTGAAAAGATCCAGCATCAAATACACAGGATTTTAGCTCTCCGTGGAATTGGCTGCTTTTTTTTCATATATTGTAATTTATGTAACACTGTAACTATCCAATGACATCTTTTGTTCAACATGATATAAGCTACAACATATGATAAATTCTAGGTATTTGGTGCGGGGTCCTTTATTTTTATGATTCGTGAACGCACTTTGAAATATAATGTTGAAATCCGTGTCTGTATTCGTGTTCCATAGCAGGTACGACTACTTGTTTGCGTTTAAAGTGACTCCCTTCGAGCTTTATAAGCGCGTTAGGCGCCGGATCTCGCCATTCCGGTAGAAATACCACAAATGACAAGGGCTCCGGCGAATCGGCCAACAGACGCTCGAAATGATTGACCATCGCTTCCATGAGTTCCTCGCAGTAGGGGGGATTTGCTTGAAACGAGCCACTGATCGGCCTGAAATCCAAAAATGGTCCTCTCGATCCGAAATACGAGTCCGTGTCGGCAAATGCTGAGCAATACTGCCGAAAGTAACAATTTAGAGGCGAAGCGAAACATTCGAACGTAACGCCGAACGATTTCTGAAGGCATTCAAAAACCGTCACCGGGAGAGCCATCTGCGTCGCTTGGCCCTCATTGTTCCCTAAGTATGTCTGATAACGTTTCAGCATGCACCAAACGCGTGGTAGAAACATTTCGAACTTTTTGTCGTCGTAACAATTGTGCCTATACAAATGTTCCAGTTTGGTGAGGTGGGTGTTGTTGATATACATAGTGTCACCGTGAAAGCGCAGCATCGTCTGCTCGCGTTCCGGGAGGTAATCCACCTGCGGAAGTCTCGGTGTGGGTAGAGAGAACTGCACTGAGTAACACCAAACCTTTCTCTGCGTACTAACCGGACCTCCTAAGGGTATAATGTCTCCTAGACCATTATCTTTGAGAATCTGATTGTTCTTATCCTTCACTTTCTTCGCGTATTCCGTCGATAAGTGATAAATCTTCAGACATATACCCTCCACGCTGGCTTTGACGGTCTCCGTGAGGTGCGGTTGACACTGTCGCTTTAGATGGGCGAGCCTGTCTTGAAAATCGTCGAACGTGGCGCCTACCGTTCTTCTCAGCCATTGAAATGTGTCCTCCGCGTTCCACTTCACCACCTTTCGACTCTCGGAAGACGCCGCCCTCGATTCGATCATCTTCTTCGCGGCTTCGGCGTAGCGCGACAGCTGCTTCCTCGCGTCGCCCGTGAACTTAGGTCTGACCAGTTTGATAGGAATGTCGTTCATGATCTCGCGATACATGGACATGGAAATTTCGGGGAAGCATTGACTCGGCAGCAGCGGATCCGAGCCGCAGTCAATGACCTTCCGTTCCATCAACCACCTATTGAAAGAATCTTTCGGCGCGTCTATACATTCACGAGTGTGACATAATTCTTGATAACATTGCCGTAATTTCGCCAATAATGCACAGCGCAGAGCTTCCACCTCGGGATGAACATGCGGCAAACTTGATGGCGCTCTCTCGTATATTACAACATTTGTGAATATATCCAGGTCCCAAGGGCCCCTAATATAATACGATAAACAATTTGTTAATTCTGATATCGCGATATCCACATGTATTATCTCGATGAATTTGAACACTTACGCCAATATAAATTTCTTTGCTGGCGCAGCAGCCCCGTCTTCCGATGCTCTCCGCTTCAATGCACCACCTGGTGTACCAGGTGGAATGGTTCCATTTCCAGGTGGAGGTGGCACGCCGCAGATACCAAGCGGATCCGTAATTGGATCAAACTTTGGAGAATCAAATATACATATATTTTATCTCCTCCCCAATTGTACAAAATACAGTTTGTTTGTGGAATTTTGTACTACCTGAGGTTTCAGGGAAGGTACCACCCACAGAGATTCTCCGGTCAACTTATTCCAGAAATATGGCCGACTTTCTCGTTTACTCCAAAACTTCTTCCAACCTTGTTGCTGAAGTTCTACAGATAACTCAAGTTCTGGAAAGCTTCCCGGTGGCGTACTCTGTAATAATAATTTTCTTATAATCGTTGAAGTCATTAAGTAAAAAGAACCCTCTTTTGATATACCTGAGCTATCAGGGGTGGTTGTTGTATGTGACCAATTTGAGGACAGTGGTCAGCTACAGTCTGCGCTGGTGTTAATATGGGTGTTTGTAGTTTCACAGGTGTGGGAACTATAACTTGCGCCACTGTGGAATTTGCATCCTGCTGCAGTGCTTGATGGTGATGATGCATAGCTGGTAACGATGACATCGATTGGGTCTCCCAATTCGAGGTATTGGGTATATCTTGCTTTCCCCCACTTACTTCGTTCATTGTTTGATATGCGTCTTGTCGCAAAATTACTGAAAAAATTTATCCAAACATCATATATCCGACAAGTATATTAAGATATATATTTCAACTTAAAAATTACATTTAATGCAGTTACACATAATTTAATATAACAAAATATTATATATACATATTAACTCATTTATATATATATTTATATTAACAAGTAAAACTACATATGTTTATATAAATATATGCAACATTGTAATATTAAATAGACAAAATGTGCTTTCCTATACACTTGTATGAATTTTCATCAATTAAACACGACATTATATTTGACAGGAGAGACGTGAGAAAACATATATCTCGGATGCGCGGTAAGAATAAAAAATTAAGACGGATCATTAAAGAAAGCTGTGGTGGAAAATGCACATTGCACCTCGTACAATATATAATCTATTCGAATCTAGCGCGCACATACGAACGTAGAAATTGTGAAAAACGCGCGCGATCTCGCGAGGCATTTTTTTTAAACGTCGCGGCTCCGCAACTCGGCGAGCGCTCGGCGATGACAATGTTTGTTTACATACTTGGAAAACACGAAAGGGAAAATACGCGGTTTCTCGCGCCGCGCGCTCGATTCCGCTCGCGCAAAGTGCATCGCGACCGAGCGAGGACTCACCGGAACTGATTATCCCTTCAATTCATGAGAAATGCGCGGCCGCACTTAGAATTCATTCATGATTTGTGAAATTTGACGCAACGATATCCACCCGTACGACGCCATTTGCTTAGACTGATAGGAATTGCAGCGCACGGCGAGGAGCAGGAGGATCACGGGGGAGAGGAGGAACGACGGTCGCGTCCGCAACGAAATAAATAAGGGCGCGTTCGCACGGCGGACGCTCGAACGCGATTGGCGGGATCTAGGGTCCGCGCGGTTTCCAGCGTTTCGCGGACTGTCGCGCACGCGCGCTCGTGACGTAACGTCGGGAATGACGCGTGACTGGCGGCGGCCAAATCCTACGCTTCGGCTTTTACGGAAATTGTAAATACGTAGCGGGAGGTGATTGGACGACGCTTTTTCCCGCCTCCTCGAGAATAGACGTGGAATTATAAAGATTATAATTAATTACGCATTTTATTCACGCTTTTATTTTATTTTGTAAAATTTATTATTTGTATATATATATATATATATATTTATACGTATATTATATATATATATATATATTATTATATAAATATTTTTTATTTTATTCACGATGAAGAGATATATATTAACGAGAAAATATATATTAAGTTATATATTAACAAGAATCGATATAATTATATAATTATATACAATATAAAAAACAAATAAACCAATCTCTAAGATTGGATTCTGTCCAATTGACCAATTGGCGACGTGGACGCTTGGATTTCATTAGATTGAAAATCAAAATGTATGGAACAAAAGGGGAGTTTCAGTTTACAGAGAAACAGCTGATTTAGATAGATCGGGAATAGAGAGACTCTAGTCTTTAAAAAATTGTTTTCTTATAACAATTATTATATCAAATCATGGAACATCAGTTTCGCTGATATAATAACAAACAAGGGTGAAGTAATAATTAAAATAATTAATAAAGGAAGAAAAGAAAAAAGGAGCTGATAAATATAAAAGTAAAATTGTTATATCGTTATTGAGAAATTTTTGACAATTTAATATTAAAAATATGCTTAATTACCTTAAATTACTACAGGAAGTTTAAAGCATATCAAGAAATCGAATAAAATAAAATAAGCAGACCTGACATTTTGCCCAATTGAGAACAGCCTGCCATACATCTTCTTCCAAACTGAGATAATCTGATGATATTAATTTTACCAAAGCATCCTTTGGAAGATTACAAAATGCCGTTGTCTTTACAGTATCCACAGTTTTCTCTGATAAAAGCAAAGCATTTCTCAATAAAAGATAAACATGCAGTTTTCCCACCTGAAACAAATAATGTTTACCTACAAATCATTCTTACAAATATGACTCAAAATTAAAGTTTAAAGTTTTAAAAGTTTGAAACTGATTACTTGTTCTTTTTTTATTTTTATATAATTATAGAAAGAAATAGAAATTTATTTCAAAAATATAAGAACCATTTCTATAAAATACAATAAATATATATATATATTTTTTATCCTCACTTTTTATAATTTTTTGTGAAATATATATTCATTCTTTTGTAAACTTATATAGATTCTTTATCTTATATTGATTTTTCTATATTTAATCATGCTTATCTTCAATATATATTTAAATATTATTTCTTTATACAATCATTTCTTTACTTTTGTTATCTGCTATATAGAGAAATATATTTCTAATAAGTAGTAATGTAGATAAAAATAAATAGTAAGACATTTTTTAGAGAATATGAAACTATTTAATAATTACTTATACATATTCTATCTACCTCTTATTGAGTCACACAATACACATTCAGCATGAATTTCAAAACTATCGTATAAAATGTAATCCTATATTGTTTGTGTTAGTATGCACTCGCAGTGTATTATAATACATAGCTGAAAGTATCACAAATCTCCATCGATACATTCATCACTCATGCAAATACATTTTTGTTATGCCTAACGAAAATCGTAATTTTTTTTACAGATCATCGAACAATCATCTCTCTGAGTGGACTTTCCATAAAATTCAAGTACGGCGGTAAGTTTGACAGATTGAATTTTTTGAAGTCTGTCAAATTTGTCTTTTTTTTTTTTTTAATTTAGTATTTTCCGTGCCGTCAACCTGTTATTTAAATAAAATGTTTTTTTGACACTTTTTTCTCTAACCCTGTCAAACTTGTCGCCGGGTTGAAAGGTTTATATTCTTCCATCCATTAATTCCCACCGGGATTAGTGTTCTGTATGAGCGTAATATTATCGCCCTTCAATATGATCCGTCCGAGTTGCTTCCTGAGTTTCGTCTTTTGGTAATACTCCTCGGCGTCGTCCAGCACCAGATTCATGTACTCGTCGAAGCCGACGATGTGTCCCTCGATACGCAGATTCACGTTCTCGAACAGCCAGATTTGTACGCGTGAACGGTTTTGCAGATACCGGAATATCAGATTGATGGGCTGGACCATCACTTTCTGAACTTTCTGCGGTCCTTTGTACGACATTTCGCGCCGGTACGTAAAAACTGGAATAATAAACAATGAGCGATGTGCGTCGCCGACAAATATGGCGGTAATCTCGCAGTGATGCCAATCTGAGAATTTGCCTCACTTCACGGCTAGATACTGCCGCAATCAGTGTTGCCACTTGTAGGGATTTTTATTTTTTTTTTGAAAAATCTATTATGAGTACAAATTACTATTTATTTTTGATGAATAAAATAATTCAAATTTTTATTTTGTATAAGTAAAATATATATTTTTTATTTTATTATTATATGTGCCATTGTCAATACGGATATTTAAATATATGAATAAATGTTAATTTCTCCAAAAAATTTGTTTTTGTTTACCCAAAATCTACTATATACTACGTAAAAAATAAAAATTATAAAAATAAAAACTATGAAAATTAAATTAAATTATAAAAGAATAAAGGGAAAAGTAGGGATTTTTTATTAGATCGTAGTAAGTCAAGGCTCTACGAAAACGAAGATGTTTATAGACTTACATATGATTAGATTTCATTTTTACATCATGTTCTCTTTTTTTCTTACCATAATATTTGTTAATCATTATATCTATCATTGTATTTTTTATTCCTGGAGCAAATCTGGACATCCCTATGCTAGCATTCTCCAATAACACCAAGATATACAGAAACCTATACAACTTCACAAAAAAAGCAGAAATCACCATATAATTTATTGAAACCTGCAACAAATTCCCTACAACAAGCATATTGTGGCATATAGGCGAATCCCCAGGTACCTTAGCAGACATTTTCTGACAGAAAAAGAAGAAGAAGAAGAAAAGAAATATAAATTATAATTTTTTCTAAATTGGCCTTTTCCGACAACTCAAGAATTTACAATAGACTCTATAAATTTGTTAATAAATTAGAAATCATTATATAAAGAAGATAAAAAAGATATATTCTTGAAACTCAACAATTGAATTTGGATACTACGAACTGGCTTGATTTAACAACTCAGGAATCAACAGCGGACTTCATCAATTAAAAAATTGGAGCCTATATACAAAGAAGATAAGAAGACACATCGTTGAAACAATTATTGACTCTATATAGAGAAATATATATATATAGAAATATATATTTCTAAACTAATATCAACCAACATACTACAAGACGTGTGAATGTATGAGCCTTTGCTCAAACAGCCACTACAGAAGACGAAGACGATAAATTGAAATTTTATTAGTATTGAAGCTGAGGTAGCTAAACTGAATAATTACCTCGACAGAAATTATTTCCGAGAGAAACTAATTGTTGCACGAGGATGGCAAATCCTTCAATGAACTCAGGACAGACGTATTATTGGGCTCAGGAGCAGATGAAGTACCAGCAGTATCCTCCGGTACCTCCAGTGCCAAATTTTTCACCACCTAATTACAATCAACCAGTCAATTTTTCATACAACGTACCTCCTCCCAACGTGTCAAATGTTAAATCGACGAACTCGATGTATCAGCAGTCTGCGCCTCCTACGTATCATGATGGAACGGCCAGTTTTCATAATAATATTCCTTACCAGAATCAAATGGATCTGCAGTGCAGTAATCAATATTATGACAGAACTGAGCAACCTGCACAGCAACCTGCACAGCAACCTTTCAATGAAAATTATGCAAATTGGGACAGAAGTTCCAGAGACATGTATAATAATAGTACTAGTAACGAATGGCACTCTAATAACTCTACCACAAAGTGGCCAACATATTCGAATGCATCTACTTCCTGGTATGACACAAGTAAGACATACAATGATAATGAGAGATTAAACTCCACGCAAAGGTATGAATCATCCCAAAGACTAAAAGAGTCTGAATGGAAATATAATAGGGAAACCGTGCCCACTCGTACTGTAAGCAAACAAAGATCTAGAAGTCCAGAGGGTAGATCTGAAAAAGTATATAGATCACACACACGATACGATGGCCACAGAGACAGATATCGTAATAAGGGAATCTCTAGTTCGAGAGAGTCCTCATATGAGAGTGGGTACTCTGAGAGAAGATCTTCATATAAGAGGCACGAGAGTTATTCATCTCGTTCGGAGGGATCTTATGTAAAAAGTAGAAGTAGAAAGAGATCAAAATCACGGGAATCTCGTACGACACGAGATATAACGCCAGTCAGCAATGCTAAACGATCAAAGGGTCCTACTGAAAGGGAGTTGCTTTTAGAAAAATATAGGTAAGATTTAGACACAGCTCTTTTTACATAATGGTTTTTTATATGATAAAGAACAAAGAAAAGTTAATTTCTTGCATTTTTTATTAGAATAAAAAAAGAATAAAAGATGAAGAGTTTAATTAGCTATACTCCTGATTAGTTTTTTTTATGTGACATATTTTATGTGCAAAAAGCATGTCATGTCGACAAAAGAATGTCTATTAAAGGATTTTACTAATTATAGAATATTTTTATCTTTTAGGCGCAATTACTGTGCAACGAGTAAAGACATAGAGCGAAAATTAAACGAATTATCAATAATGGGATCAGAAGGTATACTTGAAAACGAGAAAAAGATTTGGACTCGTACAGCACCAGCGGATCTTTACTATTACAGAGATGAAAATAATCCAAAGATAATGAGAAGTACTGTTAAGCTACAAGAATTATGTGTAACTTTTAAGAAATTATTAATAGATAGAGCAACCGAAGCAAGGGCATTGCAAGTACGTATATTTATTAATTGTTTAATAAAATATGATAAAATTAATTATATTTTAATAATAATATGATTATATTTTTTAATTTACTTAGCCGCCTTATGAACCACCTCCGAGAAAAACTAGAGCACGTCTTTGTCGTCATAAATCTGAAGCTTGTAGTAGCTCTTCATCTGATAGTGACAGCTCCATGGATGAGGATGATAGAACTATGGAAGAATTAATGGCAAAGAAACAGCATCCACAGAGATTGCATCCTGAAATGTGGTTCAACGATCCTGGAGAGGTAATATCGCAAGAATTGTCTCTTCTCTTAAAAATCTGTGCATATTAGACATTTAAAAATATATTGTAAACTTTTTCCTACAGATGAATGACGGTCCATTATGCAGATGTAGCGCGAAATCGCGGCGCTCAGGGATAAGACACGGGATTTATGCCGGAGAAGGTGCAATAAACAAGTGTGATTTAAATACGAATAACGCGGATAAATTGTATCATTATAGAATAACCATCAGCCCACCGACTAATTTTCTCACCAAGACACCAACGATTATCAAACACGACGAGCATGAATTTATATTCGAAGGATTCTCTATGCTCTCTCATTTTCCGTTGGTTAAATTACCCACGTGTAAAGTTATCAGATTTAACATTGAATACACGATTCTTTACATAGAAGAGAAGTTGCCGGAAAATTTTACGATACAGGAACTTGATTACTTCCGTAAGTAGTTTGCTATATTTTTGAGCGCAATATTATTTCTTTATCGCATTCACTCTGATCATATTTTGAACTTTTACAGAGACATATCTGTTCAGAGAGATTTTGGAGCTCGTAGATTTCGACTTGCACGCGGCACAGGACAAATCTGGTTGTGGACAGTTCCATTTTATGCCAAGATTCGTACGCGATTTGGCTGATAATGGCCAGGAAATCTTATCGATGAACGAGGTTTTAAATTATTTGATAAGGAGCAGCACTCATCTAATAGATCCAAACGATTTACCTAGATTGGTGGCGATGGCGCAATACAAGTGGCAAGATTTTGCAGATGAGGTAAAAGGAATGGTTGTGACTTATCCCGGGAAGAAACCGTGTAGCGTTCGTGTCGATCAGCTGGATAGAAATCAAGTGGACCAACCACCCGGCGACATGGCCTATCCCGAAATAGTACACTTTGGTATCCGTCCACCGCAACTTAGTTATGCTGGAAATGCAGAGTAAGTGTTACTATCAATAAAATGTGTCATGTATATTTAAAATATAAAAACCATTATATATATTTATTTTATAATATAATACATCCATACATATATATATAATATATAACATTATTATATAAATTATTATATTAGTTTGATGCAAAAAATTGTTAAAGTAAATTAACACATTTTTAACACATGAATAATATTTGCACTTTAAAACTCCAACTCTAAAAATTAATTCTTCATGAATTTATCCAGTTACCAAAAAGCATGGAGGGATTATGTGAAATTTCGGCACCTACTCGCGAATATGTCGAAGCCCTCCTTTGAGGATAAGAGGAAACTGGAGGCAAAGGAAAACAAGTTGCAAGAGCTACGTACCCAGAGCAAGATGAAACGTGACGTCACGGTCGATGTGAGCTCCGAGGGATTTTGCAGAACCGGCATTATGTGCGACATTGTGCAGCACGCGATGCTGATACCGGTACTCGTCTGTCATCTGCGGTTTCACAAGTCCTTGGACAACCTGGAGCGCACGTTGGGTTACGAATTTAAGAACAGATACCTGCTCCAATTGGCCCTCACGCATCCCAGCTACCGCGAGAACTTCGGCACGAATCCGGATCACGCGCGAAACTCTCTGACGAACTGCGGCATAAGGCAGCCCGAGTACGGCGATCGGCGAATTCACTACATGAACACGCGCAAACGCGGCATCAACACCCTGATAAACATAATGTCGAGATTCGGCGCGAAAACGGAAACGGAATCGTCCATAGCGCACAACGAACGACTGGAGTTCCTGGGCGACGCGGTTGTCGAGTTCCTCACGTCCATCCACCTCTTTCACATGTTCCCGGAATTGGAGGAAGGCGGTCTGGCTACTTATAGGGCGGCGATCGTGCAAAATCAGCATCTCGCCGTGCTGGCGAAGAAGCTGAATCTCGAGGAGTACATGCTCTACGCGCACGGAAGCGATCTCTGCCACGATCTGGAGCTGAGACACGCGATGGCAAATTGCTTTGAAGCGTTGATGGGTTCCCTCTTTCTCGACGGAGGGATAGAAGTGGCCGATAAGGTTTTTGGGGAAACGCTCTTTAAAAATGAGGAGGATCTCGGCAAGGTTTGGGTTCATTATCCGCGGCATCCTCTTCAGGAGCAGGAACCAACGGGGGATAGACAATGGATTCCCAGCTTCGAGTTGCTACAGGTATCTATTTTTTGGTGTTTCAACTACGTTCTTACATCGTTTTGATTTCTGATCTTGCCTGTTAAACAGAAACTGACAAAGTTTGAAGAGTCAATTGGAATAGAATTCACACACATCCGTCTCCTTGCTAGAGCGTTTACGGATCGTAGTATAGGATATACCAATTTGACATTAGGCTCTAATCAACGATTAGAGTTTCTTGGGGATACTGTGCTGCAGCTTATCGTTTCTGAATACTTGTACAAATTCTTCCCGGAACATCACGAAGGACATTTATCGGTAAACACTCTGTTGCTCGTAGATTATTTTGCCAAGTAAGCCTTTTTCAATCTATCTCCAATAATGGTATCTGTATCACGCAGTTGTTACGGAGCTCTCTTGTAAATAATAAAACGCAAGCGGTCGTTTGCGATGATCTTGGCATGACTCAATATGCGCTTTACGGGAATCCGAAAGCTGAATTAAAGACAAAAGACAGAGCAGATTTATTGGAGGCTTTCCTGGGCGCGCTTTATGTCGATAAAGGTTTAAAGTATTGTCACGTCTTTTGCGATGTGTGCTTCTTCCCACGTTTACAAGACTTTATCATGAATCAAGATTGGAACGATCCAAAGAGCAAGCTACAACAATGCTGCTTAACTTTGAGAACTATGGACGGTGGGGAACCAGACATTCCTGTGTACAAGTACGTTCTTACAATTGATTTTTTGACTGAAAAGCCTTTCTTTAAATGTATATGTTGAATATATAATGTACATCTGAAGGATGTATTTGTAAAAAATATTTTCATAATCTCATGATTTTTTTCTTTCCGCAGAGTCATCGAATGTAAAGGACCGACTAATACAAGGGTTTATACAGTAGCTGTGTATTTCCAAGGAAAACGATTAGCTAAGGCTTCAGGACATAGTATCCAGGAAGCGGAAATGAACTCTGCCAAAGAAGCTTTAGAAAAATCTCAAGGTATGCTATATATATATATATAAAATGATAAAGTAATTATTATGCAAGATATTTCAAAATTTATTTATCAATCTTTGCAATTAATAATTAATCAAATGACAAATGTGTAATCAATTTTTTTTTATTAAAAAGTTCAATCTCCATTCTTTTTTGCAATTTCTTAATTTTCTTAATAATGTAAGAATTTTTTGAATTAATTTTATAAAAATAAAAATATGTACCAAATTGATTAAATTATTCAAATTGAAAGAGAATGTTTTATTTATTTTTATAAAATTTAAGTCTTATGTTATAGAATATAATATAGAATATCTTTATAGTTTGATATTTAATGATTTAATTTAGAATTATTATTTTTGATTTATCATTGTTATAATACATATTTTTTTCTACAGACTTATTCCCACAATTGGATCATCAAAAACGTGTGATAGCGAAAAGTATGAAAATGCAACAATGGCCAAATAAACAGAAATCAAGAGGAAAATCATTAAGGTCCAGTGAGAGATCTGATGATTCTGATTCGAGCCAAAACCACAGAAGTCATAGCAGAGAGCGTAATACCAAGAAGCGAAAAAGTTAATAATTATCTTTTACTTATATTTCTTATAAAAACAAATCACAATTTTTATTTCTACAAATAGAAGCACATAAAAACAAGATAATTATGATCACATATATACTTTTTTAATATGTGTACTTTCCGTGAGAGTATGATCTCTCGATATCTCTTTAAAAATTATTTATTGGATCTTAAATAAATAATGATGTAACAATAATATAATCATGTGTATATAAGTACATGATAGCATTTATGCAATTTCATTACTGAATATTATATTAGACAATGTTTTATTTTCTTCTTTTTTCTTATTTTACAGTATTAATTGCTTAAAAATAATTCTCTCATGGAATATAAGGAAAATATACATATATCGTTCTATATACATATTTTTATGTAATACATCACATGTACATTTATTTTTTATATTTGAGTTTACAGTCTGAAATAAATTTTAATTATCTTGTTTTGCCAATATTGGACTCTCTTGTTTCAATAAAGATCTATTTTGATCAAGTATATTTTGGCATTGCTCAATGTTGTCTAAAATGTTTTGTAATTCCCAATGTTTTTGTAATAGGGCAAGATCTAGTTTGAACAATGCATACCGAAAACATAGTATTTGAGTACATGTAGCGACACTGTGAAGCTGCATTCCTAAATCATGAACCAAAGTTTTCAAATACATCTCGTTTTCGTTTATGGCCACAATTTCTGAAAAAAAAAATATGGGATTATCTCGATACGTAATTATATAATAGGTTTAGATAATTATAGATAATAAAAATGTGATATACATATAAAATATGTACATTTACCTAATGTGAACTCAGGAGATGTAAAGTCTACACATTTTATATTATATATCATAGGAATATTGTCATCTGCTGGTCTCACTAAACCTTGTGCAGCCAACTTGTATGCAGCTTGACTTTGCATATCTAATCCACAGAGTCTAAACATGCAATAAATAGAGACTATTAATAATAAACTTTACAGTCATAATTAATAATATCTTAAGTATTTATTATAACAACATACTCAAACATCTTTCTTTGATGAGCAGCTTGCATTGAAGCACATATTTGATCGATATTATTGCGTCTAATAAATTTATATGTAGACTTCTCGACGATCTTTCCAGTTTTATAATAATTATCTGTTGCTTGTCCCAAGATGCCTTTAACCTTGTAACTGGTCGGAGGCTTAGAATCTTTCAATTTATGAATCATCTTGTTACCATCATTAATACCACAGATCATAAGTCCTGATGTGTGAGTGTGCAGATAATTAGCACACGATAATTTGAAATCTTTAGGTTGATATCGTGGTCCTACTACTAATGGATGATCCGCGTAGCTTGGGTGTGTAATAACTTTCATCTTCTTTGTTGTATCACCCTCTATGCACACATGTCGAATTGGTGGACGTACATGCATACTATTCAAGTCTGAAAATTAAATGTTTTACAGAAAGTTAAACTTAAAAAAATAAAGACCTATATTTTATAATATTAATATTCATTTTGCTTGATTCTTTCACAGACATATAGATTTTTTATTTCATTTTAAGAGTAAAAAAATTCTATTTCTTTTAGCGCTCCATTCTATCTTAGATATTTTATACTCAACAAACTTAAAAATTAAAATAATAGGTTAATTTTTATAGAAAAAAAAGAAAAAACAATATTTGTCAAATTATAGAGAATATATAATTGAATGTGAAACAGAATTCTCTTTAGAGTAAAATCCTAACCTTCACAGAGACGCTGAATTATACTGTCTCGCGTGTTGTAATACGTAACTTCTGATGGTTTATAAACAGCAAACACGCCGTTTAAAGCTTGCATTGCTATTCTAGCATCGGAAACTAAACGTTCCACTTTTGGAATCAAACTTCTCCTACTCATCTTGATAAAATAGCACAAAATACTGTCGTTCACAATTCTCGCTGATTATTAATTCCAACTTGAGTAAACTTTATTTAATGTAGATCGTGAAATACGTAATAATGATACAATTACACAGCACATTTTTTTTCTAATTTCATAATATTTTATAATATTTTTATAAAATTATTAGAGAGAGATTATGAACTGTCACACGTGGCAGTCATGCTTGTTTGACATTTAAATTACCCGCCAAACGCGTATAATTCCTCTTTCCTGAGAACAGCTGTTTCCTGTCAAATTCCCCTCTTTGCTCCTCTTTTATTCAAAAGCTCACTTCACAGTCAAATTTATTTTCAACAAATTTTTCAACACCCAAGAAGAGCTCGCTTTAGCCAACAACGTTTTAGGATCTACAACGAAGAATTTTTTTATTGCACATCGTATGCATGATTTAATTAAAACGATTACAATACGATTAAAACGCGCAATCAAATCGATCAAAAATGCGCCATCGACGCGCCAGCTGTACCTTCCCCCACCACCACGGCACATTCCATTCTCCTTCTTCGCCACGGTACCCCCACTCTTTCTTCTCACGCGTTACCCCCACTCCATCTGCGCGTCGCGCTGCGCACCGCATTCCACAGCTACTACGTCACTGCGTCGTGCCAACGCTGCTGTCACGCGAACTAAAAATCACTAGTTTGATTATGAAAATTTTCCGCGTCGCATATCTACATATATATTCGTGCATCATGCCTCGGAACAGATGTTTGACATCTGCGAGCGCGTGACGTGCGCGAGGATTAAATAAAAACGAATAACATAAATGACACGATGTTGATCGATGTTAGTCGGTTTTGATTTTTTTTTCCTCCCGAAACTTGACAGCCGTACGACTCCGATCAGACGTCCCGATCGTAAAATCCATCCTGTATGACAGCGAGACTGGTATTTATTTATAAATCGCAGGTAGCCATGTTTTCGCGAGGGTCGCGTTCGCTCGACCTCCAATATGGGCGTTCCTTTTTGTCGTCTGCAATGTGTCAGATGAGCGGCCAGCTGAGGATGCTCGAGAACCGTTGGGTGTTTGCGGCCGAGTGAGATTTGTCGGAAGAATTCGCGACAGAGCTCGACGAGAAGACGTTGGAGACCCAGGAGATGCTCCCTGTTCGTTTTGACGTTTCGGATTTCCGTTCCGCTGTCCTCGTCGAAGGAAGAAAGTGTCGCGATAACAAAGGACACTTTTCTCGCGCCGATTGAGCACGATAATTGAATTAAAGGCCCGGGAAAACGTGCGCGAGCTCGCTTCATCGGACAGTCCCTTCTTCGCCGAGGCGCAAAATTCTACGTCCACCGTGAAATCGATGGAATCCCACCGATTCACTCGAAAGATTATGTAGCGGGATCGAGAGAAAAAAATTGAGGCGTCCGAAGAACTTTCTACTGTGCTAGTTATTTGATACGAGACGAAAGGAGGGAGAGAGAAAAGTTTGTTTCCAGATAATAAGCGGCGAGATACTTCAATGTAAGCTCCGAGAAACTAAAGTACAAGGTTCCTGTTCCAAATCAGCTGATCGGCAAAGAAAGAATTTAATTAGGCTTTAACGAGAATATATGAATTATTTTGAATATACATATATATATATATATATATATTGAAGAGATTTGTTACACAATAACTTCACTCGCGTCCGATAATTCTGTATACGTGTAACAGAAAGAAAAAGAAAATAGTTGGAAAATGTCGGTGAACCATTCGACAACGATGAGTACAAACAGAAATAATTTACAAAATCGTAATTCGCAACGATCTACTCTTCTGAAAGTGGTGATACTTGGAGACGGTGGTGTTGGAAAGTCCTGTCTTATGAACAGATTTGTGTCGAATCATTTCGATGAGCATAGTTTTCACACTATCGGAGTAGAATTTCTAAACAAGGATATCGAGATTAATGGCGAGGCTTATACATTACAAATATGGGACACCGCAGGTCAGGAGAGGTTCAAAACTCTCAGAACACCTTTCTACAGAGGCTCAGACATTTGTCTTCTGACTTACGCAGTAGATGATAGGACAAGTTTTAAAAATCTAGCACTATGGAGATCTGAATTTCTTAAATACGCAGATGTTCAAGAAGACTCCAGTTTTCCATTTATCGTTGTGGGTAATAAAGTAAGTTATGGAATAAGCAAAATACACATTGAGTCATTTTATCTTTTTATAAGACTTATTTTTCTTTTTTTTTTTTATAGGTGGATGTTGTCGAGTCTGAAAAGCAGGTTTCCACAGAAGAAGCTCAAGCTTGGTGTTTAGAGAATGGCAACCCTCCGCTAGTTGAGACATCAGCGAAGGATGCCACTAATGTTGAGGCAGCATTTGGGGCAGCGGTTGATGCATGGGCGCGATTAGAAGCTAAATTAGAACGGCCTTTAGTGGAAGACACCGTCGATCTTTCTAAACAGCAGTCTCCGCATCGTTCGAGCTGCTGCATGCCCGTGTCCAGCGCCGAGTAGGTCACAAGCTTACGATTTTTATTAGTTTCTGATTTTATGTTGCGATGAAATAATGCATGATACATTTTTCTCAAGATCTTCATTTGTGACCAGCTAATTGAATTGGGTCCGTAAGAAGATAAACATGCAGTTCTTATCAACATTTCTGGAACAGATTAAAGTCTCTTTGCGTTTGGAAGAAGTACATAATGTCAGAAATCGAAACTCGTAGAGAAATGGTGTTTACCCTCTTTAGGCTCAATAAGAATATTACACAATATAAGTGTAAGACACTATTTTAATCTAATTTTTTGTTTACATATTCACACAGCAGGATGCACACTTTGTGAAAATTTATTTTTATTTCATAGAGAATTCAAACTCTTGTGAAAAAGTTTGATTGATTAATCTCGTTATTCTCTCAGACTTCCTTTTCAGTTTTGTCAGAGATAGACATTTTTTACAAATTATATTTAAGACATCATTTTTTCACACGTGGCATACTTTGTTTCTAGGTCTAACAAAGTAATTTGAAGAGAATCTCTTGCCTGTCTACAAATACTCTCTTCATTATACGGTAAACTTTCTTTATTGAAACACTGGAATTACGTCGGTTGTATATAAACGGCATATATTGTTTCAAATTTTTTACTTAAGGCTGATTAAGATTTCCAAAGAATGTGTGGTCTAATTTATAAGATATTAGTAGCAATGAACGAACAATGATTTTACTGGCTGCCTCTTTCTTTTCTACGAATCTTAACAAAATACTCGAGTAAAGCCACCGAAATCATATTATATGAGACAAATAATGTATTGTGTGATATGATATTTTCGAAATACAATCTTAAGATTTAAGATCAAGTTAAACGTCCTATTTTATCAACGCTTTGTGCAGCTCTTAATAAGCTACTGACAGTATTTTAAGTGTTTTCACACACCACTGGCTTGTGATAAATATAATAATGATAATAATAATAATAATCATTGCTTTATTAAATAAGGGATAGGTAAGTTGTAATTTTAGCTTTGTAATCTAAATTTGCCTTATCCTCGCGATATACGTCTGAGAGCAGTAAAATAAAAAATAATTTTTATTTAAGCAAAATCTTGGTTAAGGATATTCATATCCGAATTTATATGCAAATTTGACATTTGTACAAAATATGACAAATGCTTTTCTGCTCTTGGCACATTTCTCATTCGATGTCTAACGATTTTCCTACAAAATTAATAATGTTACGAAAGAGTGAAGTTTTTTATAAACAATCGCCGTTGCCGCATATTTTATTCGAAGGGTAATTGATTCTTTATAAATACAGCCGCAAGTACATAATGCAAGGAGAAAGAGTACGTAATAATTTTTCAACGATAAGATTTAGATTGTGTATAAAATATGCATGCTCTGGTGCTTTTTATATATAACTATAGTATATGTGAAGTATAAAAATTTATAATAAAACATATAATAATAATTAAAATATTAAGTACATAAAACTAATCATATCAAAGTGAGAGATGACTTCATCTCACCATAACACATAAGCATCATTCTTACTTCAAATCTCTATACGAAAAATCTATGAATTATTTGTAAAAGATACTGCTGCACACACATACACATACATGTATTATTTGTGAAAAAATACGCGCGCGTATCGATTGTTATTTATTATTTTTACATACTTAGTAGAATAGGCTACTTCTCGTACGTACATGTGACTTATGTACAATATGTGTGTATGCCTTAAGATTTTATAATCCTAGGAGACGATTTTGCAAGGAAAAAATAAACTATACTGTGCTTGTTTAAGTAGTGATAAGTATTAATCAATTACTATAACATCACCTTCCTTTTTCATAATTATGGCAAAATTTTTTTGTCAGAAGAATCTATCACAAATAAGAAATCAAAAAATTGAAAATAAATGAATATATGAGATAAGAATTTATATTAAAAAGGGAGAAAAATAATTAAATAACTCTTCTAATTTCTTTAAATTCTTTTGCTTTTTTTTTCATTTCGAGATATTTTACATGAAATTATAATGTAATCTTTATATGTAATATGCAATTTACATATCAACTTGTAACAGTTGTATTTTATAATAGTTTTTACAATGATTCAAGATAGTGTGGCATACACATCCTTTTCCCCAAATATTAAAAAAATTATAGATATTAGCATTCTTATATAAAAGCACAATAAAAATGGATTAAAATACAAAATTGGGAAAAAGTATATGCATTTGATAACATATTTTTATATGAATATCTTAACAATATTTACAACTTGCCACACTTATATATATATCTAACAATAAGATATATATATCTAAGATTCAAGCTCCCAGTTGTTCCTTATAAAGTTACTTCATGTGAATAACATTTTATAATCTCTTCTATTTACGCGTTGAAAAAATCTTATGTTTTAATTATGTAATATATTCGATAATAAAAAATAATTGAATAATTAATTGATACACTTAGATTGTTTTTTTAAGACAAAAAATATAAAGATTAAAAGCTAAATTATGAAACTAGAATAAATAATTTGTTTCCTGCATTCTGTTATACTTGCAATTATTCATTGCTTGTGAATTTGGAACAACAAATTATTTGTCAAACAAATTATTTGTCGAACAAATTATTTGTCTTGTTATATTCTTGTTTGGTACGCAAAACGCTACAATGCGCTCTTAATTTTGATGTTTCTTTTACATTTAGACGGATTTCCGTCGAAATATAATGCACTCGATTAATAGATTAGAGCAACTTATTGAATGTTAATGACAATGTTCCGTAACATCTACGATCACTGACTTTTTCCAGCCAAACAGGAAATAACCGATAGCAGCACCTATTACTACGGCGCAGCACAACCAGACATTGTACGTCATGAAGATTAGCATCAAGAAGTAAGATAGGACAATCTGCACGATGTGCAGAAATGTTTGGAATAAATGCATCCAGGACAGCATAGTCGGCCTGCACAGATTAATGTGTTTCATTACGTTTAAATCAATGTAAATTATGCAATTCGAAGGATGATTTATAGTTTAAAAAAGCATAGTTTACCATTTTAAGTCATTAAATTAATATTAAAAGCAAAATATAAAGTGAAGAAAATTTGTATGCTGATTATTCATAATTGTATTTACGAATTGAGTCATAAATAATTTCCGAAACACGAATTACAACTAAATATAATATATAAAATTATTCAACCTCATTAATAAAATTTTTAATAATGTAGGATGTTGATATAATAGAATTATTAGTAGAATTAAATTATTTTGGAAAAACTATATATATTGTATTAAAATTATTTATAACTCAATTTAATATACAGATAATAATTAAATTGACGAGAAAATCAATTCGAAAACACCTAATTGGAAATATAAAGGCACACATGAGATGAGTAGAGTTGATACAGTTTCATGCTGAAAATATTTGATAGATGGAGTGTTTTGTATTTTACACTCAGAAGATCTCCTATTTAAAAAATATACATGCAAATTTTGTGCAATTCAGAAAGAAGATCTCAATAGAATAAATCTCGTAGGATATCATTTACTTACGGTTGCTTGTGGATTACTTCGCCAACCATACTAAAAAATCATTCAACAATTACAATTTAATCTATCGTTGATGCATTTCAGCGATCCTGCAAAAGAATACTGCTCTTTCATTTTAGGAAAAACGAAAGGATATCTCAAGTTCATTTGACACTCTTATCACAAACATACACAAATTCCTCGCAATAAAATTATGAATATTCTTGCACAAGCAAGGATGGGAGAAGCAACGCTTTTTGCAGGATCACCCCGTCTGTAAATAAGAGAGAGCTTACTGAACAACTCGATTGTCCTCGGCTACCACATTCTTCTCACTGGGCACCGTGACGCTCCTGTATTGCAAGGCGTTGTACGTTTTCCAGAACAAATACTCTCGATAGTACTTTAAGCCCTCGTACAGCGCAGCCATGATGATGATGCCGATCATCGAGCCGACCAGGCTACCGATCGACGTGACCTTCCAGTTCTCGAAGAGCACCGACTCGCAGTAGCCGGTGTGAAACGTCATCTGGGAAAGCAAACGGTGTCATCAGAAGCACTTGGACAAGTGGCTGACACAAATCGATTCATACCTACCGACATACCGTGCATGCCCATGTTGCTGCACGCGTCGCTCGTCGAGGCACCGACGTCGTGGTTCATGCTTCCATGGCTCATGCTCCCATGACCCATGCTTCCGTGGTCCATGCTTTCATGTTTCATACCTCCATGGTCCATACCTCCATGATTCATGCTCCCATGATCCATATGAGCCATATGTGCACCGTGGGACGAGTGATCTGTTGATCCATTCATCATGTGACCCGCGTGATCATGAGACATCTGCGAGGAAAATAGAAATTAAATTCTTGATATATGCGTTCATTAAATAAATTTATATTAAATAATTTAATTTATATCTAATAAAATTTATAATAAAATATATAATAAAATATATAATAAAATATATAATAAAATATATAATAAAATATATAATAAAATATGTATATAATAAATATATATTAAATATATTAAATAATTTATAATTTATAAATTAAATAAACTAAGTAATGTACAATTAAATATAATATGCATGCGTTCGTCTTTCAATTTTATTCCAAAATTATATGAAGGATTGAAGATGGAAAGCTTTATCAGATTTCAAGATTAGATCAAAATATGAGATCAAATAATTTTTTTAACCCGGAAAGAATGATTGCAATATTGAAAAATTTATCGAGATTGACACTTGTTGTTACACGTGCATGTTAAAAGATGTATCGTGTACAAGAATTTATTATTTTCATAATCTCTAATCGGAACAAGCAACTCTTTTCCTGGATTGCGCTGAATCTACGTTAACATCAATATGCAAGATTTGAAAAATTGTGATGTAACGACGGAATATAAATCCAGTTTAAGGATGTGACTATGCGTTATTTTATTATTGAGATATATCAAGTATAGACATAGAAAATTCGTTTCTGTAGTTTTATACATAATTCTATATATTAACGATAATTATTTTTAATTTAATAATCTTATAATTATATATTATAATTTTATAATATAACTAATTACATATGATTCTCTTGACTGCTTGATTGAATGATATCAATTTAATATAATGATATATGTAAGTAATGCTAGGTACATATAAAGTTAAACTTGCCAAGATGAGATATAAAAAAATCATGTGAATCACACTGTACTTTCTAAAGTAGATTTCTTAAGTAGAGAGTATAGATATCATTCCATTCTATTAATCATCTGAGAACCGACACTTCTTGAACTGCATTTTAATCTTTAGAAATAATTTAAATATTTTTAACCATTTTTTCAGTTTTTAATACAGAATTTAAATGTATGTTAAAGTAATATTCCGGAAAAAAGCTGAAGTTAATTTAAAATAAAAAAATTGTGGCTTCAAAGTTTCGAGAGATTAATATCTTTGAAGTGAAATAACTGATATAAATCTGCAGATTAAGACAAATAAAGAGATTTAAATTTTTTGTAAAAATTCAAGGAAAAAATTAAATATAAATTTAATTTTATCAATTTCAACATTTGTTTGTTCAAATTTTTAAAAGAAGTCAGCTCAATATTGAATAAATAAATAAAGATTTTGACAATGCATTATTTTGGCAAATTGCAGCAATATCGATGAAATTATTGAGTAAATAAGAATTATTAATCAGCAAATTACAAGTTTATGACAATCTCAAAAAAAACTAAATATTAATAAACAACTCATATTTTGCGGATTCTCATTAAATTTGATTCAGCAAAGCTCCTTTGAAATTATTATTTTTTTAAAACATTATATCGCATTTTGGTAACATTATATATAAATATTCTTATCAACGATATCTCGCGAAGTAATAAGTCGAAAATACATATAATTCTCGAAAATACATATATCGGTTGAATGGCTACTTCAAATTACACATTTCAAGGTAACATTATCATCTCATTAAGGATTTACGATAAGATTCTTTTACATGAAAAAAGCCCAGAAAACGAAGAAAAAGTTAGGGAAAAAACAAAATAGAAAAATATTTTAAAACTGTTTCGCGAAAAACCATTTTATTTTAATTATTTTTTGATGAAAAATAATACTTTCTTTTAGCGTTTCAAAATCCAATATTTTTACAAATTAAATTTTTATTATTTATCTTCTTAAAAAATGTATAGTTATTATTACACAAGAGAATCAAAATATTTTCTCTCTTTTAAAAAAATATATTTTGATTGTCTTCGTCAAAGGATGATTAAATTTGCACAATGTTACGTGTACTAAAAAAATCAATTCCAGAAATAACAAGGATTGCAGAGATAATGCACAATTTTACCTTCGACAATAATTTGATTGCTTATTTGCGACTACATTTGGTAAAAATATTTTTATCATATTTATATAATTAAGTAATGTGTGTCTTGTATCGTTGAAACAGATAAGACACAACTTCGCAATTGTCGACCACACAATTTACAAACACATGCAGAATTTATGCAATAAAAGATACATATATAGTGCTTAATCATTTACAACCTTCTAATGACAAATTCTTAGACAAACAAACCTGACATTAATTTTCTTATCTTAGTAAAAGATCGAAGTACGAATGTTGACGAATTAAAAGCGATTCAAAATGAAGTATTTCTTGTGTGAATTAAGCTTCAATAAATATAAGATAAGCTTCAATAAATATAGATAAGATCATATTCCTCAGGTTAATGTTGAATGGATTTTAACTGAAGTTTTAATTCAAAACTTACAATTAGTTGCAAACATTTTTATATGATATAATCTTAATTATAATCTCATCAAAAATTGTCATTAATATTAAGTTCGTAAAACAATTTCAGGATATTCTAATCTATAAAATTTTGAATTATGAAAAAAAATTAATAATAAAGAGTTGTATGAAGAAAATCGATGTGACAAAACATGACGATAGATTAATCAAGATGTACACACATATCGATGAAGTCGTTCTGAAATTACATCTGTATTACATATATGACATCGATAAGAAATGAACATAAAATATCTTCATACTTTATCGATCGATTAAATATTGCACAATATATATGATCATTTAAAAGAATTATCACCGTGTATTTACAAACAAATCAGTAACTGAGCTCGAAACAACGATAAAGAACTAAAAATAAGTAATAATCGAATAAAATGCATTGAAAGATGATTTTAATGCACAAGAAGGGAATGAAATTATTCTTTCTCTCGCGCGCTCATAACTTTTTAATTATATTATTTTTTAATCAGCTTAAAATTTTTATTTGACAAATTTCCTATAAAGATTGATATTAGTCAAATGACATTTCTTTCGTATTTTCCCGATTCGTATATCGCAAATTCTGAGAAAATTTGTAAGCAACAGATAAAGACACGCTGAAGAATGCGTTTGAATGAGTGCTTCGAGTGCACGTAAGGCTATTAATGCATATTATTCGATTCAAACAAACGCCATTGTTCCAATCTTTCAATGAAATAAAACACATCGACGAAAGGTGTAATCGCTATCGTTACAAGCATCACATATCATTCATTTTTATTGGCAGCTATCTCATCAGCTATCTCAAAATTACGTAACATTAAGGAAATATCCAGGAAATATCCATCACACAAGTATCAATAATCGTCCAACATCCACACACAATAATATCGTTCACTTTTACGAGATATCTTAAATATTTCGTAATAAAATCTTAGGTTTGAATAAAAAAAAAATAAAATTACTGTTGCGGATCGAGATATTCCGGTTGATGAAAATAATTCATCATTATCCAGCACGGTTTAACCGCAAAAACCACATATGTGATTAAAATCTACGATAGAGAGAATTATCTTTAAAAAAATAAAAAACCAGGAAATGTCGATAAAGAAATAGCAAGGAAAAAATAGCAAAGACAAAATATCCGGGAAATAGAGACAGAAATAAATATATTACGAATCAAGTTATAAATTTAAATCACGATGGAATTATTTAAACCGATAGTAAGCAATTTTTCGAATCAATTTCATAACATTAAATATTCTTAATAAAAGCATCGAAAAATAGTTTTCAAGTTATAAATAATAGGTAATAGAAATAATGAGGTTTTCTGATAATTTAGCTTCGAGATAAAAACAAATGATAAAATCTCATTTTAGTTTAATTTAAAGTATACTTTAATGGTTTTGTAATTTGAGTTATTTTAGAGCAAGAATATTTAATATTACAAATTGGAAGTTTTTATCAGAGAGGCAGAGAGTAAGTGATGCCCTCATTCGATGATTTCGTCAAATCGATAAAAATAAATTGATTGAAGGCAGACGTGAAAGATAGAATGCTTTGTATTATCGATTGTATTAAATGTAAAAAATATAGCAAAATTTATAAATTAATTAAACTCTCGATTTTTGACTAAAACTATCCTAAAAAACTGCTTTGCACTATCTAATGTGGAAAAAAATTAATGCATCGGTCGAGATGAAGATTCTATATAAGAATATTCCATATTTCGATAAAAGATGCATTCTGACACCAATATTAGTCGTCAATTCTGCCGTTGCAAGAATCTTTAATATCAAAATACCAGACATACCGAAGGTAAAAGCGCATAACTGGCAGTAAAATAATCTCAATTTTATCGATTAACTAATGCAGTTATTCGTGTGGACTAAATTAGAACGTTCGAATAAATTCTCGCGAGAAATTCAACCGCAAATATAAAAGTACACGAACTCATTGTTGTCCTGTCAATGTGTGTCACGTGTAACAGAATCTCAAGTTATTACGAATCTCAAGTTATTACGAATCTCTTAAAATCGATTCCCGTCCATTTACGATTTTTCTCGATCAATTTAATTGTCAAATTTGATTTTCTCTTTAGAAAAAATATTTTAATAATAATATAAGATTTTTTTTACATTTTTCTGAAATATTCAACATCTAACATTTTTATAAATAAAATCTAAAATTAAAATTCCGTATACTGAAAAAATTATTAAATTAATAAATATTTATTTCCAATACTGCCTAATAAATCAATTATTTGAAACATAAATATTTATCTGTTTTCAAAAGAATTCTCTTATATCAAATAAATATTTTTCACATCAAAATGATATTATTAGTTTCAAATAAATGATTGATTTGCAGTATTGAAATAAATATTTATTCGAATTCAATAAATGTTTTTCAGTGTAAAAATAAAACTCAATAAAAAAATTAAATAAACGAATAGTTTTAATTTACGCTTCTAAACATTTATTTGTAAAAAATATTTTGAAACTCGTTTGCAATTCGAAAATTATTAATCTAGAATATTTTACAAGACAATTCATATCAAATTCAAATCATCGTTCTAATAGTAGGTGAAAGGAAATGCGAATAATCCGAGATATTTCCATATATAAGCGGTGGCTAAAAAGTTCCATTACGAGTTCGAGTTCGCTAATGACATCGTGCTGACATGCACCTAAAGTTATATATATCAAGTTTCATCGTAGCTCTTAGTTCTTTCGTACCTTTCACAGAGCACGTCCTACTTATTGTTGATTCATTCTCAAATAGTGATTTTGTAACTTTGCCGAGCGTATTTTTATGGTCCGGTTAATTTCTCTTTGATGCATACAATTTCAAGAGTTTATCATTCTGTGCAATTTTATTTTTAAGATAATACACAGATTTACGATCCTTTATAAAATCGAAACTACACTGAAAAAAATGTGTTAACTTGACTAAACCTTTCAGTTAAATATTATTTTGTCAATTGAACATATAAAAATATTTAAATGTTAACTACAACATATTAAATATAACAAAACGTATATTTAACTTAAATATTAATATATATTCAATTAACAAATTAGTCATTGAAGTAGTAGTTGAAAGGTTTACTCAAGTTAACAAATTTTTTTTTTCAAAATCTCGACTACTTAGAAATTTAATTTTAAAAATTGTAAAAGAAGCAAACATGTAAAACAGATTTTACTCGACTTTAACGTAATTATTAACATTTTTCGCTTAAATCTCTCTCGTATCCTCGCGCAATTTTTATCGCTATCGATGATGCAAATTCTCGACCGAGGGTTAGCGATATTGGTTTCAATTAAATCAATGACGACAAATCACGATCGGAATTAGCGCGTCCGACCAGGGGACGTGGCTAAAAAAGCGTAAATATTTCGCTTCGAGCGATTTATTTATCTGTGAACGTGAATAAGCAAACACACGCGCGTGTGATAATAAATATCAACTTTCACATCGCGAAAGTGAAGATCTCTGTTCTCTCTCTTTCCTTCTCTCGACGTAATTTAGGCAAAATATGAGGAAAAAACTGGAGCAAAAATTCGTTTTTTCATAATTGAAGGTATCTTCGATCAAAATCTGTAACATATGTTACGTCATGAAACAACGCGTAAAAAATGCAACAATTTATGATGAGAAAACTTGCTTCACGATCTGTGACATTAAACAACATCGCACTTCCCGTTCCTTTCTAAATCACGTCTCTGTCTAATTGCTGTAGATAGAAAAAGAGCTCGATAAAAAAGTCGTGACAATCCTTTCATTCTAGACAAGTCGTAGATGGTCCATCTTGATACGGAGAGCATCCTTCGAGATCATGAATTAAAAGATAAAGGAATTTTGCGTCATAGATAGAAAATATTAGCATTTCTTCAGGGTCTACCTGACCGGATTTGTCACATGTTTCCAGGATTTAGAAGCCATTTTATCTTTGCGATTGCAATCACATTAGAGGAAAAGGAATATAAATTTTCGTTAAAAACGAACAAAAAACTTTAGAAAAGATAAGAACGCTTTCCTTCTGTAATTAATCAGCGGAGAAATTAATTATCTCGATAAAACGAAATGCACAAAAATTAGCGTAAGAATATAAGACAGGGACAGAGAGCGAAAGGATTCGCTCGACAGAGGAGTTCCCGAAAATTATCAAAGGATCGCTTACCTCAGCAAGGTTATGTCACGCCGAAGGTCGAAGCCAGGTCAAGCAATGATGATAAAATGAGGCAGTTTTTTTCGCACACTCGACTTCCTCTTCTATTCTCTCCTTTCCTTGCCGTCTTCGAAACGTTGCTGCGCTGCTCTTAAGCAACCTCTCACGAATCCGTTAATAAACTGTGCGCGACTTTCACAAGTGACGGATGCCTACCCATGCGCGGTCTGTCATCGCGCAGCTGCGCCATAAACTATGCGTCGAACCTAGAGAGTCCGCCGCAATCGCGTATTCGCGAACGTACCACGTGACATGTGACAAGTGACAGGTGACGTCCGCGAGCGGAATAAAAATCCCTAAAGGTATGACGCCCCCACCTCCAATTTTTCTGGTACATTTGTTCATTTTTATGTGTAAAAAATTTCTGAGAAAGAAGATAATCGCTCGTGCTCTGTTTTTACTTATTATAATCAGTAAATAGAAAAATATATCCATATTTATTACTGTATCGTTTAGAAATTAATTTTAAAATGTAATATTCAATTGATCAAATTAATAGTGACGCTAATATATTTTAAAAAAATATTAGACTTAAATTTTAATCCATATAAAGTAAATTAGAAAGATATAAATTTTGAATCACAATGTATTCTCTGCTATCTATTATTAATTATTTATATTTTTAACTATAGCAGAAAACACGTGTATTTTTCGGGATTTATTTAGATTGAAAATAATGAAACATAAAACGAAAAATATTTTATTAAATTATTATTTCCTATACCGACATCAAACTTTGAAATTAAATAAAAAAAAAACAAGGTTTAATTAATTAATCAATTTATTTATTTAATTAATTTTTTTTTATTTTAACAAGGTTTATTTTGCAAGCGAAAATTACAAAAATAATTGACGGCGAGTAGATGCGCGCGCATTCGCGCGCATGCGCGTCCGTCTTGTTTACGGCGCACCTCAGGTCGCTACGTCATACGTCACACGTGTGGAAGAGCGAGGAGCCGAGGCGGCAACGACGACCTTCGCGGGCGGATTCTTTCTCGCATAATTTTCTCGACGCTGTCGCGATGTCGATCAGACCGCTTTGGCCCGATTTGCGGCCGCGAGCGACCGATCCTCTGTGGTTCAACGCCGATCGGCCGTGCGACGACGAGACCGAAGTAGCCGCTCTCGAAGCGGAGCACCAGGCCTGGGTAAGTGTGCGCGATTAACAGAAGTAAACAATATTGCCGTTCGTACATCGTTTCCTCGCCTCTTCCAGAGAGATCACGTCCGGGTGCAGGGTTACGAGCACATCCCGATCGGGAAGACTGTGAGCGATGTAAGTTGAGCTAGAATCTATTCTAACCTAAGTGTCACGGTTTCTTTTATTTATTTTGTATTATTTTTGCAACTGTTTTGCTTTACGCTCATCGAGAATCTACGTTAATTTAATCGCCTATTTTTATAAACGTATTTGGTTCTCGTTTTTAACATAGTTTGTGCAGTTTGTTTCAGTAGTTTGTGTTTTGATCATTGAATTTGAGTTAAATTATTATATATAATATTGTTTCATGTAATTTTTAAAATTTAAAGGAACAATAAATAGAGGAAAGATAAATTAATATACATTATAGCGCAAGAATGCTGTTAAGTTTTCGCTAATGTTTATTTTTTTTTTTTTTTTTATGTGAACATCTGTAAGGATATTATATATTTAGTAAATAAACTAGTACCATATAATATAAATATATATACATCGATAGAAGCACAAGAATCAGTTCTTCTATTGTTTCCTGAATCTTATATTTACAAATAACAATCAAGATCTCACAGATTAAAGACAGTTCATATATAGGTTTAAAAAAAAGTTTCTTTAGAGTTAAACAAATCTGTAATTCTATAAATTATAATAATTATATAATTCTATAAATAAATCTCCTTTGGACATGAAATTTTTAATAAACTAGCAAAGAAAATATATATATATTTAAAGAAATTATTCAAATATATAGTGATAGATTTTTTTATTAAAGAAGAAACAGAAGAATTGCATATAATTAAATGTTAGCCATCGTATCCTGATAAATTGCGCCATCAGGTGAGTTTAACCTGTGGTTGCTATGATAGCTTATATTCTTTACCATCAGTAGAAACTTTATACTATAGTCGATATTGAGATGTTGTATATTACCAATTTTCAATTGTAATAATTAGAAATATTTGGATTGCGTAGCATTATAACGAAGTTGTAAAAATTCACTGCGTCTTTAATGCCTTATCAATTATGCTTCAAACATTTGCAGGTCGGATGCATCATGATCTTGTTGGATAAACAAATTTAACATTGCATTTTAAAATATATTTCACAAAACTTGTTATTTATTTTTCAATCTTTTATATGCGCATCAAATATTTTACAGAGATATCAAATTGTCGAGCATAATTCTAAGTTCTATAGTTTCTATAGTTCTAATGATATACGAATATTTATACAATCGATGCGTTCGACCTGGAAAGCACGTAAACCGGAACTGAAATGTATCGATGATGCAGAATGCATAATATTAATATACTTACTTTCTCGCACGAATGAAAAATGTAGTTCAGAGGATCGGAGGGGGAGGAGGAAGAAGAGGAGGAGGAGGAAGGTGAGGGTGAAGAGGAAGACGAGTCGGACACCCACGAGGAAGAAGAGGAGGAGCTCGACGAGATTGACATGGAAGTCAGTTATTCTCATCATCCGCAAAGGTCCAGCCCAACAGATACTGTGACCGCTCCGGTATCCATAAGGATGGTCAACGCATCGAACTTGACTCGTTATTCCTAATAATTCAACTGTACATTGATTGCCAACTGTACATTGATCAGTGTCAAATGTACATTGATTAATTACTTAATCATCTATATTGAATCGTGCGTAATTATGCGTATAGCTGTATAGCGACGTAATCGTCGTATGCGATTTTCGTCTTATAATTCTATAGTAAATTATTTATTAGAGTCATATTAGAGTCATGCCGATCGATAGCATGAATAAAAGCGTAGCGTTCTTTCCTTTTTACTCTCTTTCTTTATTCTTTCTTCGATTCGTTCGACAAACGTATTCAACATTCCGAAATCGAAACTCTCGCTCGCGCTTAGGTTTAGGTCAAGAACCTGACGTGCGACTGCTATAAGCCGACGTCGGTTCTAAGTGGTGCAAATTCCATCGTGACGTTGGAAATTGTACGACCAGCGAATTCAACGTTCGGCGGTAGACGTCCGGGGGCATCTCTTCGAGGCGTCCAGGCCCAGGAAACGGTCGACGAAGTATTAGCGCGGACAGTAATGTCTTCATTCCTTGTATACGTCGAGAGCCTCTCTCGAGAGGAGAGGAGCGACTCGCGACTTCGTCCGGAGCGGTCGAACAAAAGCGCCCGTCCTTTTCCTTTTCCATCGCGGTTCTATCTTTCCCTCTCTTTCTCCTTCTTTGGAACGGGCCGGCAAAGTCGCCTCGTTCGCTCTCTCTTTTTCTCTCTCTTCTCTTTCTGGCGAAGAGCTGTGGAACCGCGTCGTGCTCGACCGGGACACTCTCGGTACGCTCCCCGTGTACCCACCTATACTAGGTGTAAGTACACGCGAGAATGTATTATATACCTTTATACAAGGTGTCCAGAAATACGCACTTAAGGCAACGTGATAGCTTTTACAATCCGAATAGTAATTGTTTTTTTTTTTTTTTATTACAAGGTTTAAAGCATACCTAATTATAATTTACTGTTAAACGATCGAATGTGGTAACTTTATATCAACCGCTCGCGCATTTCGCTAAAATTAGAGATACAATTATTCGTGCGATTCTCGCAGATGGACTGTTTCGAATATACGCGATTGATGAGTCTTTTGATTGCTTATCTTTTCGTCATTTTTTGCTCTGCGATACTTTTAAGTGTCGAACCTTTCTGGACATCTTGTACATACGTTATTATTATATAGTTTTACGTACATATATATGTGTGTAAATTTTTGTGTAAAAAAATGTAATATATATATATATGCATTTTTATATACATATATATATATGTACGTGCGATATATACGTATACACAACGCGCCAGCTCTCCTGGCGTGTAACTGAAGTAAAGCCAGGTTGGTGCCCCCGCTAGGGTGAACGAACGGGTACGCTCAGGCAAAAGCGAACCCGTGTGCCTCCTCCTCCACCACCATCGCCACCTCCTTCTCCACTAGCAACAACGTCCTTCTCCTCCCCGTTAAACGGAGATCGTCACCGCGGACTCTCGCAAGACGAGAAAAAATGCGAAAATTGCTCGCTCGCAATAAGAATTTCGCGTTCGCGCGGATCCACGACCTATCGATCATGCGTGCGTCATATACACGTTCGCATATTAAATTATTGAGAGAGAAGTACTATAGCGATATCGATCTACCTGTATTCGGCGTACTCGTGCCAACGTGCGATAAAGTCTCGCGCCGGTAATTCAAATAATTCAACATGATCGCATATCGCGCTATGATATGAATCCTATATATGCGCAATCAAATTTGATTGCTCTGCACAGTTTGTTTATTATCGCATCTTTACGCTCGCATTGTCTCTCAGGTCATCGTGGAAAATCTGCGCTCTTCGAAACACAGCGAATGAAATGTAAACTTATTTTTCAATTTTATTTTATTTGTACTTGCGAACAACTGAAGCATTAATCGAATGAATGTAAAATATTTCGCACGGGCATACGTTATATTATTGCGCATTATTATAAATATTCTTAAGTCAGTTTTTATTTTATAGGAATCGTTTCTTATGTTAAATATTTAAAATTTTAATTAATGATTTTGTATATCGATTTTAGATTCGATTTGAATGTACTTTTTAAGGATTTACATACTATCCTTTTTTTTACACAATCGTAGATTTCGTTCAGAGTTAAAAGCGATGATATAAATCGTGAAGACATTTTTCAATTACGCACGAGAATATCGTACTTTGTTTATGTCAATCAAAATTGTTCTTTCGTTGCGATACGATATCGATTTTTAATAATTTTAAGAAAATATATAATATCCATGATTTACGATAAGAGTTGGAAAATGAAAATTTGGATTTATTTGAACATTTTTTAGATTTTTATTAATGATATTATTGAAATAGTTTCATGAATCAGGAAAAATAGATGACAGACTTTTTGTTTTATTTTAAACAAAATTTTGAATTTAATGTAAAAAAGTTACAAGTACATTTATATATAAATGTTGAAAATCAAATGTTGTATTTATAATTACGTATACGAAACAGTATAGTGTATAATACTTTATTTGAATATAGTATCTAGATATATATATATATATATATATATATTTTATATATAACCATTTCGAAATTATTTTTACATTTTTAATTGTAAAAAGACAAAAAGTGTGTACCTCTCTTATGCGTTTAAGCATTGTTAAATAACTTAATAAATATTTAATATTGCTTTTAATTTATTCCATCATTTATAGTTTAAGAATTTAAATGATAAAATTCTATTCTAATTGCGTTTAGTAGAATCAAAAAGAAATATGGATGTGTAGCTTTTATTTAATCAAATATCTTTATCTGTCACAAATGAAATTTATATTCGAAAAGATAGAGAACCGTGAATCTGTTTTAATAATACAGGGATTAAAATATTCTGCAATTTGTTCCAAGTGATATAACACTTTTCAAAGACATATGTATAACAAACATAATTATATATATGCACAAAGTATAAACACGCTTTCATTTGGCATTCAGAATACGCGCATAAATTCTGAGATTTATGAATCACAAGTTTGGTGCGGATTATAATACCGTCTAGATTTGCGAATTGATACCAGTCATATCAGATCTATAAATCTTGTCGTTAGGACAAAAATAGATATGTTCACTTTATCCATTTTGAATAAATTTTTTTCCTTTTCTTGTATCACTCTTCTCGTAATTTTCATATACGGGAAATTAAAAAATTTTGATATATGAAATATCTATGTATATATATTTATTAATATGAAAATCGTCTAAAATGATAATAATCAATGGTCATTTAGAAATGGTTCTATAGGTACTGATCTAATAACAGTCAACAATAATAAATATATGAGGCACTAATCTAAACGGTTCCAGTGTTTGTTTACTATCCGAAGTTGATTGATTCTCTCGCCTACGAGCGAGATATATCTGATCGAAAATTTTGTTGGTTTAATCTCATTATTCACAAAAAGGAGAAGAGAGAATTTCGACGATTGCTACGCGTGAGTTACATTCGCGCTAATATTAACTTGACCTACATACAGATTTTGATCTAAATTTTTATTCAAGGTCTCAAGCGTCATTAAGTATATATTATCAAGCTATTCGAAATTGTTCAGATTAACGCTGCCTTAATTATATATTCAATTCATACTTTTACTACTATTTTATTTTATTAATTTCATTATTTATATTAAAATTCTGTATAAAAATAGATTTAAAAATAAAAATATATAAATAAAGAAATATATTTAATATTGTGTATAAGAATACAAAATATTGTAAAAGTGCTATATTGAAAATTTAACTTGCAAATATATCTATTACAATATTAAAATTTTCAAACATTCCAGCGAGATATCGATTCGACGTCTAGTCGACCGATTCGATATATCGATTCGACCGTCTCGCGGAGGTGCATTTTGTTATATATATGTTTATAGTTTATAGAAATCAGACTGTTACATATTTATATTATATATATATATATATATATATAATAATAAAATAATATAATCTATAGGTATTTATAATTTATAATATAATTTATAAAATTGATTTGTTTTTATTTTGATCTCGCGATGTAAGAGGAAAATAACCTCGTTTGCACAGCGGGATCATTCTTTTTCGATGATGCTGATTTACGGCATGGATTGATTTTCTCTTTCTCTTTCTTTCTCTCGCAGAACGAAGATTACGCCAGAACTCTCTCGGTCGCTAATGCTGAGTTAAGCGCCCTAACCTGCCTCAAAAGACGCTGCGCGACGTAGATGAGATAATAAATTCTGGTTAACTCTGGCGACAAAACGAAGGGACAAGAGGAAACTCCAAGAAACTGCGGGAATAATAAATTGCGTTTATTAAGAGCTCCGACTCTGATATCTCATAAGAAACATAGATAGACGCTTCATTTTGACGTCAAAATAACGTCATTTTGACATCGTGACGTCATTTTGACGTTTCGCATGACGTCAGTTTGCTAACTGCGGGTATATTTGGCGAATGTTCCCCGGGAATTGAAAATGATTCTTCCGCAATAGAATGAACGATTCCCTCTGATTACGGCTGATTGAAAAAAAAAGGGAGAATTTCCACGGCAAATTAATAATACGGGAATTAAAATGGATAACAAGGTAGGCGATTGCTATGGAGATGGAAGAGAGAAGGACGGACGAAGGTTGCGGAAAGAGCGAGAGAAGGAAAGTTATTGAGAAGAGGAAGGGAACGAAAAGGCGAAGGAGGATGCTGCGCCTCGGAGAAGCAAAAGAGAAAAATAGCATATGGGAGAGAATCGATTCTGCATCGTAATAAGAGAGAGAGGGAAAGATGGAGAGGTCGTGCGAGATGATCGGAAAGTGCGTAAAGCAAATTGGATAACCGAGAGAGGATCTAAGGATGAGGAACTATATAGTTGCGCCTCCGGCTTGTAACAATGTTGCTGATTTCGATGAGACAGCCGGTGGTTGGTTACGTAAGTCCTGAGCTGAAGAAAGTAGGAAAAAGTAGACGAGCCAGCGCGAGTGAAAAGGAAAAAAAAACGCAAACCGGTAGCGTGAAAGAGAGGAGATGCAGTGGGAAAGAGATGGAGTCATTAATAGAGAGGAAGAGATCGGAGCAGCGTTCAATAATGAATTCAGGTGAGAGGCTATCGGAGATCTTATTGCTTTTCTTCATTATTTTCTTTATTTTGCATCATGATTTCATATGCATTTCGATTATTTTGTTACTCATTATTTATTTAATTTATTACTTATTGGTTTTTATATATTATTGTAATTAATTTGCTCTGAAAACTATCCAAGTTCTAAATATTCAAATTAACTCATTATTTATTTAATTTATTACTTATTTTTTTTTTATTATATTATTGTATATTTAATTAATTAAATTAATGAAATTAATTAATTATTGTAATTAATTTGCTCTGAAAACTATCCAAGTTCTAAATATTCAAATTAACTCATTATTTATTTAATTTATTACTTATTTTGTTTTTATATATTATTGTAATTAATTTGCTCTGAAAACTATCCAAGTTTTAAATATTCAAATTAATTAATATTCTTACATGTCAGTGATAAAGAAACTGAAAATAGTTTTCAAAAATAATTTATTTGATAAATAATCGATATGACAATTACACTTGTCAGTATTTCGAGGCGCGATATAACCTCGCATTATCTTCCAGACAATATTTTCATTTCTCGTGTCTTTCATTTAATTAAGGGCGAATTTTTAGTCATCGATCGATCAATCGATGAGTAAAAAAACGCGCCTTAATTATATATCGCATCACGTCGCTCTGATTGGTCGAGCGTTTCACCCTAAACAAATATATAATTGCGACCACAATCTAGAGTGCTGCTCCCTGGTGCACTTTCGACCGATTCGAGTGCAGAACTCGCCGACCAATGGGAGGCCGAGGATCCCTTCGTCCTGATTGGCCGAGCGCTTCAGCCTAGGTAAGCACGCATTACGAAGCTTAGAACGCTGCTGCCCTCTACGTACTTTCATCGTTCGCGGTCAACAGTTGTGTGAAGCCGCCTGAAGTTGACGAAGTTCGCGTTCGCGAGTTCACCGAGTTGGATCGGGAGGAGTCCGCTGCTTTTTGGCGCGAAAATTTCTCGGAATTTTCGGCGTTGCCGGTCGCGTGCTACACGGCCGATTACGCGTTTCCGGTTGTACTTCCGCCTCGTCGTATCGAAGCTTCGCTCCGCGACGAACGAGACCCATAATTCTCGCGAAAATCTCTCATCGACAACGAAGCCGGTCGCGTCGCCATCTTGTCTTCGGAGTCGGTCTACTGTAATGTCGGACGTTGGCTCTTTCAAACATTTTCTCGCCGGTCGTTCGAGTCGGAAATGACCGGAGAAGAGCGAGAGATACATTCATTAGTCGAAATTTGACAGATCATTTCGCGCTCGGAAAAAAGTGCCCCGTTTTTCGCGACATGTCAAATTCTCGGAAACTCGGAATTCGCTCGACGAAAGCTGATTTTCGGAATCTGGATTTTATCTACCCGAGTATTTCGATTGGAGACAGTTCGGGAATCGGGAGGATCGCGAGTGCGCTTCGTCGAATATTCAGTGAAATAAATAGAGTGAAAAAAATATTCGGTGAGAAATATATAAAAGTGTATAGTGAAGCGTGCAGTGATCATAATTTGGGGAATGTCGGCGACTTCAAAGTGCGTCGCAAAGAAGTCGCCCTCGTCGTTCGTCGAGGCTCTTCGAGGAGCAGCCTCGAGAAAAAGCGGCGACGTGAAAATGGAGCGTCGGTTTCGCGCGCGAATAAGCTCTCGCGATTTTCGCGTTTTACCGAAACGCGTCGGAAATATGATTTAATTAAAACCCGGCGTCGCCGCTCGGCGCGACCGAAAAAAAGTACGCGCGCGAGTGCTTCTACGAGGAGGAGGCCCGGGGTGGCATCGGGCAATGGCGGAGCAACGATATGGTAAATCATTTTTTATTATTTATTTTAGTATTACAATTATTTATTTTATTATATATTATTTATTTTGTATTTTTTAAAGGCTTAATTATATATATTTTCTCGACGTAGAAAGATTGGTTTCCCCTATTTTATTTCATTATTTATATTCAAATTATAAAAATATATTTAAAAATAAAAATATATAAATAAAGAAATATATTTAATATTGTGTATAAAAATACAAAATATTGTAAAAGTGCTATATTGAATTTAACTTGATTATGATATCCGGTCAATATATTTTTCATCGCTTTAATAAATAATGAATTTTAGTATTACAATTATTTATTTTATTATATATTATTTATTTTGTATTTTTTAAAGGCTTAATTATATATATTTTCTCGACGTAGAAAGATTGGTTTCCCCTATTTTATTTCATTATTTATATTCAAATTATAAAAATATATTTAAAAATAAAAATATATAAATATATAATAATAAAAATATATTTAATATTGTGTATAAATATACAAAATATTGTAAAATATATTGAATTTAAGGCTTAATTATATATATCCGGTTTCAATTATTTATTCATATATTTTAAAAATATATAAATAAAGAAATATATTTAATATTGTGTATTACAATTATTTATTTATTATATATTATTTATATTTTTCATTTTAATAAATAATGGCTTATATATATTTTCTCGACGTAGAAAGATTGGTTTCCCCTATTTTATTTCATTATTTATTTATATTCAAATTATAAAAATATATTTAAAAATAAAAATATATAAATAAAGAAATATATTTAATATTGTGTATAAAAATACAAAATATTGTAAAAGTGCTATATTGAATTTAACTTGATTATGATATCCGGTCAATATATTTTTCATTGCTTTAATAAATAATGAATTTTAGTATTACAATTATTTATTTTATTATATATTATTTATTTTGTATTTTTTAAAGGCTTAATTATATATATATTTTTCTCGACGTAGAAAGATTGGTTTCCCCTATTTTATTTCATTATTTATTTATATTCAAATTATAAAAATATATTTAAAAATAAAAATATATAAATAAAGAAATATATTTAATATTGTGTATAAAAATACAAAATATTGTAAAAGTGCTATATTGAATTTAACTTGATTATGATATCCGGTCAATATATTTTTCATTGCTTTAATAAATAATGAATTTTAGTATTACAATTATTTATTTTATTATATATTATTTATTTTGTATTTTTTAAAGGCTTAATTATATATTTTCTCGACGTAGAAAGATTGGTTTCCCCTATTTTATTTCATTATTTATATTCAAATTATAAAAATATATTTAAAAATAAAAATATATAAATAAAGAAATATATTTAATATTGTGTATAAAAATACAAAATATTATAAAAGTGCTATATTGAATTTAACTTGATTATGATATCCGGTCAATATATTTTTCATCGCTTTAATAAATAATGAATAAATAATGAAATTAATAAAATAAAATAGAAAAGTAGGAAACCAATCTTCCTGCGCCGAGAGAATAATTAAGCCTTAAAAAAATTAATAATATACAATTTTAATATTGTGTATAAAAATATATTTAAAAATAAACTATATTAATTTACACAATATTAAAATTTAGGCCTCCTACAGTGATAGGGAGGGTAGAACCCATTGTAATTATTATTTTTATTCTTGAAAGCGACAATTTACAGACTCATGTTTAATGCCAAAAATACACAATATTAATTGCAAAGTTTTGGTAAAATTGGATCAAAGTTCTCCATCAATAACACAACCCAATTTTCTGTCGCAGGATATTTTCTCCATCATCTCCTCGGGACATCGACGTACAGCGAGATCAAATTACTGGAAGAGTCTGGAAGCTGGAAGGAGTCCGGGGCGGCATTCGAAATACTCTTAAATCAAAATATTTTCGAACCGCTCGCGCCGGCATTTATTGTGTGCATGAACCTGAAAACAGCAAGTGCGAGAGAAATAAAAAAAAAAAAAAAAGAGAGGAGACAAACACTTGCATCCTGACGGTGCGACGACGACTGACGCGGGCCGCCGCGACGAGAAACGAGAGCGGGCCGGCGACGGAGAGCGCCGATTGGCTGGCGTGCGCGCGACAAGGACGGCGCGAGCAGGAAGAGGAGCGAGAAGTTAGGCGCACTTCGGGGAGTGCTCCGACCGTTCGTTCAGTCGGACGCGCGATTACAGTCACGCGAGACGCTGCGTACGGACGGACTCCTCTCTCTCTCATTCTCTCATTCGCTCTTCCGTTGGGACGAACCGGGAACTTCGAGGGAGTGATCGACGACTTTCGTAGCCACGTGCCGGTGAAAACAGCGACGTCGACGGCAGAAAAAAGAAGAACGCTTGAAGAACGGCGTGAAGTGCGCCGATTTCGCGGGGCCGCTTCCTTCACCTTCCGCGATCGCGAACCCACGCGAGTGTCGCGCGCGGCCCTTCACCTTCCTCGACTTCGGTCCCCGATGAAGCGTCTCCTCCCGGTCGTTTTTCCCTCCCGCGCGAGGAAATAAGGAAGTGTGGGTGTGGGTGCGCGTTTGTCAGGTGGTGACTTGAAGTGAGTGGCGAAAGGAGAGGCAGCTTCACGTCGCTTGGATCCATCCCGCGTTATCTTCATCATCGTTTTCCCGGAGCAACGGATTCGGATGTCACGGACGTGTCGTCGACGGTGAGTCGAAACTCAGGTTTTTCTTAATATTACATGTATGTATATAAATAGGCGAGATGTACTGGACGAATTGCACGCCATTTCTTGGCGTAATCTCTCTCTCTGTTTTTTTTTTTTTTTTTTACTTTTTCTCGCGTGCGACGAGAATAGTGGATAGTGTTACCGCGGGAGAGCTGGCTCGCGCAGGTTGGGAGGAAGGAGGAAGACGGTATTAGGTTTCTCGCCTCTTACTTATGGGTTTTTTCGTGGTTTTAACTGAAAAAAAAAAAATCGTGAGCGAAGACAAGCTGAAAAGCCGCGAGGCGATTGTCGTCGTGCTTTTTGGCGAAACCGGTGAAATCGAGGCGGACAGAGGAGATCGTTGACCCTTCTCGCGCGAATCCGGATCGACGTAAGACGTCGAAAGTTTTTTGGCCGAAAGTCGCGGGAAAAAAAAGAGCAAGCGCCGCCGACCCGATTTTTCGTTCCAGTCGTTCTCTTTTGCGCTACGATAAATTTTCGATCTTCGCGAGATGTATTTATTATCTCTCCGGATTTTGCTCGCGTGCCGGCAAACCGATTATTCGAAACTCTTCTCTCGTACATTTCAATTCTCTGACGTAATTATACAGGATTCTCTATATGGAGAGATTCTATCAACCGGACATATATTTAATCGATAAGCCAATATGAGATTGAAAAAACAAACGACTCTAAACAACTGGAAACATATACATCCTTTTTTTAAGGCTGCACGGAAAAAAATTAGTTACTATATTGAAAACAAATTTGTTAACTTAATTAAGCCTTTCGACTAAATTATTATTTCGTTAATTAAATATATATTATAGTATTTAAATATACGTTTTGTTAAATTTATTACATATACTTAATTTAAATATTTCTATATGTGTCAATTAATAAAATAATATTTAATTGAAAGGTTCAGTCAAGTTAACAAATTTTTTTTCAGTGTATAGCTAAGCTGTCCCTATATATTACACAGGAAAATTAGTTATCATTCCTAAATTTTAGTTATGGTAGCTAATATTTTTTAGATATAGAATTCTCCATTAAATTTATACTTAAAAAATATTTGTTATTACAAGGATAAAATTCTCTAAAAGTTTATCCTGAAAATATATCATGGTAATTGTAGGACAATATGATATTGGAAGAATTTTATAATAAGAATTTTTTTGATTAAATATTTAATAAAAAATAATTGTACATAGTAAATTTTATTATGTACACAGTAAATAATATTTAATATTAATTATGTGATAAAAATATTAATCAGAGAAACTCTAATAAAATTCTTCCAATACCAAATTGTTTCACGATTATCATGATTTTCAAAGTAAATTCTAAGAATAAATTCTGTCTGTGCTAAATTTTATATTGCGATATAGAGACAACTAAGCTAATTTTTTTTACATTAAATTTTTTGATTAAATATTTAATAAAAAATAATTGTACATAGTAAATTTTATTATGTACACAGTAAATAATATTTAATATTAATATTATTATATATATTAATTTTAATATTAATTATGTGATAAAAATATTAATCAGAGAAACTCTAATAAAATTCTTCCAATACCAAATTGTTTCACGATTATCATGATTTTCAAAGTAAATTCTAAGAATAAATTCTGTCTGTGCTAAATTTTATGTTGCGATATAGAGACAACTAAGCTAATTTTTTTTACATTAAATTTTTTGATTAAATATTTAATAAAAAATAATTGTACATAGTAAATTTTATTATGTACACAGTAATAATAATATATTTAATATTAATATTATTATATATATTAATTTTAATATTAATTATGTGATAAAAATATTAATCAGAGAAACTCTAATAAAATTCTTCCAATACCAAATTGTTTCACGATTATCATGATTTTCAAAGTAAATTCTAAGAATAAATTCTGTCTGTGCTAAATTTTATGTTGCGATATAGAGACTAACTAAGCTAATTTTTTTTACATTAAATTTATAGCGTCATAAATGTTGAACTTGTATACCCGATATTTCTCACTTGTTTCGATATTCCTGATATATCTTCGGCATTTCCTTTTATCGTTCTCGGAAATCTATAGCTCGTTTGAGAGCGGTATATAGATTTTCATGATTTATTAAGATTTTCTCTTTCGCGCCGTGAGACGCGCATCGCGGCACCCGTTCGTTTTTAACGCAATTCGCATATATGATTTACGGTGATTCGCTTTATTTAACGTCGTCGGCGAAGTTTTAATCGTTCGAGCGCGAATTTATCGTAGGGGCAGGGACGGAGAAAGTGGTAGTCGCGAGAAAGAGTCGAAATTAAAGCCGATTCCGCGAGTCCATCGCCGCGAGCTCGCACGGCTGAGTGCTCTAAATGCACAGACGTCGCCGACCGTCCGCGTATTTACGGAGCGCACCGCGGAAATCATAACTTGGAAGACACGCGTGCATCGCACGCGCGTATCACGGAGAAAGTAGTCTTCTCGTGTATAGATCGGCGGCGGATCGTAGTTACGCGTCGCGCGAAAATAAATAACGCGATCGCTGGCCTCTCGCTACGTTTCAAGAAATTCGCATCGCATTAATTTATTTATTTTTAAAAAGTCAAATTTGTTGGGAAAAAAAAAGATTTGTTAATTTGACCAAAAACCTTTCAATTAAATTACTGTTTTATTAATTGAACTTATGTTAATATTTAAGTCAAATATATACGATTTGTTAAATTTAATATATATTATATTTAATTTAAATATTTTTTATGTTCAATTAACAAAATAATATTTGTAGTTGAAAATTTTAGTTAAGTTAACAATTTTTTTTTTAGTAAAAGCTTTCTCAGTCTTACGTTTTAATAAAAACTTTTGCTTATCTCCTTAAGAAAAATTAATTTTCAATTTTACAATGATTATAAATAAGAGATAAAGGAGGTAATATGTTATTGAGAACTTTTATTTATAACAAAAAATCAAACTTGTTTGGAAACATTTCCACAAACTTCAATCTTAATAAAAAATTTGGGTCATCTCCTTAAGAAAAATTGATTTTCAATATTCAATTTTACAATAATTATAAATAAGACAGAAAGAGAGTGTGATATATATATATTTTAGAATTTTTATTTAAAAAGAAAAATCGATCCAAAATTTGTGTTTGGAGAAACTTACTCAATCTTCTATCTTAATATTATATAAAATATTTTTATAAAATTGACTTGGTATTGAAAATTTTTATTTTTCTTAAAAATAAGTAAAATTTTTTTATTAACATACAATATAAAAAAAATATAATACTCTGTCGATTGTCGATTGATATTTCAAAATATAGCAAAGATATTAAATATTTATATCGATTTATATGCATCATGATTAACATTATTTATATAATTATGACACGAACAAGGATTTGTGCATTCATTGTACATGACATAAAATAATATCTGAGGTCGAAAAGGAATTTTGGCGAACTGATGTGATACGCACACACGAACGTCAAAAAAAAAAAATATAGAAGTACATAAAATTTTATTTCCTCTCTTGAGGCAATGGAGAATTACGATCTTTTATATAGTATAAAGTTTATATATCTCTTGTAGTAAAAATACATGACGTGAGCCGTAAAATTTCGGTGATAAGAACGAAAAATACGTTGACATCTTATCCTTCAACTGACGTTACGACACCGTCTGCTTTTCTTATTCCGCGTCATACATCGTCCTTTCTTTTTTCGCTGCCCTTTCACAAAGAAAATAACGCGATAACGAAATAAACATTGTATACGTTTCGCGAGCGTTCTACGAGAAGTGAGAGAAAAAGAAAGGGAGAAAGTGAATGAGCGCGAAGATCTACTTTGAGAAAAAAAAATCAGGATGAGACGAGAGCGCGCGAAATTTTTCCACGAACGCGCCGGGGATAAAAGGCGCCGCCGATTATTACAGGGAGGATTATCGCGCCCATTGTGTGTCGGGGGGCCCAGGTTCGCGATAGAGAGCGAGCAAGTGGGTAATGCTGTACTCGCTGTTTGCGCCGGCCCTGCGGGGTCTCTGACCGAACGTCCGCGCCTCTCAACTCGACTCCGCTTGTCGTCCACGGTCTACCTATGGCTCAAGTCAGGTCTTTCTCTCTCTCCTTTCCTCTCCCGTTTTCGACTTTCCACACGCGAACCCGTGTGTATGTACATTAAGAAAAAAAAAACAATGATCATAACGAACTAGAGCCCACTCAGACTTATAAGCAATTTTTTCTGCTGACACAATATAAATCTTTTTTTTTTTTTTTTTTATTACGCGAATGGCCGTGTTACATACATGTAATGTAATATATTTGTATGTCACGATGTAATATCGATGTGTAATAATTTTAGAGAAGAGATGACATCATATATATCATATTTGTTGCCATTTATTTTATTGTTATGTAATTTAGATATAGCTGTGAATGCGATATTATTATATTGCATATTTCTATGTTTTGGAATTAATATCCCGCGCGTAGGCATTCTCACGAAACTAATATCCCGTAATACTTTCTTTCTGCCGGACTTATGCAACGGAGTTGCATCTGCCCTGATTAACGGAATTGCAAACGTGCTTTCTAAATGCATATGTACGCCCATGTTTTTTTTTTTTTTTTTTTCTTTTAATAGAAGATACGTTCCTTTCATCGTGATGAAATCTCGGAAGGATCTTCCGAGGATGAATTGTTAAGCATAAGCTGCACGAGTCGAGCGCGAAATGAAATTTTTAAATGCAGTGAGCCACTTTTATTGAAACTTTCTCTCGGAAATTCTTGGGACTCGATATTTAATTCCAGAGTCTTTCAGAAATATTATTTTTACATATAATGTATATATTATATAAGTATAATGTATCTATGGACCGATTAGATATAGATGGACATTATATGATAATGTTCACATATGCTTATCCTCGATCTATAAAAAAAGACATATGGAGACAAAGAGATGCATTTGTGTATTATTATATATTTTATTATATACATAGAATATAT